ACGAGCAGACGAGCATCACTGCCGTGACCTACCTGACTGCCCTGACTGCCTGCCTGACTGCCTGACTGCCTGCCTGCCTGCCTGCCAGCCTGCCAGCCCTGCCTATGTACATACATACCTAGGTACCTGCCTACCTGGGCGCCCTGTGCTGCTGCAGCATTAGCGGTAGGGGAAGCTGAGCCTGGGCCACCACCTTGCAGGCCTATCGCACCTTGCCTTCCTCGAGCAGCAGACACCCAGACACCGCGGGCAGCACAGCGAGGCTGCGAGGTCTGTGCACCACCACGCTACCTAGGGCTGCTAGGTACGCAGTACGGGGGACCGTTTTTCTGTCCGTGTCCGTGCGTGCCACAACATGCGATTATCCGTACCTGCCAGGCAGGCACGGTCCCAGCAATCACGGGATGTAGCAGGAAGCCAGACATGTCGACATGGGCCTGCTCCACTGACGTCTGCTCCTCATCTCGCTGGCAACCAGGCCTCCCTGCTCATCACAACTCTTGCTCATCTCGTCTCGCCCTTGACAAGGCTGCCCCGTGCGCGGGGATGTTTCCCCCCTTCCCCGTCGCCGTCGGCTCCAGCCAGCATTGCCCACGGGCCACCACATCCTACATCTTACATGAGCAGTTGGGGCGCTTGCCAGTCCAACCGTCCGCCCGTCCCTGCCCGTCGCCACAGCACAGCTTTGCAGCTTTGCTGGTATGCAAGGGCATGTTTGCATCTCTTAAGGCTCATACTTAAGTACCCACCTATGTACCTAGGTACCAACCATCTTGGTCCCGAGGTGTCTGCCTCATCTTATCGGCATGCAAGTAAGTGCTTACAACTCATCTGTCTGGACAGCCGCAGTACTCCTGACGGACCACATGCCCGCCGCACTCAGACAGCTCGGACCTGCCACGGTCCAGCCCACGCCATGTTGCGCAGACATTGGACGTGTTAGATCCTGACATCCTAGTTACTCAAGTACGTTGTTGGCTTGCCACTGCCACGGTAGTTCCAACAGACAGTGGGCGGGCGAGCCAGCGACGTGCGCCTCGCCCTCCGACCTCGCTTATACTCGAGCCGGCGCATTTTCCAGAGCCCAGAGTCGGCCACAACAGGCATGGCAATGCAGTTGGACCCGGAAGACCAACACGGTGGGCTCGAGTCGGAAGGTCGCATCCCATACATCATCCTTCAGGCTTCAGCCCGCCGGCGGCGGCTTTGGTGACAATTGAGCCCACCAACCAACGTCTATGGGGCCTGCAGCAGATCGTCCTCCGATGTAACACTGCCGCCGCGTGCGACTCAGCAAGGGCTGCAAGGGCGGCGCCTGGCGTCAAAGTCCCGCCGGCTTTGTGACCAACGTGCCAGAAGCGCAGCGCGGCGCTTTCAGACCAATCGCCAGGGTCAATCTTGGCGCCCAATCGAGGCGTGACCTCGGGACTCATCAGAGAACTAAGAGGGGTCCACTCATACGCGCAAGATGCGCGCGTCTCCAGTACATTGGGATTCCTGTGCGCCGTTGTTCCCTCTTCCACGCTTCCTTACTTTTCCTGCCTCCTCTTGCCCCTCTGCCCCTTCCCCGCCTGCTGATGCCCGGCGAAGCACTGTCCCAAGGATAGGGGGCGGACGGTCGAATCTTGCTTCTCGGAAACCCCGGCGGTACTGATAACCAAGACTTGCTCACCCAATTTATTGCTGCCTGTGTGGCGGCTGGGCGTGCACCCACTGACTGGGGTGCCTCCAAGTCCCACAGCCACTACAGCCTGACCTGGGCTGCGTGCGTCCTTCACTAGGGCGTGATATCACAGCCAGTGAGATTCCAACATCGCTTGGGTTACATCACGTACGGTACAGGCTGGAAGGGGATCCACGATCGGCTCTCGTCAGCTCTCGATGTGCTTGCTCGGGGAAAGAGGGTTGACTGGCCCATTGACTGGCCCATTGACCGGCCCATTGACCGGCTCCACCCTTCCGTGTTGAACCAGACACGCCCCTCAGAAGTCACGTTTGGGTACCATTCGGCTAGAAGAGCATCTCCCCATTCCTGCAGTGGTGTGCACGGTACGGAGCAGAGACTTGTCTACAGGGCGCAAGTCGGTGCACCCACACCTTCTGGGCATGGTTAGTGTTCACAGTCAGGGTTACATCCAGCAGTTGAACTGCAGCGGAGGACGGATGCGCCGACAACTCTGCAATATGATTTGGGCCCTAGATGCCTGACTGACTTCGACGCCCGCTGGTGAACTTCTGTGTCCAGCTCGCACTCGGTCCAAGTGCAACACGTCATTGTACATCGTGGCCGTATCGTAGCCCGATGCCTGCAGACAAGTCCGTCAGAACCGCGACAATGCAAGGGGATTGTTCGAGCACGCACCATAGGCAGGACCGAGGTCCAGCAAAGAGATCAGCCGGTTGCTGAGCTGCCCAAAAGGGCGAGCTCTTCACCCTCGAGCGTCATTGAGGTGGTGCTGGAACGAAGAAGCCTGAGGACCACTCCACTTCCCGCGCCTCAGTCCAACATTGGTTGCTCATAACGGCACTTGCGGCGCGCTCCATTGTTGAGCAGGTTTTCGACAGACGATAGCCGGTGTTGCCTCGGTAGCGTAGTCACCCTGGGCCAATGGTGTGTTGGCGAGCACTTGCACACCCCGCCTGCCCCCGGGTTCCGGCTCACCATCCGTCAGCGAGCCATGTGGATATGTTGTGGGCTGTTGGACTGCAAGCAGACACAGCTGATGGTGGCAAGCGACTCGTCGAGCTGCAAGGCCGATCGCCAACACGGGAGCCCGCGGAGCTCAAGCTCAGACGTGGGTGGCCCAGGAAATGGGGCTGGGCAAGAGGGATGTTCTGGGCTGGAACTCGGAGGGTAACGCCGTCTTGGGAGACAGTCTCGACAAGGTGTTTTGACGTCGGAGGACCTCCGAAGTACCTGTGGATACATGGCGTCCCGCAGGCCGTACCAAGCGCGAGACCCGGCGTGAACCAAGTTGCAGCCCAACGACATCCCAATGCATGTTGCTGATTCGGTTGTCGTCCTTCACGCCTTGGGCCTAGTATCAAAAAGGGGGCCGCCCGGTGTGAAAGTGGGCAACGGGGAACCCTCCTGGGCAAGAGCAACCTGGGCGTGGAGGAGGAAACTGGAGCATAGGGCTCAGGGCCCGGAGCCCAGGAAGGCGAACAAGCACGATCGGGGCCATGTTGTGCGATGTATCACGAGGAGGAAGGGATAGGAGTGGTTGCGCGGCTGGTTCCTTGGCCAAGCGGGCAGGCCGCCAACGTACTCGGCCCGGTGTCGCAAGAGGCGGGCGGGTGCTGCCGACAACTGACAAGATGCCAGCAGGAGAATGGAGCGCGTGGCGGGAGCTAGACTGGAGTGTGCAGAGGCGTGAAGAGGCGTTGCGCGGGGTGACAAGGCACCGGGGACAGGAGGAGGGCGGGCGGCGCTGGGATGCTGAGACGGTCAGGAGCGGGCCCCGCACCATCAGCCCTACGCGCGGCTGCTGCCGGAGACGGCCAGGTGCCGTTGGACCGAAGGGCCGAGAGAGTGGTGGTGCGGCGGCGCGTGGTGGATTTGGCCAGCCCGGACCCGGGAAATCCTCTTGGGGCGGCCGGGCGGACCAATAAGCGGGCGACAATGGGGCGGTAGGTACTTGGGTAGTCAAGTAGTCTAGATTAAATTTACAGCCGACGGTCGACCCCAGGATTCTGGGGTCGGGACCCAAGGGCTGATGGGGACGGCATTGTGTTGCAGTGGTTTCCCGGCAGAGCCGCATCGTCGTCTCCACACGATGCAACTTGTTGGGCTGCTTGGTTGACTGGTTGACTGGTTGACTGACTGACTGGCTAACTGGCTTACTGGCTGACTGGCTGTCTGGCTGACTGGCTGGCTGTCTGGCTGGTCGATGCCTTGATTGATCGAGAGACTAGGCTGCTTCCATGTCGTCCTGGTCGCAGTGTCGCACAGTCGCACAGTCGCACAGTCGCACAGTCGCACCACGCGCTCGCACTCCAGCGTACGACGTCTGATAGGGGATAGGCACAAGGGCCACCTTGCCCCGCTCGGAGCTCGGGCGGACGACCAAGGCCCGTCTGCACATCACATGGTGCCTGCCTCTGTGGTCCCCTTCACCCAGGACCAATGCCCGACCCCACGTGTGGCCTGCGTCGGCACAGAGCCACAAACGTCAGATTGCCCACGGCTCGCAACTGACATGACACGACCGGTTCGGGTGTAAGAGGGGGCGGAGGTGAGGGAGAGAGGCAGCAGCAGCAGCAGCAGCAGGAGGAGGACGAGGAGGAGGAAGAGGAGGAGAAGGACACGACGAGGAGGAGGGGTCACAAAGCCCCGGCTGGCTCTGTGAAGGTTCACTTGCTCGATGCCATCGGAATAGGGACCCCAACCCAGACGGGGCCCAATGACTACTGTGTAAGTCCAAACGCGCGCCACCATTGCTGCTGGGCAGCCCTGGCGGCATGCCAAACAGACAGAGGCTCTTGGCGGGACACGAGGAGAAGAAGGGGATGAGGGCTGTTGTTGCGAGCTTGCAGCATCGATACACACACAGTACCCACATCTCATCCACTCCCGCTCCAATCCCCTCCCCCCTGCCCCCGCCCTCGCCCTCACCCTCGCCCTGTCCGCCCGCCCGCCCGCCCGTCCGTGTCACAAGAGATAAACAGACTCGGCCAGGGCGCCACACACATGTGCACAAACACTCACACACACTTACACACACTGACACAACATAGACGGGCAACGGGCGGGGGCGAGTACTCCTGACCCACCCCTTGCAGGCGAGTCCACCCCCACCGCCTGCAGGATATAAAGCTGCTGCCCTCGAGCTCCTTGTGTCTTGTCCCTTGTGTCTTGTCCCTGCACTCAGTCTCTTCTTGTTCACCATCACATAAGAAAGATCCTAAGCACCCAAGCCACCCAGGTCAGCCAGGCCAGCCAGGACTACCAGCCGTCAGCCTCGTTATTCCACAGCAACATCCAACCCAAGCCGCCCAACATGTCCGACCCTCGACGCTCCATGCCCCTGACCTTCCTGTCCCTGGGCCCCGTCACCTCCGAGTCCTTTCCAAAGTCGCAGCAGCCCAAGCAGGCTGGCGATGGCCACAAGAGGCGGAGTTCTTCGCTCAGCAGCGACGGCAAGGGTTCCGCCCCGGGATTCCGCGTCCTCAAGGTCGCCCCTGTCCACTACGGCGAGCATGCAGGCGACCACCAGGACGACTGGCACAACGCCGCTGCTGTTGCCGAGTGAGGCAGCGCGTGCGATCGCCACCCCCGCCATGCCCCCGTGGTGCCTACGCCCGAGTCGTCACGTCACCGCCTCGGGCTTTCATCTCGTCTCGCCTTGCGCAGCCCTCTTGTCGTTGCGGCTTCTGGACCAGGGACAGTGACAGGGACAGGGAGACACGGCGAGTTTCGGCCAGAGATCTGGATACCTGGGTTTATTTGTTTTGATTGGTTGTGTGTGTGATTATTAGCGCAAGGTTTTAGGTCTAGTACGGCGTTCTTTCTACCAAGGCTCAGATGCGGTCAACCCAGCCAAGGCGGGCGGAGTGGTGGGCATGGTTTTGGCTTCCTTGCGGCGGCACATGAGGAGGACACCCAGGTACCTGAGTACCTAGGCGGTGACCAGGCTCTGCAGGGACTGTGTGCTAAGAATATATCGCTGTTTCCCCAACACACCCGCGTTTCGAACCACGGTGTGTTGTGGGCCGAGAATAAATGCCAAGGTCGCCGACTCGCCCGTCGAATACTATTACCGTGCGTGGTATGTGAGTGAGGCATCTTCCCTGCCCGGCAAGGAAACGTCAGCCTTCGTCCAATCGAGGGCAAACAAGGCCAAGAGTCTTGGGAGACGTAGGTTGTGCGGCCGGTGCGGCTTGTGCAGCTTGTGCTGGCCCTCCACCATGTCGTGCACATCTAAAACGCACCTGTGCCTTACCCTACGGCCAGCATGAGCATGGCTTGTCGGCCGGGTCAGCCGGGTCAGCCGGCACGACACCTGTCCTTGTCACACCCGAGGGTGTGCCGCTGCGGCGTTGTCGACCCGTCAAGTCGACCCGTCAAGTCGACCCGTCAAGTCGACCCGTGGCGGGCCCGCGGGCCACCCGGGGGCCAGACCTGCTGTGAGTCAGGCTTATCAGATTGGAAGACGCCTGAGACCCGGGGCCCCTGGGGTCCTAGGGCCGTGTTCGTCCCTTTGCATGGCGCATGGCGCATGGCGCACGGTGGTTGGGTGGGTGTAAATATGGCTCAGCATCAACACAAGATCTCTCGGCGCTGCACGAGCTTGCACGGCCGCCGACGAGCGCCCAGGTGCCAAGCCGCCGGTGCACTGACGATCAATGTCTCGGACCGCGCCGCTCCACCACACCAAAAGGCATCTCGGTGGCTGCTTGTTTGCCACAAGCCCTGCCCCGCCCCTCTCCGTCAGCCTGTCAAGCCTGGCTGCCTGCCTGGCTGCCTGGCCGCTCGCCGCCGCCAAGCTGAGGCCGAGAATGGGAGCTGTCGTACCTGGGTGGGCCCGTGGGCCCGGCGTCTCACCGACGAGACTGCCTGCCAGCCCTGCATCGGCGTGGCAGGATTCCACATGCGGGCCAAGAAGCTGCATGAGAGAACTGGACTGTTTCCACAGGCCGACTATATCATCACGCGGGATGGACGGACCCTCACACGAACCGTCGGACGGAGAAAGATATATTTACACGCACGAAACAGCGCCCCTTGACCACCGCGGCGCACAGAAGCCAGGGCCAAGGCCTCCACAAGGCTAATAATAATAATAATAGTAGTAGTAATATCATCATCCCGCCTAGAATCCGTATTTGGCCCCAGACTGCTTCTGTGTCGCCCGGTTCTTGGCAAAACTCTCCTCTAGCGCGTCCCGTTGGCTCTGCACCTGGTTGACCAGCTGTTGTAGGCTGTGCTTGCCAGGCTTGATGGCGCGCAGCGGATTATGTTGTTGCTGGTCCAGCGCGCCGGATTGCCGAAGCCTCTCGTTGTGCTGGTATTCCTGGTCCAGGTTGAAGTTGATGACGGACTTGGCTGTTGCCATGCTCGGCGCGCCACCGCGGCCGAAGAGTTCCCGCCGTGCTGTTGGGTCGAGGTTCAGGTCGTCCGCGATGGAGTCGAGCGAGGCCGGCTCTGCATGGCCCGGTGGTTGCACCGGTGGCTGTGAGTGGCCCGCGCCATTCTGCTGGCTGGCATGCTCACCTAGGACGCCTTCTCCTGGGAACGTGCTTGGACCATGACCGCACATCGCGGCCTCGTACTGGTTGCTATCCTCCGGGAGCGGCCCGGTGCCATGTGCATCGTCTTGTACCGAAAACAAGGACACTTTCTTCTTCTTGGCCTGCGGGACCGCCGCCGCCGAATCTTGTCTGGTGGGCAGCCCAGGGGTTCCTGCATGGGCGGGCTGCTCTGCCGCGGCCTTCTTCGGCCCTCCGACTTTCTTGCTGGGCTTCCTGGCTACAGACAGTGGCTTGAACACCAGGGCCTCCCCAACCAGCTTGACCTCGTGCTCGGATTTCTGCCCATGCGGTATAGACGGCTGTGCCGGCGCGGCAGGTACGGCTGTTGTCAGGTCCAGGAATGAGCCCGGTCCTTCTGTCGCAGAGATGCCATGGCCGCGGCCAACACCTGTATCCCTGCTGAACGCCGCCTCGCCACTTGTCTTCAAGCCCGCACCGACCCTCGGTGTGGGTTTGCCGCTGCTTCCACCTGCGAAGTAGGGCTTTGCGGCCTTGGGCGGCGGCAGGGACGAGGCGAAGCCGCTGAATCTGCTGCCGCCCGTCTTGAGCCGTTTCGCGGCTGGGGCTTGGATGGTTGTCGCGTCCTCTGGCCCGGCGGACACGGAAGGGAGATTGACGCGGATTCTGCCTGGGTTGGACTTGTCGACGAGCTTCTGGAAGCTTTGCTTCTCGGCAGGCTGCGGTGCGGCGGCGGGTGCGGCGGGGGCGGCGGGGGGCGGCGGCGAGGTGGTTCGCGGCTCGCTGTCGGAATCAGAGTCCGAGTACTCGACCAGGCCCATATCTGCTTGCTGGCTGGGTTGAGTAGGGGCTAGCTCTGCCTTGGGGCGTTGTATCGTGGTCGGAAGTGCAAGCCGTATCAGTCTAGGTGATGAACACGTTAATAACCAAGCCGAGACAGAGACGGCTGGTTTCCAGCAGAGGGAGCCCAGGTTGTTGGTTGCCGACCCCCTCCCGCCCTGGAAGCTGCTGATTCGCACAGCCCCCTCCCTCACCCGCTCTAGCAGCACTCTTCTCAGCGCTTCGGCTTGGCAGTCAGTCATGGCCCAAGTACTACAGTAGTGCTTTTGTTTACATACTTTTTTTTTTCTTCTCTTTCTTTCTCTTTCTTCTTCTTCTCATTCACTGCTTAAGTCAATGTTCCAAGGCTATGCAAAGCCCCCATCTACCTGCCTATATGTGCCCATGTTTTGTGTGTCTAAGGCGCTCCAGATGTCCTTACCGCCCACGTCTCATCCTGTCAGTCTGCCTGCCTTTCCCTATCGCTACCCGTGTTCCCACCTTGGCTTCCTTTCGTGTTGGTACAATTACTTCGCCTCAAACCTCACCTTCCCAGTCAACTTCTCTCGATTTCCCTTTTGCCGGTCCGTACCGCATCTTCACTCTGTCACCCTCGGGTTTTGCTTCCCGTGTAGAGCACTTTGCTCGAGCCCGAATCGTGCGGGCCTTCCCCAGATGGCTCGACTTGGGCTCCGTCTACGACATGCGCTAGCCGGTCATCCACCACCCACTCGTCGACATTACACCAACGCTAATCATTAGTGGGCGAGGTTGGTGAGCTGCAAAGTGAATTAGCATCGCTCTCTACTCTCTACTCACACACAAGATGGAACAGCCATCTTCATCGACTTACTACTGATCGTGCCCGCTGCCATCTCGTCCAGGAGTCGGAGCGTGGTACTGAGGCGAGGTTGGTGAGTAGCTCGGACTCGTCGGAGACACGTTCTGCCCGGGTGACCGTTGGTAGGTAGGGCTTGTGGGCGAGTACGCGTCAGGAGAGGTTGGAGACCACGTGGGAGACGCGGGGGAGTATCGAGGGGACGTGGCGTGGACGTTTGGTGATGTTGGGCTGTAGTTTGGGCTCGCTGGCGAGTATGACGGAGAAGTCGGCGAGCCTCCGTAGTTCCCAGCCGGTGACGTAGGCGAGTATTTGGGTGCCGACGGGGATGTTGGCGAGTAGCTCGGCGAGGTCGGGCTGTAGTTTGGACTGGCCGGGCTGGTGGGCCGCATCAAGGGCGACGTCTGTGAGTATGATGGCGAGTTTGGACTGAAAGTTGGAGACGAGGCACCGAAGCGGGAGCCCACATCAATCATTGGTGAGCTGGGCGAGTATGCACCCATGGGAGATGATGGGGAATACCCTGCGCCCTGGTTGCCATATGGGGATGTCGGTGAGGTCGGAGCAAAAGGGCTCGTAGCACGTGGGCTGGTTGCCGAGTACCCAGGAGCCCCACCCAGGCCAAACCCACCACCGTACTCCGTGTTGAAGCCTCCCGGTGTCTCGGACCCTGCGCCGATGATGGGTGAGAAGTTGCCTGGCGCCGGAGACATGATTCCCAGGAAGCCGCCCGTGTCCGCCATAGGGGAGCCCGTATCGTATGGTGTCGCTGCGCCCTCCAATGGGCTGCCCTTGACGGTCATGCCGGGCATGAGTCCCATGCGCGAGTTGTCCGATATCACCGTCTCCAGCATCTTGGGATCCAGCTGCACTTCAAAGTGACCTGTCCCCATTGGGGCCAACTGGCCGAGCATCACGTTCTCGGAAATACCACGGCAGTCGTCTAGCTCGCCCGTGGCTGCGGCCTCCAGAAGGATCTCGACCGTTTCTTCGAAGGAACAGCGCATGAGCGCACCAGTGTCGGCGCGGTTGATGCCGTGGCGCGTGACCGCAGCGATGCTGCCGCGGTATGTCATGACATCAACCAGGAGAGCCAGATGGCGGTGATTGACGTAGGATCCGTCAAACGCCAGCACGTTCGTCAGCTCCGAGAGTAAAGCAGATCGTGCCGCCTCGATGCCGAAGACATCAATGATCTGATGCAGCTGGTTAGTGGTTGTCCGCCTCGTGTCAACGCCGTCAACGGCGAGGACCTGGCGCAGGGCAGTGCCGGTGGTGTCGAGATAAGACTCTTCGCAGTCAGCGTCGCCCTGCTTCGCCTTGAGTGAGCCGTCCGGCATCTCTATCAGGCGGGCATTCTTGTTGATGAAGGCACGTTCGATGCCAGGCACGCCACGAATGGTGAGCTTGTCCAACAAGTGCGTCTCAAGACGCTTGAGCATGACGTCTTCCTCCATGTCGTCATCTTCTGCATCGGCTTTGTCGCGGATTGAGCGGATGCGAATGATTTGTTCCTCATCGTTGTCATCGTTGAAGATGACAGCCAAATCATCAGAATACTCGTCTTTGAGCCGCTGAGCCACGTCCTCAACTCCCAGTTCCTTGTCGAGCATCTTTTGACGGTCCAAGGAGATTCGAAGGACCCAGCGAGTCTGACGATCAAGGTCCTCGGTCTGTGGGGTCTCGAGAAGAAAATACGCCTCAATCATGTCCATGTCCTGGGGGATTATGGTTTCCCGAACATCCGGGTCATAGAAGATCTCCGTCTTTGACGTGACGGACCTCAGGTTCGTGTGCTCAGTAAGACTTCGCAACGTCTTCGCCGCGTCTTGTGATAAATCGTCGCCTTCAAGGTAAACCTGCATCGAAGGAGTCTTAATATCACTAGCGACGTTGAGGATCTCCTTGAGACGAGGCACGCCGAGAGTGACGTTCTTGGAGGCAACACCAGTGAAGTGGAACGTGTTGAGCGTCATTTGTGTCGCAGGCTCTCCAATTGACTGCGCGGCGAGAACACCAACCATCTCTCCAGGGTTGACCATTGACCTCGACCAGCGGTTCTCTAGCTCTCCGAGGATGTGGTCGAAGGCTATGCGAGGGAGGCGGAGCTGGACTGCGAGACGCCTGAAAGCCAGACGCGACCGTAGGTGGGCCTTGAAGAGGATCGTTGCGCTCTCATTGGCCTCCTTGGAAATGGGGTCCTCACCGGGGACGACCACCATGCGCCTCATGAACGCGTCGACGGCCGGGATCACGTCGGAAGGCTTCATATCACTTCGCTTGGTGAGGTCAACCTTGAAAAAGGAGATGGTGCTGTCGATCAACCGTATGATGTTTAGGGGGAGCTGCATCATAGTCTCATCCTTGCCCCGTGACAGCATTATTTCGCGAACCGCCCGGCGGGCCGTGGACAGACGTTCGAACTCCGCGTCCAGCAGTTGCTGCTCTTCGATGTTGCTCGCGAGGTGACTTCCATATTCCAGAGCGTTGGTCAACGTGTGGGAGTCCTCGACGAGGTCAAGCTTGTAGCGCCTCTCAAAGTCCTTGTCGGAGATGGTCAAGAAATCAACCTTCTGTTTTTCGATGTGCATGCCATCAAGGCCGTCTTCGCCATAGATGAACTGTATAATATCATTCAAGGAGTTTCGAACAGTGCCATCATACTTCGCCGTGACGTCCTCAAGCGCCTTGACTAGTCGGCGCTGGATGTAACCAGTTTCAGCGGTCTTGACAGCGGTATCGATCAAACCCTCACGACCGGCCATAGCGTGGAAGAAGAATTCGGTGGGGGTGAGACCACGCAGGTAAGAATTCTCCACGAAGCCACGGGCCTCGGGCGAGTAGTCGTCCTTCGTAAAGTGAGGCAGTGTCCGGTATTTGAATCCAAAGGGAATCCTCTTTCCCTCAACGACCTGTTGGCCGACTAGGGCAGTCATCTGAGAGATGTTGATGGAAGAGCCCTTGGAGCCTGACCGAGACATGGTCACAGCGTTGTTTAAATCTTTCAGACTCTTCTCCGTTGTCGTACCGGCCTTGTCGCGAGCAGCGTTCAATTCCTTGGATACCTTGCTCTCAAAAGTCTCTCGAATACTCATTCCCGGGAGTGGCTCGAGCTTGTTCTCCGTCGCCTCGGTCACGATCTCCGCAACGATCTTTTTCTGTCCGTCAATGTCCTGCTGGATCTTGATGATAGTGTCCTTGTCAGGAATAGTATCACCGATTCCGATGCTGTGACCGTTGTGCAAGAGCCAGTAGTTCACAACACGTTGGCAGGCGTTGAGGAAACCCATTGCTGCATGTGGTCCGAGCTCGTTGTAGGTAATGTGTATGATGCCGCCAGCCGCAGCACCCACAATTTTCTTGGTAAGAAGGCCGTAAACGAGATCGCCATTGTGAATCCTGATCCCGCTGTCATCGATGGGGAGCTCGCTGCTACCTTGCTGCAGACTGACTTCTTTAGGGATGACCATGCTGATGATCTGTTTTCCAGTCCATCGGGGAGATGGGTGAAGTATGGCCGGGGTCGGTATGACGCCGTCCCAGTCCTCAACCCATAACATCAGGTTCATGACTTCTTCCTTGGTGAGAAACACGTCTCGACGGCAGAGCTTGTATGCGCCTGCCAGAGTGTCCTGCACGATCCCCATGAGTGGGGAATTCCGCTGAGGCGAGACGATGTTCAGGGGCACCAAGCACAGGTTCTGAACCTCAGCACGCGTCTCCTCGGTCTGGGGAACGTGGAGGTTCATCTCATCGCCGTCAAAGTCAGCGTTGTACGGAGAGGTGACGGATAAGTTCAGCCGGAATGTGGAGTATGGCATGACCTTGACGCGGTGCCCCATCATGGACTCCTTGTGTAGCGAGGGTTGTCGGTTGAAGATGATGTAGTCCCCATCGATGAGATGACGCTCCACCTTCCAACCGTACTCCAGGGTAATCTGACTGGCGCGCTTGTGATGGCGCAAATCGATCCTGGTGCCGTCGGAGCGTATGACGTATTTGGCACCTGGGTGCTCGTTCGGGCCGTTCTCAACAAGCTGATGCAAGCGGTGAATATTGTAAGGAGTCACAGTCTCCGGGTAGGTCAGAGTTCTCGCGATGCTTCGAGGCACACCGACTTGGTCCAAGGAAATGTTTGCGTCACCTGTGATGACAGTGCGCGCAGAGAAATCCACGCGCTTGCCCATTAGATTGCCTCGGAGACGGCCCTCCTTGCCCTTGAGGCGAGCACGGATGGCCTTTACTGGCCGGCCACTCTTCTGCAACGCGCGTGGGGTGCCAGCGATATCGTTGTCCATGTAAGTTGCGACGTGATATTGAAGGAGTTGCTCGAAGTCGTTTAGAATGTGCATTGGAGAGCCCTCGGACAGTGCCTGTTTCACATTGCCATTAGCACGGATGATATCACCGAGCTTGTAGGTCAGATCGTCTTCGTTGCGAAGGCCTTGGCCAGTGCCGTCCATGCTGATCGATGGCCGGACAGGTGGTGGAGGCACAGGAAGTACTGTGACGATCAGCCACTCGGGACGCGCATAGTCCTTGTTCAGCCCCATATCCTCGAGATCAGCATCAGAGATTCGTCGAAAGATTTCGTGCACCAGCTTTGGCGGCAAGGGCTTCTTCTCGATGGTCTTGCCCCCGCCATCCTCGTTCTCACGCTGAAAATGCTGTTGAAGCTGCAGTGCCTGTTGACGGACCGCGGGTTGGGCATTGCCACATCCACCGTGGTTATGGGGCGGGGGCTTGTTCTTGTTCTCCGGATCAAACTCCTCGTCCTTTTTGGAAGACTCGTTATCGCAGCGCTTCTTCTTCTTGCAAACCTCCCAGACCCGGGCAAATCGGGCTTTCGGGTCTCGTGTCGCGACGGCGGCCGCAAACTCATCGTCACTCTACAGTCGGTGGAATCAGCAATCAGCAGACTTTTAGACGTCCACAACAATCAAGCTAGACCAACCCTATCAGCCAACACCTTGCTGCAGCTATGGCAGACGATCTCGAGGATCTTCTTGGTCTTCTTCAGGAAACCAGGGTGGAAGACGGGCGTGGCCAGCTCGATGTGGCCGAAATGACCGGGGCATTCGGACATGCTCTCAGTGCATGTCTTGCACTTGAATTGCCTATCGACAGAGCCAAGGCGAGGGTCATTGAGACCTTCTTGTCGTGGTTTCGTTCTGGTCTCGTCCATGGTCTCGGGATACTGAATGTGCGCCACACTCATATTCTTGATCTCCTCAGGAGACATGACTCCAAACTGTATCTCTTGAATTGTCTTGAGGGGCGCACTAGAGTGCGCAAAATAAAGATTGGCCATCTTACGTGATGGGCCCAGGTGGGCTGGGCTGGGCGTGTCGGGAGTGCGACGGTGTGGATGTGACTGATTAGGGATCGTGGTCCAAACTTGTAATCGAGGCGAGGACGTGGTCGGTCGCCTGCGGTTCTGGCGCTAAAAGACAAAACGACGCAGACAGAATAGAATCAGAAGGAGATGCTTGACAAAGGCTTTTGACGATAGCAAGGTTGGCGCAACGATGTGTCGATGGACGGGATGGGGGGTTGTCCTCCGCGCTCTCAAACCTGGCCGGCCAAGGCCCCCAAGGAGCGACTCGTCGGTCGTGCCACCTCAGATTCAGTCGCTATCGCTGGGTGAAGGCAGAAAATCAATTTTGACGATGGTCTCGTTCAGATGCGGTATGGGATCGGCCACAGGATGGTGATGCGTGGTCTCCGACGCGTGCTGGCAAGAGGTTGTGATGAGGTTGGCAAATGGCTAGGCAGTTGAGGCGACTCTGGAAAATCCAGAGGAGTGATCTAGCCCGGCGCTGGACGTGAGAGGCCTGTGCACTGCACTAACTACACGCGGCGGCAAAGAGTGGGTCCTTGCAATACCTCAATGTTGGGGGTGGCAGGAGACTTGGAGGTACTCCGTAGTGTACCTACCTACCTAGGTACCTAGGTACATCCCTAGGTAGGGATGTACTGGCAGAAGAACCCCCCCTGAGGGGTTCTAGCTCACTAGGGGTACACTAAAGTTCACTAGGGGTACAAAATCTGGCTAGGGGTACAGAATCTCAAAACCTCATGGGAGGCACAAACCACCGAGAGCCGCTCTTGCTGAGCAGAAGGGCTGGCTGGGGCGAAGGGGGCGAGCCCCGGAGCGCGAAGCATAGCGGAGGGCCGCGAGTAGGGCCGGTAGGCACGACCCGAGTTCCCAGAGGACCAACCCGCCCTGTTTGTGTTCCTCAAGAATCTCGAAGCGGCTATCGGTCTCTCGTGAAGTTTTAAAATTTTGTACCCCTAGTAAGGTTTTGTACCCCTAGTGAGCTTTAGTGTACCCCTAGTGAGCACTATGCCCCCCCCTGAGGAGCTTCAAGCGACCATGTGGCAGCGGCCCCATGCAACGTATCTTGGACAACAGCTGCCCCCAAATGTGCGACTGCCTTCCGGTTGCGATTTTTGGCCCGTCGTACTCGCTCACCCCTTTGCTGGCTGACGCTTACTTTCGAGTTCATACTCTGGCACTCGGGTACTTCACCCACCCACTGCAGAGCAGAGCCTGTACGTGGCAGAATACGGGGTTGTGCTACCGTAGTTGGCAGGTCCCACATGCCAGCGGCACCTCTCACTGGTTAGATATCGGGGGCTGTATAGTATGCCAGCGTTGTAGTATGTCATAGAACACAAATTACCTCTTTCTGGCTCTTCCTCTGTTGCCTGTCTTTTTGCCTGACTTTTCCTCTGCCCCTGTCGCCTCTCCGCTCGCGTCCGCGCCGTCCCCAGGACTTCTCCGTCTGACGGTCCCTGTTGACACAGCAACGAATTCTTCCTCACTGTCCGAGTCTCCTAGATTGAAAAGAATCGGCATCTCAAACCCACCCGGATGATCGCCAACACCTACCAATCCAATGGTCATGACGTCAACATCCCCATCTTCCTGATCCAGCTTGCGCTTCTTGATCTCCTCCTGGGGGTGGATGTCAAACTCGTCCTCCCTTTCCATGTACTCGACATTCTCCTCCACCTCGACAAAATCCGGCGCCAAGGCTGACCAGCGCTGTGGGCTCGTCACACTCCAGATGTTGATACGGCCAGTCTCTAGTCCACATGCTGCCAGTAAGGCCTTGGAAGGGTGCCATTCTATGACGCCCTGCTCTTCTTTGGGCCCCTCAAGCATCCGCACGAGGCTCCCGTGCCCACGCTCCCAGATGTATAGCTCGTGGTTGTTGTACGTGGAGGCCACCACGTACTCTCCTGTGCAGCTGAAGGTGACGTGGTTCCAGGAGCAGCGATTCACCACATCCTCAAACTTGTGCTCGATAGGCAGCTGGATCGTATCGGAGTCGAGATCCTCTGCTGAGAGGTCGGGTAGGTGAAACGTCTTGATGACCTTGTCCTGGCCATTTACGAGCAGCCCCCGCCCTGACCGCGTCAGCTTGAGCGTTGTGACTACACCGCTGCACACCTTGAGTTGTGTGTATATTATCTCGTGGGTTCGCGCGTCGATGATGTTCAGATTGCCCTTGCTCGTGCCCGCGAGAATGTGGTCGCCGGACTTGGTGTAGATCGTCACTGTGGTCATATGCCTCGCGTCATCCTTCTTCTGGCGTGCTCTCTTCTCTGCGTCTTCTTCGACCTTGACGCGCCTGGGTGCTGTTGCTAGGACGTGTTTCTGTGCAACGGGCTCAGATATGTCGACAAGGAGTGGTTGCTCTTCGTAGAGGGAAACGACAAACTGAAGGCTGGGGCCGGTCAGTGCTGGCTGGCTCGTGGGGTCACCCGAGATGGTGGGTGTACTGACTGGTTCAAAGGGTGAAGCTCTGCAATGTACACGGGTGCCTTAAATCGGACCTGGCGGTGAGGTTTCCCATCCTTGAGATCCCATAGTACTGCCTTCCACCCCTGGCACGCGGACAACAGGTATCGCCCACACCGGGACCAACTCAGGGAAGAAATGCTCTTTGAATGGCCCCGGAGCTTGCGAGCGACACCCATGGTGTCCAGGTCCCATATTACGACAGTACCATCAACGCGGCCTGAGGCGAGATAATCGCCCTTGTGGTTGAAGCGCAGACATGTCGCATGGCCGGATCGGATGGTGTTGGTGATGTTTTCGGGGTAGTCCTGGAGGAGATAGTCGTCTGAGAGCAACAGATTCATCTCTGGCGAATTTTATGCCCCGTGTGTAGGCTTAAGAGCTGCAGCCGGTTGCCTTGGCCCAAGGGCGACCCTGAGACATGGACGTGACGGTGTTTTGTGGTGCACTTGGTCGGGCTGGTCCCGATCTGCAAGGCTGAGAATAGCTGGGGTGGTCGATCATCTCTGGCTGGCTGGCGGCTGGCTGGAAATTTTGGGAGTGACGCTATGATGCAAGGGTCGGGCCCCAGACCCATTGGCGCGGCGGGGAGTCGTCAGGGATCCAGCTGCCAGCTGCCACATGCCGCGTGGGGGGCCCGCTTCATCCCAAAAACCCGGAGCCGGTGCTGGCACCGCACGGTCATACACTAGGATTGAGCATTTGAGCATTTGTTCTGTTGGTGCGGACCGCTCTACCCAGCCTACCTAGGTAGCAAGGAGATACTGGAAGAGATCCATTGCTCTTCTGAACTCATGCAAGTACTTAAAGTACACGGCCACAACTTCCCAAGCCCCTGCTGAACGCAAATCTGCGATTCTTTTCTCTTCTTCCCTCCTTTTCCAAGAGAAGCACAACCACCGAGGCAATAGAAATGGCAAATTCAAAGTGCGCTCTATCTCATCTTGAGCTCGAAGTTGTAAACATGACTCACCGCCGTGCAGATGGGAGTATGTCAAGCAGTTTGAACAGCCAGACCACCTGCTGCCCAACACTTGGATTGTGGTGAGGATAGACGGTCGTGGGTTCACCAAGTAAGCCAGCGAGCCGGCAGAATTTCAGCCACCGCTCCGTATGCCGAGCCACACACACAAACTGACAGTCGCCAGGTTTGCGAGCAAGTATTCGTGGGAAAAGCCCAACGACAAAAGGGCTTTGGACCTCATGAACGACGCTGCCAAGGCAGTGGTGACTGAGATGCCAGACCTGGTCGTCGCGTATGGCATCAGTGACGAGTACAGCTTTGTCTTGCACAAGACTTGCTCGCTGTTCGAGAGACGAGAGAGGTGAGCCCGAGCCGAGCCGAGCCTGCGCCCGCACCTGCTGAGCAAACCCGCGCGGAGCCAACGTCCTATTGACAAGTATAAGCAAGCTGGTGACCACTATTGTGTCGACATTTACATCTTACTACATCTACCTCTGGTCCCAGTACTTCCCCGACCGGCCGCTGTCGCCTCCTCTCCCCAGCTTTGACGGCAGGGCAGTCTGCTACCCCTCCGTGCCGAACCTGCGGGACTACATGAGCTGGCGACAAGCCGACTGCCACATCAACAACCTCTACAACACAGCCTTCTGGTCCCTGGTCCTTCGAGGGGGGATGGACAGCCAGCAAGCGGAGAAGGCACTTGCGGGGACAGTGTCCGGGGACAAGAATGAGCTGTTGTTCTCCAGATTCGGGATCAATTACAACAACGAGCCGGAGATTTACAGGAAGGGCAGCGTCATGTTCAGGGAGTACGAGCTGGCTGAGCCCGGGAGCCACAACGCAGCTGCGGAGGCAGAAAGCACCGCCGAGCCGGCTCAGCTGTCCAAAAGCCAATCCGAGAGGGAGAAAAAGAAGCGTGCCAAGGCCAAGGTTGTAATTGAACACCTGGATATCATCAAAGATGAGTTCTGGGATCGGCGGCCCTGGATTCTCTCTAACAAGCCCGGGAAGACACGGTCGCAGGTGACGAGGGAAGCAGTATCGTCGATCGGGGGTCTGCCGTGATCGAGGATCAAGCAGCTCATCTTGGGAAAGCCCAGCGTGGCCGCCGGCTATCCATGCCCGTCCACCTTCTGCCCACGTAGACAGGTAGCATGGGACTGTAGTGATATAGAACAAGAAAAGAGAGGCAGCCACAGATTTTGAGCGGGTGGGTTCGGCCCGGCAATCCTGCTTGTTCACTTGGAGCAGCAAGACAAGATAAGACTGACGAACCAGGATGTGGGCGTCGGGGTTGAAGCGTGGGTGATAGGGCCGAGTGAGAGCCGCTTGCCTATAGGGCCTGAGCGATGTGACCACTTGGGGTGAATTGAGACGTGGCATCATGAGCTTCCAGCGGCCGGTTTGAGCCACTCAAGAGAGGAACAGATAGAACATGGTGGATGGCAAACGAACAACCAGTGGGCCGCTGGAGTCCGGCTCATTCGGCCCCCCGGATTGCGTGCATGCACTACTACCTACCTAGGTACCTGGGTACCTACCCACCTGGGCAGGTAGGTACTGTGTAGGCCAAGGGGCTGGCCTCATCTATCTCGAGTCACTCCGGCTTGTAATATGAGCAGACCTGGTCTGCCCCAAGCAATGCCTGCCACCCGTGCGTGGCCAGGCAGCGCAACTCTCGGTAGTACTGTATTCCTCCAGCCTTTCCTTCCACGCCCTGCCGACCCGTCTTCGCATCCTCGCATCCTCACATCACTTCGTCTTTTCATCAATTGATGTCCCAAGAGGTCACCAGGCCTGTTGCACGTATCTTCGCGACTGCAGCTACCTCTTTATCCCTCAATCTTGGTCTGCCGCACACACCGGTCCCATTCCTGCTGCTGGCCCCATCCACACAGTCCTGATCCTGCTCGCAGGCTGCTACCCCGCGAGGCAACGGAGCCCACGACGTCACGACAGCCATCCGTTCGTAACACCACCCGCGCGCCCCTCAACTTTCCCCAAGGTCCCAGCACGCACTGCCGCAGGCAAAATGTCCGACAAGGCGGAGGAGCCCACTTCCGCTGAGGCTCAGATCACTTTCAAGGTGAAGGCCTCGGGCGACAAGAACCATCAGATCACCATGGCCGAGGCAGCCACTGTTGGCGAGCTCAAGACCAAGCTTGCCACTGAGCAGTATGAGAACATCCCCGTCGAGCGACAGCGCCTGATCTACTCGGGACGCGTCATGAAGAACGAGGATACCTTGGCCTCATACAAGGTCAAGCCAGGCAATACCATACACCTCGTCAAGAGCGCCGCCAGCAATCCTGCCCCTGCCCCGAGCGCATCCTCGTCCTCACCCGTTCCTCAGGCCGTGCCAAGCAACATGGCAGCTGGCACCTCTGCCAACAACCTCCTGGCCGGCCTGACCGGAGCTCGCTTTGCCGGCCATGCCAACCTGCCCAGCGCCAACATGTTTGGTGCTGATGGAGGTGTAAGGATCACGCCCTCTGCCCTTCTGACCATCCCAGCCAACCGTTGCCAGCCTCATACTGACCGACCCCTCCCGCCAGATGGGCGCACCCCCGAGTGAGGACCAGATGGCAGACATGCTCTCCAACCCCAACGTCGCCCAAGCCATGAACGAGGCCCTGAACAACCCTCAGTTGGTCGACGTCATGATACAGTCGAACCCCATGCTGCGAGACAACCCAAACGCCCGCGAGATCATCCAGTCGCCCTTCTTCCGCAACATGCTCACCAACCCCGATATGCTACGGACAGTCGCCCAGATGCGGCGGTCCATGGGCGGTGGCGCTGGCGGTGAAGCCTTCCCAGCCCCTGGCGCCACAGACACGACCCCGGCCGATTCCGCCGGTGCCGGCGCCGGCACCGGTTCAGGTGGAGCAAACAACGCACAAGCCTCGCAGTTTCCCTTCATGATGCCGGGATTATTTGGCGGGCCCGGTGCGGGTACGGCCGGAGGTTTTGGTGGTGCGGGGAGCCAAGGCGCCAACCCGTTCGCTGCGCTTTTCAACCCCTTCGGCGCGGCGGCTCCGGCGGCTCCCCAGACCGGCGCCGGGGCTGCTGGTGCTCCTGGTACTACCAATACCACGCAGACGTCCTCCGGCGACAACTCTGCTCAGCGGGGTGCCTCTGGTGGAGACACTGGCTCGGCACAGCCTAGGGAACCCGGCAACAACTCGCAACCGCCAAATCCGTTCGCCGGACTGTTCGGCGGCCCACAGGGAGGCGCTGCGAACCCCTTTGGGATGACGCCCGAGATGATGCAGAACTTTGCGCAAATGATGAGAGGTGCACCTCAGGGAGGTGCTACGAACCCCTTTGGGATGACGCCCGAGATGATGCAGAACGTGGTGCAGAACCTCATGGGCGGTGCGGCTGAGCCTGCCGCCCCAGCCGACACACGACCACCTGAGGAGCGCTACGCTGAGCAGCTCAGCCAGTTGAACGAGATGGGGTTCTACGATTTTGACCAGAACGTGGCAGCGCTGCGCCGCAGCGGTGGTAATGTGCAAGGCGCGGTCAACTTCCTGCTAGGGGGGTAAACATTGACCACTGGATGAGCTTGATCCGGACAGCTCTTGGTTGTGGGTGCGTCTCTGCGAAGCATTGTGCTGGATGTGGCGAGGATGGGAGTTCAGGAGTCTTATGTTGCGGGTAGTCGAGCAATACGTTATCAGGACATGGGGCCTAGGAACTGATAAGGAACCCAGGCCCCGATCCTCCAAGCCCCGCGAACGGCACTGTCCTTGGTGTCTTGCAACATTGTATAATGCCAAAATGCCAATGTGGGATGCCAGAGTGCGGGGCACCAAGGCCGTAGATCTAGCTTCCCGATGTCGAGAGTGCTACAGCGGGAACTGCGACGTCGACGAAGGTGAACGTAGGTGAGTGGAGGTTCAGGGTCTAACCCTACACATGGTAGACTAAGAGTAGGGCCTGTCATCCCGCCATTAGTTTTCTACCTTGCCGCTCCTCTCTGCTGCAATCAATTGGATCCTCGAAGACGCGGTGATTGTCTCCTCTCTTGGGGGATTCACAGGGCAGACCCTGCGCGTACTTACGAGTGGCACGTGAAGATGAGACTACCAGCTCGTTCGTGACCGACCTCGATATGTTCAAGAGCAGGGGCAAACAGGCAAGATGATACAGGGTATCTTCTACGCACGGTTCTTCCCTCAGGAAGGTCAGTAAGACGGCATCCTTAACACCAATTCGAGTGATCCATGATTGCTCCAGTGGATTTTTTAGACAGCGGTTGGGCTGAGACGCGTGCCAGGAACCAAGATCGTTGCTCAGTCGCCCCCGGGCTGCATCGTGCCGGAGGGAGCGGGGCCTCAGAGGAAGCCTTGCCTATTCGATTTCGACGTAATGCAAGAGTACATTATCCCGCGCAAGGCGTTCTTCAACCGCTTTGTCGCCGTCAATGAGCCCGAGGGCAAGTACACGGTGCTGGGGCTGCCGGTGGCCATCGCCCACCCCAAGTACCAGCGCAATGAGTTCATCTTCAACTTTGGCCTTGTAGTTGTCAGTCTGCCTTCTCCCCCCCTGCCCCCGGCCCCATTCCCAGTCCGTCCCCGGTCGCCGTGGTCACTGAGCTCCTGAGCGGGGATGGGCACAGGCTACAGCCCCTTTCTGACCTGAAATGAGCATGCTGTCCATAGGAGAGCGATGTCGACCAGATCCCCTATGAGAGGGTCGTGCGGCGGATCGCAGTCACGTTCGCCGAGATGGAGAAGCAGAACGAGTATCTGAGCCGCGACCAGAGTGGGAGCAACGATGGAGGAAGGAGGCCGATTGGGAGCCTGCTGGAGATCATCAAGGAGGATCTGAACAATTACGGCGAGTGCATGATCCCAGTGGGTATGGCCTTCCCCCCGCATTCCTGCCCTCGCCTAGCACCATGTCATACCCTACTGACACCTGGTGCGCGTAGACGACGCCAACACCATCAACATGAAGCTATTCCCACACCATCGGCCTCCTCCAGAGGTCAAGGGCTGGCACGTCCCAGTTGCCAAGATGAAGTTCAGCGACGTGGTCGACCCAACTTGGGACTTGACGCTCCAGAAAGTCATCACCCACATCGACGGCGTGAGTGACGTCCGCCGCGTCGCCTTCAACGCCGACGTGAGCCTGGAACTCACCAAGATCGCACTCCGCCACCTCCTGTACTATGACACCATCCTGCTGCTGGACATGTTCTTCTTCAGCTCCTGTTACGCCCCGAGGCCCGGCATCCACGACTTCGTGGCCGACATGAGCGCCAACGACGGCTACTACACGACCACCGCAGACTCGGCCACGATCATGGATGGTCCCGGCGGAGCGGACGGCCCTGTGGCAGCCGGCGGGCCCGCAGTGGGCGGCACTATCGGCGGCGGCATCGTCGACGAGTGTGCCAACTATGTCTGCATCATGTCCTCAGGCCAGCGTGTCTCTGATTACCAACTCATCAAGCTCATGACGTCGTTCTGTGTCGGCCGGACGGTGGGCGAGTGGCTGCGCCTGCACATGGACGCCGGGCTTGACGTCCTGCGCCACGTCGACGTGCGGCGGCTGGTCCAGTTCGGGGTCATTAAGGGCTTGCTCTACAGGGTGCACAAATATGTCGTCTCCAAACAGTACCTTGCGGCCCTTGCTACGGGACAGAGTCGGCCCCTGGCCGCGCGGGATGGCCGGGCCGCCGGGGATCCGTTGCAGAGATATATGGACGGGTGCCACAATTTCGACCAGGTCATCACAGAGCAGAACGTGACGGATAAGGAGATCATGGAGAGGCTGAAAAGCTTCCCCGGTCCTACGGGAGATCTGACAGTGCTGTACCGTTGAAGGAAGAGGGGGTTGTGGGTGATCTTTTTTTTTTTTCCTTCCTTTTTTTCCTTTTTTTTTTGGAGAGGGGGGGGGAGTGTGTGTGTGGTTGTCTTACACAATGTTGTCTAGTCTAGTCTGTGATAATGTACATGCCGACAGACTGCAAGCGGCGGCCAACAATTCCACATACATGTGAGCCGCCCTGGCGATGTGCCTGGCTGCCCGGGTCCTCCTCCGCTGCGGATTTGTGGTACGATGTACAGTCGTGACGCTGAACACGGAACCGGCCCTCGCGTCTCCGTAGCTCACCATTCGAATTCATCGCTCAGTTTCCTTACCCTTGCCGGCGACTTGTCCCGACTAGTTCCCCGTCTGCTTCGAGTCTTCCTCATTACCTGCTCGAGTTTCTCCAGCTGGTATCGTGATGTTGGCATGAAGACCTGTGACGCGATCAAAGGGTTTGTCTGATAAAGCTTACCTTCTGCACTGTCCTCACTTTCCACGAGCCCAGCGACTTCAGCATCTTCACTCCCCGTTTTGGCCATGCCATTAAGTCGCTGCATAGCTTTGCGAAATTTACCGGTATGAGGTTGGCCCGGATACTCCAGACCCAGTCTATCCCATTCCTCGTCGGCTATGAATTCGATGCAGCGGATATTGTGCTTGCCCTTGCGTAAGAGAAGAATTTGATCTTCAACGAGGAAATTCTTGTTCTGTTCGATATCCCACGTCTTGGCGGGGGTGAATTGCAACTGGTCATATCTCATGCCCACGTTGCTGGTGCCTTTCTGGCCCGGAGAACCGCCGATATACAAGCCCCCATTCTTGATGATCCTGTCGGCATCGGAAACACTCTGTGCGAGACCTGCCGCGCGGGCAATTCGTGCGAGTGAGAGCCCAAGGACATGCCGCGGCAGCTTCACGTCTATCCGGGGCCTGTTACTATGATTTGTCTGTTCAGGATCTACCGCGTACTGCGAAGGGTCTTGGGCCAAGCCCTCAGGAGCCTGCGGCGACAGATTGCCGCCATAGATGGCTTGATGCTGTGCCTGGGTCTCCCTCGCGACCTTGTGCCCGTGAACCAGCCAGACGACCTCGTAAGCCAAGAGGTGTTGGGCAACTCGCTTTGGCGGATTGGCTTGGTGCTCGTGCATCACCTCTGTTATCTTGCTAAGAGGGTGGAATGTGAAGAGCTTCAGGAGACTTTCCACTTGGTCGTCTCGGCGCCTGACCAGGTAGCCGTAAAGGTCATATGGCGTGGTCTTGAAAGGGTCGAGCCAGAGGGCATTGCCAGCACTCTTTCCAAATTTGACTCCGGAGGAGTCGGTAAGGAGCGGCACTGTGAAACCGATGGGCTGGTCAAATTCGCCGTTGGGAAGCCTTTCAGCCTCAGCGGGTTCGTTTTCGACACAAGCTTTGACACAGGCGGAGCCTGTGAGAATGTTCCCATACTGATCTGAGCCCCCAATCTGCATCTGGACGCCCTGCTGCTTGAGCAGCTCGTACCAATCCCAGGCTTGCATCATCGGGTAACAGAACTCGGCAAACGACATCCCCGAGCCGTCTTGCAGCCGATTCTTCACGCTGTCGCGTGACAGCAAGGGTCCCATCCTCATCTGGGTTCCCAAGCGTTTCATCACGTCTATCATCGGCAGCTTGAGCCACCAGGCATTGTTGTTGACGATGCCACGACGCCAAGCCCAATTTTTCTCGAATCCAAACCTCGCCGCTGCCATTTCGACATGCTTCCATATCGTGACAAGTTGGTAATGGATAGTCGCGAGGTTCTGGATGAGATCTTTCCTTGCCAACTGCGGACGGCTGTCGGTCCTGCCTGTGGGATCTCCTACTCGAGCGGTTGTGCCTCCGATGAGAGTGAAAGCACCGTAGCCGTGCATGTACATCCAGAATAGCGGCATAAATGGCAAGAGGTGGCCAAGATGGAGGGAGCTGGCGGTAGGGTCCACGCCCGCGTAGGCACTAATTCGTTTCCGTCTCATTGTCTCACGTATATGGTCGTTGGTGCTGTCCTCGTCAGATGGGAACGGGGGCGAGGTGCTGACTGATCTAGCAAGCCGTGCGCGGTGCTTACCTACCCTACAACGTCCTTAACGAAACCTCTGTCCTGGAGCTCGTCGAAAAGGTGCTTCCTTGTGCCCGCCTTTATCTCCTTTGCCTGATCTTGCCAGGCCTTCTCGGCATCCTTTTTCTTTTGGAGATACTTCAGGCCGATCCATCTTCTCTGGAGCCGTAGCGGTGGTAAAGGCCTTGATATGAAGCCTGAAGCCAACCTCAGATTCGAGTCCATGCCCGTGGCCTTGGCCACGGCGCGGGCCGGGGACGTTGTCGACGAGCGGATCATTGGAACCGTCATTAGTCAGGACCAGTGTGGCCTACGGCTTCGAGAAGCGAGAAGAGGCTTCCCAGAGGAAGAGTCGGGTTCGACTGATCAGTCCATGAAAAGAATGGCCCTGGGTGGGTTTGAGCCGTGTTGGGTACCCAGTGCGTGGCTGCGCTGCTGCTGCTTGCTTTGCTGCTCCAGAAATTTCTGGCAAGGAAGCCTTATCGACAAGAACTAGGCGGGTCGGCCGGCAGGCAGACCACCCGGCCTAGGGATGAGTTCACACTGTGTAGAATGCCGCAGAGGCACACGCTATCCTTGAGCCAATGGCAGCGCTGCTGATTGTAAAAAGCACTTGAGCACTTCGGGAGGCTGAGGGCCAAGTCGGCTTCGCCTCGGCTATTTGGTAGTGACATCCTGCACGCTCCAGACTTGGACCCGACACCTCGACTTTGCGCCCTCCTCAGCCGACGCAACGACACCCAAACTGAGCCCACACCCTCCGTCATCAACCGTGATTGTGACGCGCCGAACGGCCTGAGCGAAGATGGCATCCACTGCTCGTCCGGCCCTGCTGCGGCAGACCGCTGCTGCCTCGAGGTCGATGGCACCTTCGACCCGGGCTGGCCCGTCGATGCTCTCCCAGTCCCTGCTGGGGCCAAGCAGACAGTCCTCGCCCACGAGGCTCAGCATCCCCCAAGCCATGGCTTTCCACGCGAGCAGCCGCAGGAATCTGCTCCCCCCAGGCCCCCGTATGTCTGCTCGCCCACCACTCTTGTAAATCTGCCACTAACCGTGCTTGGTAGAGGTGATCCACGGCAGCGTCAACGAGCCAGCTCCCGTCCCAGAGCCATCTCCGTCCCACGGCCACTACCACTGGACCTTTGAGCGAGCCATGGCTGCCGCCCTCGTGCCGCTCTCAATCGCGCCCTTCGCCGCCGGCTCCTTAAACCCCACCCTTGACGCCTTGCTCGCCACTACCTTGCTTGTCCACTCGCACATGGGTGTCCAGGCCATCATCGTCGACTACGTCCCGAAGAAGAGATACGCCAACTTGCGCAGAGCCAGCCACTGGCTTCTGAACGCAGCAACCATCCTGGCTGGTATAGGTCTGTACGAGTTCGAGACGACAGACGTTGGCTTGGTCGAGGCTACGAAGAGGCTTTGGCGCGCATGAAGGAGGCGACTGGTCGGATAAGAATGATCGTAGAGTTCCGGTTAGCAGGGCTCGCGGCGGTTTATCGCGAGCACATGGGCGTGTGTTCTTGTTGTACAAAAGCAGACGCAATCCGGCCTCGTTATCAAATCGAGGAACACGTCTTCAACTCTTGTTCCCCTGCGTACCTGGCCTCTGTGAGCAAGTGGCCGGCCCAGTCTAGCCCTTGAAATGACACGGCACCGTGTGGGCGTCGTTTTCTTTTCTATTTCTCGAGCTTGGCCAACTCAACCTGCTTCAGCGCCTCGACAGATTTGCAGGCCAACGCCGGCACCCCACAACAGCTTGTGCGTTCCCAATGCTTGCTCCCGACTCGGTTGGTGATGCGATGTTATTCTCAAGTGTTGGTAATGTAGCGGGCTACAGGTCGGCCCAATACCCCGCACAACTGGGCTCGTGCTGTGGGTGAGCACAAGTTCTCACGAAGACTTCTGCAGGGTGGAGGACACTGAGTTAGCTTGGCACAATGCAACATTTGCCATCTCAGCGGAGGACCAGTGTCCCGCCCCCAGTTCCTGTAGGAGGAAACAGTAGGGCCCATCTATGTGTCGATGCCTCTTTATGCTTGCCCCCATCTGGGACGGTCAGGAGCGATACTGCATTCACATCTTTGACTGTCATTTCGCCACGTCGAGACTGGTTCGCCGGCTTATATGCCAGATACGGGGACTCTACAGTGGCTTATCATGCTTGTGAAACGACGAGTGGCCTGTTACAGTTCAAATGTTGTTGTTTACTATGTGCTCTGAAAATACGCTTGCATACAAAATATCGCTGTCCGAGGATGGCGGCCCGTCACGGTCCCCGATTAAGACCCAGGTTCAAGCACTTGGCGTGGCGTCTGCTGATATCTCTGCCTGGCCGCGTCCAAGCTTCCGGGGTTGATTCCCAGCGTGCAAGTCAAAAGCCTAAAGATACGAGGCCTCGACGAGGAAACCAACAGTGAACTTGGTGTGACGCGCAATTGCATCCCACATTATCGTGTCGTACGACTAAGCAAGATATCAGTATTCTGGTTGCTCTCGACAGCTCCGCTCCCATCGTCTCCAGCCCATTCGGAGACGGAGATGTTTAGGACTCACATCTGAAGCCGAGTGAATAAAAGGACTAGAAGTTGACATGACCTCGTCACACACGTATGCAGAAGCTACATCGCATAATGAACTTAGCAGGAGGGATTCTCACTCGTAGAGTTGTTGTCGGGCGTGGGGTGAGGGACGTACGAAACCCGTTAGAGTAAGCCGAGTGGTGATCCGAGCAGCCATACCCGCAAGCATCAGCCGACGTCTTGAGCCCGGTATACTGCTCTGCCACCCTCCTCACGTATGCGGTCAGGCCGGGATCCACATAGTCGGTGTAGATACTGATGACACCACTTGGGCTGTAGCCTGCCATGTCCTGATTCACCATCGCCAAGACCTGCTTGCCGGCGGACTTGTAAGATTTGAATATATCCTTACTGCCCAGCAGGCCACCCTCTTCGCCTGCGTAGAAGTGGAACTCCAGCGTGTCTCGGGGTTGGAAGCCCGCCTCTGCCAGAATCCTCAAAGCCTCAAATATGACGGCCACTCCAGATCCGTTATCATCTACAGCGCTCGGAATCAGCAATCAGAGGACCGAGTAGCTAGTGCCAATCGAGCTCAATCCGGACAGAGCCGCAGTGTGGATATGCCCTGTCTCGAAACCAGCAGCGTGGCAATCGACTTGGGGGACAGGGTACAGATACACGAGGACTCTTGCTATTCAATCTAGGATCCGGAAGTTGCTTACCCGCTCCAGGCCCTCTGGCGGAGCTGCTACCGCCGGTGGAGTCTAGATGGGCTCCCACAATGACAAGAGCGTCGGATGAAGACCCCGGGATCTTCGCAATTACTGACGGCTGATTGAAAGAATGGGAGAACCTGGTGACGCTGATGGCCGGGTTGGCTTCGGAAGCGGATATCACTGTATTCAGTCCCTCATATCAGCGATGAAATTCGTCGCCCGGTGGCATACTTCCGACTGGATATCTCCCCAAGTAAGAGGAGGCCTAGTCATGCCCCTCAGGCCCAAAGGGCCCCGTGATGCGTCGCCCGGAGAACTGACCTTGATTATACAGCCAGTTCGAGGCCTCAGTGCCGTAGGTCGACCTGTAATAGCGGTTGTAGAAACTGGAGAGACGGGTGAGCTTTGGTCGATCGCATTGGTCGTATGAGCCAACGAAGGGGCAAGAGACTACCATACTCGGTCATGGTCCTGAGGAATGTCTTTTGGCTGCTCGCCGAAATTGCTGATATCAAAGCGTTGGCCTCTGTCTGGTGGCTCAGCGTTGAGGGGTACGTGACTGCTGCGGCTTCAAGCGCAGCAGAAGACCGCGAGAGTGTTGACGCAACTTCAAGCTCCTGCTCACGCAGTATGGGCAAGGTCAGCCGATGCTTCGAGGCATCCCGCACCGCAAGCGCCGGGGTTGGGGGGGGGGCTCCAGGGCTTATAACAGCTCGGTTCACCCACGCTCATATCGGTAATATCAACAAAGTTGATGCCTTTGGCCACATATTCCGCGATCTTTTCGTCTTCATGCACCCAAGTGCCAGGGTCAGACTCGGATACCTTGATCAGACGCAGTGCAGCGTCTGCAGTAACCGAGGTATCGGCATGGCTGAACGGGCTCGCGGTCGTGACACCCACCAGAGCTAAGAGAAGCCCGCACATGCGAGCAAGGGAATTCATAATGGCTGGCTACCTAAGTATCCTAGGGTAGCGGTGGTTGACAGAGTATCGGCACGCAGGACAGGTCTCGAGTCGCCACAGATAGTTGACTTGTTCAGGAGCGGGCATGGCCGCCGGCTTGATATATGGCAGCGCCCTCCAACTTAGAACCACATCTCACATCTGCCCACGCCCGTTCTCTCTCCGCGCTGTGTGGTCATCCCCTCCAACCCTTCCGCGCCAGGTGGGATCTAGATAAGAGAGCAAGCAGGTCGACAGGCCCATTTGCGGCAGGCCAGTCTTGGCTCGCAGCCAAGCTCTGTCTATCGGGCGGGGCCGCCTTGCAAGATGGGGAAGGTTCATACAAGCAGACAAGGAAGAGACATTTTCATTTTCCAATGTGACCCAGGCAGGCGGACAATAAAAAAACTGCCATTAGGCTACCCTAGGTATATAACCTACCTAACTTAATTATTAACTTAAATAAATAGTTTATATAAGTAATTATAAAAGAAAAATAATACTTAATTATAGTTTTTAAATTATTATTAATAATAATTTTATATTTAATATTTAATTATATTAATTATATTAATTATTTATATATTATTTAATATTATTATTTCATTAAAATAAATATTTAAAATTTTAAAAATAAAATATAATATATTTTTAAATTTAATTTAATTAAATTTATTACAAATATTTTTTAAATTAAAAGTAAATAATTTAAATATTAAAAATATAATATAATATTTTTTAAAATTAATTTAATTAAATTTATTATATTAAATTTTTATAATAATTTTATAATTCTTTATAATATTATTTATTATTAAAAATACTTTTATATTAATATTTAAATTATATTATTTTAAATTAATATTATTAATTTATTAAAAATAAAATTATTATAAATTATAAACTATTAAATTTAATATTAATAAATATAATATATAAATATTAAATTTATTATATAGTTTAAATTATATATAAGTATAAATTAATTAAATAAATAAAAATAAAATTATTATTTTTTAAAAGTTTTAATTTTATTTTATAAATAAATATTTATTTATTTATTTTATAAAATTATTTAAAATAATATTTAATTTATAATATTATTAAATTATAATATAGTTTTAAATAAAATAATTACATTTAATTATTTTATATAATATTTAAGTTTATATTTTTAATAATTTAATTTATAATTATATAATTATAATAAATATAAAGGGTATAAATAAGTAATTAAATTTTTAATTTAATTATTAAATTAATTAATAGGTTTTAAACTTAAAATTAAAGTTTTTATTTTAATAACTTATAACTTAATTTAAATAATAATTTAATTATACTTTAATTTTAACTTTCCCCTTTTCTATTATAAATAGTAGCTACTTTTAAGATTTATTAACTAGAATATCTTTATTATAAATATTCTAACTATATTAATTTTAATAATAATTAATTAAAATTTAATAATTTATAAATATTATAACTAATTAACTTATTTATAATTATATTTATAATTAGACTACTTTTATAACTATTTATTAATTTATTAAAACTATACTTTTATAACTATTAAATTAAATTAAAATAAATACTTTAATTAGTTTAATCTTTCTTTTTCTCTTTTTTCTTCTCTCTTTTCTCTCTCTTCTTCTCTCTTATAATAATAATATATAAAGCTTACTTAATAACCTTTATTATTTATAATTAAAACCTATTTATTTAAGTAACTCTTATAATATTATTAAAAACTTTATTAAGTATAGTTTTTAATTATATAAAGATTTTAAAAATATTTTTAACTTTATAAATATTTTAAAATAACGTTTTTAAAACTATTTATATTAAATATAATTATTATTATTTAAATAATAATAAAGATTATTATATTTTTAATTATAAAATAAATTACTTTTTTATTTGAAAACTTAATATAAAACTCTATTATATAAATTACTTTCCTTTTATAATATTTAAATAAAAGGATTAATTAATTATTAAATAAAAGAAGTAACTTATAAAAAGTAATTACTTATTTAAACTACTTTAATTAATAACCTTTAATAGTAAAATTAAATACTTTAATAGTAAGTTAATACTTTTAAATTATAAAATACTATTTTAAAATATTAAAAGTATTTTTAAAAGTAATTATAATATTATTTAATAGTATAATTAAATTTTTAAAAGTAATTATAATACTTTTAAAAATAAGTTAAAAGTATACTTTAATTAAAACTATTTTTATATTACTTTTAAGTTAAGCTTTTATTAAATAATTTTATTAAATAACCTTTTAAATTATAAAAGTATAATTAAATCTATTTATTAAAGTTTACTTTATTTAATTAAATATATTTTAATATTTATAATTATTAATAATTATTAATATTTTTATCTTTATTTAAAAATAAATTAATAAAATATCTCTTTTTTATATACTTATTAATATTTCTTTAAACTTATTAAATTTTTAAGTTTATTAATTAAATAAATATTAATTAAGTAACTTATATAATAAAGAAATTTATAAATAAGTTTAAATTTTATATTAATTAAATAATAAATATATTAATTATATAACTTTATAATAAAGCTTTAAAATATATTATTTATATATTTAAAAGAACTATATAAAGTTAAAATATATAAATAATTAAAATAATAATAGTTAAAGTAATTATTAAAGTAATTATTAAAGTAATTATTAAAATAATTATTAAAATAATTATTAAAATAATTATTAAAATAATTATTCAAATAAGTATTAAAGTAATTAATTAAATTATTAATTAGATTATTAATTAAATTATTAATTAATCTATTAAAATAATTATTAAATTAACTTTTATTAAACTAACTATTAAAGTAAAATTAATTAATTAAATAATTAATTAAGTATAAAAAGTAGTAACTTTTATAACTTTAATTATTTAAAAGGTAATAACTTATATATATTTATAAATAGTTAATAACTATTTTTAATTAATAAAAGTTATATAAAAGTAATTAATAAATTAAAGTTTAATTTTATTTATTAAAAGAATTTAAATTTAAATAAATTAAATAATTTATAAATATTAATTTAAAATATTTTTAAAGTATTTAAATTAATTAAATTATAATTATATATTAAATAATAATTCTAAGTAAGTTAATAATTTAATTAAAAATAACTTTATTAATAAATAAAGTCTTTTAATTAATTAAAAATAATAAGAATATTATATTTTCTTTTATTATTTAATATTTATAATAAATATAAAGGGGTATAAATAAGTAATTAGATTTTTAATTTAATTATTAAATTAATTAATAAATTTTAAACTTAAAGTTAAAGTTTTACTTTAATAATTTATAACTTAATTTAAATAATAATTTAATTATATTTAAATTTTAATTTTTTTTTTTATTATAATAATATTTTATATAATAATAAATATATATAATTTTAATTTTATAATATATAAATAAAATTAAAAATATTATATTAATAATAATATTAATTAAAATATTAAAAGAATTATATAATAAAATTAAATTTAAAAATAATTATTATATAAATAAATTATATAAAAGAATTTAAATTTAAATTATTTATAAATATATAAATTTATTTATTTTAATAAAACTTTTATTAAATAAATATTATAATCTTTTAAATATATAATTATTAATCTTTTTAACATATAATTAGAAAATTAAAATTATAATTTTTAATTAATTTTTAATAAATTATTTTATTTTATTATAATATAATTTTATTTTAATATAATATAATTTTATTTTATTTAATTTTATTAGATTTTATAAAAACTTTTATTTTTATAAATATTAATTTTAAATTAAAAGTTTTAAATTTAAATTTAAAGTTTTATAAATTTTAATAAATTTTAAATTAAATTTATAATTTTAATTATTTTAAAATAATATTAATAATAATAATTATAATATAATAAATATTTATAAATTTAATTTTATAAAATATAAATAAAATTAAAAGATATTATTTTAATAATAATATTAATTAAAATATTATAAAACATTATATAATAAAATTAAATTTAAATATAATTATTATATAAATAAATTATTATATAAATAAATTATTATATAAATAAATTATTATATAAATAAATTATATTTAAAAACGTTTTATTAAAAATTATTCTTTTAAATATATATATATATATATATATATAAACTATTTATATTTTTAATTTTATTATTAAATTAAAAGTAAATAATTAAAATTTTAAAAATAAAATATAATATTTTTTAAAATTAATTTAATTAAATTTATTATATAAAACTTTTATAATAATTTTATAATTTATATTTATAATATTATTTATTATTAAAAATATTTTTTTATATTAATATATTAAATTATATTTATTTAAGTTAATATTATTAACTTTAATATAAATTAATTTATTAAAATTAAAGTTATTATAAATTATAAACTATTTAATTTTAATATTATTAAGTATTATATATAAAGTTATTATATAATTTAAATAGGTTAGTTAAAATAAATAAAGATAAAACTATTATTTTTAATTAAAAATATATATAAGTTTTAATTTTATTTAAATAAATATTTATTTAATAAATTTAAAAGATTATTAATTTTATTATATTATAAGTAAAACTATTTAAAAGTAATTATTTAATTAAATTAAAAATAATTAGGTAAAATAATTATACTTTATTATTACTTTAAGTTTATAATTTTAATAGCTTTATAAAAGAAGAAATAATTATTAATAATTAAGTTTATAATTATATAAAAATAGATCTTTATTTTAAAAAAGTTATTAATATTTAAAATAATTAATATATTTTTAAAAAGTTAAAAGATTATAAATTTAATTTAAAATATATTAAGATTTATAAGAATTTTAAATTTAAAATTAAAAATATAAAGCTTTAACTTCTTTAAAGATATTAAAATTAAAAAGTTTAAAAGAAATTTAAATAAAGTTAAAACTAAATAAAATTATAATAATATAATATAATTAAATAAAAACTAATTATAAAATTATAATTATAAACCTTTTAACTTTATATTTAAAAGAAATATAATTATATAATAAAAAAATATACTTAAAATTTTATTATTATTATTATTATTAATATATTTTTTATATATTATATTTTTAATATTTATTATTATATAAAGGTTTTATATATATATAATATATATAAAAACTTAAAATAAAAGTATTTAATTTTATTTTAAGGATCTAAGTATTATCTTAAATGTTAGCTTATTAATGTAGAAAGTCGTGGTATGGGGGTGTTACACCACGGCAGTAGTGAAGCATCCAGTCATGTTCCTCTGCAGTATAAGTCGCCTGCTTATCATAGCATGCACTTTCTCAAGCCAGGCAGGAGCTTCCTCGGCACTCCAGCAAGTGAGAATGTGCATGCCTGGACGGAGAAGTTGGCCTGGTGAGTCCAGGTCGACTACAGCACCAGAACGCACAACCACCCACCGGAGACAACCCTATCTGCAAATTGTCTTGAATCGAACTGCTACGCTTCTTGCGCCGACTCCCACGCCGAGCTCTCCGTAGTCGACTGTATCACGTCCGTGCTTCCACCAGAGATGACTGTGATACGCGCGAGGACAATATTTCCGTCAAAAATCGTAGTGCAACCCAGATATTCCCCGGACGTGATGACGTCGTCTTCAGTACCGGCACACGTGTAAGCGGCAGCCGTAGGGCAGCCCGTGCAGGCAGTCTCTGTCGTCCTGCTTGATATTGCATCGGAAATGGAGCACACAGGCGTGTAGCTGCTGGAGCATAGACTAGGCGACTGGTGCTGCGATGGCAACGCATCGTAGCCACTCGGGAAGCACTTTGTTCTGCTGCCAAGGGGGCCTTGCCTGTAATGGTACCCGCCAATTTCTGACCGAATCAGGTAGAGGCCTGTTGCTGTGGCACATCCGTGTGGCGCTGTGAAGGTGGTGGTGAAGGGGCCGGCGTTGGACACAGTGAGCGTGCTGCAACCGGTCCACTTCGCCGAGTTCTCAGTAAGACATTGTGTGCCGGGGGCCTCGAGGCTCTATCACGCTACCCAGTGGCGAGTAGAAGGGGAGGGTTTGACGGCCGCTGCAGGCCGAGAAATGTAGGCAAAGACGAGCAGGAGCCATGTGACGTGGGAAAGTGGTTAAAAAGTCGTCACACCACATCCCATACCGTGCGTTGGTGGGTACTAGAGATAGTCACTACGACCACCCATATTCCTCTTACTACCTCTAAATTACTATACTATTTCTCTCCCTTTAAGACTATCATTATAATATCCATCTTAATTAGACGATTATAATAGTATATATCACTATACCTAAAAAAAGCCCTAGTAATTTTAAGGATATTTTAAAGGTTAAAAATAGTTATAAAAAAAAGGGAATAATTATAGAGAAAAGGGGGTTACGGGAGTGGAAATAGACTTACTAGGGAGGCTCCTTCCGTCTAAGTAACTATCTCCTAAATCCTTAAGGGTAGGTCTCCTACTTAGACACATTAGCTAGCTAAAAGGGATTCCCTTCCTTCCCCTTCCTATTAAGTCTCCTTTAAGTTAAACACCCTAGGGTGGCTTGCTCTACTTTTAATAGTTCTGCTTTTAAATCTCTAAATGTGGTTGATTTTGACTAATTGACTTAAAGGAGGAAGGTGGAGGAGTTAGTATTGAAGTTGAAGGAAGGAAGGAAGGGGAAGGGGAAGGGGAAGTATTCCTCCTTTCTTTATATAAGGGAAGGTACCTCTGTAACCCTTTTCTCTTCTATAAGTCCTTCTGTGAGTCCATTTCTTCTCTTAACAACTACTTTTCCTCTCTAAGTCTCTTATCATTAAAAGTATATTAAAATACTATTTAACTATTTAAAAGTTAACATTCTCTCCTCTCTAAGTATACCTAAAGTCGGTCTTATAAAAAAGGGATTTCCTAATATATGGGTAGTCACAGTGACCATCTCTAGTACCCACCAACGTACGGTATGGTCACTACAATGTTGACGGGGCCATTCCGCCACGACGGCCAAACCACAAGATGCGGATCAGGATCACACAGGCGGGCCTGTCTAGAATTGGCACACAATTTTGGCCAATGATGACGTTGGATGCCCTGCGCTTCGAGCCGGATCGAAAGGCACGTGTTGGTGGCGAGGCAAGGCAGGGGCTACCTTTGACCTCGCAACGGTAGGATCGAATTATTGGGTCATATGCGATCCCTCCTGGGGGAGAAAATGCTCATTAGGGGCGCAGCACGCTTCTGTGCCAATGTGGCGGCGAGCTGGAATCCCTCCCGAGCTCGGTGCCTCGTCTTCCTTCTCCCACGAAGAGAAGCCATCGACGGCAATCATCAGATACCCCAACCCAGGGGCGACCAGTTGTGCAAGTATGTGAAGACAAACGACGTAAGGAGCGCCACAGCAGCAGGCTGCAGGTTTGCAGATTTGCAAAAAGACACCAGCCCTTGGACCGTGGTGGAGGGCAGCGGGGTGTTCAATTGTCGACTACCACAGTTTTGGGACTTGGCCTCCTTCTCCTACAGCCGGACGACATAGCTTGACCGAGACTGGCCCAGGGCTGGCAGCGAGATTCCGTGTCGGCCGACCTGGGTAATGGCGTACCACTGCATTGAACCAAACGCAGGGCGTTCAACTGGCATGGTCCCCACCAGAAATCATCCTACTTCTCTTCTTTCCGCCATGCTAGGCGCTTATACAATGACAAATGTAGTCTGTATTAGGCAGGTGTCCATGTCGCGTCCTGAGAGGCTATTGATACCCGCTGCACAATCATGCTGGCTGAGCACAGGATATGGCCTGCTTGAAGTACTGTACCGGTTTATGTCCGCACGTCTAAGCCAAGAGTGGTGGGTTTGAAGGGGTGGGACCTGCACAACGCCTGCCGTCGGTACGTCTAGCAGCACAGCGCATGTGCCTGCCTGCCTCTTGCTCCGACTCCAGCCAGGTATTTATTGAAACAACTACCTGGGAACAGATCAGACCTATTGCTGCTTCCCCACGGCCATCAATCTCGAGGGCCCGAGTGCACACGACTATAACTAAGCGGACTCGTCCCAAGGCGCACGCTTGATGGACAAGTTGCCCAAAGGCCTGGCAGGAGGTGATGGGACGACCGAGTGGTGACTGAGTAATGATCCGACGGCTCGACACGGTTGACAAGACGGGTGACCGATGCAGGGGAGACCAGCCATGGCCACTTGCTCCGTCCACCTCCAAAGCATACACAGCCATGTCTACCGACCAAATTGCCTGAGCCCGATTCCTTTTCTGACCTGGACCACTGGTAGGACCAGCAAGGCTGATTTGCGAGGTAGCAATTGGGCTAAATAACAGGTCCCTGTGTTGTAGCACTGTGAACACCACATCCTGATCATGCCTTGCAGGGGCTGGGTTGTATTCGTGAGAGATTCAACTCTGCCTGGTACGGCGCAAGCTAACCCCTCTGCACATCATCGTGGCCTGTGGGAGTGATGTCTCTCTTTCCGAATCGCACACCAATGTCCCGCCTGAAGAACTTTCCAATGTTCTTTAGGTTTTCGTTGATGGTCGCCTTCTCGCCGGGGACTCCGGCAGCGGTAGGTGTCCCGATTCGGTCAGATGCGTCCCGCGCAGCGCTGAGCAGCTTCTCACCCAACGACGCTGCGTCGAAGCGGCCGCCAGGGCCTGCGGCACCACCAAGGGCGGTATTGCCGATGTTCCCTAGGCCAGTGCTGCCAAGCCCGGAGGCGTTCAGCAACGGCGTTATGAGGGACGAACTCTCTGCCAGCTGCTTGTCTGTTCTTGCGACGTCGCGATGAAGGGAAAACAACTCTAATAGGTGAGCCTGGTCTTGCTTGCGCACACCCTTGAGCTCGAGTATCTTCTTGAAGTTGGTATCTGAGCGATCACCAATGTGGATGAGATACGCTTGGACTAGACCTTCGGGTGGCGAGGGCCGTACTTGCAGAGTCTTCAGTAAGGGATCAATGCGTGTCATAACTTGGTTGACACGTTTGATGTATGTAGTCGGTGGCTGGTACGAGTCGCGGGAGGACGACGCGTTGTGGTAACCCAGGAGCTTCTCGAAGTTCTTCGCAAGCGTGTACTTGTCGAGAAGCATCTGCAAAAGTCAGCGCCTGATGGTCTTCATGTACCGAGAATCGTGGATGCATCGCACCTGTTCAGCGCCGCCTTCAGAAATGGGCCGGCAAAGGACAATGTTGTTGATGTATGCAGTCGCCAAGCGCTCAACGAGGTTGTCACAGAACGCCCTCGCGTATTGCTGTTTGGCGACAACAGAAAGAATCTCCTCGGTCTTGGCGTTCACTTGCCGTTGAAGCTCCCCAACATACGAGCTGTGGTCGCCAACGCTTTCCATTTCTCGCCAGTTGGTGTTTCTCATCTCCCTCCAGGCCCCCTCACAACTAGCCTCTACCTTGTGGACCAGGGCTTGGATGGCGGCACTCACGACGCCAAGGAAGGTGTCCGCTTGTGAGGAGAGGTCAATCTTGGCCGTGAACTCAGGGTCCACCCGCTTCTTGATGTTGTCCTCAAGCTGTATTGTGTTTTGGTGCCAGAAATCTGCAGTGTTCAGGACTAGCACGGTGTCCTGGACCGGGGGGCCTTGGGGCCCGCCCCGCTGCAGAAAACCTAGCAGCACCTGCTGTGCATACTCCTCGAGGTACTTGGCGAGAGTCCTGGTTAGGTCGAACAGCCTCTCGCCGGTAGACAACTTTGCACATTGTGACAAGGTCATCTTGTAGAAATGAAACAGCTCGATGGCTGACGGAATAACGGCATTAGGGGAGAATTCCTCATCGGCATCCACCAGAGGCCCGTTCTTGTATTTTGGCACCATGCTCGCCAGTGTTTTGTCCTGGGACTCCACCCATAGACTCAGATATGGCTCAAAAGCCACCGATATGGACCCGTTGAAATTGTTCGTTCGGTCGTCTGACGAGCTCAGTGTGTCTATGCTTGCCCGGGGCAGCTCGTTTGAGAACCGCTTCTCGAGACCCTGCTCGAAATCCATGGTCTCCTGCAGACAGCTCAATAACAAGTTGACATCGACTTTTTGACCGTCAGCTCGTCGCATGCTCTTCTCCAAGATGCCTTTGAAATCCTCCCTGGTGCCATCACAAAACGACATGGCTAACATCTCATTAACTCTCCAGTGTGGGGGGAATATGGTAGCATGCTCCTCTTCGTGTGTCTTGAGCATTCGTTTGAACCAAGCATAGCGGCGGCCAATGTTGTCCAGATTGCCTGCCTCATCGTTGCCGCGGAACACCTGGCGGTACTCTCTCAACTCCGTGTTCACGTACCAGGTGATGAGCCTGCTCTTGGCGGTTTCGCCCAGGGCGTCCATAACCATACAAGCTTCGATGAGTGTGCCTTTTCGCTGGGGAATCTCTGCCTTGGCAAATGCGATCTCGAAATCCTCGCATACCTGCTCCAGCAGCTCCCTCTGCAGGTCAGCGACGTTCCTGCTAAGCACAGCGATCTGCTCGATGCTCCTATAGCTATTGAAGTGCTTCATGAGCTGCAGGACGGCCAGAAGGAGGCCGGCGCACTCGCGGTACTGCCTCGTCCTTGCCAGACCGCGCAGCTGATCGTAAGCGGTGGTCAGCATCTGCAGGCGCTTGAGAGCAGTCATGCTGAGGGTCAGGTTGCGTTTTGTGCCATCGATACGCTTTATCTCGGCTGTCATTGTGGTTATATCGCGTTCAGTCTGTAGGGCGCGACTGCGCACGCCTTCTATCCGCTGGAACAGGCTGGCGAGCTCGGCCTGGGCCGACTGCATGCGCTCGAGGCTAGAGTCGGGCCCCCAGGCCTGAGATGCCTCGAGGGCGCCGATTGCGGAGGAGATGTCATCTCTGTGGATCTTGAGGGTGTTAGAGACACGATCGATCGATGAGACGGCAGCGGAAGGCCGGGAGAAGAGGGCGTTCAGGTGGTCGACCGGATCGTAGTCGACTGCGCACAAGTCAGTATACTTCAGTGTCGGTTTCACATCACGGCCTCTTGCTGGTACCCGCTCTGGTTGTCCATTTCTTCGCGGGCACTGGCAGGAGATGTGCGGCACGACTGACCAGAATCGAGAGAGGACGGTTCCAGTAGGTTGTTCTCGTTGAAGATATTCATGGTTGATGATTTGTCCGGTATGAAGTAGCAGGTACGGCGACGTTGCATGTAGGCGGAACTGAACAGCTCCTCAAGCTCCCTGACCCAGCGCAGGGGTGAAACAGGGATGCCAGGGGCTTAATGCTGGCATTGGCAGCTGAAACAGTGCCGATCTGCCCCAGGTTCCCAGGTACCTACTTAAGTACCTAGGTACCGAGCATGTGTACGGAGTAACAATGTGCCTTGCCCCGCCAGTCTCTGCCTTTGCTGCATTTTGCACCTACTTCCAAGGTTGTTAGGTGCTTTCGTTGCACTGCGCTGCCAAGGGAAACTGGACGGGCAAAGCACCTTCTCCAGCATGGGCCTTTGTATACTGACCTCCTTCCTGGTTTCAACATCTTTCATGGCGAAGCCACCCGAATTCGATCAAATCTCTATTGGGTATCGCTCTATCACCTTGGGAATGCAGAAACGTGAGAAGAAGACAAACAACGAGAAAGCACCATCAAGAAGAGAACAGCCAAAAGAGCCACGACTATACGATGATTCCTGAACACTCCTACTCCTGTTCACCTGTTTCCTTCCGGCTATCCACGCCTGCCCGCACACGTGGCCAACGCCTTGATGTCTATGCCGACCCTCTCTACGCCTCTCCTTGGCAGTTCCCCGAGCTTGGTGCCGTGTCGCAGTGTAGCCTTCCTGGCCCAAGTCCATCGCCTCGCCTGTGCCGGGCACAGTTATCTTGCAAGCATACTAATGCGGCGACTGCCCCTGTTTGTTGCTCATCTCATCGAGAGTGCAAATGATTCAGGTGAGTCTGGAAAGCCGCATTCAACGCCTGTAGGTGTTTCTCTGAAAGTAGTACGTTAGCCTCAGGCAGGCGGCGCGGCCTCACATGTCAACTCACCTGCAATTTTCCATCGTTTTGCAAACACCTCGAGGCAACTGCGAAGCAATTGGACTTTGCTCGGCCATTCTGGGTCGTGCATGACAACATCTCCCAGCCTGATAAGAATCATGGCGCCTAAGAATATACTGTGCGCCATCGGGGGCACCAGGGGCCCCAAGAACGACAGGCTGCCCGATGAGCTCATAAGCCTTGCACTGTGACAGATTGACTCAATGACGGGGAGTGTGGTCTGGATCGCTGCTCTATCCATGGTGTCGTGTGTGTTTCCAGAACTCACGACCCCGAGATGCGGGTGATTAAGCTTGAGAATCGCGCTACCTTTTCTTCAGCACAGCGCCTCTCAAGTTACCGACAGAGACCCTTACGTATAAGTGAGACTCAGAGCGGCAAACCGGCTCGAGTCCTTCCAGGGCGTGGAGACTGGGATAGCGTCAGCAAGAACCGCCTGGCTCAGCAGTGGCTTTCTCCACGGAATGTCGTACCGATGTGACGAGCATGATCCATCATCGCATTTGTCAGGCTCTCTCGGGAGGCCCCGGTCATGCTGGCCTGGCCTGATGTTCTTTGCAGCACCTGAAGGAGCAGGGATGTTGATTTGGCCTCGGGGAAAACAATTGTGTCGATCTTGTCATCCCCATCGTCCGCGAACCTGAACACCTCTCGCTGTGTGGTGCCGCCGTACTGCTGGTTCTGTGCCGAGGGAAGAAATGGGTCGAAGTGTTCTGGAAATGGCACTTGGAAGTCAAGCAACGGGATACTACGCGGGAACCCCAGTTCTTCAGCCTGGATACCGCTTCTTGGAGTCAGCCCGGGATCAGATCGCCTCTGCAATATCAAACGACAGACTGACCTCTCCAGAAACATCATGGCCCACCAGATGATGGAATAGGCCTTCAGCACCCTTGGCCTAACAATCCACTGATCTTGTCTCCAGAAGGATTCATTGAGCCAGCCGAATGCGCGGCTGATAGTTACGCATGACCCCAGTGTCATGTAGGCTTGCTGCGGCATGAAGTGGCAGAGCTCGTACAGGCACACCAGTAGGTTCGCCTGGAGGAGGGGGATAGACATGGGCTCCTTGGCAGCAACAAGGCCACAGAGTGTCTTTATGGAATGGTAGAGGCTGTTTTGCATCGACACCCCGGGTGTATCCTCCGGCGCGCGGACGATCAGGAGCATTGACAGTGCTAACAATCCAGTTTCCGCTGACGGTTCTGTCCACATTTGACCGAACCGCGGCTCGAAACCAGACCTCTCCACGATGGTGAACCACGTGTTGACCGTTCCAAAGTAGTAACGCACGATGCTCTCGGCCGTCAGCTGGTCCCCCATCATCTGCGTTACGCTTCGAAACACGAAATGATGTATGTCCTCTGTCGTGCCGAGCGACGCAAACAAGGATGGGCCGATTGCAGGGCCAAGCTGGTTGCCCAGGAAAGGGTTCAAGGAAAATGCGCCTTGAGCATTAAGACTGGCAAAGGTGTCAAAGCTAGTCTGGGCGGAGGCTTCGATCGGGCGGGAAACCGCTGTGTCATCTTCGTGCTGACAAAACTCGAGGGAACTGTTCCAGGCCGGTGAGCTTTGGTTCGAGGCCTTTTTCGCATCATCGCAGCGAGGGCCAACCTACTAGGTGCATCTACCGCAAGACGGCAACTTCTTGTCACATTTCTTTTTCTTTCGGCGACAATTCAGGCATACTCTCGACGATTTCGCCCCGCCATCAGATGACGGTGATGGGGGGTCGGAGGCTGGATGTTTCAGCGCACCCGAGTTCGATGCTTGCATGTTTGTGTTGGGCGACAGCGCTCGGAGAGAGAGGCCGAGGTACGAGGGGTCGATACTTGATGGCATCGCACATTTGAACGTCCAGCGTTGGCTGGTGGGTTCTATTTGAGTATGGCGACCTCGAGGAAGACATCAGCAGCTGATATAAGTAGTCTTCTTCCCTTGGGGCCACCCCTGTCAACCGCTGCTGCGAATGCCGTCACACGCCTGGATCATACCCAACACCTGGGCTTGCATGCTGATGCAGAACTCAAAGGGCCGCGGTGCTCAGCCCGCCAGTCCAAGTCGACCACCAACCACCAAGAGCGGTCAATCTCTCGTTATCCCAAACAGTCCTCGGATAATCATAGCACTTTCTGCCACATTTCCGCTGTCTTGGAGACTCGTGAGGAGACTGCAACGGTGACGAATAGGGATCAAGACTATTTTGGGTCTCTACGGACATGTCCTATGCTTGGTACAGGCGCCACAAACCAGGAGGCTCCAAAATCTGATGCGTAAGTGCGCTAGGTTGTTTTGCACGCACCTCCCTGGCTGCTGTGGCAGGGCTGAGGACTTCCTTGCTAGCGCGACATCGTCATCTCGCTGTTGGTGTCCGACCCGGGAGACCGCTTTATTGGGGAAAGTCACAGATGCAAGGCATTTATAAGCGCGTCTGTTTCGAGACTCAAGAGTGTGATTCGCCCGGGAGCGAGCGACATGTTGGGTTTCTTGACCGCTCACCACCCGGCATCACTCGACTTTTCGAGGTAGATGCTGCCGTATTCAGCAGCTGCCTCTGCGACCTCTGACTTGTTGAGCACAAGCTGCTCGCCCCGGGGACGTATGGTATAGCACCCTCCTCACGTTGCGCAGGTTGTGTTCTACGGTGTCCGCGGCTGCTGTTGGTTGAGCATATATGCCCCAACCCCTGCAACGCATGGTATGCAATCCTGGTGCGTCGGAAGCCCACCACAAGTTCGGCCCAGAGACTCGGGTCACAAGGTTTGCTAAGATACCGACCGACAGTTGGTCTGGTCTCTTCAACGGCCCTACAGGGCTCGTTCAAGCGCAGGCGTCATCCAGTGGCCGCTTAGCCGCGAGCAGCGCCACCATCGCGCTTCTTTGGCTTCCGAAACGCCAGCTGAGCTTCTGTGCCCACCTTTGCAAGCAACACGCAAGACCTTTTCTTTCACCCGGTATCACAGCCACGCAAGACCTCGATGACGTTGGGTTACCTCAAATTCCTGTGTCGGAAGTGGGGACTGAGAGGGGAATAAGCAGGTCATCAGGCGCCTGGGCACAACTGTCACCCAAACATATCACCAAACAGCCCACCAATGAATCTCACGTCAGCTTCTTCACAAGACCGGCACTGCACAAGGCCTGGTATCTCCAGGCTTCAACGTTTGGAACTCAGGCCCAACCTTGCCATTTACGTTATGGGCAGATTATGTTAAGGACTTGGCGAGGACAAGTCGATGTTCCTTGGAGGCTACGGTGAGGTTCTTGCGCAACCCCTTCCTTCCCCGGGGTCTCTCTCCTCATTCCACTTTGATTCTCAATTATGTTCAACACAGCTAAATTCTATCTCACCGCTCATATCGTCACCTGTGCACTCCCGTTATTAGCCGGTTCAGACGGACGGCGAAGCACAAGGCCGTGCCGGTGGGCTGCAGACGGTGTGAGTGCTCAAGCTCTAGCTCAAGCTCGAGGCCCAGATGTGTAGAGGGCGCAATCTCGCCCATGGGTGGATGGATATGCAGTGCAGGGATGCAGAACACTTATGTTCCGGATATGCAGCCAGCTGCTTGCCTTAGATGCCTTTGATCCAATGGCACGCCGCATCGACAATCGGGATTCCACATTTCGCCTTGCCGCATTGTGGTTGCGTTGCATCGACCGTCGACTGATCAAAGCCCCCCCTCCATGGCAGCATGGGAGGGCCGCGCGATGTTGTAGTTCCACGACAGCTCCGGCATTTGTTTGCTTACCTGGATCCTGCAGAGTGTTTCATCTTTATAGCGTCTTGCACGCTTTGTAGCCTGATTGGAGGTTTGTGGGGTTTCGTGTGCCTCCTGGACATTGCTTACTGCGAGACCTAGGACACCGGTGGCAGCGATGGCGGAAAAGCGCGCTGAACAATGATCATTTCCCGTGGCAACGCGCTACCCCGTGGCTCAGCCGCGGTGTTTGACTCTATTCTCGTTTAACAAGGAGGTGAGCGCAAGTACGACTACGTCCCCCCTTTGCACGTCCTTCGTAGAAACATCCCTGTAACTGTATATATGATCAATACCCGTGGGTACAAGGCTCTGGCTAATCGTCGGGAGTGCTCTTGACTTGAAGTACTCGTCCAGTGAGTGACTTTGTAATTTCGGATCGGATTTGTCATTTTGCAGTCTCGCCGCAAGCAAGCGTGGTCACCAACGTCGCATCCACGAGCACAACACCAGAATCGAATCTATCGGAGCACCACCTGCTCTTCAGAAGAAGACGTCCTATCACCCTCGAACAAGTCCATCTCCCCCTCCTTTCTGGTCGTCATATCACTCGCTCGCTGGCGCATGCTGTCGGCGAGATCACTCAGATCCAAGAGAACCGCTTTCGAGGCTTGTATTTTAAACATCCCGCCCCTGACCTCTTCGAGGATCACATCCCCTTCGGACAATCCCATGGCCTCGTTGACGATGAGCAACGCGTCTGGGTGTCAAGTCAGTGGTCGGCGGCCCAGGCTAAAGCATTGGGACATACGATAAAGAGGCAAGATGTGCGAGCGTGTGGTGTTCGTGTTGTCTCCGCCCAATTCCGGTAGAGTGACGAGCTGGAAAGGGTTGTAGGAAAAGCCACCCCTATGATTAAGGTGCCTACACTCGATGCCCGAGGTAGCTGAATAAAGCAAGTAGTCAAACCACCCAAATGGCACTTTTGGCCGTGTTGCTGAGCCCAGGGACGCCGTGACTTTGAGTTAGCTTTGCGCCGGCTGACCAAAGACAGAACAAGTGCGGTCAGATGGATCGAGGGAATGCCAGCGACGTATTTGGCAAGTGACTTAGCCTCGGTGCGTGAATGATTCACACCGTATGCTTTGGCAGCCTTTGTCTCGCTGCTTTCGGTCGTGAGGTTGCTGTGAATGAATTCCTTATTCAGTAGCACAACTGGCGCAAACTGAAGTGCCAGGCTAAAAGAGCTAGAACCAAGATGGGTACAAAACTGGGCAGTTGCCGAGAGTAGTACGGCCTTGTCCAGGATACCCGTCATAACGGCGCCATCAACACTCCAGCCTGGTGCCACAAATACGATAAAGGGACCTGGTGACAGCCTGGGGCTGGTCTGGCGGTCGTCAAAGCGGATATGGCCCTGGACGTTGTAGGCATATCCTTGCACGTTGCGGAGTGATCTGCTGGACTCCACGACGAGCCATGCGGTCCTGTCACTCGAGTGTTGGGACCATAAAAGTCCGGCTCGTTGCCAATCTCGACATCTGCAGTCCTGACATGCGTAGTCAGGTTTGATCGAGCCCCCCGGAAGGCCTCAGCTCGACGCCGTGCCTGTGCAGGAGTCTCAGACTTGTTGAAGAACTTCAGGCTCAGCCCGCACATGAAAAGAGGTACATGCTGGAAAACTTCTAGACAGGGCATAAACCCGATAAGATTGTCTCGGCCTCAGGCGGTTGGGGGGCCGGGGGGGCGGGCATCTTCACTCGGGTCAGGGAACGTCTCGTTCATGACCTGGACTGAGAGATCAACAGCCGCCCTATCCTGAGGGTTTGCCAAGACAATCACCAGATTCTTGGTTAGTGAACGTGCTGCTGCGAATGCGAGGTATTGGTGACCAATCCGAGTGCGTGTGGTTGGGTCTACAGATTACGAGTGGTGAGAGTAGGGCCCTGAATTCATTGTACAATGTTGAACTCAGCTCCCATCCTAAGACGAGTCACAGCAATAGGAGGAGTCGAAATAATCCTGACAATAATAACACCCTGTGATACCGGCGATGTTTGGAGGGCAGTAGTACAAAAAGACCGAGTTACAATTGCACACTCGGCTGTTCAAGTCCGGTTGCCACGAAGGCGTGATATTGTACAAAACACCACACCTTTTCATCACCCTACTTCCAGCTTTGTGGGCAGAGGAAGCTCCACGAACACCAGTATACAGCGTAAACCTGCCATGACCACTTTCCGGGACAGGAGAGCGTTGTGGGGGCTATGATCACTCTACGTTTCAACTTGAAGCCCTGTGTTTTACACAACAATACAAGACCGCCTGGACACCCTCATGAGGCCGGCAACTTGGGCAGCAAAGTATCATTGTTCATATGGTCAGGCTCTCCATCTCGGGGCCCGCGGCGCCATCCAGGTCCGGCGTCGGCGGTGGCAGGTTCAGGTGCTTGGTCAGAACCCAGCAGCTGGCATACATATTAACACGATCGATGCACACGCCTGGTTCTCTCTTGCCGTGGCATTTTGCCGTGAAACCCTGGCGCTCAAACTCGCTGATGTACCACGGCCTGAGGCCAGAGCTCCTCAGCATGACGCGACCACCCACCCTCAGCGCACGGTTGAGCCTTCGGATCTGGCTCGAGGCGGCATCGGACTCTGGGTCGAACCAGTCCATCGAGTCCATGACAACGGCGACCGTGAGCGTGGCGGGCGTGATGCGGGCGATAACCTCGTCAATCTCGTCCGTGTGGATCCGGAGGCCATCAAACGCGCCAGGGCGCGACAGGCGAGCGTGGGCCTGCGGGGCGAGATACTCGGGGTGGCACCTGCGGCTGAACTTGCCCGCCAGACAGACGTGGTAGTAGGGGTTGTCAGCTGCAATGTGGGTGTCCTCAGCCATGGGGTCCAGCGTGTTAAGCATGTAGTTCCAGACGGCCTGGGAACGGGTGTTCTGGGCGGGCTGGTTGTGCTCACGGCAGAGACGAGCATGGTCTGCCTCGATCATTGCAAGCTGGTTCTTGGGCACCCCCAGGGCAGCCCACAGGAAGGACTCGTGGCTGACTACCAGGCGGTTCACGAGGCTGGACAGGACGACGGGCCGGATTTTGCCACGCCAGGTTTCCCGCTGCTCGTTGAGCGTCTTTGCCGTCAGGATTGTCTCGACGGAGCGACGGAGGCCAAAGATGCGCGCAATCCAGCGCATGGCGCGGATTGCATGCCTTGAGCCGCCCGTGTCGTAGAGCCCGCGGCCACGCTCGCTGGTGAAGATGTGGGCGTTGCTCAACCAGTACTGGAGCGCGCGGCTGGAGAGGTGGGGGGAGAGGCGGGAGAGCAGGAGCTGGCGGAAGCCCAGGTGCCTGCCCTCGCCAAAGAGCTTCCAGAAGTCCTCATAGGGGAGGGAGCTGTAGGAGGCGACCTTGAGCTCGAGGAGATGGCACTGGGCGGGGTTCAGGTCAACGGCGTGGACGCGGGCGGGGCCCTGCATGACATATGACAGGATGTTGTCGCCGGCGCTGCAGATTGCCAGGACGACATCGTCGGACCCGAGGTTGAGGATGCGAGCGTCGGCGCGGGAGTCCTCCCAGGTGAAGGCATAGATGTAGTCGTCGTTGAACTGGGTGTGCTTCGGCAGCGTCTCGTCGTAGTAGATGCGCCAGTGGTGGTGCTGGTAGAAGAAGGCGGGCAGGGGCAGGTTGGACGACAGGTTGGCGGCGGCGGCGTCGAAGGCCTTGGAGCGGATCTCAGGGGCGGCGCTGGCCGGGAGGAGGCGGGGCGATTCTGTCACGAGGGCATCCACGTACTCGACGATCTCGTGGGGCAGGCTCGAGGAGGCCAAGGGCTTCTTGTGGCAGCCCAGCCAGACGTAGTACGGGATGGCACCGAGGGCGTTGTTGCGGGCGTTGGCACTCAGCACGGTGCCGAACCTGTACTCGAGGTAGTCGCGGCGGCCCGGCTCCAGGCCGACCCGGTCAATGTCGAACCAGGCACGCCAGAAGGTGCGGCCAAAGAAGTTGACATGGCGGCCGACAAGACCGCCGGTGTAGTTCCGGAAGCTGACATCGACGCCTGACTGGACGTAGAAGTCAACAACCCCCAGCAGGCCGCCGGGCGACAGGAGTGAAGCCAGGGAGTCGATGACGGAGTAGTAATCCGGAATCATGGACAGGCTGTACGACAACGTGACCAGGTCGGCGCCGGCGTGCCCGTGGCGCTGGAGATCAAAGCGCCTGGCGTCCTCGCAGACGACCTTGACGTTGGCCCAGCCGAGCCTGGCAAAGCGCCTCCGGGCGACGTCACACAACGAAGGGGAGAGGTCGACCAGATACACGGCGGAGAAGAAGTGGGGGACGTCGACAAACGAGGCCATGGCCTCGATGTTCCAACCGGTGCCCCCACCGACCTGCACGGGTCTAGAGGTCAGCACCTGAGCCGCTGGCCACGCGGGGCCCGACCGACGGGGAGGAGGGGAGGAGGAGGAGGAGGGGAGGAATGGTCTCACATCAACCCAGACCCTCTTCTTCTGGCTGCGCGGCCTGTCCCCCCCGGCCCTGGCTCTGAGCTGGGCGGCGGCGAGGGCGAGCATGTCCTCGCGGCCCTTGAGCAGGGCCGACCTGGTGGTGTCATAGATGCCCGCCTGGGCCTTGTAGAAGGACTCCAGGGCATCCTGTTGGCTTCCCTTGCCATCGCCGTCATGCGGCTTCAGGAAACAGCCATAGGCGAAGAGCAACAGCGACCTCATGAGGCCCGGGCTGTCGGGCTCGTGGCGGGTGCCCGCGAGGAGCCTGGACAGCCCGAGGGCGAAGCAGAAGACGCCGGCGATGCCAGCGTAGACCATCTTGTTGTCCAGCCCTGGGGGCAGCACGTTACCACCAAGAGAAGCCATGGTACTCTCTCATTGCAATGCTCGCGGCGGCGAGGCGGGGTGGCTGGTAGGGCAGGAAAGGCGAGCTGGAGAGAGCGCGATGCCATCGCCAACGCCATGGCCATCGGCCAGGCCAGGCCAGAGGCGGTATATATACGTCGCCCATCACGTTCGTTGCCGCGGGCGTGGACGAGGGCCAATCAGCCTCGCGCGCCCGCAGCATGTGTCGAAGCCATTTGTCGGCCCAGGGTCGCTGGGTCGTCAACACTGAGCCCGGCGTAGGCTGAGAGAGACGGAGCTCGGGGCGCCCCCAGTTGCCAATCACAGGCCGGCCTGCGGCCACATGTCTGTGGCTCTGTGCTGCCGTGCCCGGCTCGGCTCCGGCTCGGCTCCGGCCCCGCCCTGGCCCGCCCTGGCCCCCTTAGCGTGCGGCTCCTTGCTGGGGGTGCTTCGCCGATGGACCCAGCCGCCGACCCGCCGTCCCCCTTCCATCACACACGGCTGCCTGCCCACCCACCCACCCACATCGCAGCCATGGCTCCCGCATCGAGCCAGAAGGGCACCGGCAAGAAGGGCGCCGGTGCCATCGCCCGCCAGAGGAGCCGCAACACCACGCCCAGCTCCGTCCCGCCGCCTGCCTCGCTGCCCCCGATCGACGTCAAGCAGACCGAGTACCTCGACCTCAACTACGACTCGTTCCGCAACCTCACCTACGAGGATGTCGTCGACCAGAACGCCATCTCCTCCGGCATGCCCGAGTCGAAAAACCTCGACGGCATGATGTCCCGCCTGCAGCGCCTCCAGGAGACCCTCGAGCGCCGTCACAACTTCTGCGACCGCGGCATGAGGCTGCTGGTGCCGCTGCTCAGGGCCAGGCTGGACGACGTGCGCTCCAGGGAGGAGGAGCGCCTGCGGAGGGAGGCCGCCGAGGACGACGAGCGTGCCCGCAAGGCCAACAAGGCAAACAAGGCAAACAAGAAAAAGAGGAAGGCCACAGACTCGCTTGCACCCCACGACACCAACCTTGGTCAGTTGTCCACCCACCCACCACCCTGTGTGGCCCTGGTTGCACCTTCCCGTCCGCTTCACCTACCTCGACCCTCGACTGCCTGCAGTCCTGCACCTTGCTCGCCCCCTGCCCTCCAAACGCACCCGCTGACCTTCCAGCGCAGAACGGTCATCGCCACTACGCGATTCCAACAAGCCCAGGAAACTGTCGCGCGACAACGACTCCACCTCCTCGTCCTTGTCCCCCGTTGCTCCTGCCACCCCCGGCGGCGGCGCCATGGACGTCGACGACAAGGAGAAGGCCAAGAAGAAGGCCAAGGCCAAGTCCAAGAAGGAACAAGAGTCGTCTGATGATTCCGACTCCAGCTCCGACGACGACGGCGCCCCTCCCCCAAAGGCGATCCCACAGAGCAACATGTTTGGCGACGACCCTTCGACCTTCCCGGACCCCACCGTCTACGAGGTCACCAAGGTTGACTGGAGGAACATGTCGGATGACGAGATCAAGGAGGCAACATCTGTCGCGACCTACCCCAGGACCGACCTGGCCGATCAGATTGCCGGCGTCCCGCCAGACAAGGACTACAGCGTCGCCAAACCCACCAACCAGATATCCTTCTCCACCTTCTCAACCTATGTCGAGCCATACTTCCGCCCTTTTACTGAGGAGGACCTCGCCTTCCTGCGCGAGCGCGGCGACCGCGTGACCCCCTTCGTCATCCCCAAGCGCGGCAAGAAACACTACACACAGATCTGGGCAGAGGAGGACGATCATATGGCCGTTGACCTCCCCGAGAAGCCACAGCCAAACGCGCCGCGCGGGAGCATCGAGCACATGACAGATGACATTGCAGAGTCCGACAAGCTGTCCGTCGGCCCGCTGCTCTCGCGCCTGATGCAAGCCATGAGGCCCGAGAGGCGTGCTGTCGCCAGCGAAGATGGCAGACTCGCCGCCAACGGCGTCAACGGCGAGGCCGGCAGTAGCACCGACCTCTCCATCAACGGCATCGACAGCTTCGACAATGCGGCCCCGCCCGCCCTGCAGCCCAACGGTCAGCCGTCTGAGCGGGAGCTTTCGCCCGCGGCCCACATGCCTGAATCCAATTCAGAGCACTGGAAAAAGGCAACCCATCCCAAGCTGGACTACAACCAGGTTGACGAGCGCATAAAACAGGAGCTTCGGCACATTGGCTTTCTGCCCGCGCCGGCAGATGAGTCGGACCAACCACAACCCGAGGAGTCTCGTGCCGATTACGACGGGGCCTACGACGACGAAGTCGCTGCCCGGCTGCGGCTTCTCCAGAGCCGTCTCCGCGAGCAGATGCTCATCAACGGCGCCCGCAAGGCTAAGCTCTCGGATCTTGTTCGTGAGCGCATGGCCCATCAGGAGTACCAGACCATACTCGAGGACCTGGACAGTCAGGTGCAAGCCGCGTACCTTAAGAGGACCCGCACGATGGGTAAGACTAAGAAGAAGTCTCGACCTGGCGCTGCTGTGCAGGCCGCCTCCGGCGTTGCAAGGCCGGGCATCGGTGATCTTACCAAGACGCTGATGGAACGCCGTCGGAGATGGATTGAGAGCATCGGTACGGTATTCGACGGCGAGAATCTAGGCAAGGTGCCGCGGGCGAGCGAGCCTGGCAGCTCCATCTTCAAGCAACCCGAGATCGCGGAATTCATCAAGAGAGAGAACCAGCGGTGGGATGAGGATGATGAGTAAGCCTCACCCCAAACAGCAACCACAACTCTTTGGTCCGCCAAAGCCGGTCCCTCGACCCCGCCGCCGGCCCCGCGCGCTTTTGACAACACCATCCTCGATGGTGGTTGAGATGGAATGCTAGGCATATGCCCCTCTTTTTACTATTACCACTGGCAGCCCACGATTCGGCCTCGAGAACGAGTGTGTGTTCTGTTGTTTATTTTTGTAAAACCAAGGGCGTTTGTCGGACTGGCGTCACGAAGTCCCATTCTTCTGAGAAATTTTGTATTGAGGGACTAAGCACGGGGTATGCTGTTTTGAAGCAGGTGTTGGTATTCGACGACAAGAGATCGCTCCTTTGGTAGGTAATGGGGCAATACCGGGGCAATATTATTATTACTTGCTGTCCCCCACCAAGGCGTACATTATCAATGCAGAAAAAAGAGCAGCCGGCCCAAATAGTGTCCGGCTCTTGCCATACAGGAATATCAACATACTAAAACACGCCCTCCCGAGCACTATCATACACAGACACGCAAGTCTCTATCTAGATGCTTGAGACGGACCCGTGGACTGCTACGCCACAGACGCCCCGGCCAAAAGACCACAATTCTAAGTTACCCGAACTTAGAATCTAGCAGTTATAAGACCCATTCCGTTATATTCCCCCTTGTTATGGCCGCAGCGGGCTGGGGGCCGAGGTGGGTGACTGGCCAGGGCCACGCACAGACCACCTGCAGCCTCTAAGGCCCTTAGCTATTTCAGATTAGAATTCGTCGGAGGCTTCCTTTCCTCCTACTCTCTTTTCTTAGCCAGACCAGGTATTATTCGAAATTCTACAATTTTAAGCAAGACTTAAGAGCTTCACCTCTCCTATATCCCTCCCATAACACCCCTTTAAGACCTTCTATAAAGTTTTAAACACTTATAAAAAAGTATAGTTTTAAATATATATATATATTAAATTAACTAATAATTTTATAAAAGGTTTTAAAATTTATAATATAATAATAATAATAATAAAATTATAAATAATTACTTTTTAATTATTTATTAAATAAAAACTTTTTATATTTAATTTTATAAAAACTTTTTATAAATTAATTTAAATTTAATTAAAAAACTTTATAATATAAAACTTTAAACTTATATTTTAATTTAATATTAAAATTAATTTATTAATTATTATATTATAAATACTTTAATTAAAATATTATTATTCTTTTAAAAGTTTTAATTTTATTTAAATAAATATTTATTTTATAACTTTATTAAATAACTTAAAAATAGTTATTTAATTTATTAAATAATTAAATTTATAATTTTAATAATTTATAAATAAAAATAATAATTAATAATTAAATTTTAAATTATATATTAATAAATCTTTTATAAATAAATTAATAAATTATAAATTTATTTTAAATATATTAAAACTTTTAAAAATAATTAAATTTAATAAATTAATTAAAAATTTATATTTATAAAAATAAAATATTCAAATTATTTTTTAAAAAGTTAAATTAAATTAAAAATTAAATTAAATTATAATAAAATAAATTAATTAAAAAAATTAATTAAAAAATAATAATTATAAGTTTTTTAACTTTATATTAAAAAAGTTTTTTAAATATATATAAAATAAAAATTAAAATATTTAAAATATTTATATTATTTTAATAATTCTAAGTATACTAAAATTAATATAATGTATAAGTAATTTTTAAGCTTAAATTTATACTTCACAACATCCTACTAGCTTCCCTAGGCTGTATATGTGGTAGAAACCGTGATTGCCCCTGCTTGTGCTATTAATTACGACGAAGCCCTTCTGGAACACAGACACCCAGCACTTGAGCCACGAAACGATGGGAAACAGCCAGCAACAACGCACAAACGGTGGGCTTCTGCAACAAACCGGCCCGAGTGGACCGTTAGAAGGCCGTCACGCGACATCGCCTTCGCCCTGGCCCGGAACTCATTCAGATCACTCGCGCCAAGCAGATCACCACGGCACCCAGAACCGGAGGGATCGTACGTCAAGGTGGATCGTGCCAGTCCCCAAGTAGGCAGCGGGGGCCTGATGGGTAGACATGCGTATCGCCCCTCGGACCACCCTTCCCCCTTCGACTTCAACGCACTGGAAAGCGATGTCCTCGGGGGCTGATCACAGACGCCTTAGCCCAAGGCTGCTCGCCTCCAGGATGATGACTCGGCCGCGGCGATCTCGTTTGGATATGACGCAATGGGAGTGGCATTGCCCTACAAGAAACATCCGCCGGAGCTGAGAACCTGTTCGTGGCTGCACGTTGACCGATCGAGACATTCATTATCCTGGTGTCCAAGAAGGTGACGCCCCACAGGTGATGATTGTGAGTGTGCCGTGGAAGCGGACAACGTGAAGTAGACGTGAGAAGTCGAACCCTTGGGTGAGTATAGACCGAAGCTGATTCTGGCTCCAGCAGCTCCTCACAGATTGTGACACAGGCGGCCATTGGTGCATTTGTCTTCATGTTACTTGTGGTAATAAACCGCGATTGATTGATTTCCTTGAGAGTAGTAGCAATGACCCAGACGTAGCAACTCCTCTAGATGCCACCCTGTCTGTGGGTTTCTTTTCTTTTCCAATCCAACCTAACGCCCAGGGAAACTTCCCTCTCTCGACTTCTTCTTTTTTTTTTTTTTTGTTTCGCTAAGCCGCCCTGCAAGGAATATGACAGGAAAATATGTATCAGGCACCTCCCAGAGCTCACCGACGACTTTTTTGTTTTAACCCTCTTGCCACGCTCGCGTACTTTTAGGGTGGCTCTTGTCATCATCGTGAATAAAGAAATTGCGTGCAGGTACACCAAAAGACAAACAAGCTGGAAAGTGCTTCGTTCCGGAACGCACAACGTGAAGCAATACAAGGGGTCTATTGTCTTCGATCCAATCCGAATCCTGCTCAAGCATCCAAAACAAATATTCAGAATACCGCTAGTTACACGCTGACGGGTACAATGCGCTGCGGACGCTTGTACTCGGAGACACGTCGGACCCAAGTGACCGGCCAGTCCTGATAGGATGGTGAGGAGTAGCCGATGGTCAGGATGTGCTGGGGCGTGCTGGGGCACCGTGTAGTCGCTGTGGTAGGGAATCGGATGTATAAGCTGGAGGGGAGATACTCCAGAAGTCGTCGAAGTAAAAACAACAATAACCAAGAGACCAGGTCATGAAGTAGAATCTGCAGTCTAAGTCTCCGGGTATTTTGGGGTATATTGGAGAGGGCAACCCTGAAAGTCTAGATCGAAGCAACGCCTGTCCAGATGCTGAAATGACTGCCTCTCCAGTTTTCAAAGAAATCGATAAGGCGAGGGTTGAGAGGAGTGGGTAAGAGGTCCAGAGATGAGGTCGACAGGGAGAGACACACGAGTGCTTGTGGAATCAGGGCGTGCTCATCTCTGGAGAGCAAGACCGGGCTTCTTAGCCGGTCGCACGCCGTCCGTGAGGTGACTCCAAGCCAGGGTGAACCTGCCGATAATGTCTCTGCAAAGTGTCGAGCCGGTTGAAGACCCGTTCCTTGTCACAGACATCACAGCGGAACGTAGCGGTAGCAATGTGATGGATGGTTTCTTGATGACGCCGCAGGTGACCTGCCCTGGAAAAGTCCGCAGTGCAGGGCTCGCCAGTCGTGGGATCCATCAGGTTGCATTTGTGGCGCGACGAGGGGTTGGATTGATCCTGAAGCTCCAAAGATGCCACAGGCCCCTCGTCAGGCTCTCCCTGGCTGCTTTCCGACTCGTGGTCGGCCCCATCTCATTGAGGCTGCTCCTCCCCGATGTTGGGAAGGCCATGGCCGAGGTTAGCGATATTGGCAAGGTTCATAGCCATTGGGTTGCCGGTGCTGAGGGCCGCAAGTGTGGCCATGGCGTTCTGCTGCCTCGCCACCACGTCCGGGTCGCAAGGGGGCGAATGGGCCTTGTGCTGTTCACATGCGTCAGTAACCCGTCAATCGCACTAATTAAGACCATATGCCGGCAAGCTTACGTATTTCAGCCCGTTCAGGTTCTTGTAGCGTTTCCCGCAGACATCACACTTGAACGGTTTCTCCTTTTCCATGCCCAAGGTTCCGGGATAGGGGGCGCTGGTTTCCGGGTTGACGATCGAAAATGTACCGTCGCCGTTCTCATGCAACTGCTGCGTGGAGTGGCCATGTGTCTTGTGGTACTTGAGTCCATTCTGGTTCTTGTAGGCCTTTTCGCATCCGATGACCGGACACTTGAACGGCTTGTGCTCCTCCTGGATGGCTAGGGGGGCCAACTGTTGCAACAGAGTCGCCGGATCTGTCCCTGGGGGCAACGTGCTGACATCGATGCCGAACTGCGCAAACTGCTGCTGCATATTCTGCTGCTCGGGGGTCAAAGAACCGCCGCCAGGGCTGAAGAGCTGTTTGCCAGGGTCAGAAATGGTCCCGAAGTTCATGTTATTGCCGTTTCCGTTCCCAAAGTTCATGCCGCCAAATTGTGACGAGTTCATCCCGTTCAGACCGCCAAGTCCGTTGAAGTTGAGGTTGCCCAGGCTCATCTTAGGCAGTCCGGACATGTCGTCATCCATCAAGTCGGCAGTCGGGGTGTCGATACTCGAGGTATCTTGCTGGAACTGGCCACGGAAAGGCTGTGTGCCCAGCGTGGGCGTATTGACCGAGGATACTGTCGGATTGTTTTGGAACCCAAAGCCCGCGGCTGCTGGGGTTGTGGGCGTGGACGTGCGAAGGCCCTGCTGGCCAAACCCCCCGAGGCCGGAGCTGTTCAGGTGCAGCTGTGGCCTCTGCTGCTGGCCAAACATCTGGCGTGTCTGTTGCATGGTGCTTTGGCTGTTGTCAACGTCCATCATCTCATCCATCTCCATGTCTCCGACGGCGTCCATCTCGTCGTTCAAGGACATTTGACTCTGGCTGGGTGTCCCTGGAGTAGACCGCTGCTGTTGCATCATGGAGGATATGCCGCCCATGTTCAGGCTCGTGCCTGACATGCCATTATATTGTCGATTTTGCTGGCCCATCTGCCCTGGCATCTGCATCCCCATTCCTGACAGACCATTTTGACCAGCGGGCATGGACGTGTTGGGATGGACAGGACGGCTGCTGGGCTGCCGAGAGCTACCCTGCATGGGGAACAGTCCCTGCTTATTGATGCTGGCGCCGGGAGGGCTGCTCATCTGCATGCTCGGGTTGCCATGGTGGTTCTCTTCGTAATGCTGCAGGAGGTCGTGCAGGGTGGGCCATGTCCGATCGCAGCACCTGAAGTCCCTCATAAAATTCTGTTCAAGCTTGGGGAGGTAGGACGTCGACTGGAGTGAGGGCGACTGCCCAAAGGTGACGAACGGTGAAGTGCCCGTCAGGACCCTATCGCGGCGCACAAGTCATGTTAGTCCAAATTCGCGACCCAGCCCCGGACGATGGAGCCGTCGGGTGGATACTCGAAGTCGGTCGGTGTCTCGCTAAATGAGACATTGCCATGTGCAAGCGGGACAGAGAAAAAGAAATTTGACATTGCGTGCAGGGAGGAGGAGGGGGGAAACGGATGGGCCAACTCACTCGTCCCGGATGAAGCTGCCGACGGATATTCCTCCCCAGCTCATGCCGCCCATGAGGCTGCCGGCCATGAGGCTACCAGCGAGCGACTCTCGCCTGGGACGGCTGCCCTGGTCACGGTTGGGGTTCTGTATGTTCATGGAGATGGGCTTTGCGCCGACGAAGGAGTCCTGTCGACTGCGGCCCATGGCCGAGTCGAAAGGGCCGGTTGTCATGGTGGCGGAATCAGTGGGGGGTGGCCTGGAAGGCGCGGGAGGCCCGGAAGACTCGAGAAAGTCGTCGAATTCGAAGTCGTTGAGGTCGATGTCGCCGTCGCCGTCGGCAAGCCTCACGACGGGCGCTGGGTCGATCAGAAGGCTCTTGGTCAGTTGCGAGCGGGATGGTCCGCCGGGCGACCAGGAGGCGTGGTCGCGACCAGGGGGTGTGTGGGAAATACCAAGCGGCTTGGAGGCGTGCGCGTGCTGGTGTGCGCGACTCGGGAAAGGCGATCTCGGAGTGGCAGGCTGTGGGGAGGGCGAGGCAGAAGACAAACAGTCCGGCTGGTTGAAGCAGTTTGCTGGGGGCGAATGGGATTCAAAGGCGTCGTGGCGTCGGCGGCGGTGGTGGTGATCGTTGTTGGCGAGAGTGGATGCAGACGTGGGTGCAAACGCGGACGCGGACGCAGGCGGCGCAGAAACAGGCAATGCCACAGCAGCGGCGGCGGCAGCGGCAGCGGCAGCAGCGAAGGTTGTTGTGGTGGATGGTAAGTCGGTGGTGGGATGAGTGGCAGCAGGAGCGGGCGAAAGTGTAGACGATGCACGATAACCAGAGAAATTGTTATCGCTTGGGGGCGGCCCTGCAGTCGCAGTCGCAGCAACCGTGGTCGCGGCCGTGGGTGCAGGTGTCGGTGGTGCAGTGTGTCCAGGAACTGGGCATGCAGGGCGAGTTGAATCTGAGCCTGAGCCCGAGCCCGAACCTAGACCTGGGCCCGACAGGGACTGGGGTGACGCCCCGTCCAGGTTCAGCTTGGGCCAGGTTGGGTTCGACGTGATGCCTGTGCTGCGCCTTTGCGGGGCCTCGGCAGCGGCACTCGCGAGGCTGGCACTGGAGCCTGTGCCTGTACCTGTACTTGGGCCCCCAGCCCCAGTCGCAGTCGTATTGGCTTCGCTAGCGCCGCCACTAAACAGTGTGCTCAACATCGCGAATCGGATCGGATATGGGTACCCTCGCCCGGGCCAGATAGTGACGAAGTGTTGACAGCGAGGGCGACGGCGACGGGAAACGGGTTTTCTGTTTCTTTGCGACACCCAAAGAAAACCAACAGGAAGGGCAGAAATCCGAAATGTGTGAGCTGTCGCAGACTACTCCGTAACCCGAACAAGGCGGGGGGGGAGGGGGGAGGGTTTTGGGTGCTGGACCCAAAAGTCGGTCTGCCAAGGCAGCGCGCCGATGAGTATCGAAAGCAGCCGGCCCGAGTCGATGAGTCAACTCCAGGGTGGTGTCGAGGAGCACAGAAGCCAGCCGTCTCTACGCGGTAGCTGCCTACCACAAGTAACCGCCGCCAGGCCTGAGTCGACTGCGCGTCCGTCCGAGGTAGGCACAAGATCAAGCAGGCACTTGGGCCAGACCACGCCACGCTATGGCGAGCCAGGCATATAGAGATGAACAGGTGCAAGCAGAGAGGCAAGGAGCGCGATGGCGTTGTATGTGTGTGTACAGATGTGTTTGTGCGACGAGTTATGTGATGTGCTCGAGGCCTCGCTGGGTGTCGCCTGCCGGGCCGGGCATGCAAACAATAATCATAACAAGAACGATGGGAGCAGTCGGGGAAGGGTCGGGCGGTCGGGTTGAGTGGTCGAGCAGGAAGAGCATGTGGCCTAAGTACTATCTCGCACGTCCGCTTGCGCGCTCGCTACCCTCCTGCCTGTGTCTGCTTTGCCGCTCTCTCCAGACGAAACAACGTCGGGCGAACAGCCCACAGCCAGCAGCCAGCAGCCAGCAGCCAGCAGCCGGCCAGGAGGAGAGCACATGAGACGGCACGGAGTCTTGTCCTCGAGGCGGGCGTGTCCACCGTAATGATCTCACGGCGCGATGGTGCACCCTGGGAGGTTTGTAAACAAGTCACGGGATCCCGGTTGCTGTCCCCCTGCCTGCTGGCCTACCAAGGCACATACATACACTACCTAGGTCGCTCGCTACCTAGGTAGCCGGGCAGGTACATGTCGAACCACAGTCTGGAGGGGGTGGAGACGGTCAACGCACCCATCCTGCCCTATCGCAGCAGTCCACACGAGTACTTACACAGTCTACATGCCTACGTGCCATGGACGACGACTTGGGATCGGACACTCATGGTTTGGGGGAAGCATGCCTGGCCACTGTTGTCATGTTGTTACGAGTAATGCAGCCACACCGTCCAATCCTTGGGGGGAAAGCGGAGGGAGGCAGGGTTGGCACGTCCAGCCAGGGTCTCGGCTGCTGGTGATGGTGGTGCTCCTCCTGACGGCCTCGGTGGGATGCTGTCGGCTCCATGATGCTCTCTCTCTGTGTGTGCCTCCCTCTGGGTGCGGCAAGACTGAGGCAGAGGCGAGCCCAAAGCGGAAAGCATCCTCGAGCCTGCCAGACAGGCCTGACGGGCGACTGTGGCAGCTGCCAGCCCGCGAAAGAGCAATCGGATATGACCGCCACTTGTTCGTCCTGCCATTAGTGGCCAAAACCACTTGTTGTCCACGGTCCTCCCTGCTCGTCCACGGACCCCATCAACTACCACCCGCAGGACAGTTGGCTGTACTACTAAGGGCATGGCGGTGCGGGCAGCAGATGTGCCGTGCGGGATGCTGGGAGGGGCCGGGTTTCACTCCCTGATGTTCTGTGCCCACTGCCCAGATCCCAAAGCCAATCCTTTGGCCGTGCATGAGTGCAAGCGCGATGTCTGGAGCTGGGGTGGTCCCACAGCCTGACGAAATAACCCCATCGAAGCCCCGAGGTTCTGGCGATCTGCGAGTGCCAGGCAACAGGTTGCCAGGTTGCCAGGCTGCCAGCCGTTGGTCGCATCACAGGCGGCAGGTGGCAGGTGGCAGGTGGCAGGTTGGCAGGTTGGCAGATTTTAGAGAGTATCTAGAGAGTAGCCAGCCAGCCAGCCGGCCAGCCAGTGGCAGCCACTCACCCTCCTGCAGTGATCGACGCCATGGTTCAGCCCATCCCGGTCGACACCGTCATCATTGCCCTGCCGTCCGGCTGCCGTCCCATACAACGGCCGCCCACTGTTGCGCCAGCCAGTCAACAGTCAACCCCGCGGCCACAAAACGCCGGCAGCTTCTGCTCGTGGTCTCTCTGTTCATTGCCCAAACTCAGCAGAGTCATGTCAGAGTTCACTACTCGCATCTCTGCCAAAAACCATCGCCACCTCGGACGCTGCCTGCTTCCAGAGCTTCGGACCTGTTGTCCGGATGCACACCCAGCCGACGCCCTGCCGCTGTGACTTTATGCCAATTCTGGCGGTCATTTGGCGTCCCGCGGTTATTGGTGATGGCTTGGTGTAGGGCACGCATCATCACGAATGTGCAGTCCAGTGCCAAGACCACCGACCTTTCCAAAAACCCGACGAGGACCTGCGATTTGCAACGTCCCAGCATCTGTCGAATCATGTCGCCCCACGCTCCTTCACCCAGCTGCTCAGTTTGCTACTGAGGTGCCCTACTGGAGTTGCTCGACGGTCCGTCCTCGCCGCGGCGACCGACCGGCCAAACCTGTCAACGGCAGGAAGCTGGATACCCTGAGAGACTTCCTACAGTATGAATAGAGCAAGCCTGAGCAGGACAAAGTGTCGTCGTGGGTTCATGCTGTTGTTCAGCTCGACCCAGGTATGGCCGAAAGAGGGGGCGGGGGCGTTGATACCAGAAAGCCAATACGTGATGGCCAAACTTACACAGAGATGGGTGCATCCATTCCCCTCCTTCCATGCACTAGCTCAACAGTAAGTACTGGCAAAGCGGCGACCGGGACAGCAAGGCTGCCTCTTGCCTCAGTGGGAAAGTTGCCCGAGTCATAGAATTGCCCCGTGCGTCCAGCCTTGGCCTGGCTCCGTCCACGCCTGGCCTGGCAGCCTGGAACATTGCTGGACAATCCAGGGCTCCCCCAGAGTCGTTTCTAGCATGCGCGGTCAGGCCTCGAGTGAGTAGTCCAGCACGACCTGGGGTGGGACATCGAATCCATGGAACCGAATGGTTGCAAGACAGCCGCCGCGGCCGGCTATTCTCCTCAATGGTACTAGTCCAGGCACAAGCGACGCCCGAGGCGGCCTGCCCGTAACGCTTCCAGAGCGGAAAGTGACGTACAGCGGTGACCGCCAGCGGGATGCTCCTGCACCGCACCCATTCAGCCATTCCGCTCCTTGCCTCCCAGGCCTCCCTGCCCCTGGTTCCTTGTGTGTGCGCGCGTGCGTATCACAAGCCAGAAGCGGCAGAAGAATGTACACTACTGTACGCCTACGCAGCGGGTGGGAACCCCAGCCCTCGCCACTCTAGTCACGATTATAGGTTTGGACCCCTATTCTGGAAAAACGTGGTCGCAACCACGCTACTCGGCGAGTTCCCGGAGCCACACTCCAGCAGTGGGATTTCTGCTTGGCAGCTTGGATGTGGGCGCCGAGACGTGTACGTAATGAGACCATAGGCCGCCCTTGTCTGGCGCCGTCCAGAATTCCTGGCCGGCAGAAGTAGCAGTCCCAACCGATGCAGCCGAGTCACGATCCATTTTTCAATGCCGCTTGCTACTATGTAGTACTAGATCCGATGCCCGAAACGATGGGCTCCGGCGGGTGGGTGGTTGGGACATGCTTGCTGCACAGAGACTGCTCCTCTTCTTTTCTTGGTAGGTTGGTGGGCTACTGTGCAGAGTCCAGACTTGGCCGCTTGGGTGCTTGGCCCTTGTTCCAAACACAAGGCCCCGGCGCCCCTGGCTGGCTGGCAGGCAGGCTGGCAGGCAGGCAGGCAGGCTGGCAGGCAGGCAGGCAGAGCGTCCTGTCGGCACTGTGGTGCCATCCTTCGAGAAGAGCGGAGGAGAGAAAGAAATGGAGAAGTGCAATGCATGTGCCGATCACCAATATGAGATGCAAGCCTGCAGGGACGAGGGAGCGATCGAGCAGGCGGCCAGGCGGCGAGAAGGCGAGAGGGTTCTGGCTGTCTGGGTGGTGGGAAAGCCCTGACCGGCCCACACGCCTGCATTGTGCTTTCGACTGACAACCGACAAGTGACAACGTGTGCCAAGCCCGCTCTGAGACCTGCAGGGTGGGACCTGGCAGCCCTGGAAGATTTTGGAAGCCTTCCAGAAAGACCCCTAGAAGGAACCACAAAAGCCAATTTCTGTACTACATGGCACGACAAGCAAGGAGACCCAGGGTGGCTGGGTGGGCAGCGGGCGCGGCGGGATCAGGAGCGGGAGACATGCTTGACATGAGACAAGGTCACGCACACGAGACGCGCACTATACACAGTCAGACAGTACCCAACGGCTGGGAACCACTGAGTGTGCCAAAGGGTTCGAGCTCGACCGCCCGGAGCCGGAGCATTGTGTGACAAGGCGGTTTGTCGATGCCATGGGGTGCCGGCCGGGCGGCCGGTGTGCGCGGCTAGAGCGTCAGGAGCGTCTGGAGTTGTCAGTGGTAGCAGTACCTAGGTACATAGCGAGGGTCCTGCAGCCCGCTTGCCCGCCAGCCTGGGTCGGGTTTCGCCACGCACCCAGTTGTACTGTGCCTCGGTACTCCGTACATCTCACCGCCGCCACGGTCCAGGTGGTTAGTAATACCCCGGCAGCTGCCCGGGCCGGCCAACACGCTCGACTACTGCCACCACCCCCGATGTCGTCGGTAGGCCTCAGGGCCTGTACCGACAGGCTGTGTTGGGGTTGTTTGCTGCGCCGGGCGGCCTTCGGAATTCGGGGACACCACACTTGCAGCGTCTGGCTGAGACTCAAAAGCTGAGACTCACAGCTGATCCTCAAAGCCCCGTTGCACGTGTGCTTGGTGTTCTTTCTGGTCGGCGTGCAGGTAGGTTGCAAACACCGAAAAGTCGAATGTTTCGGCATCCATCCCACGATAATTCGCAGGAAGCGAGGACGCCCCAGAGCGCTTGCTGTGCTGGTCAGCCGGCTTTGTCAGCCGCCCGCCCCCGCGCCCGCGCTGCTCGAGTTTGTGCGCTGGGGCTGCGGACGTAATTCGGGGTCTGGTCCGGCCTCTGACGACGGGGCCCAACTACATCATCATGTACGCTTACGGGAAAAACATGCCATGACAAGATTGTCCCGTCACCACCAAAGTCACCACCAAAGCAGGACCCGTGAGCTCAGGACCCTATATATACACACGATTACGGCAGGCGCCCACCGCCGTCACCCTCAAGGCTGCAATCGCAAAACCCCCATCCGAGCAGACACGCGCCTCGCTGGAAACCACCTCGCCCGAGACCGCACATCAGACCACTGCGCCCCTGCACCATCCCCGACAGCAACAGCCCGCTCCTCGCCTGGAACCGCAGAAACCAGCCGCGATGAAGGTCATCAGCAAAGAAGAGGAACAGGCTCACTACAATGAGGTCCTCAAGGGCGGCGCCATGGGCGGCTCTGTCGGCCTGGGCCTGGGCCTGGCCGGCGTCCTCGCCGCCTCGCGCCGCTACGCAGCCTTCCGCAGCCTGACATTGCCCTTCCGGACCTTCCTCGTCTCGTCCGCAGCCACCTTTGGCGCCATCACCACCGCCGAGCGCTACTCCATCTCCTTCCAAAAAGCAAAGGACCCAATGAACTTTTACAAGGACGAGACACAACGCATGCTCGAGTCTGCCAAGCAGTCCGGCGGCGACAAGCAGAAGTTCATGGACTGGGGGCGCGAGAACCGCTACTCCATCGTCTTCGCTTCCTGGATCGCCGCCATGGCCCTCGCGCTGACCATCGTCGGCCGTGACAAGTACCTGAGCACGTCTCAGAAGCTTGTCCAGGCCCGTGTATACGCCCAGGGCCTCACGCTGGCCGTGTTGATCGCTACCGCCGCCTTCGAGACAAGCGACGCCAAGGCCGGCAAGGGCCGCTGGGAGACCATCATGGTGGTCGACCCCAACGACCCCAAGCACGAGCACCTGATCGAGAAGAAGGTCCACAAGGAGGAGTACGAGGGTCAGGACCTCTGGAAGGGTGAGTCCCCCGTTCCCGCTTCCCCGCAAAAACTTGCACCCGGCCGTCATGCTGACAAGATGATCCTCCAACAGACATGGTCGCCGCCGAAGAGCGCCGACTGCAGCAGGTGAAGGAGAAGACGACGGCCCGCAAGGCTGAGTCCAAGGCCGCTGGCCCTGCACCCTCGAGCGCTGCCAATTGAGACCGACCATGGATGGGTCATGACTGCTGCAGCGACAAGTAGCAGAGGTGTAGAAGATATTCCAGTGTTCAACACGACCGCGAAATACGTGGGCTGTAGGACGAGGCGTCAGGTGCATTTTTGGTGGCGTCGTTTCCGCTACTGTACATTATTACAACGGCATGTGTGGTGTTTTGGACTTGCAAGTGATGAGGTTTCTGGATAAAAGTGCCCGGCGCCTACATAATACCAACTGCTTGCTTGGGACGCACAGGGCAGACAGGTCCACGAGACTTGTCAAGCCTGGCCGGACCATACATGACATCTTTATAGACAGGACATTCCTAATGTATCCTTTTCCGCAAGATAATGTGCTCCGCGCTGTGACGCCACAATGCATCCCAATCCCATCCTCTGAACGTGGGGTACATACAAATCGTTTCCTGCTGGCACTTGGGTTTTGGTTGAAACAGAGAGATGCTGATGGCATTTCCCCACGGAAAGGCGTAACCCAAAAGACAAGGCGGATGGGTATCATCGTTGCGAAGGAAGGGCATCAAAGCTAGCAAGCAGCGCTCACCTTGACTCTGACCTATGGCACTATGGCACCATCTGACTTTCGCTACGCCGCGCTCGCTTGCCCTGGTCGGCCTAGAGCTCGATCTGGAAGTGGCTGATCTGTGAATAATACGCGTGCACCGCCATCTCCAGGATCCAGACATCACCAAACACCTCGCCACCGTCAAAGCCCCCGATCGTCAACAGCCGGGAGTCATGCAGGACGGTGCCGTGGTAGCCCCTGCCGCTGGGCGGCAGCCCGTATACCCTGCGCTTGTCCCAAGTCATCTGTACCAGATTGAGCAGCAGGACGTCGTTGGAGTATTCGTTGCCGTCGTGCCCGCCGATGACGAAGAGATAGGACCCTACGATTGTCGCCGTGTGCGAGAGCCGCCTGAACGTCCCGCTCACGGGTGCAGACTTCCACGCGTGGGTCTCAATGTCGTACACCCACACGTCGTTGAAGCACTCGCCGCCGTCAGAGCCGCCAAAGATGATCAGCTTGCCGTCGACAATGTTGGCAGTGTGGTAGCCACGGGCCTTTGGCTTGGACTCCCTGCCCGGGGCCCCGCCCCCGCCCGGCGACCTGGTCTTGGAGTTGCCGGCCTCGTCTGTCGGGCTCGAGATCAGCTTCCAGCTCATCTTGGACAGGTCGCTCACGTCCAGCCTCCAGATGTCGTTGAGTGCTCGCACGCCGTCACCGCCTCCAAAGACGTAGATCCCATTCTTGTACAGACATGCTGTGTGCGCCCGTCTCTTGGAAGGCACCCGGTCGCCCAGGATCCGCGGCTTTGTCCACCTGAAGTTGACGGTGTCGAGCACATATACCTCGTTGTAGTAGGCAGGCCCGTCGCCGCCGCCAAATATGACCAATTTCTTGCCAACGGCGGTGCAGGTCATGGCGCGCAGGGGGACGGGGATGTCGCCCGACACGTATGGTTGTGACCAGTGAAAAGCGTCAGCGTCGAGGACATGAAGGTCATTAAAGCAGGCACGGCTGTCGCAGCCGCCAAAGACGTAGATGTTGCTGCCGATCATTGTCGTCGTGTGGGCCCTCAGGGCCGGGTGTGGGCGCCCTGAGACGGGGGCGCGCGACCAGTACATGCCCGAGCTGGGGGCGGGAGGAACGTGGATGGAGCTGGTGGGGGAGGCGAGAGGTGGGAATGGCTTGTAGGTGCCGGCGGCGGGGTGTTTCGAGGTGGTTGTTGCCGAGGTGCGGTGGGCGTTGGACGAGCGAGCGGTGCCGTTGGTAGCTGCGGGCGGTGCCGGCTTGCCTGCTATGGCCGACGTAGATCGCAAGGCGGGCGGGCGGGCGCCACTGGCGGAGGCATCGCCTCTCGACTCTGGCCTGCCGTCTGGTCTTTGTTCGCCGTTCTCCCGCGGCCTGTTTGCGGCCGAGGACGAGGCCGGGGCGGCGTTCCTTATGCTGACGGGGGGCGCATTCGGGGCGGGGGCAGAAGGGGCTGCGGCGGCGGACTGGGCCCTCTGTCTTATCGAGAGGTCGGAGGTGGAGGGCTTACGTCTGGACACCTGGCTCTTTGAAGAGAGGTGGCCTGGCGTATGGCTGCGCGGCACAGGAGGGGCGCGGTCCGGGGCGGACGAGTCCTGATAGCCGTCGTACCGTGGCAGGGGGGTCGGCACGTCTGCGCGCTCCGAGGAGGGGGAGGGGGAGGGAGAGTGGCCAGAGGCGGCAGCGGAGATCTTTTGGGAGCGCACAATCTTTGATCTCAGGGGCGACGTCTGTTTGTCTTCTTTGGGTCTAGCTGGTTGATCAGCCATAGTCGAGGAGCCGCCTCAGAAGACCATGCCACGGCGGCGTCAGCGGGATGAGAGCCCGAGGCTGAGGCTTGTGGTCTTGAACAACTGAGCGGGTTGCGGGGCTGTGGCAGGAACGACGTTGTGGCCGTGGTTGTGGTTGTTGTGGTGGTGGTGGTTCTGGTCCCGGTTCCGGAGGTGGGCGTGGCTACGTTTGACGATGGCGTTCTGTCTTGTTGTGGAGGATGAGGATGAGGATTGAGGGATGGGGGGAGGATGGGTTTGGGAGTGTAATGATCCCAGACTCATGCACACATGCACTTAGCCTTGGGTGCTATGCAGACGTGCAGGTGCCGTACCTACCTCTCTCTACCTGGGAACCTGCCTAGTACCTACCTAGGTAGGTAGGTACCTGGGTAGGCAGGCACATGGGGCAGGTTGGGCTGGATGGGGTCTGGTGGATGATGCCAGACCCGCCGCAGCCCTTGGGAGCTCAGTAGCAATCAGCACTCTAATTTCCTTTCCTTGCCAGAGGGCTGCAACCGATGGTGGACCTTGCAGGTGGAGGGCTTAGCGTGCCTGGCCTGCTGCACGTTTGCCTTCACACTGTCAGTCCCTCGACCAGTCACTCAGCCAAAGGCCTTTCCTTGACCGTGATGGTTTGCCGTGGCAGGAGCTGAAACCCAAGGCCGGACCTTGGGCTGCCATCCACCATCCAGGGCTGCCACCAGGCAGCTGCACAGCCTCTGCAATGACCCTGTATCAACATGTCAAATCATCGAGGCCTGTGTTGAATCAAGAAGCCAGCACATAGGGGACCATATCCTGCACACAGTGTGCGCGTGCATCTGTTTCCCCGTGGTGCGAAAGCCTGAGGGACTGGGCTTCGGCAGATCTACGCCTTGTTGCCCCAGATGTTACCGTACCGAGGGCATACGGAGTACTGCGTCACTTGTATTGCCCGGGGATCACTACTTTAGATGCCGAACCCAGGAGGCTGGGAGGCTGGGAAGCTGGGAAGCCGGTGTTGTACCTGGCACCTGCACCATGTACATTACTCAAGTACCTAGGTACCTGGGAATGGGTACAAATCAAGTGACTAGCGGTGCCAGACGTCCCGTCATTGGACGGCAGGCAATACTGAAAACTTCGATATTGATGCAGTACCTAGATGCCTACCTTTAGGTAGGTACCTACCTTGCAGCACACTTGCAGCCTACGGTGCGGTTACAAGGCCCCATCCCCCGGGGAGGACATTGTTGATTCGCTTTCCGACTAAAGGGCAACGAGACAAAACAGAACTCCCAGCCAAGCACCCACGATGGAGGCCAACGGCCAAGCCGCTGAGCCGCACGTTGGCGACCTCAACGGCATCAGCACCGACACCGAGAGGAAGAGACTTCTCGAAAGCCCAGACGAGGAGCCTGCTCCTAAGAGGGCAAAGGCCTCGGATGACAGCGCCGCTGCGAGAGACGAGGGTCCTCAGACAGAGACTGCTGTCAAGCCCTTGCCAAAGGGCACCGCCCCGGTGAAGCCTGAGTAGGCCTGACTGACCCTCGCGTGGAGGCGGAGACTAGACCCGACTGACCGTGCGCACAGGTACCTGATCAAGGTGCCCACACGGGTCTTCGACGTGGAGGAAGAAGTCGCCCCCAAGCCCGGCGGTGACGATGATGCGGCCGAGGATAGGGGTCTCGATGCCAGGGATCAGGGCGGCAGAGCCAAGAACAAGAAGCAACGTGGCGTTAACACCGAGAGGGAGTTCGGCTTCTCAAAGGACTCTCACCAACTTTGCCAGACGCGCGCCCATAGCGACGAGTTCTCCCCAAAGGAATGCAAGCATGGCGCGCGCTGCAACCGGCTCCACGATCTTCGCAAGTACCTCGCCGAAGGCAGACGTGCTGATCTCCAGGTCCTCGGCGGCAAGTGCCCCGTGTGGGAAAAGACCGGGGAGTGCCCCATGGGCTGGAAGTGCCTGTTCGTCAGGTCACACATGGCCGAGATCGCGCATGACGATGGCAGGAAGGAGCTATGCCTTGTGAAGGACTCGGGTCGTTTCCCCTCCGAGGCCCCGCCCGACGCTGACGGGTTCGCCGACGGCTTTGCGGGCATCGTGAACAACGTCCCTGCGGCCAAGAAAATCGAGCTTTCTAGGAAGAAGAAGGACTTTTCCAAATCCGACCAGTGTATCCAGTGGCAGGAAGAAGACATTAAGCTCGCTCGGAGGGTCTTCAACTCCAAGAATGAGGACGGAACACCCAAAACACAGCTAGCAAAGACACACGAGTACCGTGCTGCCTTCATAGACCCGCCCTTTAAGCCATCCGAGAAGAGAAGGATCTATTTCGGCCGCGAGACACCAGTTCTGGCACCTCTCACCACCCAGGGCAACCTCCCATTCCGTCGCCTGTGCGTCGAACTCGGGGCGGCAGCAACTTACTCAGAAATGGCCGTCGGAATGCACATCCTGCAGGGCCAACGTTCCGAATGGGCACTCCTCAAGGCTCACGAGAGCGAGACGACACCGCCCCGCCTTGGGGACGCCAGTGCTGCGCCCCCTGGGTACGACAATTCTCGCGACCTCAAGTTTGGCGCACAGATCGCCGCCAACGCCCCCTGGATTGCAATCAAGGCTACTCAGGCATTGTCCGAGTACCTTCCTCACCTTCGCCTGATAGACCTAAACTGCGGCTGTCCCATTGACAAGGTTTACAAGGAAGGCGCAGGATCTGCGCTATTGGACATGCCGTCGAAGCTGGAGCGCATGGTACGTGGCATGAATGTGGTCTCGGGAGAGGTGCCCATCACCACGAAGCTGCGGCTGGGTGTCAAGAGCGACAAGCCTACGGCTAAGAAGACTATCGAACGACTGGGGCTTGGGGTTACAGATACAAGCGACGTCCTCGGTGCCCCGGGCTGCGCCGCTATCACGCTTCACGGCCGCTCCCGCCAGCAGCGGTATCGTTCAGCCGCGGACTGGAGCTACATCGCCGAGTGTGGTGCAATGATCCAGTCTTATCGTGATAAGAAGGACGAGGTGACTGATACGGTGCGGGAGCCGGACCCAAGCACTTTGACCAATGGGGGGCGGATGTACTTTCTCGGAAATGGAGACTGCTACTCGCATGTCGATTACTTCAACGACATTCAAAATGCGCGTGTCGACTCCGTGATGATTGCCCGCGGTGCGCTCATCAAGCCCTGGATTTTTGAAGAGATCGAGAAGGGGCAGTACCTAGACAAGTCTTCGACTGAGCGACTCGGCTATGTCGAAAAGTTCGCCCGCTATGGTCTCGAAGCGTGGGGCTCCGACGAGATTGGTGTGAGCACCACGAGAAAGTTCCTGCTAGAATATTTGAGTTTCACCCACCGTTATATACCTGTGGGAATCTTGGAACATCTTCCGCCGAAGATCAACGATCGTCCGCCGGCCTTCAGGGGGCGTGATGACATGGAGTCGTTGCTTGCGAGTGACAACTATAAGGACTGGGTGAAGATTAGGTAAGCCCACCCTCAGAATGCGCCCCTTGGAATTGGTTCTGGATCGCAGCTGACTTCGACAGCGAAATGTTCCTTGGCCCGGTGCCGCAGGGCTTCAAGTTTGAACCAAAGCACAAGTCCAATGCATATGCCGAAGCTGAGGGCTAGGTTCAAGATTGCTCCCAAAACGATAGATCAAGGCTCTTGAGCCACGATGCAAAAGCTGGACCAAGGATGCGGATGTGTAAGGCAGGCAGGCGGCTGTTCATTTCAACTGCAGAACGACGGCGTGGACGCCGAGGGAACCCGAGGTGGTGCCCATTGTGAGGATTAGTGGAGCAGGTGTCTAGGTATTTTGCTGATTTCAAATGGCCTTTCGTGGCTGTGCCACCAACAATCAAGCTGATCCATGAAAGTTGGCCGCAGTTGACGGGGCTGGAAAGGCTATAAGTCCTACACATAATGCCACCTGGGCAGAAGTAACTGTTCCGCAGGAAGGCAACTATCGGACACTCAAGAGATATCGTGCAACACTGTCACTGAGGCAAAATGCAAAGAACGCATTCATGAAATGATGATTCTTTCCCTTCTTTGGGCACTGCAGCGAGAATCCAAATTGGTAGACCTGACTTGGTATTGGAATCCGGGAAGCCAGTACAAAAGTGCCATAACCGCCCTACAGAGGTATAGGTTCGCCCATTTCCCCCCGGCAGTAGCTCGACATTTGGTAAGTGTCAGCTGACATGGCCGCATGTCAATCATGCATATCGTGCCTCTGACGCCCTCTGATGATCCTCCAGAGCCTCAATGGCTGGCTACCTTGACTTGAGCTTTGTCCAGCCGCTCGTCCCGGGTGTCTTCGGGCTGGAAGCACCGTCATCCAGAGCCACTTGTGCAAAGTCCGCAACTATCGAGTCTAGATTAGCCTTCACCGTTGCAGTGGACATCACACTTTCTACGCCAAATAATCTTTGACCCGATTCGCCATGCTGCTTGCCTTCTCCTTGAACCCCTTCCTCCATGGGCTCTTCCACCGCCCAAGCGTCGTCATTCAACATCTCCCAATCGAGTCCATCTGCATCGCTCAACAATTTCTTCTTGAGGCGATCGGCCAATTTCACCGGGTTGGGAAGCTTGAATCCTCGAGTGAACTCATTGCCCTCGGCAGCCCCAAGGAAGGTGTGAACGGTTCCGTGAGAGAAGCGCCCCATCATGGGTTTCGCATTGCAGCCGAAATGGTCTTTGATCTGTTCAGGGGACTCCGGAATGTGCGTGTTGTCAGGCGACGGTGGTTGCTGGACAAGGCGAGCAGTGGGATTGTTGGCCAACTGGTTTCCGATGAGTAGATTGTACAGGTTGCGACCCATATTGCAGACATCCTCATACGACGTCTTGTCGCCTATGGGAACTCCCTGTGTGCAGCAGGCCCAAGCAATATCGTAAGCTAGCAAAACGACCCCCTCGATGAAAAGTGAATATGTAGAAGGGTCTTCTTTTGCCAGCGCCAAAAGTGGCTTGTCGATGTAGAGTGGCCGAGGCCTGGGGGTATGCTTTTGACTTTGGTCTCGCGGCTCAGATGGAGGCAACACAACGGTCCCGGGAAATGGCACCTCGCCGTGACGGTGGGAGGATGCCAGCGAGAAAATAGTTGGTTTTGGGTAGTCACGATGAGGAAGTGTAACCTCAGCCGGCAAGCGTATTGCCAAGTAATGAGAGGCCAACATAAGGATATGCGATATGTGCGCAAGGGATGTTGAGATTGCCTCCGGGGTTGCGGCTGGGAAGAAGTCAGCATTGGTGCGTTGCGCGTCCACTGGCCCACGAAGATACCCACTGATCATGCCAGGCAACTCTATCATTTCCACACCAGCCAGCTCGAATTTCACCGAATTGCCCTTCTTCACGCGGTGAAGTCCGTACAACCTCGCGGCTTCCATGCACAAGTAGCTCCTGGTGGCAGCCATACTCTCGAAGCTACGGTTCCACTTATACTTTGTCATTTGGATTGCCCTTTCGGCCTCTTCCACGTGCCTAGAACGTCTTGATTCGATACCGTTGGAAGCCTCGGCCAGATCTTCCTTTCTCCTAGTGTTCCTACTCTTGCGATCGGCAATTTCTCTTCGCGCCGCGTCAATCTCAGCGCGTAGCCTGTCTGCCTGGGAAATGATCCGACTTGTCCTATCCGCGGCCTGCGCTTCCTCGGATTTCACCCTCTGCACATAGATGGTCTTGGCGACAGCGTCGCCGCTCCAAGGAGGATTCGTGCTTGTCAGAGTGGAACCGATCTTGCCGCTGAGGGCCTCGTTCTCGATCAGTGCAGTTGCATGAGCGACGCGGCCGGCATACAGCCGGTTCCTGCAGTCAATAACGCATAGAAATGGAAGCTTTTGCGGATGGTGGGGGCGGTGACATATTTCGCAGTTCATCTTGCTGGCGAGCACCGGGCCAAAAGGGCAATTTCGGCGGGGAATGACGGCCTTGTGATCTTCCTTCTGACGCAGGGTCAAGCACAGGTGTCGGACGGCGACGTTCTGTAGACACCAGATTACACTTAGGCCTCTTTTGTTCGTATCATATTGCCCCGTATTCGAAGAGGTCGGTGTAAAGACGGGTGGCAGGGTTATGGGCTGCTGCAGTATGAGTATGAGCAGGAAGAGTGGGAGCGAAGGTGACTGACTGCCTGCCCGAGGCTGCGGGCGGCAGATGAGGTCACAGGGACATCCAGCATTCTACTCCATACCACCATGCTTTATCGGAGCTCTTATCGCAACTGATGCACTGGCGTTTGCCTAGGCAGCCAGGGCAAGCACCTTCCTGCCCTGGTGCCTACCTAGGTACCTAGGTAGGTACCTAGGTACCCCCACCTACCTGGGGCAGGCAGGAACATGCCTCCTGCAGTCTATACATAACCACCTAGGCAGTGTTGACACCACTCGTTGGGACAGCAGCAAATTCTTTGATTGAAATGTACACACCTACGGCTTGAATGAAATGTTTGGGCCTTTATCCACTGTGGAATCAACCATCTCCACCCCCGGGACTCGGCAGACGACACATTCACTTCTTGTGGATATTATTACTCCACCCGGTCTCTGAGTTTCCCAGGTGCTGATCCCGATTCTTGGAGTCAATTCAGAGCATCTTCCCCGTCACATGAGAAGCCGCTCAAGGTGAGCCCGCCCTTGGCTCCCAATTCTGAAGCAGCTTCCACCGTACGAACAGGAGTCATAGAGAGCTGGCCACCCGCTCACCACAAGTAGGTCTCCAAAGACTGGCCCCACGTTTCCCTCAGCTGCCTCAAGGAGCTGGCATGGATGGTGCAGATGGATCCACGACGCCTCCTCTGCCACCGGCAGAATCTCGGGATGCTCATCTACCAGATGCTTCCCCCAATTCGCCGCATTCAACGCCCCTCGGCCGTGATATCGAGTGTCAGCATGAGAAAGAAGGACTAGAGGCCGACATTGGGGAGACTGGTGATAGGGATGCCAGGATGAATTCTTCTCCGCACCAGAGCCGACTGCCACGGCCGCCCAACTCCAAGACTCCTGAGCCACGCATCGTCACCCTCTCCAAAACAGCAGGCACCAGGCACCGTCCTCAGGTGAACAGCCTGACGCATGCTTCCCATCTAGCCCCTGAGCGGTCTGCTACTCCAGACACTCCGGGAACTGTCCGCAGCATAGCCTCTTGCGACTGGGACGATCTCGAGGCAAGATTTGAAGCGGCACTGGTCAATGCAAATCAAAACGAGCAAGCGTTGATGGCAGAATTCGAAGCCCTTGTCAGGGTATGCAATTAGATCTGCTCATGGCAACCTCCTGGTGATTTCATTGACAAGCCTCTAGTATTTTAACATCTGGGCTTCTGCGGCATCTGCCCACGACAACGAGCGCGCAACGAAACGGTGAGCGTGGTGACAATTGGCCTTATGGGTAAAGAAGCTAACTGACACTTGGGGCAGGCTGCAAACACGGGCCCAGTATGTCCAACTTCGGGAAACAGACCTCGACAAGAAGAAGCAGTACTGTAAGTTTGAGGCCCAGACTCTTGTTGACCTGCCCAGCCCTGCTGACACGTCATGTCAAGACCAGCAGGTGATGCAAGCCTTCCAGAACGCCATGCAACTTCTTAATCAATCTTGATATGTGCACCCGGCACAGTGTCTTGGTGGCATCTCTGATGCACTGATCCCTGCTTTGACTTCGGGGGGTTGTCTACCCAGGTGATCTAGCACTGAGATTGTGCCACACTGTACTTTCTCGTTTTCACTAGTTGTTGCTTCGTGCAACTATCAAACCCGCAACTGTCTGCTAAAGTGGCTGCACAAGACGTGTGATGGGCAGAGCATTAGCCGGATTGCTCTGGGGAATTTAGAGGTGCCCAAACAGTTGCTTTTGACCTTGGTTCTAAACAGTTGTGGTTGCATACAGAGGTGCACCACTGCCTGGTGCAATTTACCAGGGAACATGCATGGAGTACCTAGGTACCTACCTACCTTGGTACCTAGGTAGGTACGGGTGGTGAGGTGGGCCTGGACTAGCGTGCTACAAGTATGCTATGCTTTCCAACCTCGCGCTTTCAGGCCGTTGCCCCCATTTATCATCATCTCTGTTCCCAGACCTTCTTTTTCTCTTTAATTGGCAATGCTCAAAAGGCAGGTCAACACTCAAGACTGTACTTGGAGCCTTGAGAAGCCAACTTTTGAAATAACATGATCCAGTCAATCTGAGGAATAGCGCTCTGAAGGGCACGTATTATCATCGGCAACATCGCCGCCGTCGGCATTTCTACAGCGCGGCTCTCGAGGACTTAGGATGCGCCCACGATGGCCGTGGACAGAATGTCGGAACAGAAGCAGTCTTACCTTCAGCTGTCCTTTCCAATCCCTCGCGTAACTGATGTACGTTCTATCTGTGACTCAGCCACAATCGTACCTGCTGACATCATTTGGACCAGGCGGACTTGTGCGCATTCCACCACGCGCATTTTGGTGAGGCGTCGGCTATTGCCTTCACTGCAGACTTTCTCAACCTTGAAAAGGTGCACCAGGACATTGAGACTCAGCATCGTCATGACGCTGGAGACGAAGCATATTACGAAGGCGATGAGGACGAAGACGGGCTTGGGTATTATGCGGACGGCGTGAAGCGCACCCTGACCGACGCGCAAATTGCCATGTTTCGACATTCTGAGACCCAGGCCCTGCAAAGAGCTCAAGAGAGATCTATGACTCGACGAAACTCATCGTCGCCGCCACCGATGTGTGCCCACGTCGAACCTCTCGAAGGCCACAGAAGCGAAGACGGCGAGCTGTCAGATGATGTCTCAAATACGGGCGCCGTCCATACGAAGAAGAAGAGAATCAAGAAGAAAAAGAAACGGGGCAGTGGTAATAGCAAACGCCATTACTCGCCGGACCCCGAACGCCGCAAGAGGACTTGGGATGTGGTCGAGACCGGACTGGACGCCCTGGATTATGGGGGATCCGGGCCGTCACAGCCACAAATCAGCCCGACGAGTCATCGGCGAAGAATCACGTATGATGATGATGATGGGTGATGGCCTCGCACCAGGCCACTTTCTGAACGGCGATGGCCCTGATGCCATTCGTCTTAGCAAGGAGAGCTTCCACGTTCTCTGCATCGATGGATCCGTAAGTCTCTCTTGTTCCTTTTGCTTGTGTCCGAAATGATGAAAGCATTATCGTATCGTCATCCTTAGGCGGAAGTCTGGAGGGAGGGTGTCGGCATGTGCCTTTCTGCTATGCCTGACCCCCTCGCAAAAGGAACATGTCGAATAATAATCTTCTCTCTGATTTAAAAAAACAACACACAACACCCATTCATACCTCATTCATTGTGTACATATGTACTGCAGCATAATGAGGCTGTCCGCTGACATTTTAGAACCGCTTCTGGGCGCAGGACTAGTCACAGGTCCATGGCCAAGAATCTACCTTTTTTTTTGAAAGGGGGAGTGTGATTCATTGTCGGTGGAAACGGCTTCGGCTTGTTTGGCGAGGCTCCTTCTGGCAGAACCGAATGGATTCTGCCCTGGGGCGAAGCAACTACATAGCCTTGTCCAAGACGGACCTCAAGTACTTGAGAAGACGAGGGCACACGGGCGGTACCATTGGCCGTACGGGGGAAATGAAAGCAGGGAGCGGACAACGATACTCCTTTCGTCCCGCTGGAGCGTCATTGTGCTAACAGCCAGGCCCTATTACTGTGGAGTGGTTGAGACAATCTCGTGACTGGTCTTAGATTTCCCGGAGGTGTCTAATCACTCAAGATCAAGGCAGTCACCAGCATGCACAGAAGCCATTTCTGGTCGATCATGGATTTCAAGGAACATGCGCCACAAGGTGTATCAGTATCAGTCAGCCAAGGGCAAAATGGATGCACCCACGTCCCAAAGGCGTGGGTTTGTGCTTATATTGACCAGCAGAAGGCCAAGCTAGGGTTTCTAACTGTATCTATAACTCTCGCTCGTGTCGACCTTGTCGTGCTCGTGCCGTTACCCCGGAGGACCTGAGATTGTAGAGCGGGAGTCTTTGATCTATGTCACCGAATTTTGCCCATTCTATCATCTAGTCTTGTTGTTGATTTGAAGCGTCGCTACCTCTTAATTGTTTGATAGAAAATTGGCGACATTGTCCAGGCCTCGGTCGTCCATTTGGTGACAAGATTCCCATCCTTGTCCACCTTTTCTCGCGGGTCTATGGGCTTGCTCGAAAACCCAGGACCCCCTAGCGCACACCCCCCCCCCATGCCAACCTGCCCTCGGGACGGCACCCACCCCGAACCCTGGTGCGTTACGGCTGCACTAGCTCAAAAGATAACCACATCCCGCCCTGACTGGAAAGGCGATGCCATACAGCTATCCAGCCTTCCAGCCTCACCACCGTCGTTGGCCCACCTCCCCACCCGCCATACGCCTGCAGCCTCATCGTCGACCTGTCTACCGCCCCATAGTGACTAGGTGCATAGTCGAAGCACAACGGGCAACATGGCGCGCGTCTACGCGGACGTCAACCAGAACATGCCGCGGGCATACTGGGACTACGACAGCGTCAACATCAGTATGTCCCACCTTCTGACACAGCTAGACCGCCACAGCAGCACAAGATGGGGCGCAATAACTCATGCAACTTGCTAACGTGCGTGGATAACAGGCTGGGGTGTCTTGGAGAACTACGAGGTTGTCCGCAAGATCGGTTTGTGGCCCCACCAAAACACCTGGTAACACCAGCAGCCGAAGACAGACTGACTTTCGAGGGGGCAACGCGCAGGTCGTGGCAAGTACAGTGAAGTCTTCGAAGGCATCAATGTGGTCAACTACCAGAAATGCGTTATTAAGGTGCTCAAGCCTGTCAAGAAGAAGAAGATCAAGCGTGAGATCAAGATACTGCAGAACCTGGCCGGGGGCCCCAATATCGTCGCATTGCTCGACGTTGTCCGCGATTCACAGGTGATTACACGTCCGGTCTTCTCAAGTCCTTCCCCTCCTGCCCTAAACGGCCCTGCAATACCGCACTGTGCGCCGGACTGTCCTGCTGACATGGGCGGCTTCCAGAGCAAAACGCCCTCGCTCATCTTTGAGTTCGTGAACAACACGGACTTCCGAAGCTTGTACCCCAAGTTCAATGATTTCGATGTTCGGTTCTACATCTCCGAGCTCCTCAAGGCGCTGGATTTCTGCCACAGCAAGGGCATCATGCACCGAGATGTGAAGCCTCATAACGTTATGATCGATCATGAGAACAGAAAAGTAGGCGCGCCTGCCCTGTCTTTCTTCCACCTCAGCGGCCACTGACTCTCTGACAGCTGCGGCTCATCGACTGGGGTCTGGCCGAGTTCTATCACCCCGGCACGGAATACAATGTGCGCGTGGCCTCTCGCTATTTCAAAGGACCGGAGCTCCTGGTTGATTTCCAGGAGTATGACTACAGCCTGGACATGTGGAGTCTCGGGGCCATGTTCGCATCCATGATCTTCCGCAAAGAACCCTTCTTCCACGGCAACTCTAACAGCGACCAGTTGGTCAAGATAGCCAAGGTTCTGGGCACCGATGACTTGTTTGACTACTTGGACAAGTACGAGATTGAGCTTGACGCCCAGTACGACGACATCCTCGGCCGCTTCCAGAAGAAGCCCTGGCACAGCTTTGTTAATGCCGACAACCAGCGCTTCGTCAGTAATGAGGCCATCGATTTCCTCGACAAACTCTTGCGCTACGATCATCAGGTAACCCCCCCCCCCACCCGGTTTCTCGTTCTCAAATAGTCCTCTAACGCCTTATACAGGAGCGCTTAACAGCTAAAGAGGCCATGGCCCACCCTTATTTCAACCCTATCCGTGACGAGGCCAATCTCCAAGCTTACCTTGCTGGTGCTCCTGGAGTTGTAAACTCCTGATTGGCGCAGCGAATAGCCCACCAACAGCGAAACTCTTTTGCTTGATGGTCCGTGTCCGCCGACGAGATATCCCGGAACACTGTCATTCTCCATCAGAGCAGTATCGAGAAGTGTGACCAGGTCTTAATGCGATGCTTCCCCGGGCAAGGTGTCAACTGTCAATCCTGACCTCGGCTCCTGTTTTCATGTACTACTGTCATTTTACAGTACTTGGAAGCAAAGATTGAGAATCTTGTAGCCAATGCATTCCGCCAATGGACACATTCGCTTCATGTACGGGCTGCTCTGGAAACCCCACCACCGCCCCCCCCCCCAAACAAGAGAGACATTACAGTCAATGCACGATGCTACCGAATAGGGGAGGAACAGTATTTCAGATCTTGCGTTTTGTTGACATCAAACACAAGCTGAGCAGAGTATGAGGCTGGGGGGGGGGGGGTTGCTTTCGAAAGACCCGAGATAGGAGGAAATCAACTGCACCATGCCGGTCATTGGTGGGAGACCCCCAAGTCGCAACAGCAGGGAAATTCATGCTTACTCACGTGGGAAGAAGTTGCACTTTGCATATCATGCTGTTTGAGGGGTTTTACCAGTGTTGGGAGCACACTTTTCATTAGGCTTTACACTCTATGACGAATAATGTGAACGTGCTGGATGGTAGGAGGACTACACCGACTGCAGTTGCCAAAATGTGGTTTCGGCCTATAATCCTTTGCAACCCGTCGTGCTTGCTCCCAAGTGAACTTTTGATTTCGTAGTGATACATGCCCGCTCGACCGACATTGGCGTTGGCAAGTCATTTCAAATACTAATACAGGCGAAACAGAAGTCTCTCCCGCACCTAAAACCACCCTCCCCGCACCTCCTCTTCGTGCCTCCAGGTGTCTGGACCACGGAAACCGATGGACTCGGCGCCCGGGTACTGTTGACCACGCCCCCTGTGAGGTCATTTGTGCTGCGGCGTCTACTCTCCCTGTTCTTGTTCCTGCATCCTGGAGTGCTATGCTTATCAGCCTTGGAGCATGAGGAAGGGCCGAAGAGCAGGCTAGCCACACGCATTTTCTTCCCTGCGCTTGCCGTGGGAGGCGGATCGGCGTCCTGGCGCAGGGCGAGGATGCGGTGGTACCCAGAAGGCGTGAAGTCGGCGAGGTGGAACGAGATCTCGTCTTCATCATCTTCGTCGTCGGACAGGAGAGAAATGAGTCCTGGGCCAGAAGCCTTAGGTTTCTCAGGCCGCGGCCTGCACTTCGGACGAGGCGTCGATGGCGCCAGTGGGGCAGACTCGGCCGTCTGCGGTGACTTTGCTGAGGCTGATCCATCTTCCGCGGGGGCTGTCGACGACGCGACGACTGGTGACGGTTCCTCTATGAGACCAGGTAGGCCTTGAAGGTCATTACCAGGCCCATTCTGGCAACGGCTTCTGAGCGGCTGACATTCTGCTTTTGACGTAGCTTTTTGCCCGCGCTCCTCTAATCCTTGTTCTTCTGGCCGCTGCCGCTTGCTTCGGGTTCGCCGGTGTAAAGAATGCTTGGCTACGTCAGATGTGCTGCCATAGACCACATGGTCCGGACGGGGTTCCCGGCTTGGGCCGGAGGCTCCTGTTGCACGTGCTGCTGCATCGTGCTCCGGACCCGGCTGTGGCGATATCCGCGCAACTCGATTCCGTTTTCTCTGAAGCGAAGCATCAAGCGCGACTGATGTAGGCGGGGATTTCGACGCCTTCCCGTTATATTCATTTCGTGAAGCACCTTGTGCAGCTAAGCCGGCAGCACCTGCCCTCTCTGACTTACACCGGATGGTGCTCTTCCTTGGCAACAAATTCTCCTCGTCTGAGAATGTGTAGCTTGGATCTACTATGTTCCTTTCGAATTGCTCTTTGGACGGCTTCTGCGGCATGCTCGGTTGTGATTCCTGTGGTGGTTGGCTGCCAAAGTTAGTCGATGCGGGTGCGCCGTTCTGCTTTGAAGTAGACATTTCATACACGCCGGCAAAGGCAGAGGCCGGACCTAATGTCTTCCTCTGGGATACGTCTCTTTGGGTTCTTGGTTCCATGGCTCCAGGGTCGAGGCGTTCTGCGGCCAGCTCAACGACACCAGGTCCAGTCGGTGGCTCGCATGGCTTCTGGAGACCCAGAGACCTACTAGACAAGGGTGGCTCCAGCGCTTGATGCGACGCATCAACTCCCAGAGAGGTTCTGCTGACTGTTTCTGATCCATGATCTCCGTGGTATTGAGCAAACGGGTCGAGTTGGCCAACCTTCCTTGCCTTGATCTCGACATAAAAAGTCCGCCCGGATGGCTTGATGGGGGTGTTTCCAGTGACATCTAAAAAGTCTTCCTCCATGCCAGTAGCGTCTGGATCTTCTTTTGGGCCAGCCAGTTGCTGCTCGGCAGGGTCCTTGGGCTGCCTTGTTTTGCGCCTCGCGACGGTATGCCCTCGCTTTCTTTTGGCATGGCGGGGCGCTTGTTCTCTCTGACAGGGAGAGACCGCGATCGGACTGCTTGCTGAGCGTGACCGCGCCTCGCTCGTCTTTCCCTTAGCCTGCATGCAGTAGTTGTCTGTGTTGGAAGAGGCAGACTTCACGCCGGGCTTTGAAGTTGGCCGTGTGCCCAACACTTTTCTTCTCGATTGGTCCGCCGAGGGTGACGTAGCCGCGATGTTTTCGATCACATCTTGAATCATTTCATGCAAGCCAGGGTCGTTGTCGGGGCTGCTTCCGACGGCGGGGAATTTACTCTTGATCAAGGGCGACCCTTTGGCCCCAAGTAGATTGTCAGGGGCGCCTAGGAGAACATCTTCTTCATCGCCGTCCTGATCTCTGGTCTTGGTCAGGGGGCCGCCCGTCACGCGAGTAACCCGCCGGGTGCCAAAGATCGGCTGCTGCGCCTGCGATACAAAGCGTGTGCTCATAAATGCGGACTGAGGGAGTTCGGGTGTCCGCCATGCAGGGTCCACGACCTGCGTCCGTCGCACCTCCCAAAGGCCAAAGGGCTGACATGGCGGCGTCAGAGACTGGGGAGCCGGGGCCACACCTGAAGTTGGATGCACGACAATCTTGGGATCGCTCCGTGCCGCCACGTCTGATGAGCCATCCCCAAATGCCTCATCTCTGATTCCATGGACGATGAGGTCGTCTCCTGAGCAGTGTGCATCTTCCTGTTCGCCCTCGCCGCCTTGTCCGAACTCCTGGACGGCTGTGATGGACTGGAGATGGCCATTGTCCACGACAACCTGGCCGGTTCTCAGGTCGATTTCGTCACCAATGCCAGTGAAATCCTTGCCGTACTTTGAGAATATGCTCTCAAATCTGGATTTGAGCTTATCTGAGGCACGCGCCCTGGCTTGTTCGAGCTGGTAGACAGGGTCTCGCCTCTGGTTGAGCTCATTAGGCTCGCACTCGAGCTCGTCCTCGTCCTCGTCGTCAGTGCCAAGAGAGTCAAGCGCGATCCTTTGTCGCTTGACAGGACGTTCCATAGTGGTGACCTCGTGGGTGGGATCATGGCATGGCCCCGTGGCCGAGGGGTTGCGGCGAGGATGAAGGACTCAATCAATTGATGAGACGCGACCAGACCAGACAAGAGAGGCAGGCAGGCAGTGCCCTTGCCCCTTGATGCTGTAGGGCTGAGTGTGGGGAAAGCTTGGGGTTGCCTGCCCGCCACCCCTGCCCGCCACCCCTACCCCCCAAGGTACCTACTCCTCCACCTGACTACTTGGACTCCTGTCCTGTTGATGGCCGACGTTGCGCAGCTCGCACGAGCAGCATCTCCAGAATGTACTGCCAAAAGTGCCGAACGCCTCTCAGACTGGACAGCTCCCTAGAGGACCTGAATCCGGCAGCATACGACCTACTTGTCGGTAAGCATGTCTCCCCGTCCTCACCCTGGCCACGCGCCACAGTCGGGCTGCCGTGCTTAAACTCGGTTCGCACCCCGTAGCTTCGTCCCGGCCGCCTCCGAACCGACACGCCGCCTCCCGCAACGCAAATCCACAAGATCAAGCCAAGAAGGCCCTCTATGACCGTGTCTCCAAAGACGCCGGTCCGGCCACGTTCAGGAAGCCCACAGGCGCCATACGAACCGGCGATGGGCAACAACGAGACAACCCAGGCATGTCCTTCATATACCTGACAGAATCCCAGGTCGGCAACCCCAGCCGCTTGCCCAGCCATCACGCCTCACAGAAAGCGGCCGGGGACGTGACGGCAGAAAATGGTGGTTCCAAGTCACACGAGATGGAGCGCATCGCCAAGCTCCATGAGATTCTCTCGGCGAGGTCGGATGTGGACCATCCGGTATGCGTCGAGTGTACCGAGATTCTCGTGGACGGTCTTCAAAAGAAGCTCGAAACGGCGAACCGCGAACGGGAGGCATATGTGGCGTACTTGAAGGAGTTGCAGGCAGAAGCACCGACGGCCGACGAGCTCAAGGCAAGCGAGGAGTCCCTGGCAAGGACGAAGCAAGGCGAGGTGGAGGCTCTCGCACTGTTGAAGCAGCTGGAGGCGGAGAAGGCGCAGCTGGACGAACAAGTCCTGCGGCTGGAAGACGAGTCACGCCAGCTCGACGCCGACGAGGAGCAGTTCTGGAGGGATCGCAACGCATTCGCGATGAAGTTGACAGACTTCCAGAACGAGCGCGACAGCATCAACTCCAAGTTTGACCACGACTCGCGCCTGCTCGAGAAGCTCCAGAGGTCCAACGTCTACAACGACACGTTTTGCATCAGCTTTGACGGCTATTTCGCAACCATCAACTCTCTGCGGCTTGGCCGGCTGTCTAACAAGCCTGTCGACTGGCCCGAAATCAACGCAGCCTGGGGCCATGCCCTCCTGCTGCTCGTCACGGTTGCCGATAAGCTCGGCTACCAGTTTGAGGGATACCAGCCTGTGCCCATGGGCTCAACCTCCAAGATCATCCGCTACGACCCGGTGTCCCCTTCCTCCAGCCGGCTCGGCGGCCACAGGAACGCACCTCCGCCCGCACCCAAGAAGCACACACTAGAGCTCTACTCATCCGGCGACATGCCTCTCGGGCTCACATTCATGCATCGAAAGTTTGACAACGCCATGGTGGCGTTCCTAGAACTGGTGCGGCAGCTCGGGGCGTTTGTTGAGAAACAGAATGCCAGTGACGGGCTCGGTGATCAGGCCCTAATACTGCCGTACAAGATCGAGGGCGACAAGATCGAGGATGTCAGCATCAAGCTGGGTCTGGCTCAGGATGACAGTTGGACCCGGGCTTGCAAATTGGCCTTGACATGCTGCAAATTCCTGCTGGCTTGCACGAGCAACTTCAGCGCGGAGAGGAGCTCTGCCGGTCGGGGCGGAAGGGAGAACAACGGAGCCACGGCCTGAAATACAGGGCAATTCATCTCAGACATCAGCCAGCGTTTTCAGAGCCAGGGGGGGCCGGCCTCGTAAGTTATTGTATTTCTCTTTGCTGGCGCCGTTCTGGATGGAATGCGAAGATGTGTATGAGGCGCGATAGCGGTTGAGGACTAACGGCACGGACTAACGGCACGGACTAACGGCGTTGGAGTGAGGGCATTGGCATTGGAATTGGCATTGGCATTGGCATCGGCATTGGCATTGGGCCTAGCCTTCGCCCTTTATCTTTCTTTCTTTCTCGTTCTTTTTGGGCGGGTCGTTGAGATGAGCTGGTATTGCGCGGTAAACAGACATTGCCGCCCCTCCCCACCCGGGGGAGGCAGGGGTTGGGGCGCAAGATGACCATGTGATATTGAAGATATGAACACAATCTGTGGCATCGAGCAAGACCGATGCTATATCGTCTGCATGGCCGTTTTCTGACGGTTGGTGGCAGTTAATAGATGTTGGGATGAAAGATATTGGCGTCAGGGGGCCGGTGACAATTACACGGCAACCGCACGTGGGACGCGTAAATGCACAGAGCTGAGACGTCAGCGACCATGCTGTGGCCTGCGGATGCAGGGGGCTGATTCGTTCAACCGGGTTCGCCTGTTTGAAACTTTGTGAAGTGCCGCTCATGTTCCCGCGAACACTGCTGATTGCGGTGCATCCCATTTTCTCCCTGTAGCTTGCTTTGGACTGCCACTGCCACTGCCGCTGTCACTGCCGCTGCCATCGCCGTCGCCGTCGCCGTCGCCGTCGCCCGCGCTGAGCCAAGATGGCTCGGATTGGCCACGTCAGGTTGGAGAGGCGGCTTGCCTGGCTCCTGGCGTCCATGGCTGCAAGCATCATCTGGTTCGTTGTGTATAACTACCACGGCGGCGGCTCACATCTCGGCTGGGGCGGCAGCCCGCAAGACATGCAGCTACCGCTGGCCGTTGCCGGACCGGAAAGCGCCGGCCGGGGCCCGGCCAGCCAAGCAGGCGCTGCTCGCCTGCCGGCATGGATCGAGACGCCAAAGGTGTTCGACGTCGCTGAGATCCCCGACTACGTGCCGCCGCCTTTCTCGCTGGGCACGCCCATTGAGCTTTACCCGCAGCTCGCACAGGCCGTGGACAGGTTTCTCTCAAGGCCCGTCCTCACACACGAGCAGGCCTCGAAGCAGAACCAGGCCGCCTGCCCCTCCGAGCAGGCCGGCGCCCAGGTCAACGCGGACCAGCTCGGAAACGACCGCCAGAAATGGCTCGCTGTCGGCCCCGACACAATCGAACGCATGCGCAGGGGCGCCCTCGACTATCTCGAGCAGCACACCGCCGCCGAGGGGGAGGCTGCCCTCGTGGGCCCCGGCCTCCGCCTGGACGGGAGCCCCGTCCGGCAGGGCTCCCGCGGCATCGTGTTTGCCGCAGGGAACCACAGGACCGTGGACAGGGCCATAGGGTGTATCAAGGAGCTCCAGAAGCTCGGGTGGCACCGTGGCGACATAGAGGTCTTCCACTTTGAGGATGAGCTGACCGACGACGGCCAAAGACAGCAGCTGAGAGACCTCGGGGCGACCCCCCACGCGGTACGTCCAGGCGCCCCTTGCCCTCCTTGCCCTCCTTGCCCACGATGCTGCAAGTGCTCACATCAGCCCCAGGTCTCCACCAGGAAAGCCCCCGGCCGGTGGAAGAACTTTGAGCTCAAGGCCGAGGCCATCCTCCGCAGCTCCTTTGACGAGGTGCTCTATCTGGACTCGGACAACTATCCCCTGTCCCACGTGGGCGCGCTCTTCGATTCGCCCCTCTTCTCCTCCGAGAGAGGCGGGCGGGCTGTCTTCTGGCCTGACCTGAATCGTGACCACCCAGACAATGCCATCCACCGCCTGCTCGGTATCCCTTGCCATGACGCCTGGGAGCTTGACAGTGGCCAGATTTTGATCTCAAAGTCCGGCAACGACGGGCTGAACCTTGCTGCCTTGTATCTGGCCCAGTACATGGCCGAGGAGGGCGATTTCTGGTTCAGCGGTGGTGACAAGGACACGTTGTAGGTCCATGGACCTCAAGGCTGAGAGCTGCCGTGCTGATACTCATACAGTCGCTATGCCTTCCTGGCTCTTGGTCTGACCTACACGCCGGCCCCGCGCTGGCTCTCACTACTGGGCAACCGCGACCCCAGGGGCGACTTTTGTGGTGCTGCCATGCTTCAATATGGTCTTGATCCGCCCAGAGACGGGCATGCTGATCCGGCCGACCCGTCGCACCCAGAACCGCTGTTCGTGCACGCCAACCTGCTCAAGCACATGAGTGGGGTGCGTCCCGGTGGCGTGTTCCCCCTGTTCAGACGCCTGGTCCCGGGCCAGGACAGTGTTCGCACCGACCATCTCCCAGCTACAGCCCTTCATAGTGTCGCCGGCGGCGGAACCGACGTAGTGGGCAGGGGCCTGTGCAGCGACATCGTCGCATTCCGAGGCGGGGCCGACATAGAAACAGCTGATACCAGAGCGCTCTTTGGAGGTATGATGAAGGATTTTGAGGAGCGATTCTTCAGTTATGGCGCCCTTCCCGGTCTCTGGCGCTACTAGCCTATACCCGGCTGAGAGACAGCATGTCCTAACTGACGAGCCGTGCATATCAATGTCGTCGCTGCTGAGAGGCGTTCCCAACCCCAGCCAAAGACTCGAGCCCACAACAGGACACTCACACCGGCCGCGCTTTCGCAGACGCTTGAGCCATGTGCACACTTTGAGAAGTGGATACAAGACCCAGATGCTCTGTAACTCTACCTAGGTAATCTCTTGCGACAACGGTTCTCAAGTCTTGGTCGCCTGATCAAAACAGCGCTGGCCAAGTGTCGACCAGCACAGACAGGCCTCACAGCTGACAGGTGCTGTTACTTGGTCGGAACCTCTCCTGCTCACTAAGCACTTCCTACCACTGTCTTCACACAGATACAAGAGCAACCCACCCCGCCCCCCGCCCCCCGCCCCTCACATAAAGCGGCCTAGCAACCAAACTAAACACGGCCACTCTCACGGATATAGAAACGCTCAGCATCAAGAGTGACTATGGCGAGGACTCGCTGGGGGGGAGGGTGTAGGAGGCCTTGCCCGGAGGCCGGTTGGATCGCGAAGCCTGTCAGCCAGGGAGAGGCTCTTGATAGGCGATGACGGAGGTGTGGCAGGCGTCGTGAGGGCAGCGTGAGGAGGGCCGGCGGAGTGTAAAAGGCGTTCCGGCATCGCTATGGAGCCTACATGAGGCGGTGTGCCAAAGAGAGGCGGAAGTGGTAGCGCCGGGATCGAGGCCCGCCCTGCAAAGACGGCGGTGTTATGGGGAGAGTGGGTCAGAGCCCTGGCAGGCGCAGACAAGTCGCCGAAGGCTGATAGGGATGTCGTCCGGGGGGGAGGCTGGCCCGGGGCCAGCAAGCCCCACTCCCACCTGGAGGAGTCTCGGGTCAGCTGTCTTGCCCTGGCGTGGATGTGCAACATCTGGGCATGGGGTGCGGCATACCAACGCAGTGGCTTTGGGGGAGGCACAAGCCACTCTGGATAGGAGCGGGCAACCTCGTGCGCACATTTGCACTCGTTGTGGAGGTGGTGCAGAGGAAGGCCGTGCCGCAGTGTCTCGAGAGCCGCGTCGAAGTTCTGGTACATCTGCTTGTAGTTGGGCAAAGTCGGCCGGTGCCGCACCTTGTGCTTCCTCTCTAGGGCCTGGCCAAGCTCCTGCCTCAGGCTCTCATTCTCCCGTCTCAGGACCTCCAGCCTGCGCCTGTTCTCTTCGAGCTGCACCGAGAAGCCCGCGATGGAGCACTCTAGTTGGTGGAGCTCGTGGTCCTGGGAGAACCACCAACGAACAATGGCATAGGAGGATGGGGCCGTCGGGGTCGGGTGTGGAGGAATGAACATTCCAGGTATGACTGGGTGGACTGAGAGGCTTCCTGGTCAGTTGGGGCCACAGTTGGAAGCGATCGAGAGTCCCTTTGTCCCTCTCGATGCGTTTAGCAGGCGCAGCGTTGGGGGCTGAACAAGAGCGGGTCAACCTACTATCGTACCGGTGCCCGCTGACATGGGGCGTGTAATGTCTGACCTTTCCCATAACTGTGCCGCTGTCAGGAGCCATAATTCATACGCCCAAGAAAGGCACCGTTGAGGCAACATGGTTGAACACCCAACAGGTCCCACTTTAACCCTCATCTCCCAAGGTGAGAGTTCAACAGGAGCACCGAAGGGAAGAAGCAAACTGACTGAAGTCCTCTGCATCGCAGATCTCGCCGAGGATACGACCATTGTCCCAGTTGCGCATCTTGACGTCCTCTCCAGCGTTGATGAGCCTAGCTCTCATGTTGAGCTCCTGAAAGCCCGCGTTCCTGACTTTTCGCAGGAACTCCTCCTGCAGGCGGCGGTCGATCCACCTTTTGACAGGCACGCGCTCTGCGATGGACTGGGAAAGTCCGCAGATTGCGCACCAACCGAGGACGAGAACAGCAGCGCCGGTGCCGTAGATGATGGCCGCATAGGCGTAGTAGAGGAGCGCGCAGGCAATTTCAAAGCTGGCGCTGAGCATGCCAATGAGGTGGCGAAGCAGTTCCATGGTCTTGCCTGGCATTCTGGACGACGGCTGTCTGTCTCTGATAGGACAGCGGGCTGCTGTGCTGAAGGGTAGGTCCACTGGGAAGTAAAACGTGCCGCAATCAGGCAGATCATTAAAAGGAAAGTTGGTGGCACTGTGGAAAGGCAATCGAGTCGCGATGTCGGTGCCGCCTGCAGAGACCAGGGCACAAAGTGCTAATCGGAGTGAGACGCTTCAGACAGGACGTAAAGAGAACTGGGCCGTTTGTTCTTTTCACGTCAAGCCTGGTATGAGATGCTCGCAATACCGAGGGTCAAGACTCAACCAGGACGACGCTGACCTTGAGCAGCTGTTCACATCTCAGGAATTTCCATTGCCCAAGATGCCACAATTGAGACAATTAGCAAAAAGAGGTCGGCCAGCCTAAAAAGGCCAGCCAGGAAGTGTTGCTGGGGTCAGCTAGAATAAGGCTTTCTTTCGACTACACAATGCAGACAATACAAATCATTTCAGCTGATGCCTGGGTACCCTCTGGAACTGGTAGCATTGCACCAAGTGTGTGGGAATGCTACAAATAATCCTTATTCCTACCATTGTTCACTTCTTCCCTCGGACTAGCAGCCTTGTGTGTAAGTCTGAGACGACATTGACCCATGTTTCATTTTCCTTCTCTTCTGGACAATCAACACGCTGCCCCATACGGCTTGACAAGAAGTCTGCCATTTTGCCCGCATTGAACTGCTCGCCATAGACAACAACTGCTTGAGCTGAAACGATGAACTCGAGGCCATCGCTAGCGACAGAGCTTCGAACGACCAATTTGACATCAACTTTGGTCTGAAGTGGGGCCAGAAGTAAGGTCGAGGTGATGGAGATTGAGGAGTCCGAGGTGCGAGCTGTTGACGTTGGAAAAGCCAGGTTGAGCTGGTAAATCTGATTGCCCAGTGCGTTCGCGCGGTCCCAAGTACGGCTCACTACTCCAAGCATGTAGCTCACTTTCGTTTTGGACTGAGGGAGGCAGCGGAGATGGTCGCGTACGCACTCGAGACAAAACTCCTTGTCTGGTGTCAGCGGCTTAGGGTCTCGAGTCCTGTTCGCTGCGATGTACCAGACATCGATGCGAGAGTTCTGCTGCCCCGCCTTGAACGACGTGGTGTCGAACACAAGCTGGATCTCCTGGCGGTAGGATACCGATACACTAGTCCCTACCACTCCTGTGATTGCCCAGCCATGTCGCTTCTCAAGTTCGTCAACCTTGGCTTTGAGGGCGCTGATTTCGGCAGAGCTCCAGCCACGGCATTCTTCTCTGGCCCTTTCGGCTTCCTTGATGTCTGCACTATACCGTTGTTTCTGGTCCGCGAGCTGGTCGACCATTTGCTCGCTAGCTCTGAGTTGTTCTCGAAGCTGTGCGATCTCTTCGTTTTTGAGCTCGATGTCATCTTCCACAGAAGCGAGGTCTGTGCGGGCGGATTCGAGTTCCTGAGGGTCACAGTCCTCCAGCTCACTGACAACAGCATCGAGATCCTCATACTCTCTGGCTAGTGTGTCTAGCTGCTTCACCATCGCCGGCAAGACGGAAGACAGGAGCTTCTGTTTCTTGTCAAGAAGCTGCTCATCAGCTACCATCCCTTCCGCAATCTTGACCAGGCCCTCCCTGAGGCCGTCTTGCAATTTCATTCTCCAGTCGTACCACATGGCCTTGCTGAGTAGCCGCGCGTTGGTCTTGACGTTCTTGAACTGGTTATCCATGAGATTCTTGAACTCTGGTGAGGCTGTGATATACTCGCGGAACAAGGGTGGATTTTCCTGAAATGTTTCTGTTTCGATCTCGCGGACGATTTTTCGGCCTTCTGAGATGTACTTCTTCAACTCTCGACAGCAATGCTGGAATAACTCGAGCATCGGCACAGTACAAGCACTTGCAACCACACATTTTTCCAGAGAAAGGCTGTCTTTGTCTCCGGAGATGCTGTTCTTGCGGGCTGAAGGCAGGATGGTGTGTCGTCGCTTGGTGGTCGTCAGCTCCATGAATCGTATGCTGGTCAAATTTAGGAAGTCCTGCAAGTGGATCCTATCTTCGTCTTCGTCTGGCGGTTGCAGATCCGCAAGGTCTGCCAGGGGAGTAGCATGGAACGTGAATGTGGTGGTCGGCAGATCATTCTCTATATCCCTAAACCGCCCTTGTTGTTGAGGAGTCGCCGCTTTCGATTCTGGCGGCACCGTCGTGGGTGTGAATGTCTCATCCTCCGTGCCGCCTGGCACGCGATTAGGTGGCAATGTAGGCCGAGATCCGGTCGTCTCGGCTTTGGATGGCGGTTGTTGTAGTTTGATGTTTTTCACTGGGCTTCCCTGATGTCCTCTGAGCCTCTTGATGCCATCTTGCACTTCGACGTCGCTATCATCTTCCAACTCAGAAGGGCGTTTCCCCAAGAGGCCCTTTGCACTGCCGACGTGCAAGCTCTTCCGGCCTCTCACGGGATTCTTCTTTGGAGATAGGCCCTGAATCATCTCCTTCAAGCTAGAGGTGACATCATCGACTTCTTTCTCTAGGATGCGTCGACCGCTTTCACGGTCCTGCTCGTCACGGCGCTCCCTGTCAACCTCCTCTTCCATAATCCTGGGATCATCAAATGCCACAGACTTGCCATATTGCGGAAGCTGGACCGGACTGAATGTGGCAGCTGTATCTCCGATTGAACTACGTCGGCCCAAAAGCTCAGTGACACGTGGTGATCCAATCCCGCTTCTGTCCACTCCAAGGCCCGACAGCTTTGGCCTCTGTGGTGTCAAGACCACCAGGGGTGTCCTTGAACCAGTTGTGGCATCCCGCTGGAATAGGCTACTGGATGGCCTGGCAGGCGATTTGGACAATGGCGTGGACTTTGCGTGATGTGCAAAATTTCTCGACGCCGGGCCTGGACTCTTAGACGTCGGTGTGCGGCTGCTACTTCGTGCAGGACTACGTGGTGATGCCGGTGATGCGGGCCCTTGAGAGCGTGTCTTGCGTTGTGATGCGGGGCTGGCGCTTTTAGGGGGAGACTTTGGCGCGGCAGGGAACAGGAGTCCATTACTTCGTCGCTGCTTTTTGCCGCTCAGACCAGACAGGTTGGGTGAATCTCCTGCCGCGGCCAGCACTGATGATTGCTTTGGTGGAGACCCTATGGCGGTGAGATCAGATGCCGTGGCCGTCTCAGGTTGATCGGCCTCTTGCTCCATGAGCTTCTTTGCAGCTGATCTTTCCGCTGGAGATACAGGCTTGGCGATCGCCCCAACAGCTGCAGTCAGCTCCATAGTCGTGGTCGTGACGTCTTCAGCGTCGGCGTCCAAGCCACCCCTTGCGTTGCCTGTGGAAAGAATGCGGCCCGTTCCTTTCGTCCCACCAAGGGTCTTTTGCACCGATCCATCACCACCGTCGACAACGTCCGCTGGGTCCTTGACAGGCGAGGAGCTCAAGTGCAAAGACTGTCTCAGCTGTTTGTTCTTACCACCCAACACACGCCCCATGACGGTGGTGAGCTCCATCGACATCTCCTCATCGCTCGGAATATCTTGGTCATCGTCGGATGGCAGAGGTTTTTGTATGCCACCCACGGCTGTGGTAAACTCCATGGTTTGTTCATCCTGAACCGATCCGTAGTCTTGTGTCGGAAGCTGTAGCTGCGGAAGAATGCCACCATACACGTTGGTAACATCCATTGACATATCCTCCTGGCCTGCTTGATCTGGTGATGACGGAATAATTTGTTCGATTATGCCACCCATAGCATTAGTAACGTCCATATCCACGTCCATGTCCATTTCCGTGCCTTCAATGACATCGGACTTCTCAGGGCTCGGCTTGAGAGGGCTTGACTTGAGAGGACTTGATGGCAGTTCTTCCTCGGATGGAGGGCCTTCGGCAACGATAACAGCCTCTCGCTGCTCTCTCGCTTTTCTGCCCCAGCCCTTGAAGCCTGAAATGACCTCCTCGTCCTCATCAGGCTCTCGTGCTTGATTGACTGCTCGCCGAGCAGCCTCTCTTAGTGCACCGTCCAGACTCGAGGCTGTGTTGTCGGCTTCATCACCATACCTGGTCGATGCTAGAGATGCAGAAGTCATCTCTTCGGCCTCCATTGTCATCATCGTCCCGTCGCTGTCGGAGTCACTTTCCGAGCCCGATGCCTCTATTTGGACCTCTGCAACATCGTCACCTTCATCCGAGTCTGAGTCATAGATAGTGGACGCGATCGTGTTGTCGTCTTGAGCGTCAAACTCGTTCCCAGAAGGCAGGCTTGAGTGGACCCTCCTGCCGTTCCTGTGCCGCTGATCCTCTGGAGACTCTGCTACCGTGTCCTCGACCTGCTCGGGCGGCGTAGAAGGTGCGTCCGATGGGTCTGGGTCGGACTCGTCTGCTTCGGGTCCGCCTTCACGGGGCGCAGCGGTTGATGACGCCCTGGGCGTTGAGTCCGTGGACGCTGTAGAATCTTGCATGTACTCGACTTCATGAAAGGTATGTAGGGTGGCCTCGGCGGCGAACGAAACTCGACGGTTTGCAAGAGACTTGCGGCGCGCCTCTCTCCTGTCCTTGATTTCCTTTTCCAGGGCTGCCCTCTCACGCTCCTCACGCTCCCGCTCCCGTGCTGCAGCCTGCTGTTCCTCCTCCGTCCGCAACGCAACTTTGGTACCCGAAGAGCCGAGATCGTCGCCGTTCAGCAGGTTCGGTTGGTTCTCGACATCGAGTGCGCCTGGTGCGTAAGAGTGTCTCGGTTTGTAGCCTGGTATCTCGGCTAGAGGCATAGTGGGCTTGAGGATAGACCGGGGCAGCGGGCGGGGGGGACCTGCCAGTGACTATGGCCATGTCAGAAGCCGTTAACACAGTGGACGATATGAGAGTGCTACCACTCGACGGTTCCCAGAACCTGCCTTGAGAGCATCTAAACCTCCAGGCCCCATGCTCTTGCTGCGCGACTTTGATTTCTTCCTGTTGTCCGCCAGCGTGGTGCCGGCGCCGAGGTCCACCGTCGCATTGTCCCGCTCCACGGCACTGATCGACTTGCGCGTGGCCCGGCGCGTGGCCGAAAGTGTGGTGTCACCGCCCATGGCTGGCTGTTCTTGAAGATGTATCAGCGAAAGACGCGTCAGTAAAGCGAAAGCAAGATTATTTGGTCATGATGTCGCGGTGTTGCATCGGTATGGCGGTTGTGATGTTTGTTGGTTGCTCGGTCGGTCGGTTGCTACATTGAGCCGGCGGTATGTATGTAAACAAGTCGCCTACTAGGCGCGTTCTGGTCGAGCAAACGCGCGGGCATTGGGGGGGGGGGGTGGCAAAAGCGTCCGCTAGGGAGGGAGGGGGTGGGGGCCCAAGAGGGAAGCGGTAAACTCCACACCGCACACTAGCTGACTAACCAGCCCGAACCGGCCCCCAGCAACCGATTAGCGCTTGCAGCTAAGTCGGCGAGGCGGCGAGACGGCGAGACGGCGCAGGTTTTTCCGAGCTGGGGAGGCAAAGCACTGATTTTTGCCAACCAAAAAAACAGCGCCCCACTCTGGCGACTCACCCATCATTCTGCCAGCAGCTTGTCGGTCAATTTGTGAGTGTCTCCTGCCTCTCCAGCATTGCGAATCTCGGGTTCTTTATGGATTTGTGACGCTTCGTTCCAACGGTCAATCGAAATCGGTGAACTAATCCCAACCCTCTGTTTTCGATAGAATCGCGACGTTGCCAAACCAACGACTCTCGACAAGAAACAAGCGCGACCGGCAATTCATCCGCAACCATGGCTACCGAGCTGACCGTCCAGTCGGAGCGTGCTTTCCAGAAGCAGCCTCACATCTCTCTTGTCACCAAGAGCAAGACCAAGCGTCCCGGCAAGGGTGGTGTGAGTGACCTCGGAACAACCGTTGTCAGGCATGGTGTTGAGGGACCGCATCCAAAGCTGACGATAATCAACAGCGCCGGTGGTACAAGGATGTCGGTCTGGGCTTCCGTACCCCCAAGACTGCCATTGAGGGCCAGTACATTGGTACGTGAATTGAATGGCCAGGGCGATTTTGTCCGACGAATTCCTTGGGGTTCTGCCGTCTAGAGATGTGGTTTGCGAGCAGCCTGCCTCCTGGAGGTGGGGCGCATGGGAGTTCGAACAATTGCTGACAACAATTGCTTTTACAGACAAGAAGTGCCCCTTCACCGGTCTCGTCTCTATCCGTGGTCGTATCCTGACGGGCACTGTTGTGTCCACCAAGATGCACCGGACCATCATTATCCGCCGCGAATACCTCCACTTCATCCCCAAGTACGCCCGTTACGAGAAGCGACACAAGAACCTCGCCGCCCATGTCTCCCCTGCCTTCCGTGTTGAGGAGGGTGACCAGGTCACCGTGGGACAGTGCCGGCCCCTGAGCAAGACTGTAGGTCTCAGAATGAATAGCCCGTGCCGGGGAAACACACAAGGCTGATATACGCCATACAGGTCCGATTCAACGTTCTCCGTGTGCTGCCCCGCACCGGCAAGGCCGTCAAGAAGTTCTCCAAGTTCTAAAAGGGTCGAATGAGTGGGATCTCCTTTGGCATTTCTGGCGTCGCTTGCTTGATGGTTTTTACAAAGAAATGGGCGGCGGGTCAAGGGGCGAACTGCAAAAGGACACGAGGATGCCTTTAGTGCAGGTTGGAATGAAAACGAAATCGGCATTACCCAAGCCTCCTGATGACGAGCGGGCACACACGAGGCCATTGTGATATCGTCGACGAGCAGTGGGACCGAGGTCTCCGTCAACGAAGAAAAGAGATCTCAAACACGAATGGGGTCCATCACTGCCTGAACCGTCCGAGGAGAGGGCAAACCCGTTCACTGAACGTGCTCAGGCCGAGCCGATCACATTGGAATATTTGCGACATGGGCTTAGCGGACACGCCCCCCCCCCCCCCGGGGGCCCGGGAACGACTCGGACATATCATGAATGTAGAAATGCAGGATTGAGAGGCCGGTTCCGTTTCCAAGCACAATCATTCTAATCCTCCCAAGCCTGAGGTGTCTCTGCACAGCGCCAAGAGTTCTGGCTCACTCCTCAAATGCCGTGACATCGAAATGACAAGTGGAGCCCATATGGTACGTATTGTACTGTAGAGGTAGGAGGGAAGACCCAATGCACCAGGTGCCTTCTGGAACTCCTGGGGAAAATGGATGCGCCCAACCCCCCCCCCCCCCAATCGTAGTTGTGGGCCGTCTTTTGGTTTCCCTCTGCTCGGTCGCCTGGCGTAGACCACCCGTTCAGCGCTTCGGCACGTGATTGGCGCGACGAAACCCCCCCCCCCCCCAACCCCGGCCAAGCTCATCCTTGTCGAGTTAGGATCGTATTGATTGGGCTCGATTTTGCCGATTCGCTGCCGACATGTTTTCTCCCGAGCCACACGCAGTCTTGATGATGCACACATAACGCACCTCCCTTGAAGCTTTAAGGATTGACGAGCGAGATGGGCTGGCTCGACTCACTTTGGGGAAAGAGGAGTGACGATCCGTTGCAAGACCTTGACCCCAAAGTCCGCGAATTCCTGCGCAAGGAAGTTCCCATCAAGTACGACGGCAGCAAGCCGAAGGAGGATGGACAAGGTCAGCAGGCGATAGAGGGAAAACCGGGTTCAGCGACCACACCCACCGATCAGACAGAAAAGCCCAATCCATCATCGAACACAGTACCAAAGGAATCACTCTACCAGGACGGTCGTTATGCGCACCTGTGGAAGACGTACAAGCCGCTGGGCGAGATCGAGAGCGAGACCAAGTCAGACCACGAGAAGTTGCAGGATGTGCTAGATTCTTTCAAAGGCCGCAAGGCGGCGATCGGGCAGGCAGCCTTGGAGAACTGCTCCGAGGAACAGCTCGACTGGAACAACTGCATGAAGAGCGGGTCACTGAAGGCGCGCATGACCATGTGTAGCGACGAAGTGCGGAAGTTTGAGAGATGCTACAACATGCAGTCGGTAAGTTGATGGTTCCTATGGCGTTTGAGGATGGCTGGAAAGCTGACAAGGGTGTGAAAGAGACTTCTAAAGGCCCTAGGCTACATCAATGCGGTTGATCACTCTCCTGAGATGGATGAGAGAATACAAATGCACGCGGACAAGCTCTACCACCAGATGCTCGAGCAAGAGGCTGCCATCGAGAAGGCCAAGGCGGAAGGGCTGCCCGAGCCCAAATTCGAGCCTTTTGTGCCCAAGGTCAGCCATGACCGCGTCGCGAATATGAGCGAGGAGGCGAAGAAGAGGTACCAAGACGCGCTAGCAAAGGTGGACGAAAAAGAGCGGGAGGCTGAGGCGGCTGCGATACAGGCCGAGCTGAGGTCCAAGGAGGCTATGGTGGGCAGGGTGAAGGAATTGTGGAAGGAGCAGGAGGCGGAGAGGCAGGCCCGCAAGGCAAGGGGCGAAGAAACCTTCAAGGACAAGGTGGCGGCAGTCTTCGGCACTCCTAACTCAACATCGGACAACAAGAAGTAAGGCCGCCGTTATCTGATCTGAATCTGGGCCGCCACACCCGTGGGGCTTCGAGGGCATCTTGTGGCGCCGGGATTGTATTTGAAGCCAACCACGACCGCGGGAGAGAACAGAGCAGCTGCAACGACCGGAGCTACAAGATATCGGGCCAAATCCATCATTGGATAGTGTCCCCTTTTCAGATCAGCATCTCTCTCCTGCCCGATCTCTGTCATCACTGTCACATCTTCAGGACACCAGCGCCAATGAGTAGAACCAATGCGAATCCCTAAGCAACAGCCTGGGTCCTTTCACTCCCTCCATCGAATACTCCACGGTCCTTTAGCAAATGAGGGCTCGACAACCTGACCGTTCATAACGGCCTCGCATTTCCTTGTATCTCCCCCTTCCCCGAGGACAAGTCCGAACACGACTGCACGTCTTGCTGCACATCTGACCATTTCTCGCTGACGCGCCTTCTTCTGGCCTCGCTTCCTCTTCTCCAGCATCTCATCCGTCTCGTCGATTCTTTCCGCGCGGCCCTTTTCACCCCCCACACTGCCGTTGACTTCCGACGTGGATTGTGGCGGTCTTATACGCGTTCCACTCCGGACAGACATGCGAGCCAGAAGATCTCCGTCCACATGGGGCGCACCATTTTCCAATGGGTCGGTAACGGCTCCAAGGGTGTCAGGCATCTCTCGAGCCTGTGATGATATCAAGCCGGATGTCAAACCCGCACCAACGACGCTCTCACCATTACCCTCGCTCCCATGGTTGTTTTCTGAGCCAGATTTTGCAGTACCATCTCCGCCGTTTCCAGGGCCAAAGACAAACCTCTCGACCTCGTCGCACGATACCAGAAACCTCTGGTCGCCCTTTGCTCGTTTTCCACCAGACCCTTTCTTTGATTTCTGCGCTTGCTGTTTGCAGCCCTCGCCGAGTGACGATAGTTTCTCCTCACCTTGCACTGCAGCTGTCAGTGTCAGCCATCGAAGAAATAAAAGGGAGCACTTCCATCCAAAATGTGTGGCGGGACGGTGTCCAATGTTGTCATGGCCGATATCAAAGCCCAGCAGCTTAAGAATTGCTTTGAGGTACATGCCACAGATGATAGAGGTTTCTTGAAGTGATCAACATGACATATGAAAGCTGCTTACGGAACCGCAAGAGGACGTCCTCGATCTCACGGTCAACCTTTCCCGGCTTACGGCCCCGGCAGCTAGCCGAGCAGTATTTCACCGGTGTCTTGTTGTCAGCATCTTCCTTCGTCGAGGGTTGTCCTTTTCGCCGCGAATTGATCACCCGACCGCATGAGTGACAGTAGGGCGTGGTCTCGCCACCGGGGAGCAGGTAGAAAGGCGCCGGAACTGACTGGTGCTTTGAGGGTCTTGACCAGCTGTCCCTATGTGTGACGTTAGTCCGGCTGCGGCTCTCAAGTGTGGGGATTTAGAATATTTCAAAATAGCAAAGAAGGAGATACGTGACAGGATCAGAGTGGTGTTTGCATACATCCAGCTCATGATGGCAAATGTGCGCTTGGATGGGGTGATGGGGTTGACCAGGGTCGCCAGCGCGGGACAGCTAAGACAAGCTTCTTCAAAATGAGAGATTGGTCTGGTCTGAATCTGTTTGCTGGCAATATTGAGGAGCCTTGACACTGTCAGCCTGCGTACGGAGCCCATTGGGGCTCTTGGTGGTGTAATCATGGGGGTTTGTCTTGGACTTGATGACTAGTATAGGCGAAGGCGGCAAACCGATATGATATCATAATCATCATCATCATCATCATAACGCTAACCTGCCAAACAGTGTCAAACGACGCGGCCGAGACACATCCTCTACAGATGCATCCCTGAAAGCAGGAACTGTGCAGCACAAATGTCCCGTGCCCTGTGACTTTCTTGGTCTGTCGGTTTTAAGATGAGATACGGTGCAGAAGGAACTTGAGTCCCGTTGCGACCTCCCGGCATGCCCTCGATGCAAATGCTCATTAGTTGGCTAGTGCGAGGGATTAACAACGGTCGCCGGTTATCATGAACTCGAACAATACGACGGGTAAGGTGAAAGACAACTAGCACGCCCTGCTCATCGCCGTTGCTCCGTGTTCGGAAGTCTCTGAGGGTCGGACGCAGCGACCTTCATCAATGGCCACGGCGCCCCATATCATTTTTACCATGGAAGTACGTTGAGTCGTCCTTGCGTGGACAGGCTGCCTGACCTACTCCATCCGCCAGCGAAAAACTCCACGTGTCTCTTCAGAACCACCTCACCTCAGCTACCTTATATGGAGGAGGGGGAACTGGAGGACGATGCTGCACGGGCCGATGTCTGAGGCAATACCCAGGATGACATGCTGATGGCTGATTCTCTTTGCGCACGACCGCGCGCCCGCCATCGTCATCGAGTTCGTCGACACTGTCCCCATGGAGATCATTGAATGGCTATGTGGCATTCGTCCCCTGTCCTAAGCAAAGAGGAGGCAGGCAAAGGACCCTGCTTCCGGTGGATGGCTTCTATTGCATCGATACAGGCGTCTGCAAAGGCGACTTCGCGAGATGACGGAGGCTCTATTGTAGTACCGTGAGTGCCATCTGAAATGGAACAATTGGGGAGTATGCTGCAAGGCACGCAGTCCTCGCCATGTTCGCGACGTCGGCTAAATCATAGTACACAAAGGCATCTATCTATCTGGCTTGCTGCTGCAGTGAGTATCGAAAGGGCTTAAAAATGCGGTGTCCACATGTACCCTCGGTCCAGCGTGGCAGGAATCCCGCTCACAGGACATTGGGCCAGTGGGCTCTCAATGGTTGGCCTTGCTGCAAGGGTAAAGATGCGCCTACTTTACACACATGCAAGTACTAGGACCGCGAAACAACAAGTGAGAAAGCGCGTTGTTGAGAACTATCGAAGCGCAGATGTTGTCCGGCTGAGCTCTTTGCACACTTGGTTGTGAGCTGCAGGAGAATCAAATAAGCATTTGCTGGAAGCTATTGTCAATTTGCACGCTTTCGTCGACGGTTCAAGACCAATTGACTGGCCAATGATTGTCCTGTACCGACGTGGCCGCCCTTCGCACGCGGGAAGAGAGCCTTGGATGTCGAGGAAACCACGGCAATGTCACATATTCTGGTTGTTACTGACCTGGTCCTGGCACCAGGCGAGCCCCAGTGAGACAGTAGAATCGAAGCGTCTCTGAGGCTGATATATGCCCTTGGTAGTCAAGCCTATTGAACTGCAGAGGCAAAGAATGGACCCACGACCCTATAGTATGGTCTGGCCCTGGTGTGGTGGCCTTTTGGTTTCACCACTTTCCTGGGCATGGATTGCGGCTGGTCAAAACTTACTTTATTCACAGAGTGGCCGCAACACCCTTGGACGAATGCCTTTGTCGGCACTGGCATTGTTCTGCGGCCACGACGCAGTCCGCGGGGCGAAAGCAACAGAGGAGTGGTTTAATGATCGGCTGTCTCCGCCATTTGCTTCAGTTGGCCACAGAGTGCCTTATGAGGACCATCAGCAACCACTCTGCAATACGAGCGCCTTATAACGCTGCAACAGCACGCTCCAAAAACGCATTGAAACCCCTGATGCGCCTCAAATTGCCCCCTCCAGGGAGATGGCCGCATGCCTGTTCCCTGACTCTCTCTACGAGCAACTCGAGGTTCGCAAGATCTGCCACTTTCTGGCCTTTGTCTGAAAGCTCGGGTGCAGCCCTGCCCTGCTCGATTGCGAGATCAACGTCGTGCATTGCCGCTGATAGCTTGATGTTGTGCTGTCCACCACATTAGCGGGACGTTGTCAGGGGCAGAATCGATAATCGACAAAGAAAGGCGAGGCATACCAAGGCTTCCTTTCCGTCCTCTTCATGCTTCATCCTGACGGCGTCCATGCGGAGGGCGACCTGCTCCCTCTCAGCTCTTATTTGAATGATCCTCTCCCGCAAACGTAGCTTGCTTTTTTGTGCTTGACGGACACGCTTCCTCAGCGCATATAGGGTATCGAGGGCGATGGTTTGTTCCAGGAAACGGGTCCTCGTCTCCTCTTGGAAAGCCTCCAAGGCTCTGAGCTTCACCCGAAGCTCCTTCTTCGTAGCGACGTCCTGTGCGTTGTCGAAGGTGTCCTGCAATTTGTGATGGCCACTGTTGATGAGTTCCTCGCACATCTGAGCCAGGACATCCACAGCGTTGACGCCACTACGACTCGCGAAGGGTATCTCTGTATTAAGAATGTCCTCTGCCTCCGGGTCGTCTTCGTCCAGACGCCTTGGCCTCGTGAATCGCTGGATCTTCAGAGAAATAGGTTGCACTGTGGCGTCTTGGCCAGTCATCACCCGCGTGGCAGGTTTCTGCTTGCGCGACTTCGCTCGCGGCGCTCTCGGGTGCTTTTGCCTTCCCGGCGACCTCTGCTTTGGTTTGGAACGCGGGATCTTGCGAGGGCGTTTCACACTTGGTTCCTCAGACACCAATCCAGGCGACGCAAGTGCCTTGCTCCGCAATTGGCGCTTTTCCCCCAGGTGACGCGCAACTTCTGTTCCGTCGACCGGCTGTGCGGCTTCGGAACCCAGATGATCAGATGCCGTCCCCTGACCGACGACGCTCTCGTCCACCTCTGCAGGGTTAACCTCGGCTCGTGATGGCAGTTGGCTGTTCGGCGCTGTTGCAGGACCAGCATTCTCAACTGGTGCTAGCGGGTCCGAAAAGGGCGCCCCAACTCCACCGTCGCTGCTGCTGGACAAACGCGAACTTCTCCGTAGGCTCGCACGACTTGACGGTGCCGAGACCGTCGTCGCTGCGGTACTCTTTCTTGACTTTCGCGTCAGAGGCGACGAGGATGGCATCACATCTTGGAGAGCATCGTCGTCGTCGTCGGCGCGCAGAGCAGACTGCAATAGCGCGCTGGATGTCACGGTTTGGACGTGCCGGACCCTCCTCCGTTGGCCACTGCCGGGCTGATCAGTCGGGCTTTCGCCGATCTCCTCAGCGTGCTGGGCTATGGTGAGGGGCGAGGGATGGCGGGCGGCTCGCACGCGAGCTGCAGACCTGCTGTCCGGCAGGCGGCTGGCCGAGGTGCGACTCGGAGGCGTGGGTTTTGGGAGGGGTTCGTGGCCGTCCGCGGTGGCAGGAGCATCTGCGAGGCCACCATGGACACTGTCGGTGGGGGACCGAGAGAGTGGCGGTGACCGCCGGGTCGCGGAACTTGACTGCCTTGGGAGCTGGGCTGGTGAATGTGATTTCGGGACCGGTGCGGAAGTGCCTCGGGGGTCGAGGCGCCTCCTCTTTGCTGACGTGTTTGGGCTGACATGCTGGGTGGCCGAGGGGACCGGCGTGGACGCAGCTGGCTCCGAGGACAAGGCTGCAGTTGCTTGGGCCAAGGGGCCAGGTTCGCGCTCTGGTTGATTTTCGGCGTCCGGTGCAATGACGGGGATGGTGAACAGATCGCCGAAGTCTGCATTCTGGACCTGGTGACGCCTGCGTTGTGACCAGTCAGTCTCTGGCAGTGCAAGGGGATGTACGGTCGAAAACCACTTACGCAGCACCACGCATGCGCGACCGCATACGTTCCTCTCGAGCTGGTCCCCCTAATCAGACATGTGCGGCCACAACAGGACGCGCGCAGGGCAGACTCACTTAGATCCATGCTGCGCCAAATCTCACGACGGGAGACGACGATGGCGAATCGGCCGTGTCGCCATTTGGGCCCCTGGTGCACGGGGGGGCTCTTGTTGTGAAGGTCAGAGTGTGCTTTACATCCGAGTGTAGGGCCGCAGAGGATACGCTCAAGTGACGCGCCGACCGCGACCCGCGAGTAGGTAGGTAGGTACTTAGGTACCTGGGAACCTTGGTACCCACTTGGTAGTCTGGTAGTCTGGTAGTGTACTATGTAGTAGTCCTGACTGCCCTTGCTCTGCACCTGAGCACCCGCGACCGAGCTGACGCGGCCTTGGCGCTCGAAACTGGCCATTACCACCCCCGCCTTCCAAGGCTCTCAGTCTCCCGTGTGTCCGGGCCAACTACAAACCCCTACCTGGGTTGCAAGAGCCTTCTGGTGCTGCGTCGTCATGTCCTCACTCCAAAGAAATGCCCTGCCTGTCCGCGTGCTCCTGATCTGCATGAGCGAGCTGGAGGACACATGCATGCACACTGCCATTGATCCCGGCAAATCCCCCTCCCCCGGCCCCGACCACGAACTGGGGGACATGAATATTTATCTCTGACACCCACCTGCCGACCTCATGTAGCGTTCTCACCAAAGGTCGCGTGCCCTCCCTCCCTCCCTCCCTGTTCGTCCCGCCTGAACGCACCACCCGCCCGAGGAACAAGTTTTCTTTTCCAAGGAGGGTTGAGCTCGCGTGTCGCTCTGACTGTCTGCAGCGACGGCGACCCTGCAGGAACACCTGGCGCCGTCCACGGGCTCTCTGCCGGAGGTGGCCAGGCTTCTCATTCGCCACTCAAACCCCTTGTAAGAGAGACGCTGCCGCATACCCAACAATGCAGCTCACCAAGCCCTTGCTACTGTCTGTACTCGTCTTGGGGACATGCGCGATCCCGTCGGTCCGGGGGGACGCCGACTTCGCCCAGGTGCGGACCAGGCTGCACAAAGACATGAGTGCTAGAGAACATGATCCGCCGGGGAAATATTTCCACGAGTCTCTCTTCCACCCTCACTACGACGGCCGATTCGCCGAGAAGGCCCTCCCCTATCACGAGCAGAAGGCGGCCCTGAAGAACCTCTTGCAGACCTACCTGGCCACGTTCGCGGACCTCGGGGTTGAGACGTGGTTGATGCATGGCTCGCTGCTCGGCTGGTGGTGGGGCAAGAAGATCCTCCCGTGGGACACGGACGCCGACGTCCAGGTATCGGAGGCTGCCATCCACCTGCTGGCTAATTACTACAACATGAGCGTCTTCCACTACAGGACGCCGCGCATCCCCGAGGGTCGGGACTATATGCTGGAGGTCAACCCAAACTATGTCAACCGGGAGCAGACAGACAAGCTTAACGTCATTGACGCCCGCTGGATCGATACGACAAGTGGGCTTTTCATTGACATCACGACTGTTCGCGTCAGTTCAGGTCTCCTCTTGTCACGTCCTCTCCTGTCTGTAATGCTCCGGAGCGCTGCACAATGCACCGCCCACCGGTCCCTAGCAGGTGACTGACCAGCAGCAGTACAACACGACTCACCCCGAAGGCGATGGTATCCTGTCATGCAAGGACGGCCATGAGTTCAGGGCAGGGAAAGCCCCTCCGACGGTATCCCGGCCATCTGCAGGCTAACAGCTCATCAGGACACCTACCTCTACCCTCTGCGCACAACAACATTCGAGGGGTCCCCAGCCAAGATCCCCTTCATGTTCAAGGAGATGCTCGAGTCTGAGTATGGCCCTCGCTCGCTCGTGAACACGGAGTTTGAGGGGTGAGTCAGCTCTCCACCGCCTGTTCCGCTCGAGACTCACATGTTGCAGCCATAAATTTAGCGACGACAAGATGGAGTGGCTGCCCAATATGTTTGAGGGAGAATTGCGACGATAGAGACACGTCAGAGCCGGCGTGCACGCACTATAGCGGGTGGACTTGGGATTCTTTGCGCGGCTGGCCGAGGACAGGAGACTAATGCCCGACATCAAAAGAGGAGGAAAGAGAGAGAGCAACTCTGGAAGGATCGTCATGGTGGTCTGCGTTTCGATGACAGGTTAGGGTTTGGGGTCTGTTGTATACTGTGAGGGTGGCGTCTGTTTTAACGCCTAGGAGCATATTGATACCCATCACGGACATCTCGGCGTTAGCTAGGCGTTGGATAGTCGCAAGCGACGGATTGGGCGAGTTGGCCTGCGTGTGCAATTCAACTGTACTATGTGGCACAGTATGCATCGCAAACATGTGCCACAATGAATGCTGGACCATGGTGGAGACCAGGGTCTTCGCTACCTACCTAGGTACCTAGGTATCTACCTGGGTAGGTAGGAAACAGTGGCCCTAGCCTGCACGACTAGCAAGGATGAGGCGCGTGGGTGACGTCCTCTGGTCCCCGGCCGATACGTTATCCAGGAGCTCCACGTAAGTTGTCTGGCCCTCCTGATCGTATGGCTGCATTCATAGACTCCGTACTCACAGCACCCCAAATTATCTGGCAGCCTGGCCGGACGTACGCAAGCAAGCTCAACAGCCTTTTCCACGGCCGTGCCCAAGTCTTCGAGGGCCCTCATCTCCTCCACAGAGAGCACAGAACTCCCAGCTCACCAGACGCCTCTTTGTTGGACGGTCCATCGTGCCTTTAGCTGTGCTCCCCGAGGCCGCTGATAGAGAGCGGCACTGCTACAACATCGCGACGGCCCCGTCTGCATCGAAGGCAGGGCCACCCTTCGAGCACCGAGCTCCTCCTACAAGGGGAAACCCCCCCTCCCTCTTTTTCTCTCTAGGTCTGCCTGAGCTGCGAGGGGATAATCAACCAAAATGACGGCGTGGAACGTAAGAAATAACCCTAGGCACAGCAACTGTTAGCCACAGCACACCCCAGACTAAGTATTGCGCGCACAGCTCTTCCGCATCGCGGGAGACTTCTGCCATCTGGCGTCCAAGTTCATCCTCATGACCTCGATACACCGCAACCGAAGTGCCGAAGGTATGCGGGACCCCTGGTGCTTTTCTTTTGCATGTGTGCCGCAGGCGGACGCCCGAGCAGAGAGATGGCTAACCAGAAACCACCAACAGGTGTCTCCTTCATCACCCAAGTGCTCTACTGCGTGGTGTTCCTCGCCCGCTACACTGATCTGTTCGGCCGCGGCCAGTATGTGTACAACATAATATTCAAGATCTTCTACATCCTGTCATCATTTTACATCATCGGTCTGATGCAGTGGGTCTTCCCCCGGACCCGCGAGAAGGAGCTGGCCTGGAAGCTAGGCGCGGCGTGCTTTTTCGGCGCCCTCCTCCTGTCGCCATTTTCCATGTTGGTCTTCCAGGGCAAGGATGAGTGGAGCATGTTCTACGTGAGTTATTCGCAGAGCCCCGATGCCTTTGGCGCTTTATTGACCGACCCATCCGCACCGGCCACAGTGGCTCTGGAACCTCTCCTACATCCTCGAGTCCGTTTGCGTCCTCCCGCAGCTCCTCCTCCTTCGCCAGACCACCGTGCCCACCGTTATAGACAGCTACTACCTGCTCGCACTGGGATTGTACCGCGGGCTCTACGTTCTCAACTGGCTGGCGCGCGAGCTTGACATACAGGACATCAAGCCCAAGCCCGTGCAGATCATCTTTGGTCTAATCCAGACCGCCCTGTATGTCGACTTTGCCTGGGTGTACTACACCCGCCAGCGTGTCAAGCTCCGCAGCGGGGGCGTCGTCGACGCCGACGACATGCGACGAAGCTGGCTGCTGCGCCGCATTTTCGGCAAGCACGTCGAAAGCTCAGGCGGTCGCGACGGGGATGATGACGAGGAGAGTGCGCCCGCTCTCGGTAATGCGCGTGGCCCGAAGCGGTCTGCTTGGGGCCGTCGGGGTATCTCAGTCAGCGCAGATGACGGGGTCCTCGAATCTGATGGTGATCGGTTTAGCGAGGAGGAGCACGGCATCTTGGGCGCGGACGGCGAGTCGGTAGACCCAGATGCCAAAATGAAAGATCCCGATGAGCTTGCGTTGGCACTGGATGACGAGGATGACGAAGGTGGAGGCAGCTCTGGAAGCTCAAGGGTACCCGTTGATGTGAGAGGCGGGGACGAGTGGCGCGACTAAGTAAGAGGCCCTTTGACTGACTGACTTCAACTACGATCTTTACGGGTGGGTGAGAGTGCGCCGCGGGTGCACGAATGTTTTGGGGCATCTCTTCATGAATCAACTGCCTCATGACCCCACCGGGATCAATATATTTGGTTCAAGGATCGTCGCGAAATGCCTGATCGGTTTCCAACAATCCTGCGACCTCGTATAGAACCGCGGCTAGCAAGGAGTTCAGGCTTGAAAGAGAGTGTTGAAACGTTCCTGTTTCTAAAGTCACCGAATCGAACGATGCCGGTGCGAAAGATACGGCAGCATATGGGGAGGTCGGAGAGAAACGAGAGGAAATTCATGGTCACCACATGCTATCGCTATCTATCAGACACCATGCCAAATACCTAAGCACTTGTTTTTGATGATTTCCTGGCTGGTAATGATTGCCGTCCGAGGGTTGAAGTTGAAGGCTGCATCAATGAAGTATCCTGTCAGCAAGCCATGAAATGTTGAGCGATGACACCGCAGGACGCAACGAGACTCGGTGGCCATTGCTTGGATTAAGAGGACAGCCAGGGTTTGGTTTTTCCCCCCCTTTTTTTTGGGGGGGGGGGGGGGTACCAGTCATGGGTCGAGTGATTATGATTGAAGTCTGTTGGAGTCTAATCCATTCCCATCAAGAATTTTTACAACTCGTCAGGATTGAGCGCCCCCCTTGCAGTACCTTTCCACTTGCTAGGTCGAGTCCGGGTAGAAATCTCCCAGAATGCCCTCAATAACGCCAATCCACTACCCTGGGTCTCGACAGTCCGGCCACGACCACGGTCGTTGAGATCTTCTCTAAAAACTGATGGGTCCGCTCTCTTCACATGTCGCATCCTATCGCGATTTGCAGCATCCTCACTGTCCTTCGGCCACCGTCTGAAGGTCGTATGCGTGCGGCTCTTTGATGCGACATGCTGGCCGGCTACGTAAGGCTCAGCATGTGGATTGTGATGAGCTTCCGGGGTTGTTGCACCTGTAGGAGTCCGTTTCCATACTGGATCATCAGGTACACCCTCGTTCCTGTAATCCACCGCATTGGGATCTTCAAGGTCGTCCTGAGGTGGCATTTTGTCCTCGAGGCCAAGATGCCCTGCAGTCCACCACATACCCACTAGGCCTATATCGTTCCTTGTCCTTATCATGGCATGAACGTTGTGCCGCAGCCAAGGAGCATAGGATCGGCACTCTGCCAGATGAGATCGCATCTGATCATGCGTGTGTCTACTATGGGCCATAAAGTCCTCCAGTGATAACGACGAGGTGCAGAATGCCGTAAGATGATGGAAGAAAATGCCTTTGAAAGTTTGGCCGTCTTGGGAACAAGAACCTTTGCTGTCACAGGCGTCTTCCATGACACCAGCACGGCCAAGACCACGCCACGGCGGAAGCTTGCTACCTCCCGGTGGCTGGCCATCAGAATTGCTCCTGCCATGTTGGACATGGTCCATCGGTCTCTGGCGTTGTGAATCCCAGCCCGTTGCCTGAATGACATTTCGAACCAGGCGATGGCCGTCCTCGACGTAGGAGTAGTTGCCCGTGATCTTCCAAAGGCTGATCTGACCGGTAAGGATGACACCTTGGTTGTACGTGTAGACCTGCTCATTGCGCACATCACACTTCTTGTTGTCACTCGTAGGATCGTTCCATCCGGAAATGTGGAATCCGTCGACGTAGAGCCCTTGGCTGTTCATCATGCCTGATGCCTCAAGCCATCGGTACCCGTCTTGTGCGAATTCGAGAAAGACAGGATCGTGAGGCCTAAAGACGTCATCACCGCGGGGCCTAGTGAGATGTTCGTCGCTGGAGGTGTTGAGCCCGTTGAAAAAGGGAGAGTCATTCCAATCCCCAGGGAAGTACAGGTACATGGCAGCTGAAGCTGATATGAACAGCTCATTGGTTATGGCGTTCTTGTACGGTTCTAGCCTGGGGTTCCAAGTCATGCCTCCGCCACATAGGTCCCAGTCCCAGCCAGCCTTGGCGAGATTCCAGAATATCCTTGCTCGGTGGGAGAATGCGGGTGTCCAGATATTACCGTGCCACTTTGCAAAACCGGGAGCATCGGTCGCGTCTTGGAAGTTGAGAGTTGTGTGCAGGTCGATGAATTGTATCGTTTCGAGCCAGCCGAGGACGACCCACAGGATGTCATCGTATGCCTCGTTCCTAATGGCGAAGTGGTCCTGCCCGAAGTAATAGCCTAGGATTTGTGAGAAGAAGAGAGTGACCAGATTTTCCTTGTTCCGATCTCCGCCTCTTCCTGAGATTGGAATCAGGTCGAGTGCACGTGATATGGAACCAAGAGCGCCAGAGACGTGCGTGCCCATCACGGCTGCGGTCCAATCGATGGCTTCTGGCCACGTTCCAAGCCACGGAGCAAAGTACTCTTCCTGCATCGTGCTGAGGACTTCCAACATGGGGTCGAGGATGTCCCTATAGGCAGCACTGAGCGATGTGTGGCTGTTGACGTCGTCATGCTCAATGTCCAAGGGCAGGGGCGCTTGGTCAGGAGGCGAGGGCTTCGAGGTGGCCCTCACCCCCAAGGCGCCGAGCAGAGCGCCTTGAAGGACAGTCCGAAGTACCGTCATGGCGGTGTTATCGACGTGCGCTCTGTCTTATGCTAAGGTCCCCGTAGCCTGGGTAACAGTGAAAAAAAAGGACCACTTTTGGTGTGTTCTGCTCATCGAGCTCCAGGCCGATTTGAGACTGTGTGTGGCTCAGCCGAGGACGCCCAGCTTAGGACAGAAGAGATTGAAACATGGAACACTCAGGCCATGTGTATAGCTTCAGGGATATTTGACCTGTAAAGTCCTAAGGCGAGCGGAGTGCCATGTTCCGCAAGGATTGTAAGCCGTAGAAGCCTGCGTCGCGGGACATGTGCGGGTGGCAGGCAGATGACGTTGTTGTTGTTGTCTGATCAGAGAAACAGGTGACAGAAAGTGGATTGACAGACGATGTAGTGCAGGAACGGCGAGGATGTTGTTGAAGCATGCGGGAAATCACAAGAAACCAGCGCAAAAAAACACCACAGGACAGCAGGAAGGGATGATGACGATGTTCCAAGGAACGAAGAGGAGGTCACGCTGTATGGTAGGCTGCTTGGCACGCCCAGAAGGAGGGGAAGCACGGCCCCGGCCCTTTGGACCCTTGGAGTTCTGAACAGTGCCCTCCGCGCCTGCGGGTCAGCGCACCTGCAGCCACCTTCTTGCGACTTCCGCCCGCGGGTTCAGGCCCCCGTTGGTCAGCCCCACCCTACAGATGATGCCTAGGGGAAGGTCGCCAGCAACGTCCTGATAACGTACAGCACCTGGGCGTGCGCTTGTCTCCGTGTGATCAAATTGGTCTTGTGACGCCTCCAACGGCGACGAAAGGCTAGGTAAAGAGGAGCATTGCCAAAGCATGCTTGCATCACACAAAATTATTCCACTTCCAATCCCACATGTGGTGAGCCAGGAATCGTGTCTGGATCTGACGCCCAGATGCTAAGTCTAGGTCAGCTGGTTGGTGACAGGTTTGCAATGTTCTGTACTGTCGATCGTCGTTTGCACAAGCCGCCTTGTCGAGTCTGTTGTTTGTGGGGTAGGTCCTATGTGCCAGGTTGGAGCCCCCTGGGTTAGTACAAGGCAGCTAATGTGCACATGAGATTCAACATTCGAAGTCCATCCGACCCCCTTTGCCCCGAAAAAGAGAACAGCCTGGGAGAGCATCTCGTCTCCCCTTGGGGGTGTGTGCGGGTGGGTGGGTGTGCGGGTTATCGTCCTGCAAGGTTCTGAAGACAGATAGATAGATACACGCACGTGTGGTGATGTTACAAAATTGCACGCCTGAATCTAGTAGGTGGCATCGGGGGCGGCGTAAGCCTTCGGGCACGCTGCATTCGTCTACAGACTTTGAGCCTGGGATCATCTAGCCTGTTCAGTTCTTGGTGACGGACCTATTCGGTATCTGGATGCCCGAGACATATCAAATCGGAAAGAAGACGAACAGGGCCTGCGTTTGCTCCGCAAGCCATAAACATCGCAGTCTGCATCCATGCTCAACTTCCGTTTTGGCCCATTAGGTAACTAGAATACAAGCCAGGGAAGACAGTCGCGCCCGGAATAACGAACTGAACGGTCTGATCCTGCTGCTGCTGCTGCTGCTCGATAAACGCCCCACCATTCGACCCATGCCCTCCCGGAACTGCCCGGTCGAGTCGTTTGTTGATGTGGTCCATGCCTTCCTTGGACAGTCAATCCATACACGGACGGATTTACTCGCAAAATCGCTTCTCAAACTCTTTGAACAACTTTGGGCTGATCTCGTCACTGCTCATGCCCTCGACCTCCAGAAGGACTCCCTGGCGGGCGTAGTGCTCCAGCAGGGGCTCACTTGTCTCCTGGAACTTGCGGAAGCGTGCCCGGTATGTCTCTTCGTCGTCATCAGCCCTCTTCACAAGTGGCTCACCCGTGATGTCGTCATGGCCCGGCACTTTTGGCGCATTAAATGTGGTGTTGTACACGCGCCCCGAAGGCTCGTGCACCCATCGTCCCGAGATGCGCTCCAGGATCACCTCGAAAGGGGTCTTGAGGGACACCGCAAGGTTGACAGGAATCATCTCGTCGAGCTGATCGGCCTGCGAGGCGGTGCGTGGGAAGCCATCCAGCAGGAACGAAGCCGAGGGGTCTTCGGAGGGCCGGGCAGCAAACGTCTTTGGCGCCGCGGACAAGAAAGCGGCCATCTCATTCTCGCTGCCGTATGCCTCACCTTCAGTGCCCACGGCCGACGAGTTGAGCGTCATGACCTGAGGCTGGCCCAGCCATCCTCGCTTGCTCAGCTCGTTGTTGATCAGGCGCAGGATGAGGCTGTCAGAGACGAGACCACCAGCCTTGAGCGTACTCTCGACTTGTATGCCTGCGGAGGAGTCGCGTCAGAAGGTCATGAGCATGGGTGCGACGGTGCGCCGACATCGGCATTGGAAAGTACTAACCGAGCGCAGTCCTGTTCTTCACATTATTCCGCAGGAGATCACCAGAGCTGATACAGGATAACTGTGGGAAACGGTGGAGGAGCCTCTCGGACTGTGTGCCCTTGCCAACACCGGGTGCGCCGACCAGAATGACACGAGCAGCCCGCCTTAATCTCATGTTATGATATGAGTGTTTGGAGGGTGGGTGAGAGATGGAGAGAGAGGGACAGGGCGTGTATTTTTTTTTTCCTGGAAAGGGGGGGGCTCTGGGGGGCTTTGGACTGGGTAAGTAGTGAGTGCCGATTGTGCAAAGCGTTATAGTGCTTGCCTTTCAGACCAGGCCAGCCCCGGGAAGGCTGGACGAGCCTTGTTGTTGTGCGACACCTGAGGAGATGCGACAGGTTGCGATAGGTTGCGATAGGAGGCTGACTTCAGGGTACGCGTTTCCCGAAACCCGTTGCGATGCGGGGTGCGAGGGCAGAGGATCGATCCCTAGCGGACCAGGCGAGGTAACCACAGGACAAAGCAGCACACCTCAAGAAATATCCATGGCGACACAGGGGGACCGCTGGGGATTACCGCTGGGGAAACGAGGAGGAAGCGGCGTTCGGGGATGGGGAGGGCAATTGAGAATTATCAATCAGGTGCTGACGAGTGCCAAACTCTCCGGGGGAGGACGATCTGCGTCACCAAAATTTGGCGGACACCCGACCTACCGGCGCGTCCTGGGTGCACAGCAAAGTCGCGGGGAAAGCTCGATAGGCCCAGGGGCCGTGGCACCACTGGAGTTCGGGCTGCGAATCTTGGCTGGTGATTGATTACCTGGGGATACAATCATCTGTACCGCTCTATCTGCGACGAGACTAGGAGACAGCGGAAGTGTGTTAAGAGGGATCCTATCTCACCAGCCCACATCATCCGATAAACTCATTCCTCCCACGCCCCCCCCCCATCCAAATGCTTTGCCATTCATCAACACAGCAAAAGCCCCGGGCCGAGCCAATTTGTTGAGGCATCCTGCACTGCCAGCCGGCTCCCAGCTGTGGGATAGGTACCACAGCTGGCAAGTCGCTACTACATACCACATAGTACTTGAGGCATTGATATTACTCCATTGGCCGGGCCAGCAGCTGAAGTGCCCACGGCCCCGTTGTCAGGGGCGTTCTCGCCTCCCCGCTCGGTTCGCAACGAACGGCCTAGCGTCTGAGCTGCGCCGAGCATTCTTTGGTACGGCGAGGAACGCGCAATCGGTGTTTTGTTGTTTGTCTTTTTGACATATGATATTTCTTGGCCTGCCAATTTTACAGGTGCCAAATAGTCCCAGACCTTCGGTGTGTGGCTGCCGGAATAGGTACCTGAGTTTCTGGGTAGCTATATCAGCATGGGGTAACACCATCCTGGAGAGCTGGCTCACACGCCGAGCTGCGAGAATTCTTGAAATACGAATGCTCTGCCCTCATCGAAACGCTCCTGGATGTCCAGCATGTAGTGATCTTTTTGATTGGCTGCAATGCGGCTTTTATCGTCTGATTCAACACCACAGTTGGAGTGCGTGTGACCAAATCCCCAAACGACCACGCTCCGTTTCCTCCAGCAGCACTCTCGAGCCCAGGTCCGTACAGAAGAACCCTGAGACTGTACTGCCGGCGTGCCGAGGATCCGCGGGCCTGATATCCCCAGTTGGACCGTGACATGGGGAGATGGCCCTGCTCCTCGGGGTTTCTTTCCCTCAACCTCGCGCACCTGCTGATTGAGGCATTCCGAATCCTCTCTCTATGTCCTGCGATGGCGTCTCCCACCGTCAACCCGTGGACGTGTTTGAGATCAAGAAGACGCTGAGTTACTTCTGTGGCTTCCTGCAGGAGGACCTCAGAGTAAAGCGCACGCCCCAAGGCTGCAAGACAAATCTGCTCGTGTTGGATCTCCTCTTGACATCTTCCATCTTCCCTGCCAACGCACAGACTCGATCCTTTGTGCTATCTTAGCTGTTCTCGATGGGCTTGTGGTCACCAGACGGGGATATCGACCCGGTACTTTCTGAGCAGGCTCTCGAGAAATGGGAAGTGGCCGTCGACAATAGGCTGGCAGATATCACCCGAAATCCGCAACGATGGGCGCTGTCTGCTTGATTGTCCAGCCGCCCACGGGTATGACCGATGAGCCACCGAACTGGGCTTTTGTGACTGCGTACCTAGGTACCCAGGGGCATACATACTTAAGTAGGTAGGGTGGAAATACCGCATCCGTCCCCCCAGCACAATTGAAGTAATCGCCGAGAATGAGGCTAGCCTTCATACTACTCTTCAGGCTGGCCTGGCTGGCAGCTTTCACAGAAATCGCAAACAGCCTGACAGCGAGCCAGGCGGTGGCGCGAGGCTCGCAGCTGGCTGTCTTACTCGCAGCTAGCGGCGCTAGAGTACCTACTTAAGTACTTACCTGTATCTAGGCAGCTAGCTAGGCCTCCCGGTGCCCAGGTCCCAGGCAGTTGGCTTTGTTGCCCCGAGGGTCTGGAAGCGCCCGAAAAGCTTGGGCCGTCGGCAGATCCGGAACTCATGACAAGCGGCAGGCCCGTTTCACCAATGTCACTCTGGGCTGTCTGGCACTTGACACGGGAAACAAGGCCAGGAGTAACAGGCGAGACGATTGTCTAGTGCACAAGGCGACTCGGTGGTCCTCAGGCTCTGTCCTGGGTCGACGGCCCCTGAGCTTGCCCAGAACCCGCCTGCCATGACATATCGCCATTTGGTATACACGTAGCTACCTAGGTACCTAGGTACCTAGGCAGGTACATACTTAAGTAATAATGCCGCTCGAGGGGAGCGGTCCCTTGTGCCTGGCCAGCCGCCCCACGTGAGGTCACTCAACAACCCAATGCCAGTTGCAGCTGGCCCTGCAAGCCAGCGTCGCCTCTGTCCCCTTTTTTCCATCTTACATGCCGCCTCTTGTCTACATGCACGCCTGGCTTGACCTTTTTTCTTATTTTCTTTCTTCGACATTCTGTCCTCTCTCTACACACCTCAACGCATCTTATCCCTGCCCCTGCATAATCTCGCGTCTCCGTCATGAGCGCATCTGCAAGCGTGGCTCGTAGAGCCGTTGTGGTGAACCCTTTCTCTGGCAGCGGTAAGCTCAAAAGCCTCGAACGAGGAATGAGATCCAGAACAAGGCAGCAGCGTGGGCCAAGGCTTACTAGTCTGTATCACAGGTCGGGCGATATCGAGGTCAACATTGCGAGCCAGCTCCCTCCATCTCAGTCGCAACGCCCGGAGCATCCAGCTACAAAACTCCGCCGTGGCGCTGCTCATCCCCATTCGTCCAGTCACCACCGATACTAATCGAGGCGGTCACTCGTCTGGCCCGCCGCCTGGTTTCAACGCTGAGGAGGCTAAGCGGCCCATACCTAAGGAGACGGCGCCTGACCCAAAGACGACGGCGCAAACGAAGGAGGTCCAGTTGAAGGCAGAGGGCAAGAAGGCAGCAGCAGACAGCGATAAGAGCGACACTCTGACGGAACTGACTGAGCGCAAGGATGCCTTTGCTGCTTCCAAGAAGGACCCGAAGAAGGACAAGAAGTTGACCATTGGGCAAAAAATAAAAAAGGAGGCCCAGCACTACTGGGATGGCACAAAGCTCCTGGCGACTGAAGTCAGGATCAGCACAAAACTCGCGGTCAGGATGGCTGCAGGCTATGAGCTCACCCGGAGAGAACACCGGCAACTTCAGCGCACTGTTCAGGACCTGGGGCGGCTCGTCCCGTTCTCAGCATTCGTCATCATACCATTTGCGGAGCTGCTGCTCCCAGTTGCGCTCAAGCTGTTCCCAAACCTCCTCCCAAGCACGTACGAGAACCAGAAGTCAAAGGACCAAAAGGCTCAGACTCTGCGAGCGCTGCGGAGAGACGTTAGCGACTTCCTCCGACAGTCCATCAAGGAGACCGGGCTCCCACTGTCCGCCGCGACAGCACAGAAGGAGGAGTTTGCCAACTTCTTCCGCAAAGTTCGCGCCACCGGTGAGAAACCCACCGCCGAGGACGTCATCAAGGTCTGCAAGGCATTCAAAGATGATCTCACCCTGGACAACCTGTCCCGGCCGCAGTTGGTATCGATGTGTCGATACATGAACCTGAACACGTTCGGCACGGACATGATGCTCCGTTACCAGATCCGACACCGCATGCGGCAAATCAAGCGCGACGACCGGGCGATCAGCTACGAGGGGGTGCAAAGCTTGACGGTCGCCGAGTTGCAGGTGGCGTGCGCCAGCCGTGGGATCAAGTCGCATGGCGTCTCACCGGCGCGACTGCGCGAGGACCTGCAGACCTGGCTCGATCTGCGCCTGAAGGAGGGCGTCCCCTCGACGCTTCTCGTTCTGAGCAACGCCTACATGTACGGCCAGACTGGCGACAACGCCGTCGCCAACCAGATCGACGCACTCATCGGCGTGCTGTCCTCCATCCCCGAGGAGCTGTACCACGAGATCGAGCTCGAGGTACACACTGCCGAAGGCGCGGCGACGAACAAGTTGCGCCTGGAGGTCCTCCGTGAGCAGCAGGAGCTGATCGACGACGAGAGCGAGCAGAACGAGTCCAACCAGGAGAGTGGCCTGGCCACGCCCCGGGATGTTGACGACATTGACGAAAAGGACGAGAGGCAGGAGAGAGAGGAGAGGCAAGCGGAGGCCAAGGATGCTGGACTGGAGAAAAAGCAGGTCGGCGAGGCCATCGACGCCGAGTTAGATGCCAGCCAGGCCGACAAAGCATCTGTCAAGGGTGCGGAGGCCAAGAAAACAGAGTGAGTTGTGCTTGGTGTCACCAGAAGAAATATGTGTCCAGACTCCAAGGCGAGGTGAGATGATGCGTCAACGGCGCTCTGAGGAATACAGTATGCACTAGGACAAGGTTCTGGTCGTGTAAGAACAAACATGTCTGATGGACGAGAATTTGACTGAGCTGTTGCACAAGGGCGCAGGGACGGGTCTGATAAAGGGGGCCGCCAAATAAAGACTACAAGACGTTTCGGCACTGGAAATGGATAGACTCATTCATATGTTCCTTTTTTTTTTTTTTTCTTTAAGCAAACTCATCGACGAACGAGGCTATTATTGCTATGTTCTACTATGCACAGGCCGGTTGGGAAACCAAACTCATCGTACTGTGATCCTCCGGACGGACAACACACAGCGAAGCTATAGAAGCTGCTCCGCTCTTCACCACAGGCAAGAGCACAAAACGGGTGGACCATGCTCTGGAAACTCTCCTCGTTGATCTGTTAAAGCAGGTGGATGTTCCGTAAGCACAGCCGACCAAGGGCGACGTGCGACATACCTACATAGGTACCTAGGTAGTATGCAATTCAAGATGGGAGGGAGGAGACGAGAGCAGATGTGCGCGCATAGTCGACCAGTAACTGGGTTGCGGAGTGTCACAGGTACCTAGCCCCCTGGGTGGGTAGGGAGATACCTACCTTGGTTAGCAAGCAGGCAGGTTGGACTGAGCCAAGCCAGAGCCGAGGAGAGGGCAAGGGCGGGCGAGAGCTTCCTTCGCAGCCCCCCCCCCCCCACCACGCGGAGTTCCGTAGCTCCTCACTGCTGGGCGTTGTCCTGCTCACCCACTCACTCCCACGGTTGCTATACGTCACCCAGCCCACCAAACACTCCCGGCGCAGCCCGCGATATCTTCAATCACACCGGGCAACAGAACAGCGCAGGCCATACCTTGGTAAGACACGGCATACTTGAAATCGCCACCGGCCTCTTCCGAAAACATTGGGCTATCCGGTTCTCACATTACTCAAACGACTTTCGAAGGTCCGAGCCGCACACGCCTGCCAGCCGTGCGTCACTCACAGCTGCCCACCATGGCAGTAATCGACCAGGACAACTTCTCCAATATCTCATGGCACAGCGACCAGAACATCCGCGGTGGCAGCTCGACCTCGACAGGACACGAGGGGCATGATGAAGAAGGCGCCGGCAGCAAGTCACAACACGGCGACGGCGTGGACCGGGTCGGCCCACCGCATCTAGACCCCAGCCACGGCGGCGACGAGACTCTCGAGTGCACCGTCACAGACCCTCACACGGAAAATGCGGGCACCAAAGATGCATACGTATCATACCTTATCACCACACACGTAAGCCCTCGACCAATCCCTCGCCCCGTCAAGGCTTCTCTTGGGCACACCTTGCTGATCGATACCGCCGCAGTCAACATTCCCCTCCTTCCAGAAACCAACCTCCCAGGTGCGACGGCGCTTCACCGACTTTGGTTTTCTCTACAAGACCCTCAGCAAGGACTACCCAGCATGCGCCGTTCCACCTATCCCCGACAAGCAGCGCATGGAGTATGTGCGCGGGGACCGCTTCGGCACCGACTTCACCCAACGCCGCGCCTACTCCCTCCAGCGCTTCCTCTCACGGTGCTCCCAACACCCAACACTGCGCCGGGCGTCCCTGCTGCACACTTTTCTCGAGACCCCTGACTGGAATGCCACCATGCAGAGCCGGAGCAGCCGTGCCAGCACCACGAACTCTGCCGACGCGGGCAGCGGGGGTGTCTTTGACAATTTCGCCGACACCTTTATCAACGTATTCACCAAGGTGCATAAGCCAGACCGTCGGTTCATCGAGGTCAAGGAAAAGAGTGACAAACTGGACGACGACCTCGGCCAAGTCGAGAAGCTCGTCGCCCGGGTGGCGCGCCGGGAAAACGACCTCGAGATCGACCTGCGTGACCTGGCTGAGCAGTTTCAGAAGCTCATAAACCTCGAGCCCGGCGTCGAGGCTGCGGTGCACGCGTTCGCGGCGAGCGTGGAAGACACTGCTACGGGGCTCAAGAAGCTGAAGGACCACACAGATCAGGATTACTTGGGCAGCCTGCGCGACATGGTGGCGTTCTCTGCGGCGCTCAAGAACCTCCTGAAGGCGCGAGAGCAGAAGCAGCTCGACTTTGAGCAGCTCACCGAGTACCTGAACAAATCGACTGTCGACCGCGACAGCCTGGCGAGCGGGTATGGGGGCGGCGGCGCCAGCGGCCCGGCCGGCTTCATCCGAAGCAAGATCGAGGACGTCCGGGGCGTGGACCATGAGCAGGCCCGGCGCGAACGGCTCCGTAGGCTGGAGGTCCGCATCGACGAGCTCACGCGCGAGGCCGAGACCGCGAGGAAGACGTCCGAGATGTTCGACGAGGAGGTAGTCAAGGAAGTCGCTGACTTCGAGCGCATCAAGCGCGTCGAGTTCAAGGGGCAGCTGGGCCGTCTGGCGGATGCCCACGTCGAGTTCTATGGCGATGTGGCCAACATATGGCAAAAGTACGTTGATGAGATGGAGCGGGAAGGGGTCAGGCTGCCGGCTTAGAAACACCGGGCTGCCGTTGTAGGTTGTAATACCCGGTCCATTGGTGATGAGCTTGAGACCTCCTCGGGCTTGGATGGTTGGGTTGAAGTGGATGATCAAGACAATAGAGACAGCGGCTCGCGGCGACGCCTCTGACAACGGTGACCCCAATGCCTAGTGATGGTTGTGGGGAGGGAGCGCTGGGACACAGGAGTTTAGGCGTTGAGGTTTGAAGTCAATCATGGGGATTGGCACAGCTCACTGAATTACGGATTTTCATCCTCCACGGCATTGCTCCCCTGGGGAGTCTTGATGCTTCCCTTGGACTCCTGCACGAAGGCATCCGAGGCAGAATAAGATCAGCATGCAACTTTTATACTTGCGGGGTTTTTTGTTAAGCAGCAGTAATACATCCCGTGCCTAGTATGGTGCTCTGAAATCACTTCGATAACATGCTGGCAACCCCCCGAACGCCCTTTATCCCAGATCCCAAATTCCCAGTCTTGGAACATTAGAGAGCCTCGGGACCAATACAATTAGCCAGTCAGGAAGATATCTCAGGTACGTTGCCCTCCTTGCAGCCTCTCTCTCTCATCCGCGCCATCATCCTCGCTATCGCTACCCAGTACGTGCTGCTCATCCTCAACCTCATCCCGCAAGGCCCGCTTCTCTCGGCTGGCACCATCACTGCTTCCCTCACTGTGGCTATTATCCTGATCCCTGTACGCACCTCCCTCGCCGAACTCGTCGTCTTCCTCATCGCTGCCGCCCGCAAATGCATCATATAGTTCACCACCGCGAGTCTTCCGCCCCTTGACGCCCCTGGCGCTCTTCTCGCCGGAGGCCAGGCCCTCGGCCTCCTCTTCGTCGAGAAGCTCGAACTCGTAATCATCTCGTGGCGAATTGCGCATGCGCTTGCGGCGGGCCATCCAGAGGTAGACGCCCAGTCCGCAGCAGAATACGAGAATAAGCGCCAACGAGCCGTAGATCCATGCCTGAGTAGCAGGAGACACGCCGAAGGTAGGCAGGAAGCCCGGCAGCCAGGAAGAGGCCTCGGCAGATGCCGAAGGAGAAGCTGATGGGGAGACTAATTCCTCCCCTGTGCCCGAGCTGGTGGCGGAAGGCTTGGCGTTGATGGGCCTATCGGGGTGATCCGACGGCGTAGCGGTGGCGACCTCGGCCGGCACGGTCTGTCCAGGTGGAGGCGTGACGGTTGTTGGGGGAACAGTGGTGGTAGAAATCACGTCGTGGTCGTCGTCGTCTTCCTCAGTGGGCAAGGGGAGGGGCTTAGCGAGCTTTGGGTCGATGGACTCGCCCCAGAGCTTAAGGTGAAAATCTGTCCAGGTGCCGTTGTGCTCGTTGACCTTGGTGTCTTTTACAATGACTGTCCACTTGCCAAGACCAGATTCGCCCCTGTGTAACATGTTAGCTAGGGCATATTCTTGGGGTTCCACGCTGTTGTTACTCACCAGTGGACAACGCTCATGAACGTCCAATCCTCATAGCCCGCAGCTTCATTATCCAGCCGGCGGGGAACGGAAAGGTGGCTGACAATCTTGTTGGGACTGACCAAGTCAACAGAAAGATCACCTCGGCGCGTGTGGTCAATGTTCATTGTGACGGTCACGTGCTCAACACGCTCCAGGTTGGCCTTCTGGAGCATTTCGGCCGTCACTTCGATGTCGACGGCCAAGCCTTGGTCGCCTTGGGGGATGGCCTCCTTAACGTGCACCCAGGGAGAGTAGAACCATGCCTGCGGCTTCACGTTTTTCCAGTTTTTGGCCAGCTCCACGAGACCGTATGCATCAATCTTGCCGTAGCCGAATGTATGGCTGAACTTCTTGCCGACGGCGGTTGTCTCCCAGCTCCCGTCATCTTCGTTGATGGGGACGGCGGTGTTCATGGCGAGATATTGCATATCTCTCCAGGAGATGTCAGGGCGGATCTCGAGCACGAGAGCGAAAAGGCCGGCTGCCAAGGGAGCGGCGGCAGATGTGCCACCGTGAGCCGCAGTGCAGGAGTTCTCGCCGACGTCGGTTGTGTGCTGCAAATTGTCAGTCCTCGTGAGGGCCGGAGCGATGCCGCACCTGCCTTTGCTTGACTTACAATGCTGTCACCGCTGCCGCTGGAGTATGTCACTACCAAGTTGGCGGAGCAGGCTTCGGAGTAGTAGGGGTGCTGCCCCTTGCGATCAATCGCGCCGACCGTGATGCTGTATATGCTATTCGTGTACCCGTCAAAGTTGCAATTGTCGTCACTGGCGGCCCCGTTGCCACTCGCGAAGACGTAGATGTTCCCGAGGCCATTCCGGCCCTTCTGGACCGCGTTGACCATAGCGCGCCGGATCAAAACGCCAGGGGCATCCATGGACCGCCCATCGTCAGGGGGGCCCCAGGAGCACGAGTATATATCGTTATGTGCGAAGTCGTAGTTCATGGCAACTGCCTCATCCGCGTCCGTGATCATCTTGGACAGGATGCGCAAGCCAGCGATGCGGGAATCATACGCGGCACCGACGCCGCAGACATCATTCTTGACTGCGGATACCTCTCCACCACATCGAGTGCCATGCTTGTCGTCTGAAAGGCGGGGCTCGGGCAGATCCGTCTTGTCGTTGAAATCGTACGAGCCCTGGGCGTAGAAGTTGGCCTTCAAGTCGTTGCTGTGCATGTCGAGACCGTCGTCCACGATTGCCACGGTGGCGTTCTTGCCCGTGATGCCCTGAAGCCAGACGCCGGAAATATTGACGTCGTGGCCGGCCTGGACAATATTCATGAGATGCCACTGCTCGGCGAATATTGGGTCGGTGATGCCGAGGGTGGTGGCGACGGACTGCTGAGTGGCCAACAAGGCAGGGTCGCTCGTGTCGCCGCTGGCACGGCGCTCGGGAACAGGCCCCATGGGCTTCGGTATTACCCTCTTTTCCCAAGGAGCCCGCAGCTTCTGCTTGTCGGAGAACAGCACGCCGTCAAGGAGGTCAGGGTCGCTCAGAGCCCTCCTGCGCCGCCTTCTCGCCTTCAGTTCCAGGCTGACCACGTCGTGGTCAGCCTTGGTGCCCTTGAAGACGTGGTGGTCCTTGAGCTCGCCAAACTGGCCGTCGTATGTCAGGCCTAATCTCGAGGCGACCTGGTGTGGACTGGCCTCGGGGTCGAGATGCAGGACGTAGTGGTCATGCGAGTCGGAATGGTAGCTGCTCGCTGCAGCGACGGCGGCGAGGCCGAGGCCAACAGCGGCGGTTATCTTCATTGCTGGGGTCTGAGCCTTGTTCGGCAGCACATAGGTGTGGACGCTGGGTGTTGGGTCCAACTATCGGTCGCAGTAGATGAGCAAATCGGGATGGTAGCCAGGCCAATACCGGTTGACTTGGTTGTTGTTGGTGGTGCTGTAGGTCAAGCAGGACCGTGGGCTGGGTATGGCCAAGGCACGGTTAGGGGTGCCGGGAGTGAAGGCAGCGAGCGGGCGGCGGTGGATATTGGATCAAGGCTGCTTGGTGGGAATGAACGGGTGTGGTTGAGTCGAGCGAGGTTGAAGTTGTTGCGTTGGGCATAGGTGGCCACGGCAGGCGTTCCGTTCAGGGTCCTGCACAATGGTGGTGGCCCCGTGGCGGACTTGTTTCAAAGGGATGTAGGATGGGGTTTCGAAATGGCAGTCCACCGTGTCCTCGCAGCCCGCCAAGCGTTAGACCCTCGCCTACCCAGTTGCCCAGGTCCTGAATGGCAAGACCAGACCAGGGGCTGACTAACATGGCCCGGCCGCTGCACCCTGGGCGTCCTGACGCCCGCCCGTCAGGCCATTCATCATGAACAAGCGCCTCGGTACCATCGGCTGGCCAGCAAAGGGTAGGTCGCCCTGAGAAGCGTGGCGGCAGAGCTTCCAGAACGCTGACTAAACTAGAATGCGGGCCCCAGACCTCCTTCTGTACGGGTGCTTCAGGGCAGCGCCAAGAAGAAATAGCAGAACAGCAGCTAATAAACTGGCTGTCACATGTAATCCTGTGCCCTGCTTGAGACGTGGCCCTGAGGCAGCATATAGACTGCAGTATAACTGACGAAACCTTGCGGCACACTTGAGACCACCAACAGATATATGTATATATATTCAAAAATGTTTATACATGTAAATAAATATATCTATACACATACACACATATTATATAGACACTTACACCAGATATAAAGGGCCGCACTTGAAGTGACAACACCTACTACCTAATGTACTACATAGTACCTACTTGAGTAGGTAGCCAATTGATATGTGGTGGCTGGCGGTGGTGCGGGTCTCAGCCCGAGTCAGCTACCAGCCACCGCTTACTGCCTGGGGCTCCTGCAGAGTCGGTGCAAGAGCTTTGTCGTCTTGATTGAGTTTCGGAGAGCTCACAGACGGCTGGCAGAAACAGGTGTCGTCATCCGTGCGGCCACGCTGCCCCATCCCTGCCGGGCGCGCACCTGCAGCTGCCCAACCCCCTTCTCCGCCGTCGCACTGTAGGAGGGAGGAGTTGCACGCCCAGCCTCACAGCCTGCGCGTCCATGTCCTGCTGCCTCTGTGTTTGCCAACCCAGCAGCCCAGGTACTGTACCTGGCCAGGTAGGCAGGTAGGCAGGTAGGTAGGTCCTTCTTCCCGACGTGCCTTGGTGCCGTTCTGCAGGAGGCACCACCCGGCCACCACATCCTGGCCCATTTTACCCGGGCTCCCCCATCCTCAGCACATTCATGTCTCCGTGCCTTGCCAGCTTGCCAGCTTGCCGCTTGCTTGATATACCTTGCTAGCCTCTCCGTATCTCGTATCCCACCTGACCCTGACAGACAGTCACTCCTCCGCCCTGCCGCATCCGTTGGCCAGCTATCTATCCTGCATCCAACTCTCACCACGGCGCTAAATCGCAACGGATTCCCGTGCCGCAGTGGCTGCCATGGCCAGCTGCATGAGCTGTCCGTGACTGGCACCTAGACACACATAAGTCTCGGCTAGCTGGCCGGGTGCTACAATCATCCTTTTTCTCCCCCAACCTTTCTCCCTGATCTCCCTTCCAAGGCCGCCGACTGGTCATGGCCAGGGCCCAATCAGCTCAGAAGAGTGCCATGCCTGCGCCGTACTGGGGTGACCTCCCCGGCCCAAACACCCCAGCCCGCCCCGGCGCGCGCAGCTCCTCGGACCACTACGCCTCGAGACCGCTGCAGACCCAGGCCATGGATCCCGCGCCTGCTGTTGCGCCACAGCCCAGGTCCAACAGGGCTTCTGTCCAGACCACCAACACCAACGCCGATACCCAGACCGACTCTACCTTGAGCCCCTACGCCTCCCCCGTGCGGTCGAGCTTCCAAGGTTATGCTCTGGCCCCGAGGCCCCCTTCGCTCCCCTACGGACAGAGCCAGTACCCTACTGACGTCTTGGAAAAGCGCCGCAGGCGCGCAAGCAAGAACAAACAAGAGGACCGCGAGTATTCACACTCCGACCCCCGTGCCTCAGCGCCCCCGCCCGCGCCAGATGTGCCCAGGGCCTCTTCCCTAAGCTACAGGCATCCTTATGGGAACGGCGGGCTGCCTTATACCCACACCAAGGCCGCTGAAGAACCCGATCTTCCCTTGAGCCCAGGCATTATGGGTCCCGACAATTACCAGCTTGCGTCGGCAGACCCATCTAAGCAACCCCTCGCAGCTGTGGGGTCCAGCTCGGATCGCCGGGCTAGCAGCGACAGCGCCGCGGCCAAGAGGAATAGCATTACCAGGGAATCCGTCAATGGGCACCGCAAAGCATCCTTGGGGAACGAGGTGGACCGCCGTATGATGGCAAACGCCCGGTCGCCCCTGCAGAAGCTCGAGCTGACGCTCGACAACATTACCAAGGAGGAGAAGCGGGCACGGGTAGCGGCCGCCGAGCAACGCGCGCGCACGCGAACATCGCGGGGCAGCGGGGATCTTGAAAGGCAACATGCAGTCCGCTTCAAGGATGGGGAGGCAGAGACGGAGCCCGAATTCGCCCGACCTCAAGTCTTGCCTGACCCAGTGTCGGCTCAGCCTGGCATTGCGCCTCAAGGCGCGGCCAAGGTAAGGCCAAAGCAGCATGCATCACAGGCAGGGAACACTACGGCAACAAAGGCAACTGCCACCCGATTCGCGCGAGACACCGGCGTCCCCCAAAGGAACATGAGCTTTCGTGAGCGGGCGGCCAGGGACGAGATCAACCTGCCAAGTAGCACCCACCGTAGCGATTCTCCCACGACCTCGCCAACGAGCGGTTACTCGCTAGCTCGGAGCGCGAGCAACAAGTTGAAAAAGGACCCCCCAGGCGACGCTGCTTACCGGCGATGGGGCGAGGGTGAAAGGAGAACAGGGATCGTCTCTCAACGGGGGGCGACACAACATCCGGGCGAGGGATTAGGTTTGGCGGCTGTTCCCGCACCAACCGGATCCACACCGCCGAATAAAACGGCCGGAAGGTCAATGCGTACCAAGGCCCCACCCTTAGATACGGCCATGGAACCCCGTCGATCTTCCGGCCGGACTGATGTCGACCACCCAGATTCGCCGTTCACCCCCGGCAAGGCCGCAAGTACTCCCGGGAAGCGAGGAGATCCCGCTTCAATCACCTTTGCGGATGACTTGCTTCAGGACAGGGCTCCTGCCACAGCAACCAGTATTGGCGGGACGGCCAGGACTGCTGCTGCGGGGGCGTCAGCGACAGCGGCGGCGAGAGGGCACCGGCAGGATGGTCAGGCGAGCGATGACGATCTCTCTTCAAACGACGAGCACCGCTTTGGCGAGTATTTTCACCGCCGTGAATATAAGCCGGGGCAGGGCATGTACAATCCACCAAAAGTGCTCGGAGAGTGGAAGAAAGGAACGGTTGGCACCTTGTCCGGAACCATGCTCGATCTGGAAGATGAGACAACTCCGAAAGTTGATCACAGCCAAACTTGGTGGGAGAACCCCCCGACACAAAGGCGAGGCAGTATCTCAACGCGACCCCGCAAGGCAGAGGCCTTTGATGGGGAGTACGATGAAACAAACGGTATGCCCACTCCAGGTATTCTGACCGACTCCCCAGAACGAGACACAGACCCGCAAGGACTTCGTCAGTCGTGGGTTCTACACTACGATGACGCAGCACCTCAAGCACGCGAGCTGCTTGGTCCTCAAGCGACGACCGACAAGCGCAAAGCGAGACGTCAGAGCCGTCTGTATTCCGCCGGACGACCTTCGATGGCCTCCAGAAAATACTCAAAGTCGAAATGTCCTCCGACATCGTGCTTGTCCTTGCTTTGCCTTTCATACCCCAGCTCAAGAAGAATGCCTGAAAGATCATCGCTAACACGAGCGGCGCGGATGGTCATCCGTGTGCCGAATTTTATAGCCCCGACACGATTCAAGCCTCCGCTGTTTCTAAAATGTGGCCCGCTACTCAGGTATTGTGGAATACGTACAGACCGCATCTCAAACCGGTCAGCTCATAGTGGCCCGGACCGTGAAAGGGAGTTCTGGAGAGGAACCGTGATGATTGTCACTCAGGACCAAGACTCGTCGTATGATATTGCTCCCACCCTCAGGCTATTCGTGCAGCCGATTGAGCTGCTACCGCCTCCACCGTCCGAAGTTCGTGGCGAAACCCCCCCTGAATTCGTTGATCCCATCGCAGGACACCCAAAGCTGGGCCGCAAGGGGGAGACGTTGTATGTCCGACCAGTCGACCACCTTGATGAATCTAAGGACCACTCTCAGGATGAGACTGATCGGGGTCTATTCGAGAAGACACGCAGTCCTCCGTATGTGACCCCGGCTGACGGGTCGACCGACGCGCCAGGCTCCTTCGCAGCCCGCCGGAAGAGAACGCCCGTGGACGGAGAGAAAGTAGGCAAGTATAAAGATGTGCGCGGGTACAGGCTGCACGCCGAACGTGGCTATACGTTCTGGCGCTTCAGCGTCGAGGTCGAGCTGCGCGAAAAGGAGCAGCGAATTGCCTACCGCATCAACCGCGGCCCTGCCACTGGCTTCTGGGTTCCTGCCAAAAATCAGTCCATGAATATCATGTTCCACAGCTGCAACGGTTTTTCGGTCTCCGTGGACCCAAATGACCTAAGTGGGCCGGATCCCCTATGGCGTGATGTACTGAACAACCATCAGAGCCGCCCGTTTCATGTCATGATCGGTGGTGGCGACCAGCTGTATTGCGACAGTGTCATGAGAAAGACAGAACTTTTCCAGGAATGGCTAATGATCCGCAACCCGCTGCACAAGCACAACGCGCCTTTCACCCCGGGCATGCAGGACGAGCTCGAGGAGTTTTACCTGGAGCGTTACAGCATGTGGTTCTCCCAGGGTCTGTTTGGCCTGGCCAACTCGCAGATCCCAATGGTCAACATGTATGATGACCATGATATCATTGACGGCTTCGGTAGTTACCCACATCACTTCATGAGCTCGCCTGTATTCTCTGGCCTCGGAAACGTTGCATTCAAGTACTACATGCTTTTCCAGCATCAGAGTATCGTCGATGAGACCGAAGAGACGGAGCCTAGTTGGGCCATGGGTGTGAGGCCAGGCCCATACATCCAGGAGCAGAGCCGCAGCCTGTTCCTACGGCTAGGTGCCAAGATCGCGCTCTTGGCAGTCGACTGTCGGACTGAGAGGATGCGCGACCAGGTCGTGCGCGAGGATACCTGGGACAAGCTGATGGACCGCTGCTACAGTGAGATCGTCAAGGGCAAGACAGAACACCTGCTCGTCCTGCTTGGGGTCCCAATTGCTTACCCCCGGCTTGTGTGGCTCGAGAACATGTAAGCACCTCACAGCGCCCTTCCCTAGATTCAATTGGAAGCCCCCGAGCTGATCTCTCCCCCAGCTTGACCTCCCGTCTATTGGACCCCATCAAGGCCCTCGGCAAGACCGGGCTCTTCAGCAATGTATTCAATAAGTTTGACGGCGGTGTCGAGGTCTTGGACGACTTGGATGACCATTGGACCGCGAAAAATCACAAGGATGAACGCAAGACCATCATAGAGGACTTGCAGGACCTTGCCGCGGACAGATCCGTTCGCATCACAATCCTTGGGTATGCCAACAACCATCGCAGACGTTTTGCTTAATGGGCACTGACTGACTCGATCCAGCGGCGACGTCCACCTGGCTGCGATAGGACAATTCTACTCCAACCCGAAGCTTGAGTTGGCCAAGCACAAGGATTTCCGCTACATGCCCAACGTCATCTCTTCCGCTATTGTCAATACGCCGCCGCCAGATCTGATGGCAGACGTCCTCAACAAACGCAACAAGGTGCACCACCTCGACAAGGACACGGATGAGGACATGATTCCTATGTTTGCGCATGGCGTTGAAGGCAAGCCGAGAAACAACAAGAGGCTTCTTCCTCACCGCAATTGGTGCTCTATTCGGGAGTATACCCCAGGTCAAACTCCGCCCTCGACCCCACCTGAATATGTGAACGAGGCCGAGTCGCCCGCTGAACCCATTGCCCGCCGGGACACTGGCTTGTCCAACAAAGGAGTAACCCGTCGACTTTCTAAAAAGTCCCGGGGCCCTGCCCACCGTGCTGACGTGATCGATTCGCGGCCGCCCATTTCCGGATCAGGCGGGGGTGGAATTTTCAGATCACTGTCTTCACGCGGCCGCCGCTCTACGCCTGACGTGCCCGCTGAAAATAAGCGTCCAGTCACCAAGAAGAGGACTCTATCTCTGACACGTGGTGACTTTGGTGGAATCTTCCGTCGCAGGAGCGAATCACGCAACCGCTCACAGCCAGATGACGGCGGCATCAACGGGACGTGGGGCGAGAGCGATCTGGAAGCTGCCAGTCGAGATCGAGATCGAGATCGAGACGGAGACCAAGGCGACGGAGGATACGACTTTGATTACGAGGACAACACGTATGACCAGCGGAACAGAGGCCATGGGTTCCTGGGAAGCATCGGTCTTAGGGGAGGCGGCGGCCCCGGGGGTGGAGGCTCCTACGATGAATTCTCAGATGGCGACGATTCTTACTTTACTACCCGCGCGCCCCAAAACACGCGCGCGGGCCAGCCTGGGGTCAACAAGGCAGCCCGCGTCTTGGGAACCGAAGCACTAAATGCTTCGCGTCGTTATGGAAACCAACACCAGCCCCGTCAACAACAAGTTGTGCAGCCCCAGTTCGGGGTGACCACCAAGATATCAGGGCCGGGCCAGGATGCGGACGAGGACGAGGACGAGGACAAGGACGAGGGTTTCCAGCCCAGCCCCTTCCAGCGCACGCCGACAGGCTTGTCTGCCAAGCAAGTACGCAAGAGGGCCAAGTCCTTCGATGTCAACATAGAAGGCGGCCTCGATATTTGCCTCAACGTGGAGGTCTCGGCGAGAGATCCTGCAGGCATCACCGTCCCGTACCGGCTGTTGGTTCCCAGGCTCTGGTACGATGCCAGTGACGGTGATGAGGTGGAAATGCCGGAACGTGGCAGGGGGAAGAGTCGAGATGAACCTTCTGGGCCGATAAAGCGATTTTTCAGTCTGAGCCGCGCGAGAGGCGCAAGCGTCAAGCGAGGTGGGAGTGCACAGCCCAGTCGACAGAGACGAGAGGCCGGCGATGAGCATGCCATAGTGGCCCCGGGGACGGCAATCTAGCCGTGGCAGGACGCGTGGGAACCCGTTGCAAAAACCACTCAAACAAAAAACGCGACGTTTCGGCAGGTACACCTAACGGGCATGGGAAGGGAGGGGAGGGGAGTGGTACGCCGGCACTGACAAGGACGACGACTTTTTAAACAAGAGTAACACACACACCCCACCCCAAAGTCCAAGGTCGCCTGTCACAAACTTAAATGATTATGAAGCAAAGTGTAACATGGGAGACCTTCCTTCTCTTGGCATTGGCGGCTTTCCTAATGGATTTGCACTCGAGCATAGCAGAGTAAAGTACGGACGAGGCTGGATTGCACAGTTGTTGATTCGATACCTACCTTAGATCACCACACAGACACACCTAGAATCCACGGGGCATTGTAAGGCGTCCCAACAGTTGCAAGTCACGTTCCGAGGCTTTCCTGGGAGCAGGCTGAAGTGGCAGTGTCAATGAGTGCGCGCTGCCACCGCAAGTGACGGACGGCACAAGACATGCTGGTGCCAAATGTTCAATTAGGCTCAAAAGCACCGTCCCAGTTTGCGAGTCTGGTCAGACGGCTTGTCCCCTTTCCGAGAGGCTTGAAGGGGTAAGAGGAGGAGAGCAGGCTCGTAGGACTAGGAGGGCTGTAAGTCAGCTACATGTAACCAGAGCATGGGAATTAGAGATGGGCCATCCCAAGACTCACCCGACTCTCTCTGGGGATGCGTGCCGATATGTCTCAAATTCACCAGACTCTCGAGAGCCGGACGACACATCGGCTCCTCTTTTATCTCTGGCTGGTGTTTTCAAGGATCGTGATGCATGGCGGCCGAGGAGCAGGATGTCCACCTCCCACGCTGCGTCCTTGCCGCCCAATGTTGCCCGATGACGGAGAAGTTCTGACCTACAGCCTACAGCCAGCCACCAAAGTCTCCTCAGCCGGGCGCCCCTGGGGCGATGTGGAAGCCGCGACAACGCCTCCTCTCCTAGATCTCGTCCTTTTCATCCCGCGTGTCACGGTCCCTGCCAGCCCCGGGGCTCCTGCTACGGCTGCGGTTGCGCCGGCCGCCTCCGCCTCCGCCTCCGCCCGCGCCCGCGCCTCCGACGCGCCCGCCCGCACCGCCACGGCTGTTCTTCCCGCCGGCATTGGGAGGGGGCCGCACAAAGGCGAAGTCGACCTGGATGGTCTGGTCGAGCAGCTTTGTCTGGTGGGCGCCGTCGATGGCAGCACGGGCCTCGGCAAGGGTAGGGTACTCGATCAGCGCGTAGCCCTGTTGTCAGGCGCAAGCGTGTGTGCCTCGGGTCAGCCAGCCTGTGTGGATACAAACAAGTGTGGCGGCGTACCTTGACGTAACCGCTGCGACGGTCCAGGTTGAGGTGCAGGTTCTTGACCTCACCATACTCGCCAAAGGTGTCGTGGATTGTCTCCTCATCAACCTCCTCGTGCAGGTTCGTCACAACGATGATCCAGCCCTCTATGGATCGCACAGCAGTGGCCTTGGAGTGTGTCACCATGTCGTCGACCTTTGCCTGGGCGGCAGGCGGGGGTGAGCCGGGCTCGTCGACGTCCATCTCCACGTCGGCCATCGCTGTCTGCCGGCCTCTTGGTTGCCTGCGAATGGGGGTTGGTTCTGACTGGGGTGTCGAGGTCAAGGTCGAGGATCTGAAGTGTCGCGTGGGTTGACTTGACAAAAGGGAGGTGGTAGCTAGCTGTCTGTAGCTTGTGATCGGCAGCCCACTAACAAATTCCTGGTGGCCTTGACTGCGGAGCTTAGCCGCGCCCCGGCCTGGCAGGCAAGACTCCGACAGGTTCAAATCGTAAAGTCCAGCTTCTCATATAAACTTCACTTTGCAATCTGGAACAACACGTTGGGCCCATTGCCCACCCCTCTTATGCACAACTAACTATTCAGCGAATCCCTGTGTCTCCGACATTCCGACATTACGAAGAGCTCTCTCCCCGGAGCCTATTGAGCCTATTCTCGTCCTGGCCATGAAGGATGCCGGAAACTCCAGGGCATAATAACAATGGTAAGAGATGGGAGACAGAGCTCAAGGCCGGGGTGGTAGCTATGTGTCTATTCCGTCCTCTCTCGGCTTTTGACTTGAAAATTCCGCAGGTCTTGGGTGTGGCACGTCCAGACCGAGTTACTATGCAGTGTGTTGTCACGTGGCAGATTGTCGGTCATGGAGCTTGTTTGTTAAGCCATTCTATTACCCTCGCCCCTAAATATGCTCAAGTGCTCTGACCTAGAAATGCGTGACGCCATGCCTATGCAGTGGGGGTATCATATCCTGTATCCCTTTGACCGTGAAACCTGACAAACAGACCCATATCTTGCATCCCTGTGACTCCTGTGAAAACCGACAAACAAAACAGTCTTGACAAACTTGGACAACCGTGAACAACAGTGACGACGGTGGAAAACGTGACGAACCATCAAGCCTCGTCGAAACAAAACAAAACAAAACAAAACAAAAATCTGATAGAAACGCCTCTGTTGGCACCATGTTCAAAGACTGCCATTCTTTTCCATGAACTCCAGAAGGTCATACTGGTGGTAGATGATCTTGGTTTTCTGGTGAATGGCCTTCTCCAGTGCCATCTTCTCCTTGTGAAGACGCTCAAACTCGCGGTTGCTGTACCCCCTGAGAAGTCCCTTGCTCTCCTCAATCTTCCTGTCAAGACTCCTCTGCATCGACGCCACCTCACTCTCGGTGGTCCCGATCAAGATCTTCAAGTTTTCGATTGGTTCATAGGCTGGCCGAATCGTAAGGTCATTCTCGTCGAGCGCGCCACCCGAGGCGCGTACGGTGGGTGCTTTATTAGTGGATGCCGCGGTAGTCGTAGCAGCGGGCGCGGCAGCGCGCTTGGTGGGTGCCGTGGTGCGCTTGGTGGGTGCCGCAGAACGCTTGATCTGGATCGCAGGGAGCGGACGGGAGCGAGCCTCGCTGCGCGTGCTGGAAACAGAGTTGACCGTCGACTCTTCGCGCAGCTTACGATGAATGACAGTGTAGTCGTGCTGCAGAGACTCATAAAGGCCCTCGACCTTATCGCGCTGGGCCTTGATCTCTTTGTTCTTGTGCACTAGCACCTGGATGTCCCTGGTGGTATCTCCGAGTTGGCTGCGAGTGGCCTCAAGCTCGGCTTTCAGTTTCTCGATCTGCTCTGAGCGGGCATCATTCTCCCTGTTCTTGTTACGAAGGACCCGGTTGTCATCGATGATACCTCCGAGTTGGCCGCAAGTGACCTCAAGCTCAGCCTTGAGTTGCTCGACTTCTGCCGAGAGGGCATCATTCTCTCTGTCCTTGCTGATAAGGACATTGGTATCCCTGATGGTGTCCCCGAGCTGGGCGCGAGTGGCCTCGAGCTCGGTTTGCAAATTCTTAATTTGGTCCGAATGAGACTTGCGCGTCTTGCGCAAAGAGTCGTTCTGCTGGTCCTTTTGGCGCAGTTGTTGGCGCAGACGCTCATTCTCACTGATAAGTTGCTTCATCTCGCTTTCAATGCTGATGAAGTAGTTGCCTGCCTGTTGGATCTGTGCCTTCATGGCCTGGTTCTCCTTGTGGAGGCCCAGGGTTTGCTCCCTGAGAGCCTGGCTCTGATCGTCAAGGACCTTCTTGTGCGCGTGTGCGAGACGGCATTCCTTAATTAACTCATCACGCTCGGCGGTGAGGGAGTCGATGTGGACGTGTTGTGAGTTGGCGAGGATGTTAGCCTCGTCAAGTCGCTTCTGCATGCGCTTGAGCTCTGTGAATCAGGGTCAGCCATGTCGACGCGTCACAAGGACTGTGTGCTTACTCTCTGTCTGTGCGCGCTTCCGAATGTCGTCGTCCGAGTCAGAGCCGATAGCACTGTCGGATGACGCCTTGCGACAGGTGCCGCGGGCTTCTTGCAGCTGGAGTTCGAGCCTAGCCTTCTCCTGGTGCGCCTTGTCTGCCTCACGCTCCATGGCCTCGTCGTGCTCCTGCAGCCCGGCAATTTCCTGTCGGAGCTGGTCCATGGAGACGAAGATCCGGGTCTCCTCCTGGGAAATGTGAACAGCATTGACATGTTTGTGGGCGTCGGCTGCCTGCTGCTGGGATGAAGCATCGGTATCCGTGTCCTTGACGAACACCGGGTTTCCATCCTGGTCGAGCTGGCTGAATCTGAGGACCCCGGAGACGAAGTCGGCCAAAAGATTTCCAGGGACAGCGTAGAGCGACCAAGCAGTGAAAGCGTTGGCTTGCTCATTGGCGGTAGGGTCATGTGTGTCGATGGGAAGGAGGCCGGAAATGGGTTCATTGGTGATGGGGCGATTGGGGGCAGACGCGCGAGCCACAGCGGCTGCATCTCCGTCGCAGCTCTCGGGAGTGGATGTGCGGACCACGGGCTGAAGCGAAGGCCTGGTCGATGCGGAGGAGGTGGAGAAGCCTCTGAGGAAGCGGCTCAGGCTGCTCTCAGAAGGCGAGGCTGTCTCGCAGCGCGCTTGGAAGGCGGCGCGGCCACGTGTCTTGGGCACGAAAGGCGGGGATGGACCAAAGACTGGGGTGTGGGCGAAGTTCTTTGGTGTGCCGAAGTCGCAGCTAGAAGGGGCGTGTGAGGATGGAAGGAGGTCGGTGATCAGGAGCCCTGGGATGTGGTGGTCTGCCTTGACTGGGGCGGGCGCGATGACCGGGGAGGGCGAGTAGTCGAAGCCTGGGGTGGGTGCCATGGGGCGCTCGTAAGGCGCGACGGAGGCGGTGGGGTCAAACCCGACATTAGCAGGTGAGATGTAGGACATGCGGGTGATGTCATCGTGAGCAGAGGCGATGGTATCCTCCTGGGGAGGGCCAAAGGAGGCTGTGGTGTGGCCGATGGTGTCGTGAGAACCCGCTGATGAGGCAGGCGCAGTCGCGTTGTGACGCGTCTCGCGTTGAGCACGCGTGTCTGGGGCCATCTTTGGCAGTCGCGGCTGGATGTGGATTGGATGTGGATTGGATGCGTGCGTGGTCGTACAGACGACGGTTAGATGTATGGATTGAACTGGACGAGCCAGAATGCAGACAGGTCAAGAGGGCAAGCGCGATGGCGACAAGTGAAGCTGGTTGATGGATCTGCGGACGTTGCATTCGTTGTGGGTCGGGGGAGGAGGGAAGGAGGAAGTCTGGGGTTGCCAAGAGTTGTTTACATGTAAGGCAAGGGCGACTGATCCAAGATCTGCGGGCAGGCGGGCAGGCTGGATCAGGACCCACCTTGTGGCGCTCGGGCCGACCCCACCCCCCACTGCACCCAGGCCCCTGGCGGATGGGATCCAAGATGAGGGAGTGATCTGGTAGCTTCAGCGTATATTAGGCAGATGGGTCGTCACGGCCACTGCAAGACGGTGTGTCTTTCTCACATGGGGGCTTTGGATCTGTCACACAGCCCTGCTCTGTACATACTACTACACTAGTACGGAGTAGGGTGCCACCTTTGATGCAGGGGAGGCAAGCTCGGGATCGCAAGCCACCTGGCCACCACCAATTGCAGTCGTTCGCGAACCCGAGATCCGTCAAGATACGGCGGGGCCGACAGTCGCAAGGCGGGTACATTGCATACATCTGTGCCGGTCCCGAACATCACCCACGCGTTCGCACTCGCACACGCACAGCATTGAGCATAGCCCTCGGTCAAGCGCGGCAAGGCGTGATAGAGTTTGTTTTGTGGAATGGATAGAAGAGCGAGGACAATATAAATAATGTCGCTCGTCGCCTCTGTCATGTCTTGTGGCCTCTCGCCATCAATCCCGTCTTACACGAACCACCAAGACTTCCAACACCTGAACACAAGACTTGATATATCCTGTCTGCTTGAATAAGAACCCACGCGAGGCGACAACTCAAAATGCTCTTTATCGGCACTATCACACGCCTTATCGAGGGCGACAGGTACAAACACAGCCACAAGCCCGCGGCCCATCCTGTCCCCGTTGGCGTCTCCCTGCCACCACGACATGCCCGTTGCAGCTGCCGCGACGGCATCCTCTGCTCAGGAGGTTCCACTCATAGCCGTGACGTCCGCATTGTGGCCCCAGTGGTTGCGGCGGTGCCCGTCCTGTCCCACCACGACGCGAGGCGGGAGTGGAGGTACGAGCGGCGCGCCATGAGGGACTTCCACCGGGCTGCGAAGCACGGCTATGGCTACAGACAGCCCATCACTGTCCCTTCTGCGACCATCCATGGCACCAGGCAACGCAGCTACAGCCCTGGCGACTATGACGAGGGCTCGTCGGCCTCCCGGGCTCTGCCCGATCCCCGGGGTGAGCACTGGGAGGATGACTATCCTGCAGCCCGAGCTGCCTTCGGGGAAAGCCGTATTCACAAGGTCCAGCGCCAGGCACCGCCGCCAAGTTACGAGACTGTCAGCCAGCACCCGAACCAGCCAAGACCGTCTGTGGAGATATTGACAGAGGCGAAAGGGACTGACAGAGACGAGATGAATGGCTTGAATGAGGCGCGCCTGGTCCTCCCCTGATCTGTACTCTACTGGATTTGTACCGTATACACAATTTATCTCCGGCGCTGGTCTTTTAGGCATAGTGGGCTCTCGTAGAGACGACGATCAGACAGCGGGCTTCATTTATAATTCCATTAAGGAAGGCCCAAGGGCGTTCAAACTCGCACCAGGCTGCCCAGGTCTTGTAGGCCGCGAGTCCGCTGCTTGCCTTTTCTCCAAGTCCAGTCTCTGAAACCTTTGTCGCCATGCATTGTGATGTTTTGTACGCGCGCATTTTTCAGGCCCTTTGCCTGCGGCCATTCCACCCCTCACCACCACCAGACCACGTACGAGCAAGTCCTGCTGTACCTCGGGACCATCTGTTTATCGCTGGCCAGCTAGTCGTCGGCTCTGAACCTCACCCAGTGCCTTCATCCCACTCAAGACAGTAGTCGTGCCCAGCACAGCCACTGGGAGAAGGATGTGGCCGAGAGGCATGCCGCGGTGGTAAAGGAAGTACACAAACTCGATCGCGAGGACCGAGCCGAAAAAGGTCGCATGGGACAGCGGGGCCGCGCCAAGAGCCTTGGGAAGGCTGCCGAGGTTCGCGCCGAGGAAACCGAACCACTGTGGAAGGGGGCCGGGTTAGCAGCTGCGTTGCGCACGCACACAAGGGCACACCAACGCAAGATGGGTTGTGGACATCATGAGGACGGGCAACCTACACCAACGAGGAGGGCTGGCAGTGTAGCGGCGATGACTAGCACGAAGAAGATTGAGAAGATCTTGTAAGGGTACTTTGTTTCCTCGCGAAAGATGTGATGGATCTGAGGCTTCTTGCCATAGCGCAGAGAGGAGGGAATGACGGGCGCGGGTGCGTTGGAGTCCTGCTTGATGTCGACGTCGAATGCATCGGCAATGACACCCTGTGCCGAGCCAAAGGATCCAATGACAACGGTTGCGTGGACAGGGTCGGGTGACGTGAGGAACTGCACGGGAATGTCTTTCTGCGTCTGTACACGCGAGAGTGGTTAGCCTAGCCAACTTGATGGCCTATTTGTGACATACAATCTGGACTTTCGCCTTGCCGCTGTCTTTAACACTCAATGGGAAGGGAGCCTCCAGTCCGCTCTCGTCCTTCAATAGCAGAAAGGCCTGGTGAGGCCGCTTCGCCTTGCCGCTGTCCTTGGCCGTCAAGCTGACTGTGAGGGTATCCTGAGCGTTGAGGGTGAGGGGGGATTTGAGAGGGGATTTAGGGCCGAATCTGTGCGCAGAGTTCAGCAATTGGCCCAATCTGAGGCTGTGGCAGTTCGCCGGTTGATATTAGACTCACTTCTCTCTGGTAGCCTCACCAGCGGCCTTCTTGCTGCTGACGGAGACACTGCCATCGTCAAAGCTCCACGACGACGCAGCCTGGACAGCACCGGCTGCCAGGAGGATGATAGAGGATAATCCAGTTAGACGCATTTTCACTGGCTGAATATGGTGGTGGGAAGTGGCCAGACGAAATCGTCTTGGCAAGACCAGAGATGGAAGTTCCTAAAGAACACGCACGTCGCAGGAGCTCCTGCACTGCCGTAGCTCGGGGAGCTCTACGTGGCGTAAACCCCAGTCTGCTGTTTCGGCAGGCACTGCAGATGTGAGGGCCCGTCCAGGGTTTAACCCTAAGATCAAACACCACACAGTAACACTTCATTTAGAGAACCATATTTTAAGCTAATATTTTAATTTTTCTTAAAATATATTTAATATAAATATAAATTATAAATTATAATTATATAAAGTACTTTAGATTAATTATTATATTATTATTAATTATTATACTAAACTCTATTTAATTTACTTAACTGTTAGATCATTTGTCGTTCGGCCACCTGGGCAGTCGTCGAAACGAGCGCAGTAAAGCCGCGGGTCTGAGTGCTTAGAGTTCGCTCCAAGCCTAATCCGTGGCTATCTTATGAACGGGAACTACTGCGTCTGACGAGGTCCGCTGAGTCTGCAAGCAGCCTTGGAAAATATCACTACCTCGAGGTGCATCGAGATTAACATCTTGGCGAAGTTCTACACCCGGGAAGCCACAGCGGAGTCTTGAGGGTGAGAGATCTAGCTGGGTCTGAACCTAGACCTCTGGAGGCGGGCCGCTGAGCACAGGATAGGCTTATGAGCTGGCCGCAGATGAGACCTACGCTTTTCCAGGGCTGCTATCAGGCCGTTGCCGATTTGGATCCTTCACCATTGTCCACTCTGGTCTTGAGCGTTTATCACTGCCTGGAGGCGCCACGTATGTCTTCGGACGTATACGTAATAGAAGCGAAACCAGTCAAGTACACAGTACGACACAAATTCTGCTAGCAATGGACCAACGGCCCCACCTTGGATAACGATCAAGAAATTTCCTGTGAGTCTTCCTATACGTAATAAGTCGGTCTCGCATAAGCCCGTAGGCGTCAATCAGTAGCCTGAGCAGGAAGGTTATGGGGTGGGGAGGCAGCTCTGCTGCAATGATGCCCCGTCACGCGGTCGGCCGAAGGTACAGGCAGTACGGAGGAGTACTCAAGTGCACAGCGCTTAGTACTGAATACTCGCCATCCAGTCTTGGTCCGCAACCCCCGCGACCGAAATCCTGGATTTGGACATGGCTTTGCTTTTACGCATGTTCTCCGTCAATGATTGTGGCTCAGACGTGAAATGCTCCGAGGTTGCCTGTTGTCTCAATAAAGACACCGGGAGGTCGTTAAGCACAGAGGCGCGGGTGCAGGCAATTTGATTATGCTCCGCACACTCTCTACTACTATATAGTAGGTACCTATGGGTAGGCACCTAGGTATGCTGTTCATTGCATTGTAAAGTGGATTCACGGGAAAGAGGGCAGGATTGCAACATGGAAGGGTTGCAAGGTTCCGGCACCTAGGTACCTAAGTACCTAGGTACTTAAGTAGTTAAGTGGTATCCGCCCAAACCATCCGGAGCACTTGAGGCACCTGGGCATATTAGTGGGGACAGCGCGCGTGTCGAGTCACTCCAGATGTCCCTCCCCTCCCGAGCAGCAACTGTGGACTAGTTATATCAATATGCTACAAACAACAATACTCGATCTCTTATTGCTAACAGTTCCATAATGAAGATCACTTCCTAAGACTTTTTTACCTGCAATTCAAACCTTGGCCTAAATCTGCACGCAGCCCCAACTCAACTACTAATCGCCAGGAAACATGGAGTGGAAACAGCACAACAAAACATATCAGATCCTCAAGGCAGCCGAGGAGGGAGGTTATGGCGTACTTGCCGCCATCGCGTGAGCTTGAGTTGTCAGAGCGCTGCTCGGCCGGTTGCATGTAACACTAACGCTCTCTCAGGTACAACATCGAAAGTATTCTGGGTCTCATAAGGGCGGCTGAGGCCAAGAGGTCCCCCTTGATCCTCCAAGTATTCCCGTGGGCGATCACATACAGCGATGGCCTATTAGTACACGCAGCTGCCCAACGAGCCCGGCAGTCCTCGGTGCCGGTGGCGATTCACCTCGACCATGCACAGGATGAGGCTTTGATCAGGCATGCAGCGGCAAACCTGCCCTTCGACTCGATCATGGTAGATATGAGTCACTATGAAATGGATGAAAATTTGCGTAAGACGCGTGAGCTGGTGGCGTTCTGCAACCAACACAAGATTACGACCGAGGCGGAGCCAGGACGCATTGAGGGCGGCGAAGACGGCATTGCTGATACCGCAGAGTAAGTAAACCAAGGAACTTGTTTGTTTGTTTGCCCCCCCCCCCCATATCACATTGGCCAGCTGTTCCACCACGCTCTCTCGTAACGCTACTTTCAGGAATGCTGAACCACATGCACATATAGCCTAGAGGGAGCTTTGACAACCCCGGAGCAAGTGGAAGATTTCATCGCCACTGGGATTGACTTCCTAGCCCCTGCATTCGGCAATGTCCACGGCGATTATGGCCCAAAGGGCCCTGTGTTGGAGTATGACCGGCTTGCCAAGATCCGGGAGACAATTGCTGGAAGAGTACGCCTTGTGGTCCACGGGACAAACGATTGGAGCGAGGAGGTGACCAAAAAGTGCGTGGCTGGTGGGTGCGTGAAGGTCAACGTGAATAAGCTGGTGTTGCTGGATTACTTGAACCATCTGAAGGCAAACGCGCCGTCCAAGAATATCACGGTTCTGATGGAAGAGGGAACCAAGGAAATACAGGCGCTCACAGAATGGGCTATGGATGTCTGCGGCAGTACTGGGAAGGCATAAGACAGCTGCTCAAATCCACACATGGTTCATTCCGAGGCCACCCTGTAAAACCCGTCTCTGAGCCCATACGAGCAATCGCAGATACTCTCTATGAGAAGTATGTGAAAGAATTGCTGCCTTTAACATTTACGACCCAACAGTTTCAAACATGCAGAGTCACAGAAATGTGCTAGTCCGTGTTCGCAGTGTTAGCTTACTGTAGATCTCGAAACTACAATATAAGGATACTGAATGGTCTAACTAATTGTACTAAATCATCCCGGTCAAATTGTTTGGACAGCAGTGGGAAACGGACGCACCCGTACTCACACTGTGCAGGCATAGCCCTTATTGCACTGGCTTCCTGATTCCAGCAGAAAAAACAACAGGGTGGCAAAGCTTCGTGCGTTTGTATAAGTTAATCACCACCTCCAAAGCTGCAAGGGATGAGACTATCAAGAAAATAGCATTGGCTGTTTAAACCCCGATTTTAAGGCACTGAATTGGCAGACAAGATTCCATAGCAGCCCTAGACAGCCCTTGAGATCGGCAACTTGTGGGGTGCCTCGAGACGCGGTAATAAATGGAGATAACCTGGGACCTCGAGGCGAGGAGCGGGATAGCCGCGGCAGCCAATCGACGCAACTGCGTCTAGAACAATATATTGGCCAGAAACGTCAACTCTGTGGGCACAGGGACTATGTAAAACGGCTCTTGTCATTGATATCAGTCTGCTTATGGTCAATCCCACCTAATCCCATCACCACCTTCATTTGACGCACTCTACCTAAACATGTCTGCTGGAAAGAACGTTATCATTACTGGGGCCGGTGGGATGATCGGCCCTATGCTGGCCCAACGTCTTCATGATGATGGCTATAATCTGATCTTGACGGATATTGTTGAACCAAAGGCCCCCAAGGGTGGCAAACAAGAAAATATCAAATGCCTGAAGGGCGACATCACCGACACGGCATTTGTGAAGAAGCTGCTTGATGCTGCACAGCCGCTCCATGCCATATTTATTTTCCATGGCATCATGTCAGCAGGCTCTGAGGCAAACTTTGACCTGGTGAGCACCTTCCGATAAGAAAGCGCAGCGCATGGATGTCTTGAGAGCAGGCCGTTATGTGTCGGCCGGCGCGCCGCATCTGGTCTGCTTGAGCAATTTCGCTAACATTAAGAAAACCAGTCTATGAAAGTGAATGTCGAGAGCGTCCGCAACCTGCTCCTTGCTTTAAGAGAGCTGCCACAGGCACCAGTGAGGGTGGTTTATTCCAGCTCACAAGCTGTGTATGGACAGCCTCTGCCAAAGATCATAACAGACGATGTGACGCCCACGCCGGAGGGAACTTATGGAGCACACAAGTACTCTACCGAGATTATCGTCAACGACATGCACCGAAAAGGATTCATCGATGCATTCACAGTTCGGTTCCCAACAGTGGTGGTCCGGCCCGGCGCACCGAGCAACGCGGCCCCGTCCTTCCTTTCAGGTTCGATCTTCCCTTGTGGCTGAGGCGCGAGGCCTTGACTGACCGCCATTGCAATCAGGCATGATTCGGGAGCCAATGAAAGGGCAAGAGTGCGTAATCCCCCTCACGGACAGGTCCTACAGGACATATGTGTGCTCTCCGAGCAGCACAATTGAGAACCTGGTGCGGGTACTCAACCTCAAGAGTGATGCGCTGCCAAATCACCAGAGGCACATCATGTTCCCAGGTGTCTCTGCTACTGTCCAGGAGCTCATGGACGCGCTGGCCAAACACGGCGGCCAGGACAAACTGAAGCTCCTGAAGGAGGAGACGAACCCTACTTTTGAGAGGATTCTGAGGAGCTGGCCGGAAGACTTCGACCCGAGCACGCCAGACAGACTTGGCCTGGTGAGGGATAAAAAGGCAGAGGACCTTGTGAAGGAGTACATCGACTCCCTGGCCTCGCAATAGGTCTCCTTGTCACCTCTGTCATGGCGGCGCTTGGGAATGAGAGTAGATTGGGAGGGGGTGATCTGTCTTGCCCCACGAGTACCACCAGTTGAATGTGCAACCCCAGTGACGGTTCTTGAGGAACTCTGGTTAACTGGTATAGAGAAGTGCTGGTTGAGGGTGTGTGTGCAAGGGGACGAAATGCAGATTATTTGTGTGATTGCTCTCGCGCTCCAAGTCCCTCTTCCGTTCGTGGATGGCGGGGTCTATCTTTCCAAGGCTCGTCTAACGTAACCCCAGCGGTGAAATCCCCAAGTGCTGTTGCCGCTGCGGCAGGACCAAGGATCTGTTGGCCCAGGAACAAAGCATCTGTCTAATATGTGACCCGGGCTCCTTAGAGTCACTAGGCACCACCCAATATTGCCCCAGCCATTTCATTCTTGGCTTTTCCTCAACTTCACTCCATCACTCTTCCATATCTTCAGCCGTGGGCCGCCTCTCGCTCGAGCCTGATTGCATGCCTCAGACTCCAACGGCCATGGGCAAAGACGCCCTCTCATTAAACCCGTGCTGATTTGATAGTTGCAATAGGGCGAATCTCCTATCCTCCACCCCTATGGAAGAGCTGGATGAGGAGGAAGACACCCGCCTGTCCTCGATGGAGCCCAAGAGCCCTGGTCGTCTAACAAAGAGCAGCGAAGCTCAAAAACGCGGCCCAAATCAGCAGCTGGCTCAAGATGCCGTCAAAAAGCCCAGACCAAGTACCCAGATGGCCTTCCCGAATGGAGGCCTACGTATCACTCGCACCCCCGGAAGGTCGAGGACCAAGAACTGTATTAATCTGACAGACGTAATACACGAGGACAGCCTCATATCAGCCTGTGTCTTCGCTTTTTTCATAGCCAACGACGAGTTGTTCGAACATCTTCCATTGTCTCCCACGTCAAACTCGGTACCGGTATACACCCGCTCCCTCAGCCAAGGCTCTGCAACCGGCCGTGAGAACTGACGCGATCTAGATCTATATTGGACGAGATGCAAGTACGGATCGCATGGTCTCTGAAGCCTTTCGGAAGACGGGTATTTCGGTCGGGAGGAAGGTCCCCAAGAAACAGCTGCAGGACCTCCGCCCACAGCTCGAGGAGTTACATCGAGTCAAGTATGGGCTCAATTACCACGCATTTTATGCCTGGTCGCCGGGTTCTTCGCACTCCAAGATCCTAGCGCTTGTGTATCCGGGATTCTTGAGGATTGCAATCACGTCGTGTAATCTAATGGACATCGACACCAAGCTGGGTGACAACCATTGGTATATCCACGACTTGCCCAAGATTGTCGAGCGACAGGATGGTCAGATGTCCACCTTCGAAACGGACCTGCTTGCTCATCTGACGGCTCTCGGGACACCGGTCGGGTTCATCAATTCCATACGTGGGAGATATGATTACTCAACAGTCAAAGTTCATCTCGTCTCATCCGTGCCTGGTACGTATTCGGGCACCAAGGCCCAAGACTGTGGCCTTCTCCGCCTCCGACAAATCATCAGCAGTCTGGACTTGAACCTAGCAAAGAAGAAGCGCCAGGGAAAGTTACAGCTTGAAGTGTGCACAGCCAGCCTTGGGAACCTGTCTTCGAGATGGTTGGACGGGTTCTACGACTGCGCACTCGGACGAAAGTATCTAGAGGTCATCGAGGACTGCGACGTGCCCAGTGGCTTGAAGCTATTTTACCCAACCATTGAGGACGTCAGGTCCGCTAGCGAGGAGGCACAACATGGTGCCAGTAATATTGGAGTGAGTATTGGTGTTGTCCCACGGTTCCCAGCACTTTGAGGTTTTGGAGCATTCCTAGATTCACCCCCCCCCTGGTCTCGCAGCAGGCGACTAAAGCACTACAGTGTCACATACGCGCCTGGAAGGAGGCATCAGAAGCGCTTCGGAATATATTCCATCACTACCGGTCGAAAGACTCGGGCGTGCTCTTCCACCAGAAATTCATCGTTGCATACGACCCAACAGCACCCGCGTTGTTGCCCTACTATGTCTACATTGGCTCCGCAAACCTGTCTTCGTCTGCATGGGGGACGTTGGAGACAGACAAGAAGCAGAATGAGGAGACGTGCGATTTGAAGCTCATCAAGACCTCCAACTTTGAATGTGGTGTCGTTATCCCGGGCGACGTGATTGAGGGTATCCTCGAGCCGGGAACGAGCAGCTGGCAAGACGGTATCGTGCCATATGACCAGGCTGCGAGCAGATATGATGTCGGGAAGGACAAGCCCTGGAATGACCCAGTGTGGGTCCGGGATTTTCGAGACGACTGGAAGGATGAGTGAGGTGGGTGGCCAGCTCGTGGCTGCAAGGGTCGAACCCTGAAAGAGCAGGGAGGCGGAGGAAAGACTAGGGCGGAGTGGGGTTAGGGGTGCTGGCATCCTTGCCAGATTACAACTCTCTTTACCAGAGCGGCTCGTCGAGACCTCTTGCAGGTCGCCGCAATGATCTCGCAACCTTCCCAGCAGTCATTCTGCAGGTTGTCATGGGAAGATTGACCGCAAAGCTGTCCGCGAACCGCCGTTGGGCGTTGGCGCTCAGCCGGGGCGCGGGTTGCGTGTGAGTCCATACCTAGGCAGTCATACTGCCCTGGATCCGAGCCCTCTCAGCGCCGTCTCACCACACACCATATGTCGCGCGCACGAGACTAATCCCAGGCCGTCCAAGGACCAGAATTTCACTTCCAACTGGCCGGCCAATCTTGGTAGTCCTGGTGCTCATGGTTGCCAACATGCTCATACCTGCCGTCGCCTACACGAGCCTGTCCGACGAGAGCCTACACCGAATACCGGCGGCCGGTGCCGACTTCGACATCCACAATAACGCCGGGCTGCTCGCGCCCATTTTGATCCCGCGTGTGCCCGATACCCCGGGCTCCGAAAAGGTCCAGCAGCACTTTGCCGACTTTTTCCAGAACAGCCTGCCGGGCTGGGCCGTCGAATGGCACAACTCCACGTCCAGGACCCCGGCCACTGGCGACAAACTCGTGTCGTTCCGTAATCTGATTCTTCGCCGCGACCCTCCTTGGGCTGCCGTCGGCGACGTCGCCCGTCTTACCCTCGCCGCGCACTACGACAGCCTGTACAGGCCTGAAGGGTTCATTGGGGCCACGGACAGCGCCGCGCCCTGCGCCATCCTGCTGCATGTCGCGCGCAGCGTAGACGAGGCGCTGACGAGCAAGTGGGAGGCCATGCGAGCGGCTGGGGACACGGATGGCCTTGATGAAGAGAAGGGCGTGCAGATACTTCTGCTAGATGGAGAAGAGGCGTGGGTGAGGTGGACTGACGCGGACAGCACCTACGGCTCCCGCTCGCTCGCCTCGCACTGGGACAGCCAGCTTCACCCGCCCGCATCGGTCTTCAAGCGCCCAATCGACTCTATCTCCTTATTCGTGCTGCTTGACTTGCTTGGCGCGAGCGACCCGCATGTGCCGTCCTACTTTCCGACGACGCACTGGGCATACCAGAATCTGGCCAAGATCGAGGACCGCATGCGCCAGCTGGGACTGCTCGAGTCAAAGCCCAAAGGCCAGTTTCTCCCGGATGCCAACAAGGAGCAATGGCAGTTTCACCACGGGTTTGTCCAGGACGATCATGTGCCATTCATGGAACGCGGTGTCCAGATTCTTCATCTGATCCCGACACCTTTCCCAACCTCCTGGCACCAGATGGAGGATGATGGCGACCACCTCGATGGGCCTGCGGTTCAGGACTGGGCGAAGCTCGTCTCGGCCTTTGTGGCTGAATGGATGGATCTTGACGGCTTCATGCCGCATCTGAGAGGAGACGACGTGGATGACAGGCTTCGGAAGACAGAACTATGATGGTGTGATGAACTACTCAATCAGTCACGAGAAAGCACCCGCGCCATGTTTATTTACCTCCCAAGCCCTCGATTAAAATGGGTGAAAGTGCACATCATACCTGTCTGCAGTTGCTTATCAACGCGAGACCGTAGACACTTGATCCCCTGGCCGCCTCGCAAAAGCACATTCGCAGCACGACAGATAATGTCCTGTCCAACATTGGTCCCCTGCAGTAAGATAAGGTATTTCCTGCTCGGGCTTTAGTTTGAACCTGCGCCTATGCACAACCCTGTTTCGTGTTGGGCCTTGCTTTTAAGCGGAACAGCAGCACGGGTTTGCGACTCTTATATCCGGAGAGGCGTGCGTTATCTCATTCCGGTGGCCGGGCCTCGAGCTCCATTGTTCTTGCTTACACCCTGGGACTCGGCATACTCAAGAGTACACATCCAAGGTCAGCCTTACCAAGGAGTCATGATGGCACTTCTGCTTATTGCGCAAGGCTCTATACTGTTATCTATTTCGGCTATATGTAGCATCGTTTTCCTGTTTCTGGTGCCATGGAGTCTTACATCGCTTTGTGGATCACCCGTCAAGGTCCGGCTGAGCTGGCAAGCGCGGTGGAAACTTGTAAGGATTCTTCTCGACGCTTCAAACACGAATGGTACTGATTCATTTTTGACAGGTCGCAGGCACACTGTACATTGTTTCCCAGCTCGTACCGTTGCTCTCCCCTGTCGCTGTCGTCCGCAGTCAAGAGTCGCCGTCACCAACTCTGACAAATTTAGAGGCAGCATCAGGGTTCCTGGGAGCTTCAGCCTCTCTCTGGGTGTCGTCTTTGGCTCACTGGCGGTCAATTGAGCCTTCTGGTCTTACCGGTACCTACCTCTTAGCTAAATTGGCTTGTTATGGAGTCCTGGCCACGGTCCCAGGCAAAGTCCATAGGCCATCTGAGGTAATCAGGGTATGCTCTATAATACCATTCCTTTTTCTCGAACTGCAGGGGAAGAGACGCATACTCCTGCCCTGTTATCAATCCGAACCTCCGGAGGCAACAACCAGCTTTTTGGGAAGAGTATTCTTCACCTGGATCAACCCTATCTTATTCCATGGCTACGAGAATATACTGCATCAGGATGATCTGCCTCCACTCGATCGGGTCTTGGAGTCAAGGAATCTCAGACAGTCAATCTTGCGAGCGTGGGATCAGAGAGGTGTGTGTCTATCCCGGCTATGCTTTCGGTATCCTACGGCGCTGTGCGTTGTTTCTGAATCGATCTCATAGCGAAACCTGAGGGCGCAGCCACTCTGCCTCGAGTTCTCCTGGATTGCATTTTAATGCCTTTCTTGACGGCAATCATCCCGAGACTAGCCGTGATTGGTTTCCGATTCGCTCAGCCCCTGCTTATAAGCCAGGCCATCCTCTTTGTGAGCACTGTCTCCCCGGCGAATAATGAGTCTGCAGCATACTTCCTAGTCGTTGAGGCGACTGTGGTATATGTTGGCATGGCAGTAAGTATCTTTCGCGTACTGCATTAACTCACATTCTGCCAGACTGGCTGACTACCTATCGATAGGTTTCCACATCGGTCTATCAACACCGCGTAAACCGCCTGGAACTAATGATTAGGGGCGCAATGGTTTCTCTGATCCACAGCCGGGCTCTTGACATTAAGAACAGCGAGACCGAGGACGGGAGGGTGGCTACGTTGGTGAGCAACGATATTAGTAATATCGAGGACTCTCCCAGGATGTTCCACGAGATTTGGGCACAGTTCTTAGAAGTCATCATCGGTACATTTCTCCTCTCCCAGCGAGTGGGCTGGCTGTGGCCAGTACCACTGGTACTGATAATTTGTAAGAAGTGCTCGGAGCCGTCACGGGTGCATCGGAATCTGACAAGAAGGCAGTTTGCTCCCGCGTGAGTCGGTACGTCGCCCAGCACCTGAAGCCAGAGCAAGGCAGATGGAACGTCGCGGTTCAGCAGCGGCTTTCGTTCACAAATTCCGTGCTGGGTTCCATCAAGAACATGAGAGTGCTGGGTATTGAGCATGCTGTAGTGGAGCGGATCCAGGATCTCAGGAGGAATGAGATGGACGCTGCCAGGGGAGCCCGCTTGCTCACTGTCCAGTACGGTGCCAGTGGTAAGCCCGATCGTACTCAGCACGCGAACCATGTACTGACAGCCTTGGTCCCAGCAAATGCTCTAGGACTTTTTGCGCCCGTCTTCACTATCGTGCTATACGCCGTTCTGGCGGCCCATCGCGGAGATGTGTTGGATGCTGAGACCGCTTTCACCACCGTTGCGCTTCTCCTGATGATCACTCGTATGTTGCGAGTTCATGTCATCTATTCTTGATTTCCTTTCCACTTCTCCAGACAGACTTTCACTGGCATCAACGCGGCACGTACTGACCAATAATGGGGCAGACCCAGCAAACATGATTATGACCTTTATTCCTCGAGCTGTCGTTGCTTACTCCGGTTTCGATCGCATACAGACGTATCTAGTGAACGGCCATGATCCAGCCCAGCCGTTTGAAATAACCAGAATGCCAGTAAGTGGGCCCGTGGTGAGAACGTCCACAACTGTCGTGGTGGAGTTGGCCAGTGTTTCCATCCTAGGCACAAATGGGTCGAACCACATCCTGAGAGACATCAGCTTCAAGATTTATCAAGGCTCTCTCATTATTTTGACAGGGCCAGTCGGATCAGGGAAGACTACCCTCGCCAGGGCGATACTAGGTGAGATCCCTTCATCTCAAGGCATCGTCACAGTCTCTCCGGAACGCGTTGCCTACTGCTCGCAAGTCCCTTGGCTGCCCAGCGAAGTGATTCGGGATGTAATCTGTGGTCCGGAAGCACCACATGGAAGAGATGAGGCTTGGTACCAGAAAACAGTTAAGGCCTGTTGTCTTGATTCAGACTTCAAGGCATTTCCGGACGGCGACCTGACGGCCATAGGGAGCAAAGGCATGAACCTCTCTGGCGGGCAACGCCAGAGGGTAGCTCTGGCCCGCGCACTCTACTCACGGTGCAAGATCATGATCTTTGACGATTGCTTCAGTTCTCTGGATGAGAAGACTCAAGGTGGAATCATTGAAAACCTTCTTGGGCCAAAAGGCATAATACACGACGGCACGACAACGGTCGTGTGGATTACGACAGCGACCAAATGGTTCAACCTGGCCGATGAAATCATCATTCTCGCCGACGGCGTCCTGAAAGAAAGAGGAACATGGGATCACCTTCGAGAGCACGACCCTTCCGTTGACCAGGTCATCCATCGTCAGCCCGAGAGGCCTGTGGCATTCCCCGAGGCTCGAACAACAATAAACAAGGCTCAGGCAGAAATTCAGAGGGACGGCTCAAAAGATCTTGCCCGTAAGGACGGCGACCTGTCCCTGTACAAATACTATATGAAATCCGCAGGACTCGGAAGCATTGCGGCCATGTCACTTTCTGGGGTGATGTACTCCTTCTTTCATACCTTCACAAACTACTGGTTGAAGGCATGGACGGACTCCGGATCAACAAACACGATATTATACATGACAGGTTATGTGCTCCTCCTTGCGCTAGCATACGTCTCAACGGTCACTGGAATGTTTTATACCAACCTGCGTATTGCCCCAAACTCTGGCCTCTCTCTTCACAGCCGCCTTCTGGTCGCTATTACATCCGCTCCATTGCAGTACTTTTCAAACACAGACTTGGGCACGATACTGAACCGCTTCGGGCAGGATATTCAGCTGGTCGACAAGCAGCTCGCGCCTGCGCTCCAGTCCCTCAACAACCAGGTCTTCAAGCTTCTTAACCAGACGTGCGTGCTTCTCGCATCGCAGCCCATGATGGCACTCTCGCTACCATACAGCGCGGTCGTTGTCTATGTCGTCCAAAAGGTGTACCTGCGCACCTCACGTCAGTTGCGCCTCCTGGAGCTCGAGTCCCGCGCCGCCGTCTTCTCTAGCTTCCTGGAGACTGTGCAGGGGGCACCGACCATTCGCGCGTTTGGTTGGGGCCGCGAGTTTGCAAGGAAGAATGTGGCCGCCCTCAACAGTTCCCAGCGCCCCTTTTATCTGCTACTCTGTTTGCAGCGGTGGCTGAACGTCGTGCTCAACCTGCTTATCGCTGCCATTGCCGTGGGCACCATTGGGTTAGCTGTGCTTTACAGGTCCTCCACGACGGGCGGGATGATTGGAATGGCGCTGAACGTGGTCCTCGTCGCGAATACAACGCTGCTTTCGCTGGTCGGTGCCTGGACGGATCTCGAGATCTCGCTGGGCGCCGTGGCGAGGCTGAGTAAGCATCACTTTTGTCCTCGCACGGATCCCCTTGCTTTCATACATTGGAATTTTCTTCAGTGCGACACTTTAGTATGCGTAGTAGCACTAACGTCAAATCCAGAGGAGGCTGAGACGGAGACTCCACGGGAGACCCAGCCAGATGAGTGCGACCTACCGCCTAGCAGGTGGCCCAGTAGGGGTGAGGTTGTCCTGGGTGACGTGACAACCGCATATAGCTCAAAGGCGATTGCGCTTAGGGCTATCAACCTAAAGGTGCAGGCGGGCCAGATGGTGGCAATCTGCGGGCGGACGGGCAGCGGTAAGTCCTCGCTGGTCCTTTCGTTGCTTCGATTGCTCGATATCACTCAAGGTATCGTGACGGTCGATGGCGTCGACCTGTCTTCCCTGCCGCCGTCATTGGTCCGCGGGGTCGCATTCATCGCTGTACCACAGGAAGCCTCATTCCTGCCTCAAGCAAGCTTGCATTTCAACCTCGACCCGGAGCTGAAAGCACCTCGGTCAGTTGTCAAGGCTGCTTTGATGCGGACTGGCCTCTGGGACCTGCTTGGCGGCGACGGGCCAGACCGGGAGAATACAACGTCAGCGGATGAGGAAGATAGTGAGGGAACTTGCGTCCTCGATGAGCCCTTCTCCTCCCTGCCCGTGCTCTCAGCTGGCCAGAGTCAGCTCCTCGCGGTGTCTCGGGCTCTCGTACGCAGCTCTATTCTGTCAGGTACTGCTACTTCTGCGGAGGACCACCACGTGGATGATGACGGTGTCGGCCCCAGACCAATAGTTTTGCTTGATGAGGTCACATCGTCACTTGATCCCGTCACAGAAGGTAAAGTACTGGACCTGGTCCGAGAGGAGTTCATGGACCGAGGGCATACCGTCATGATGGTGACGCACAATTTGGACGCGGTGAGAGGCAAGATGAGAAAAGGGAGGGATGCGATTGTTTGGATAAGAGAAGGTCGGATGGAACACGTAGAGGTCGTGTGAGGCTCGAGTGGTCCCCGGCTGTTGGCACATAGAGAGAGGGATCTGCATCAGGAAAGCATGCGCCTTTCTGGTGTTTGTGTTGTTATTCTGAAAATCAAATGGCCCTTTTGCGGCTGTGCCGTCCCGACGCCATTTCCATGCAAAATGATGATATAAAAAGAGCTCTGGCTCAATAAGCACGTCTCAGCCGTTCGGCGGGTCCAGTCCTGTTAGAGCCTATGGAGCGCTCTGGGTCGCAAGTGAGGTCTCAAGAAAGCGCTGCAGGTCTTCCAAAAGCATCAATACAGCATTCCTTGACTGCTCAACCCGCTCTCGCATCTTTGCCTTCGCCTCACCGGGTTGCAGGCGGGGTTCATCTCCTGGACGCAGTCCTACTGCGCCTTCTTGCCATTCACGGCGTTGCCGTTCGTTATTCTGCTTTCCTTCTCCGCTTGCTCTCTCCTTCTGGTTTCTGCGATCTTCTCAGGCGGCACCGTCAACGCCCGGATGCCCAGGTAGTTGCAAATGGACCCAGTCACCAGAAAGGCCCAACGGAAATATGCGATCATGGCGAATACGAAGTACCCGTACAGGTATGCCGTCTCTACCTCCGCAGTGACGGCAGGAAGTCCAAACCGTGGCAGGTTGCCCAATATCGCGCCACCGACCAGTGGGAACAGCATGACTGTCCAGTATGGGAAGGGCTGGCGCGTCAGGTGCGCGAGGATCATCTTGGTCGTCATGCGCCCAAAGACGAAGCTCATGGTCAGGCAGAACAGCACGAGGTGGTTCTCACGGCGTAACGTGGAAAAGGGGCTGTATAGCCAGAATCCGATGGAGAATGTGTAGACAGCCATGGGTGTCCACTCGAGGAAGACGGGCGCAATGGGTAGTTTCTGTCTGCGGCGCGCCTCGATTACATGTTTGATACAACCCGGCACATGGACGAACAAACCGCCGATGATTGTGAGCGCCCACACGTCGCGCACGGCGAGATCGCCGAGCTGTTCTGCGTAGCCAAAAGTGTAGTCATCGCCAAGGACCTTGACGACGGGCGTCGTCCAAATCTGAGGGCCGTAGACCCCGGACAGAGCCATGATAGAAGCTGCGATGAGAAGACCCTCTGTCGGGCCGTTGATGAAGCCAAGGTAGAGGGTGTGGCTATGGTATGTCTCCCAGGTGGAGAAGAACATGGGTATGCAGGGGCACAGCGCGGTAAAGACGCCCGTCTTGGAGGTGCCGAGCCCCATGGCGGCCGTCTCGAGGAGCGAGGCGAGGGTGCAGTTCAAAGAATCGATTCCGTGGTCGAAGAGCTCGCCGAGACCGCTCGATGTGCCCGTCCTCCGCGCTTGTTTGCCATCTATGTTGTCCATGGTCTGGTACATGAAGAGACCGAGTGCGAAGCTGAAGTATAGCCATGAGGGCCCCTGGTGCGGAACAGCGGTTAGCTGCAAGTGGTGGTCCCTGTCCTGCGCAAGCCCGGGCGAGGCTCGATGCTTCAGGGTCGGGGGAAGGACATACCGGGCCTATCAGATCCGGCACGAACAGGGCCAGCAGCCCAACATTAGCCAGGATGAAGAAGAAGCCAACGAGCGTGACCATGTTCGGCGCCATCCACACCGGCAGCAGACCTGCGGCCCAGTTCCACTACCCCGCGCGGATATGTTAGCTGGCCGGATTTCTCACGGTGCTCGGGCGGTGGGCGCGGAGGCTCGCGGCGAAGACGAAGATTTCGAGGCGGGGATTGGCACGTACGTATGGTCGAAGGATGTAGTATGAGACGGGCGACTTGTCAACAGCAGAGTATTTATACGACTTGAGATGTACCAGTGCGTCTTCCGAGACGCACTCGGCGGCGGCTTCTTCTGCAGGCCACGATTCCTGGGTTAGCACTCGGAATTGGCAGGAGCAGTGGCACCGGCGCCCCAGCTCATGATGAACCACGACGGGGTGGCGGGAAAAGGGGTTCACGAACTGCTGTTTGGGGCCATTGTACTCCGTATGGTCGGTGCTGCGGCTGCCCAAATGCAAGACACTACAGAGATGGACGAAGCAGAAAGAGGGTTCGCGGCGCGGGCAAGTGTGCTTGGTTTAAGCCTTGAGGAGCAGCATTGCCTGTTGTGGGGTGGGAGTGGCAGTGTCCCGAGGCCAGGCCGGACGAGTTGACTGAGAGTGTCGGGAGACTGAGAACCTTGGAAGAGCTTGTGCCTAGTTACTACTACGTTTCGAGGCTCGGGACAAGGCAACCTGCCAAAAGACCCAGATTCGTCACTGGCGGAGGCCGGCACTGCTTGCTTGATTGGCCAGCGCAGCACTTGGTCCATGACCCCTGCAGCTTGTCCCACTTGCACGCCCTGCTGGCTGTACTGCATACCTGAGTACCTAGGTACATACCCAGGTAGGACTGTCCACCATTGTACTCGGCAGACTACGCCAGCCACAGGCCTCGGTCTGTCAACGATCCCTTCAACTGAATACCATCCTACGTACTGAACCGAGGTCTCGCGCGGTACTCTTCCAGATACCTACCAGTGCTACCACAGTACCTACCTACCTGGGAGGCAGACTGGGGTACCCCTGTCTCAGGCTGGCCTGCAGATCGAGCTTCTAGAAGATGTCCTCATTGCTCATACGGCAGTGCCGTCCTTGAAAGATGATGCTCCCGTGAGTAGACGGCATGGCGCATGTGTCCCCAGGCTATTCTGGCTTCTGAGAGCCACACGCCGCTGACACGTCAAAACCCCCACTGCTCAGCTCGCCGTCCCGAACATAGAGTGGGCAATTTGGTTCCCACGGATGTTGCAATCGCGGCAGCTCCAGACCAACCAGCATGCGGGAAAGGCTTGCTGCAGCCACCTCGTCAGGCGCGAGTTGTCGGCCCAGCCGGCAAGATTGCCTCCAGGAGGCCAGGAGGCCAGGAGCGCATTAAGATCGACTGTGTATACCCTCTTGAACTCTATTTGGGTGAAAGAGGTGCTCTCCTGGTGTGGGGCTTCGCCTAGGGCCACGCAGCTCGATTGGGCCTAGGCCAGGTAATGAATCACTTTAATGAACGTCACATTGCGTCGTCGGGCCCTGCAGTTGTGCGCCGCCGTCACACACACAGGGACAGCTTGAGTTGTCGAGTGACTGACTGGCAACTCTACACCGACCTGTCCAATACCAACAGCACAAGCTCTGCGCATAAATTGCTTCTTGATGATGCTAATACGACCAAGTACATGAATCGCAAAGAAGAGAGTAGCAAAACGCCTCCCCGACAAAACCCTGCTCCCGATGCAATGATTTACTGACGCCGCGCACATATTTAGACATTAGTCGCTCTGGTGTTTATTACTTTGTGTGTGTGTGCGCACATGTATGCAGGGCATTCCTCCCAGAGAGCAAGCCTCTGCCGGTGAATGCGTTCCCCAGTTGAGTGGGCGTTGCTGAGGAACGTGAGACAAGTGAGACAAGCCCTTCCCGAGGGCCGGACCTCCGAGACCAGAGCAAACCCCCCTCAAACCCTTGCCCAGCTAGTAGGTGCTGAGTTCTGTTACAACAGGTACGCGAATCCCACGAACAAGACACCCAGCGTACCACTCACGGCGTACATACTAGCCGTCTCCAGCGAGCGTGCCACTGCGGCGCCGCTGGAAGACGATGATGACGAACCACTCGACCCGGCCGGGCCGTTGAAGACGGTGGTCTCATCGGCGGCGCTGGAGCTGGAGGTTGCTGAGGCTGTTGACGTCGCGGTCGAGGTAGTGTTGGCAGTTCTGGGATGTGAGGCTCCGCAGGGGTGGTCCTGCCTGCAAGCGCTTGCGCAGGTGCTGTCCGACCCGCAGCCCTTCTCGCACTGATTTCCCCACTCCGTGCAGACAAAGTAGGGAAGAGTCAGGGAGTACTCGGACACATTGGGTTGCGTGTTGTCGCCGCAGAGACACCCGTATGTGAGAGTTTCCTATGAAGGGCATGAGTGTGTTAGGGCCTCGCCTCGCCTCGGTCATCCACACCGGATCAGAGTGAAGCACGTACCGGGTCACAGGTATTCACCTGGGCACCTGTGCCTGATTGGTCCATGCAAATCAAGGGGCATGCGCTTCTTTCATCCCTGCACCAGCTCTCTGATGACGAGGAGTCAGCGGCCTGAAGAAATTTAAGAAGGCGATTCAGCCGAGACAGTTGTGCTCACCCCTTGTGGTTCGTGGAACGCTGCTGGGATCGATGAAGTAGTCCGCCCTGACGGTACCGACGAGGGCGGTGGCTACCGACAGAAAAACGGTCTTGAACGAAGGCATCGTGTCGAGGGTGTGTCTGAAAAGTGATATCAAATGGTGATGTTGTATGGTGCTTCAGAGCTAGCCTTTGGGCACAGTTTGGTCAGTGCTGCAAGTCCTGTTGGGGATTTTGGAAGATGTACACTGGGAAAGGCAAAAGGAGAAGAAGAAAAGAGGTCTGAAACCGGGTCGAAAAATGACTGAAGGACACTTTCCGCGCCCGATGGAAGACTCACACGTCCGGGAAGGAGCCAATGTAATGTAACCGACTCGAGCACCGATGTAAATAGAAACCCTGGAACCTCGGAAGGTGTTGAGAAAGGGAAGAAGCTGTCCAAGCGAGGCGGACACAGTGCAGGCCAAGTGTGATGCTTGGTGAGCTTTATGGGATGGGGAAACAGCGAGTGACAACAACCACGGGACTTTCTAGACAGAGACAGGATATCTACATATGTATAAACAAGAGCTCTGGAGGAAGAGGCTCGAATCCCGGGGAAGGGCCTTGGGAAGAAATCACACGAGAAATAAAGGAGGCACCAGAGCTAGGGCCCCTGTCCTTGCAGGAGGACACGGCTGCTTTGGATATGGAGAATGTGGAGCAACTTAGAGTTGAGCTCGACCTTATTTGAGTTAGGCCGGGCTTGAATCCCCGGAGGACCAGCGGCGGTGGGTAGGGATCTGGGCTTACGGCTGTGGGAAGAAATCCGAACTTTGGACCGTCAACCGAATCAATTGGACCCTCTGATTGGGCACCAGGCCCCCGTCAAGATTTCAGTCGTCTGTCGGCCGGGGGCAGGGGTCCAAGGTAGCAATCGGAGCGGTGCTGTGGCTCGGAGTTCTGTACGGAGTACTGTGGTACGCAGTATTTCCAACACACGGGGAGGAGGGTTCTTCTGATGGTGCCACGGCGATGCTTGGCCTACAGAGGATACACGGTAGGCAGTGGAATGAGGTCGGTAAGCTACCTAGGTACCTAGGTGGAGCTACCTAGGTGGAGCTACCCAGGTAGGTGACCTAGGCACCCGGTAACCTAGGCACAATCCAGGTAGGTGCCCACCTGGGTAGGCACTCAAGCTTATCTCGAGCTGCCATCCATGCAGGGCACTGTGTAGCAAATAGACGGATACATGGCCGTGTATGTAGGTGGTTGGGGGGTGGGGGACCCTTGGGGAGGTGGCCCTGTCCACGCCTCTCCCACGCCTCTCCCACGCCTCTTCCACGCCTCAAGGTCGCTCATTTTGCGGGCAGCTGTTCTCTGGGAGGCAATCTCCTGCCTCCCAGCCAGCCAGCCAGCCAGTTTTCTCCTGGACAGACTCAGCCAACGTTCTGGCTCTCTTCTCTGGTCTCACCCATCACGAGGTCGTGCCAGATGTCCAAAGGTGGCAGGGTGGCTAGAACTTCGTATTCACAGTGTGCCCCAAGACCCTTGAGCTTGAGGACGCAGGCAGCGTCCACGGGTGGGTGGCACCCGGCTGCTCAGATCGGGCGGGCCGTGCATTAGCCCAAGCAGCTACACTAGTATCCCCCTCTGCGTGCCCACTGCCCACGCACGTCTTCAGATCTTCCAACCCCGTTGTTGGGAACTTGGGACAACAGCTAACTCCCAGCAAGTCAGCAAGTCCATCCGTCCCAGTTTGCTTTTGGATACGGGCCGCCCATCCTGCTGTGCGTCCTGCTGTGCGTCCTGCTGTGCATCCTGCTGTGCATCCTGCTAATAATAAGCATCCTGCTGATGACGGTTCTGGGTTGAGGTACCTCCGTGCTGTCGCTCCCCTGCCCACCTGCTGGCCCCTCGGCTTTGTGGTCAGGAGAGTTGCCGGAGCGTGAGCCGCATTGCGGAGCAGCACAGGCCTGGGCCTACCAACGGGTGGCTCGCACCGAGTCTTGTGGCCTCGGGTGGGGGGGCTGGTGGGGGGCTCACAACCTTTTTGCTCCGGAACATCCTGAACTCCCTGATGGTGGCAACACCAACGCCCACCAAGCCTATGGATACGAACTTCTTTTTCTGTCGGCTATCGTGTCCTGAGGGCCGCTTGACAAATGCTGCCGGGAGCTGCCGCCCCTCAACTACACTGCCATGCCACGCCGGAAATGGCCAGGCAGTCTCATCGGGCACGTGTACAGTGTACACTACACTATAAGTGCGAATTACTCCCACCGCACTAGATTGACGGCCATTAGTAATAGGGCCCTCCTCTCCTACGGTGCGGATCAAGGGTGCTATATATAGTAGCATATATACCTAAGTATAGAGCACCTGTAATAGGGTTAAAGAAGTTTTAAGACACTTTTTATTTCTATATTTTAATTTTTAAAATTTATTTATTTTATTTTTAAAAAACTTTATAATTTAAATTAATTATTTATATAATTTTTTTATTTTTTATTATAAATATAAAATATAAAATATAAAATATAAAATATAAAATATAAAATATAAAATATAAAATATAAAATATAAAATATAAAATATAAAATATAAAATATAAAATATAAAATATAAAATATAAAATATAAAATATAAAATATAATTATAATTTAAATATTAATTAATAAATTTTATTATAAATAAAATTTTATTAATTAATTATAATTAAAAAAGTTAAAAATTAATTATTAAAGTTTATTTTATATTATTATAATAATTTTTTAAATTAAATTATAAGCTTTAAAAGAGTAATAAAACCTTAATTTATATTAAAATATATATTATAGTAGTGTTAGTAACTTACTTATAGACTTAATAGTATTAGATCTACTTAATTATATAGTTAAGTATAATATGCTCTATCTGCTAGATATCTTCCTTCTCTACACGGACGAAGATAGAGCTAATGTCCACTTACCCAGCAATTATGTCTACTCACCCAGTTTTTTTCGCCCACTTACCCAGTACAAGAATTTACGTGCAGGGCCTATATAAAACTATGTACCTGACTAGGATTCTCCAAATTTTCGATACTTTCGGTATAAGCGCCTTCTGGCACGCCTTCTAGCATGTCTTTTGGTATGCCTTCTGGTATGCCTTCTGGCACGCCTTCTGGTATGCCTTTTGGCACGCCTTTTGGGCCTTCTGGCCTGTACGCATTCAGGTACCAACTGAGCGTTTAGATGCTAACTGAACGCTAGAAGGCTAGAAGTCTAGAGTGCTAGAGGGTTAGAAGGGGTACTAGAAGGCTAGAAAGAGTGTAGTTTTTACCTTTACCTTCTTGGCTTTTGGCCTTTTGGTGTTTAGTTGGCATTTGAATGCTTAGTTGGTACTTGAATGTGTGTAGACTAAATGGTGAAGGTGAAGGTGAAGGTGAAGGCAAAGGTGAAGGCGAAGGTGAAGGCGAAGGTGAAGGCGAAGGTAAAGGGGTGCCAGAAGGGGTGCTAGAAGGCGTGCTAGAAGGCGTGCTAGAAGGGGCTTGTACCAAAAGTATTGAAAATTGGAGAAGGAAATCGTGCTATGGGGTTTCTTGGTGCTGACTTAGAAGGTACTTATAAACGTGAGGGAGTTGCTTAGAAAAATTGGTACTGGGTGAGTGGTTGGTGGGAACTGGGTGAGTGGACATAATTGCTGGGTGAGTGGACGTTGGCTTACGAAGATACCACAAAGCTGTGGGGGGCTTTGGGTTTAGCCCCTTGTCCAAGTATTGTACTGGAGTCCAGATCTGGAAGCATCGGGTAACCGTGGACAGACCGAATTGCACATGGCTGCCTTGTGTCATATAGCCACGCCAGTATGATCAAGCTGCTCCCGGAGGCGCGTGCCTCGCCGCACTCACGCAGCGAGCCCAGGTCGACACCAACCTATCGTGCAACCCGCAGTGGCTCAGTCGCAGCAGCACTGGAGCAGCCGACTGAGGCCGGCAGTGAACTGGATGCCGAGACATGGGACGGCTGGACACCGCTATTTGAGGCGATTGAGAATCACCATCTCCCTACGGTGAAGTGGCTGGCCGGAAAGGTGTCAATCTGAGGCAGGGAATCCTTCATGGCTTGTCCATGTTAGAGTGTCTACGAGCCTTTGGCGACCAGCGCTGTCACCGAGGATTCTACTGTCGTCACTCGTGCCAATATGGCGATGGAACCCCGGAAGCACTCAGTCGCAGCTCTCCTGTTGCTCTTGTTTGCCAACGTCGTTTTTGGCGAAATGTTGATCTTGATGTTTGGCGAGCATTTGTTTGACTTATACGAGGAAGCAACACAAACGAGTCCTTCTGGGTGCATGGGAGCAACAGTTGGTAATTATACCAACCACCTTGGTCCAATCAATCAACCGCTCTCGCCGAGGCTCAAGAACCCACAACTAGGTGGTACCCGGGCCTGCCAGGGTTCGCAAGTACCGTCGTCCCATGCAGAAGTGTACTTTCAACCGCAAGAAGCACGGGGGACGTGCAGTGGTGTCTCCTAGTAGTGGCACCCGGAGTGCCCCACGGGAGCTTGGGCTAGCCCGGTTCAATTAATCCCGTCCTCGAAAACTTGACGTTTCTTGCCCGTGTTGATGTTCCCCTTTCCCAATCGCATCCGAGGACAACTCTGCCCGCCCCTTACAGCAGCCCGACTGCACGATTCAATCGAGGTCTGTCAGTGGCCTCGCCCAATGGCTTCATGGCATCGGCGGCACATCCTCGCATCTCGACCCGCAGCTTGAACGGCCGAGTCGGCGGAAATGGGACAACCAAGCGAGTCGCAGATGATGATGATGACAGCCTTGTGACGGAGCAGTTCCCAGCGTTCGACCCGGCGCATGACGGTAGCGAGGACGATCTCGCATCAAGCAGCCACAACTACACCCACCAGCAGCCCAGTGCCCTGACCGACGGCGCTACCATGGACGGCATCAATGACGGCTTCGACGACGGACAAGAAGACTCATCTTACCACCACGCCGGCAATAGCCCCGACGCCGCAGACCTTCCGCCGACACCCTTATCCAACGTCGACCCTGTACCCGAACCCGACCATCAGAGCCACCAGCGCCAAAAGTCCGCCCCAGAAACGTCCATCGTGACCTCGCCTGCGGTCACGTCGCCGCCCTACTGGGCGCACGGCCACACGACTAACGGCACCGGCGGCGCATCACGCGCCAACCATGGCAATCAATCCACCGAGAGCCTCGTGCCGGGCGCAATCACACTGCAGGACAATGAGGCAGATGACGACGATGGTGAGCCCTCCGACCGACAGCGCAACTCGGAGGAGACCCGTACGTCGTACGGCCGCGACAGGAACAGGGCGTGTTGGGCCAAGAGCGTCGAGGTGACGAACTACGTGGTTGTGAATAGTAGCGCTACCAACATCGGCGCATTCGTCGTCTGGAATATCAGGGTCCAGACGCTAAGTGTAAGCGAGCGGCATCACATCAAACTCCGGCGGCGAGCAGGTGGATACAAGTACCTGATCTGCCCGAGGGAGAGGCGAACATCCTTGTGCTAACCGCTTGTGCTGCTTAGGGGCCTTTCATGAACATAAGGAAGCGTTACTCGGAGTTTGACGACTTCCGGCACCAGCTAATAAGCACGTTTCCCAACTTTGAGGCGGCAGTACCGACTCTGCCGCCCAAGAGCGTGATCTCGAGGTTCAGGCCCAAATTTCTCGAGAAAAGGAGAGCAGGGCTGCAATATTTCCTCAAGTAAGCTATGCCGAAAGGCCTCCAGCTCTGCAAGTAAAGCAAAGCGTCCTGCTGATACATGACCTACCAACTAGCTGTATACTGCTCAATCCGGAGTTTTCTGGGTCGCCTGTGCTCAAAGACTTCTTATTTGCTTGAGCTTAGCCTGCAAATACCGCTGGAAAGCAATCAAGCACAGGGTGCAGCGCTTTGTGAGGCTTGCAACCCGGAGAGCTTTCTGATACCCCCTTTCGAGTACATATTTTCTCAGAAGAGTGTAATGATAATGAGCCACAGCTGCAGAGCCATTGGAGAAATTGCATACACTGTGTTGAATAGGCCAGATGAGTGACAGGCCCGGAAGGCATCCTTTTAATCAAGAATAGCAACAGTAATCCATTATCAACATCGAATTGCTGTTGCGGGCGACCATGTCCTGCCCTGCCTTGTACTCTTGGGGTATAACTTAATACGTCATTGATTCGAGCGTAATGCCATCGCCTCGACTTGTGCGAAACGCCAGGCTGGCCGTCGAAACCGGCCGCTCATTCTTCACCGTGCTGCTGCTGCTAATCAGAGTCTGTCACGTCGCAACATCTGGCCTGCTCTGCTCTGCTCTGCTCTGCTCTGCTCTGCTCTGCTCTGCTCTGCTCTGCACCCGTCGATGCAGGGCTACCGGTAACTTCTTTGGCTTGGTCTCCTTCCCCTTTTCCTCAGCGGTCCCGCTCTTCTGGCCATCTGTTGCCGTTGACGTCAGCCTCAGCTTCTGCATCACCTTGGCAGTGGCCCTATTCTCCCCTCGCTTCTTGTCATCCTCCTCCTGCTGCTTCTCGAGGAACCGCCTTTCCGTTTCTGCACTCTGCGACTTGTCGCGCGCGTCCTCCTCGCGCCTCTGGGCCTCCTCGGGATGAATCACCTTGTCTTTCTGGTGCGCTGTCCTCTGAAGAAGCTTCTTGCCCTTCTGCCGCGTTTTTATGTACGTCTCAAGCCCCACCAGGACAGCGTAAGACTTGGATATTGAAACGTGAGACATATCCACGCCTTCGTCCTTGAGGTTGCGGACAAAAGCCCTGAAGTTTGACGCCGGCGGCCGATAATGACCCGAGAGCGGACTCAGGCTTGCAAGCCTGCCATTTTTTATCTTGATGAGGCCCGCGGCGGAGATGCGTGACCCCTGGACGAATGAGGAATGCTGAAAGGCACCGCTGTCTTTAATGCCGACGTATAACCGGAAGCTCGTGTCTGCGACAAAGATCCACGTGTTTTTGCGAACCGACTTCCGCAAGAGTGTGTTGAAGATCGTAGAGGCGGAGATATGTGTTACCTTCTTGACCCCTTTCGCATCAGTCACGCCCGGCGATGCGTATTTAGCCGCGCGAGCAGCCTCGCGCTCGGATTCAGATGCGGTGCTGATACTGCTCGCCCTGGAACTTGGGTCACTCGGGAACAGCCTGGGCTGGTTTGGGTACGTGGACTTTGGTTGGAAGGCAGGCGTCTCCGTGTCGTCGATCGGAACAATGCCGTGAATGCTATCCCTCCAGTCTTCTGTGGTATCGATCCGAGCCCCGTTCTTGGCCCAACACAACCTGCCGTCCAGGTCGACTTTGACCAGGTAGTATTGGCGCTCTTCCCGCGAGAGGTATCGCACCTGTTCCCTCTCCAACCGGTCGCGTGGGCATGTGCTCAATTCGACGTGCCGCCCATCGCCATGATCCAGCCAGTAGAAGAAGTTTTCGTGTGTATCTGCCTTTTTCCATTCTTCGTGATACTGCCTCAGGTTAGACCCGTAACGGTGTTTGAGGTCGACCATCTCGAGAAAGTACTGCAAGCCCATCATCATTGTCGCATCGTTTCGCCTCCTAGCTCTGGTCTCCTTCCTCTTCTGACGGGTCTCCCCCTTCTTGTCAGAGGTTTCTGGGCCTGAATCCGAGTCCGAGTCTGAGTCACTAGAGCTACTATGGTCGTCTTCCAGATCGCCACCTGCCCTCCTCGCGATCGTCGCGATCTTGTGCCAGTTGTATCGAGCTGATTTCGACCGCTTTGCAGCTTCCGTGTCTTCATGGTCAGCCTCGAAGTCCCCAGGTACTGATGTGACGGTGTCATGTCTTGCTCTCGGGGTAGTGACCGTCCTGAACTGGAGCTCCCTCAAGGCGTGCGTCCACCTGGAATTGGCGTTTAAGCCCAGGCCCCTCATTTCTCTTCGAGTCTTGTAACCCCGATACGTGCGCTGAATCATCGTAGCAGCCCGATGGCGCAATATGTCATCGCTGTCATGACCCGTCCCCACGGCTGTGGCACTTGCGACAGCGGCGGCCAGGGCGCTGGTGTTGCGGGATGGAGAGTGATCCTTGTGTCGGCCAAAGATACTACTGCGATGAGGTCGGTTCCTGGAGTCCATAGTTGGGCTGGGCTGTGGTGCCTCCGTGGATCTGCGCTTTTGTTCCTTTTCCTTTTCGCGAGACTTGCGCTTCTCTTGTTGCTCTCGAACAAGTTGCACCTCTGCTATTCGCAACATCTCCTCGCCCGTGGGCGCCACCAGAGAGTCCATGTACTGTTTCTTGGACCGTGCAGATGTTGCCGAGTCTATGGAAGCATTTGAGTGACTCTGGCGGTCTTGGCTGTTCTGGGCCTCCATGGGGGGTTTATAATCATGGTTGTATCCAGTCTCGCCGGCTTGCACCGACGAGGGGGTCTGTGGAGGAGTTGGTAGGCCGGTAGGGATGCCGTTCTTGATCGGTGCGGGCGATGACGTCGATGTATTTGGAGCAGTTGCAGCCACCACCACCACACTGCTATTCAAAGGATCCATCAAGTTTAGAGCTAGAAGTGAGTGCTATTTTGCCTGGAGACTCTCAGGTTTCTCTTGTCCACGCAATGGTGTGGACTGACACAGCAAGAAAGAAGAGTGGAGGGCACACTCAAAAAGAGTAGTTTGCAAAAGCAGGAGTCAAGGGAATGGAGGAGAGCGTGACAAGAGGAGGAACAATCATCATGAGATGACACGAGAGGGTCTGGTGCTGGGAGGATTGTGACAACTTGAACCTCATCAGCGACGGCCGGTGATGAAATACTTGCCATTGCCAGCCCTGTTGTACCTTGACCTTCGGACTAGGCGGGGCAGGACAGGGAAAGGACCAGCACAGCAGCAGCTCATGGGCCGATGGTTGCTGATGGCAATGGGTGATGGGTGATGGGTGATGGGTGATAGGTGCTGGCGTGACCTCGGACCTGACGGCATAGGGCTGTGCCAGGATTCAGGCTCATGTGGCCAGGCCCAGTGCCTTGCTGCATTTGTAGCCTGGACTCATGCCTGGTTGACCAGAGAGTCCAGAGTGCTTCAGCAGCAAGTGTTGGAAATACCCAGCTGGCAAGGATCAGACCCTTGGCAAGCTGATTCCGGCCTCTAAGCCATCGACATGACGGGGTTGGCACAGAAGGGAATGGCTGGCGCAGCCGGCTGGATCTGCATCTCAGAGGGGAAAACCATTACACAGGCTTGGCACCAGACGGCTGGACGGCTGACACAGAGTATGATTGCGGCCTGCAGTCTGGGGCTTCCATGTCTGTCCGAGGCAAACTGGTATATTTATGGTCGACCCAAACTCAGAATGGAATAAGATACCGAGATAACAGGTCGCAGCTGCTGTCACGGCTGCACCGATGGGTATCTATTCTTGTCCATGAAAACGTTTTATCCTCTCTGTCAACAGGAAGGTGTGTGAAGGGGATTTGGCATTGATTTATTCCTGTTTCTTCTTACAAGGAGAAGCCGGGGAGGGGTTGGACAGGGTCAATCCACCATCATACACAGTATTACATTGTGCCCCGATATTGGCCCCAGGGTTAGGAGAAGGGAGGAGAGTCCTTTCCAAGATCCCCATACCCGAGGTAAGTATCAACCTGCTACTGCCTACTTCAGGTAGGCTTCAGGTAGGCAGGTACTTGAGTTACTAGCTGATGCATAGGAACTGTAGTACCTACCTAGGTACCTAGGTATGTACATTCACAGGGCACAGGATCACAAGCAAAGTCCTGGTAGGTATCTGCAGCAGCTTTTTGTGAACGTTCTTGATGGCCCTGGGACAACAGTAAATCCATATCAGCAACTCCTAAAGGTGCCAGATAATAGAAGACATCCATAAGAGATGAGCAAGTAAACTTGGTAGGAGCCTTGGTGGGAGCGGTGGTAGCGGGTGGGGTGGGCTCGGCACAGGCAAACATCAAGCCGTGTTAGTGCATTGAAATGGGGCAGAGGGTGAGATTAGGTCAATGGATGGGGAGTGGCATGAAAGGAAGTGATCTTTATCAGCTGGCTTGGGCTCTGGGGGCCCCAAGCAGGCAGTCACAAATAGCACTGTTAGGGTCAGTCTATAGGGCCTGGCTGGCTGTCCGGCAGGGCTGGCTGGCAGTGGGCAGCAGCTAAACACTGGGCTGAGATTGAGGAGGCAAGGAGGTCTGACGCAGGAGAGCGGCCAGCCAAGCAGGCGGGCGCCCGCAAAATTTCCCACCCAGCCGTCGTGACTGTCAATGCATCAAACAGCCTGCCATCAGATCTTCAATTGACACGACCGGTTTCCATCATTCCGAGCGACCCTGCAGGACATGCGAGGAGCAAGTTGCCTGGCAGAAGAATGGCAATGACTGCGACAAGCACTCGCTCTACTCGTAGAGCCGAGCCTCTCGTTGCCCTCCCTCCACTCCCACACGCTCATCGAACCACTGCCTCTGCCGCTGCCACGCGCCTGCACCAGCAGAACTCCAGCCGGCCCCTCAAGCGCCTGCACGACGCGACAAACCTGAGATACGACCTCAAATCCCCAAAGAAGGCCAAGATCACGGTCGATATCCCTTCAAAGAGCCAATACCAGGCCAGGCTGTTCCCAGAGAATGTCGACGCCAGGCAGCACCACCGCCAGACCCCGACCCCGACCCACAAGCCCCCTAAACAGGACCATCGTCACCCTGCCAGCACACCTGCTGCTCCGCGCCCGCCGCCCGCCGCCGCCCCCAGAGCAGCACTCGAGCCTGCACTCGCACCCGCAACCGGCGATGCAGCCACCACCACCGCCCATGATGTCCCCGCGCCCCCTACAAAACACAGAGAGAAGGTCGTCAACGGCATCAAGCATGAATTGGATCGGCTACAGCCCAGTTCGGCCGACATGGCTGCCAGCAACGGCCAGGGGCGCAAGCTACGGTCGCAGGAGGGCGTCCGCTTCAAGAGCGAGCTCTCGGCCTACTTTCCCGAGTATGACGAGGTGATCGGGAATGTGCCCAAGGAAGAACGTATGTAATGTCTCCCCTTGGCCCCCTGATTGATCTCTCCCACGCCCTCAACGACGGCGCAGCTGACAGTACCTGCGTGTATGTTGCAGACGCCCTGATGCTCGACACCCCCATAGCCGTTGTCGACACATATCCGTCATCCGCCTCCACCTCGGCGCCGCGCCACGGGCCCCACCTAGCCCCCTCAACTTTTCCAGTCCGCAACTACGGCGACGAGCTGTTCACAAATCTCAACGATTCACAGACAATCGATCTGAGCTGGTTAGAGAGCCAGCACAGGGGCAAGACGTTGAGTGATCCACTGCCCGACTCTTATTATGAGTCGATACACAGGAAGGAGTCTCGAAACGAGAAGATCACGAGGAACGCCGAGAGGGGACGCTCCCAGCATGAAAAGGCACAGGTCATTCGGCTACTCGACGGCCTCAAGGGCCCTGATTGGCTCAAGACCATGGGCGTAAGTGGCATTACAGAGAGCAAAAAGAAACAGTTTGAGCCTGCTCGGGCGCATTTCGTCCACAAATGCGAGGTGGTATTGGGCAAATTTGCGAAGTGGGCGGCCGAGGAGAAGAGGCTTAAACTCGAGAAGGAGCGCGCTGCAAAAGAGAGCATCGCCTCAGAGGAGACAGACTCGTCTAAAGCTGAGGAAGGCGACGAACACGACGAGGTTTCGGAACGGTCGGCGGACGAAGTGGAAGGCGGCGAAGAGGATGGCGGAGAGGCGGACAACAGCGACAGTGACCCGCCTGACATGAGCGACGTCGATGCATCGGCCAAGCAACTGCATGAGGAGGCCATGGAAAGGTCCCGCATGGCTGCGAAATCAGCTAGAAGACGTCCGCCCCGGGCCGTGTCACCACTGCCGCAACCAGAGTTCACGTCGTTCTTCAAGAAACCATACCAGCGAGATGCTGCGCTCAACAAGTCTCGTCGACGTGGGAGGACGGTGCTGGCGTGGGGCCAGGCTCTACCTGAGCTCGAGGAGCACGACTTTGTGCTCCCAGAGGAGTATCGAGATGAGGAAATGCTCAAGGCGCGGGAGCGGAGACTCAGGATCCTTCGACGTGGATCAAGGCATCGTGGCTGACAACAGTTATGTTGGGATGTGGTCTGGGAGGAAGAGGACGGCAGGGCATCGTCTTTGTAACGTGGGAATCTTAGTAGCCAGCGGTCAGGGGCTCACAGGTAGGCGTCACGGCAGCGGCGTAGTTGTAGGGATCGTTTCAGTAGGTGAGCTTGAGGGAATAGGAATTATACAGACCAAGATACCAATACCAGCTGATGACACGGTACGTTTGTGTGCAGGTAGTGTGGTTTTGCTGGTTTATACAACAGCCGAGCCACATTCACCAAAGTGCCCTAGGAATTGACAGTGGATTGGTTTGTTTGTATCAATGGGCAACGGGCCATGAGCAGCAGTGTGCCCTGCCATTGCCCCAAATCGGAGGCTGAAAACGGGCGAGACAGCAAGAGAGGGAGGAAGAGCTTAGTTGGAAGGGGGTGAGAGAAGGCTGGCTGGCTGGCTGAAGTATTTGTGTCAGAAAAAGAAGCCAGCCCACCCCTGGTTCCACGGGAGAAACTTCGAACAGTTGTGGGGGCCGGCACATCCTATTCACCCTGTGCGACCACAGACATCTTTCGAGGTAAATCTGGTCAGTGTAGTATATAACCCCTGTCCTAGACTCCATCCCCCGACCTCTTGCTGATCCACCATGTGAAGTGCCAGGCTGCTGGCTGCTGGCTGCTGGCTGATGGGTGGGGTTATGAAGTGCGTGGGTACCAGTACCTACACTAGGCACCTGCCTGGCAAGGCCAAGTTCCCAGGCCTTTGTTAATATACCTACCCTACTTAGGGAACTAGGTACTTTTTGGTGGCCCCTAGTAGGCTCGTGAGACTGTTTTATCATGATTTCAACCTCATGCAGTCCATATCAGCGTCACCATTCATGTAAAGGACTTCCATGTGGACAAGTTTGCTGGCAGTGACAAGTGACTTTACTTGGTCCGTGCGCTCCCGGCTCGAGTCCATAGCTCCCAGCATCACTGCGTACCTGCCAGCTACTTTAGCCACTAGAGGTACTGATCGGACGTAACCGTCCCCATCAAACTGCCCCAATCCATTCTGCGACCTCCTTCTCTCTGTACCGTCGCAAAACAACTTCGCCTCTGCTACCAAATTTGCATCACCCATAAAGAATATACCAACCCCAGACCAGAATCCCTCAACCTCCCAATCAAAACCTTCAGACCACCTGCTCCTACTCGACAAAGCCACCACTAGCCCGGCCTCTGCTTGACCGCGTCTCTGTGCATGGCAGCATCCAAAGGTGCTGCGCTACGCGGTGGTTGACCACTGGGGGACGGGGTTTGGGGTGTTGGAATGCGTCACGGAGATAACATCAACTAATCACCACTCATCAAGCGGAGCGTTCTCCCCGGGGAAGCAATATGCCAGGCGTCATGGACAATCCGACAACCATCACCGGTGATGGCATCGCTGCCGCCCCTGAAGAAATCATTTACGAGCCGTACACGGTAGTCGAGCAACGCGTCAACTTGGACTTCAACTTCCAGGCGAAACAGGTGCGAGGCATGACCATGATCAAGATCTTCCACACCGGTGGTGATGAGCCCGAATATGTCAACATCGACGCTCGCCAGTGCGAAATCGACCTCGACAGCATCACAGTCAACTATCAGAAGGTTAAGGCCAGATACAGGGACCCCTACGAGTTCATGGACACACCCAAGGGTTTTGACTGGAACGTACAACAGCACCATGTTAGAACAAAGCGCATGAAGCGGCTACAGCCAAACATGCGCGGCGACTTGCCCATGACCGGCAGGGAGACCAAGGGATGCCAGCCGGCCAACGGGGCGCTGCGGGTATGGTTGAAGCCAGAGAAGATCGTACTCAAGCCCGTACAAACACCAGGGGCGGCAGCCCCTCAGGAGCCCATCGAACCACACACTTTCAAGATCGAGATTCCGTTCCGCATTACACATGTTCGAGACGGATTTCATTTCGTAGGAGTCGATGATGGCGACACCCAGTACCCGCACGTCTATACCCGACACTCTGTCGAGCCTGGGTATGCCAGCTGCCTCTTTCCCTGCGTGGATGATCGGACCAGGGTGAGACAGTGGGAGATCTCGCTCAAATTCCCACGCACTGTCGGAGACGCTCTGAAGCAACCTCTCGCCTCGCATGCTGCGGGCCTCTCACCGTCTTCCAGCGCTCGCCCAGCCGGTCCTAGACCGCAGCCGGCTCATCGTGAATTTGAAACCACGGAAGAAGATAAGCTGTTGGATATGACAGCCATATGCTCCGGTACCCTCATAGGAGAACACGAGGAGAACGATAGTGGCGAGAGTAAGAAGGTCATGAAGTTCAACCCCAAGGACTGTGGTGCCCATCACATTGGCTTCGCCATCGGTCCATTTGAGGACGTGGACCTCTACTCGACGTTTCGCAGCGAAGAAGACGAGGCAAAGCTTGGCGGAAACGCCGTCAAAGTACACGGTTACTGCTTGCCTGGCAGGAGTGACGAGGTTCGAAATACCTGCCAGCCGCTGGCTCATGCAAGCGACTTTTTCACCTTGACGTTCTCCAAATACCCGTACGAGGAGAACAGCTACAAAATATGCTTTGTAGAGGAGATGGTAGAAAGCACCGTGCCGCTACAAGCATTCTCTCTTTGCAGCACCCGGCTGCTCTACCCTCGAGATATTATTGACACGGAGATCGAGGTCACGCGGAAGCTTGTACACTCCCTGGCAACCCAGTACTTCGGAATTTTCATCAATCCGAACGAGCGAACTGATACCTGGATCGTCTGCGGCATCGCATACTTCATGACGGACCTTTACTTGAGACAGCTCTGTGGCAACAACTACTATCGGTACCAGATCAGGACGACAGCTGAGTACCTGACCGAAGTGGATCATGGACGCCCTTCTCTGCAGGAGTTGGGACGATACCTACACCTGGGAGATTTTGAGATGGAGTTCATGGCGCTCAAAGCACCACTGGTGATTTTCATTCTCGACAGGCGATTGCTCAAGTCTTCCAATAGCGCTGGAGTGGTTCGCGTTATTTCCCAGCGCCTTCGGGAAGCTATGCAGGCTGCAGATCCTTTCGCTGCAAATTTTGTGGTGTCCTCGGAGCAATTCAGGAGAGCCTGCGAGAAGAAGGGACGCTTGCGCCTCGAGAGCTTTTGGGATCAGTGGGTCTTGAGCTCTGGGTGCCCAAGGCTTCACATCTCACAGAGGTTTAACAAGAAGAGGCTGGAAGTCGAGCTGACGGTCGTCCAAAACCAGGTAGAATGGGCCAAAGCAGATCATCCCTTGGAGAAGGATGATTTCTGGAGGGACGTGCTGGAAGAGCGGCAAGGCGTCCTCGCAGCTGAAGTACCGCTGACTTTCACTGGCCCAATGACTTTTCGGGTCCACGAGGCCGACGGCACGCCTTACGAGCATTGTCTTGAGATGAAGCAGGATGCTGCAGCGACCAAGGGGTCCCGACTTGCGATGCCATACAACACCAAGTACAAGCGCATCAAGAGGGTCCGCCAGAAGAAGCGAGAGAAAGACCATACCAAAGCTCCGGGGGCTGGTCGCGGAGATGCAGATGGGCAGGATGAGGACGGAAACGAGGATGACGAAAAGGGGCACACCCTCAACATGTTTGGGGACGTCCTGATGGGCGAGGAGGACATGGCGTCGTGGAAACTCGTGGACTGGGACAACGACCAGCAACAACAGATGGACCAAGAGTCTTATGAGTGGATCCGAGTCGATTGTGACTTTGAGTGGATCTACTGTCTTGAAACAAACCTCAAGGTCTACATGACGGTGGCTCAGCTCCAGCAGGACAGGGACATTGCCGCTCAGGTGGAGTCCATGCTGCAGCTCACGCGCAACGCGCCCAGCAATATTCAGACCACTACCTTGTTGAGGACCCTTTATGACGATCGCTACTTTTACGGCATTCGCACCATGGCTGCGCAGGCCCTCACTGGCCATGCCGAAAAGGCGAACAACTTCCGCGGAATGCGCCACCTGATTCGCGTGTTCAAGACCTTTTATTGCTACCCGGACTCGGCTAACCCACGGCCAAATGATTTCACGGACAAGAAGAGCTATCATGTGCAGTCGGCCATCCCCGCAGCTGTTGCAAGAATTCGCGGTGGGCAGGAGTTCTGCCCGGAGGAGGCCCGGGAATTCATTCTTGACCAGCTGGTCTTCAATAATAACGATGAGAACACGTTCTCGGATCATTTCTACGTCGCTAAGCTACTCGATGCCCTTGCCACTAGCCTGGTTCGGGCCAAAGCCACCGAGGCAGCTGACGAAGAACAGGACTACAGCAAGTTACAGTCATTTGCAGAGAGGGCCATTGCGCAGATTGAGCGGTACCAACAAATGGACGAGGTATTCAGCTCGTACCAGAACATCTGGACACGCACAGCGCTTGATTGCAAGGTCAAGTTAATGAAATCGGGTGTCATGGCCGTCGACGGAATCGAATTCATGCAGTACTTGACCCCGGAGACGTTGGATCTCGTGCAGATCAAGGCATTCGAGTCGCTGATTGAGCTCGGCCTCTTCTTGAGGCCGGGCCTCATGAAGTATCTGTTGACAAGCATGAGCCTCTCTTCATCGCCATTTGTGAGAGACCGACTTTTCAAAGCATTCACTCGTGGCTTGGCCTCCATCGCCTTCGGAGACTTGGACGTTGATGAAATTCGACCACACGAGCTCGGCTCCAAGCCCGCCGGGCCTCTTCAGGTATCTCAGAATGGTGCGCAGCGCGATGGCATGGCCGTGGACGAGGAAGACCACGGCGGTCTAATCGTCGAGCAAAGCGATGCGGTGATTAAACAGAGGCAGACCGACGCAGCCCGTCGCGTTGACATTGCGGCTGCTATCAAGGCAATGAAGGAGGCATTGCAAGGCAACAAGGACTTGCAAAGGCAGTTGTGGAAGGCCGTCGATTCTCCTGTCCTGGGCCTTTCTGAAAAGAGAAACCTTTTAGAGCTATGTTCCACCTTGTTCCCCCAGGAGGATGAGATGCTTGTCACGATGAAGTATCCGGTGCGGTGGACAGCGGTGAAGGGTCATTACCACCGGGGCAAGGCAAGTCTGATTTTGGCCCCTCGTTTTGCATCGGCTGCTGACATGCATCAGTCGCTCGTTATGACCTTCAAGCAGACGTACAAGACCTCGTTGAAGCGGAGGCGTGAAGAAGTTGTATCTGGGCAAGCTTTGCACGCGGTGCCCAATGCCATGTCACCCGCTCCTCGTCCGCTTACGGACCAAGAGAAGGAGCAGCCAAAGAAAAAGATGATCAAGTTGGCGCATTCCGGACCTTCAAGGACTGGCGCACAGTCCCCGGCGCCGTCCCCTGCCCCCGTCGCTCGGCAGCCGTCCATTGCCGTCGCTTCTCCAGCCCACCCTGTTCCTGAGCTCGAGCGAGGTGATAGCATTGCGGTGCAGAATCGCCCGACCGTGAAAATTACCTCCACCCCCCAGTCTGCTCCAGGCACGCCCACGCCAGAGCCTTCTCGCCATGTCATCTCGAATTCGAAGGCGGCCAAGCTCTCAAAGAAGCGTAAATTGGCCGATACTGACGCATCCCCCGCACCACGACGGTCTCGGATTGTAACCATGAGTTACCGCCATCTCGCCGGATATAAGAAGCAGCAGATTTCGCGTATCCTCTCATCTAAAGCTGGGGCCATGCCGTCATCGGACTCCATTGTAGCCACGCCAGTTGCACGAGCAGTCCCACCGACTACGTCGCCTGCCAATTTCGAAGCAGCAATGATCTCTTCGTCATCTTCCATCGGCGCGGGCTCATCTTCAAATGCCCAGGCATCCCAACAGCAGCAGAAGACGCCTTTGCCTCCCGGAAAGATAGTACGCAAGCCTCTGCCGACAGGGGCATCTCCTCATAGCGCCGTCTCGCCAACCTCCAGCATCGCGGCGAAGCCTTCAGCAACTCCTCGGCAGCCTTCGCAACCGCAAACGACCTCGGCGTCGCCATCTCGTCCAGCCTCACCAGTGGTCTCGCGCTCATCGACGGAGCCTGCGTCGAAACCAAAAAAACTCGTCAAGCTGAAGCTAAAGCTTGGGAACAAGTCTCTGTCCGGGTTGCCTAAAGACAAACCAGGGCCGCCACCACCTCCCGGTGAACAGACGCAGCCATAGGGAACCCTTGCTCAGGCCAGCCAGCCGTCTCCAACATGATTGGCTGGCGCCTAGCATTTGGGGGTGTTGCTTCTGAATATTCCACTCATTGCGGTGTGTGCGAATCGGCAGTTTTGTCGGCGGCAAATTCACCATTTGCAAGGATGTCCCGGATCTAAGCGATTGCGCCGCCGGAGATTGGTTGGCAACTAGTCAATCTGCCTGGTGCTCGACTTGGAACCTTTGATCCCGATGCTCTTCTATTGTCCCTTTGGAATAAGGGCAGTGTAGAAGACTATAAATGAGGTGCGGTCTACTGGTCGAACTCAGACAAAGAAAAATGCACCGAGTCCCCCATATATCATCATACTAATCCACTCTTCGAAGAAAGTGTACCCCACGGTACTCGTTTCTTCCGCCTTTTTCGCCTGCGTCGAAAAACGTGGTCTGAGGTTTCATCAAACCAGGGCCAGACTGTAAGGTTTGCGGCCTGGTTGGCCCGAGGCGAATGAGATCGGCCTGGAATACACCGTGGTTCTGAAGTGTGGGTAATCTTGTTGGCATCACAATGAGAAGCATGGCGTTCAGGTTCAGGTTCAGGTTCGTGCATTGCAAGTCAGCGGGCGAGGGAGGTGGCGTAGGGTATGGTAGGGCAGGTTTGCAGCGGATGCGCACGGTCGAGACTGGATGAATTCATTCATGAACAGTAGGAATGACGAACGGAGATGCGTTCTTATGACAGAGCATCTCAATGTGATTTACTTCCCGCTCTCATAACTTGTTTCTGTCCTGCCATCAGCGCTCTTGCCGAGTAATTGCTTGTCAACCTTTGCCTGCTGCAAGGCCATGGTGTCGTCGCACTGGTAGTTGATTCATGGCGCGATGGATCCCGGGGCCTTCTAAGGTCCAGGGCTAGAGGCATATCACAGAGCTCCCCCCGTGACGCGCAGGATGGTGGATTCAATTTGCTAGGCACATTATGGTAAGTCTTCACCCCCTTGACTTCGATCACCCGTTGATGGCCCGGTTGCAAGGTTGGTAGCTGCGTAAGGGTTGGAGTAAAGCACAGTCGTAGTCTGTGTGGGAAGCAGAAAACAGCCTGCGAAATATCACACACGGCGCTCTTTGTAGCGAGGCAGGGCTCCAAAAAGCCTCCATGTCGTATCGCTAGGCCAGACTTACAAACCAATTGGCTTTAGAAATATCCTGTCCGACGACAGACCGATGCCGACCCCCCCCCCCCCGGCGCTCTGACGCTATTGAACCACTACCTATGCTTTTGATAATAGCCTCGACTTGGCATGCTAGCAGCGCTCAGCAATCATGTTATTCATCCATGCATGTCCAAACTGCTAGAATATGCCTGTGTGCCGGCTTCGTTCCGGGCCAAGGTGTTTAAAGGCGCTCCTGCGTAATCCTAAAGCGAGAACCGCGGGTGCGATGGTGCTGAGACGGCCTAAGCGGTTGTCTCGGCCGCGAAATAAACAACGCCCGCCCCTCCTTAGCGCCTGCCACCCCGGGCAACCCCAATCCTCTCGTCACGGCTCCGCGTGGTCCTCGAACGGACCGTTTCCGCGGCGGGGGTGGGCGTGGTCGCATCTGCCGCTGGTGCCCTTCCGGACGGCGCTCGGCGGTGCGTCTGGGCGGCGCCGGGTCCGCGAGGGGGTCGGCCCGCGTGGGCCTGCTGCTGATGGGCCTGGGACGAGGAAAGCTCTGTGCTGGCTGACCTAGTAGACCTGGTCAGCCGCGGTGGCGCAGGCGGTGGCGAGGGGAACATGGATTGTTGTTGCTGCTGCGGCTGCTGCGGCTGAGTGTGGTGTAGGTTCGGGACGGCGGCGCCGGGTATGTCACTGTTGTCATCGTTGTCGGTCTGCTCGGCGTCAAGGTCCATCTGGCCAGCCTCGGGCATGTGAAGGTCCTCGATGAAGCCCTCTTGTTGGGCCAGGCCGCCGTCGGACGCGTCTTGGTAGTCGTCTGGGTCCTCCTCGTTACGGAAGATGCCGCTGTCAAGCGGGCCCTCGATGTTCTCTCGCGACACCCTTGGGTTCTGGCTGTACGTGCGGTTTGGGTAGTAGGAGGCGTCCTGCTCGGAGTAGTCCTCGTCGTCGCTCGAGGTCGTCATGCCGGTTATGTCCATGCCGCTCATGTTGCGGGACAGCTGCTGCTGCCTCCTTAGCTGGGCGGCGGCGGTGGCGTGCTGGAAGGCCTCGGCCTCCCGGTGGTCCTCGTACGCCTTGACATCCTCGGATGTGAGGGTCAAGACCGTGGGCGGGCGGCGAAGCATGGTACGGTGCAAGGCTGGTGTGAGGCTTGTGGATACCAAAATCCAACCAGGCGGGCGCTTCAGTCGGCCATGTAGGTGGCAGCTAGCAGGTGGCCCAGCGCACTTGGCCGGCGAGCAATAGGCTAATTAATGAATGCCGAGTCCGTTTGTAAGAATTTGCGCCCAAGATCTGTGTGCTAAAGCTGTGCAAGACCGAGTGTGGTTGTAGGGTTGCTGTCCGCCGTCTGTGAAGCTGGTCGGAGACGCGCCTATCGCGTCTGCCTCGCTATGTAGTAGCTCGTCACCCAGGTACATACCGTGGTAGTACGGAGTACTCTGCACCGCGCTGCAGGCAGGGGCCAGGGGGGTACTGTGGTGCCGGGATACCAGGGTACGTGGTTGCTGCGCGTGGTGGACTCAGAAGCCAGGGCTGACCTGACTCTCGATGGGGCTTGGCACCGCCCCTACCCTGCCTGCACAAGTACCTAGGTACCTAGGGACGTGAATGGTTGACCTAGGCATGTGCCTACCTACGTGGGGATGCGGCGGTACGCTGCCACGTGGGTCGGGGCGACGGCTGGGGCTCGGCTGGTGGACCTCAGATTGCAGTACATATGTATTAAGGCTGGACCTGTGGGCGGCCGGCGGCGGTCGGGGCATGGCTCAGGCCGTTTAGTAAGGCAGCTTGTGACCTCCCTGGCGGCCGCCTGCTCATGCTGCTCTCAGACCTGAGCGGGCACGGCCACGAGAGAAGACGTGTGATGCAGACATTGGCCGGGGCTTGCTGGCTGCCTCGCTTTCTGCTCGGGTCCTGTGTCGCTCTCGTCTTGCTGTGCTGTTTGTTTATAAAGGTGCTGTTGTGGCAAATTAACTATGATCAACGGTCTACCGGCTGTGTTAATTCCCCCAGATGCTCCCGCTCCGACCGAGCTATACAACAAACGAGAGAAGCGGGGAAAATCAAAGAAAAAGACACGAAAAAGACACAAACACCATGCTATGCAAGCCGTCTCCTCTTAGGATTGTCTGGCATGGGCAGTCCTCGACTCCCCGCGCTCATGTTCCTGTGTTCCGTAGAACGAAGGTAACGCCAGGGCAGAAAAGAAGCCAGGATGCCGTCAAGACAAATCTTGGTCTGTCAGGATTACCCGCCCCCCCCCGTCTTGCCACTATTCCACTGCCTTTCTCATTTAATCAGACCCATAGAACGCATAAACGTTTTCCGACTCCCACTTCAGGAAGTCACCCAGGTCGTGCCCGAGGTTGTAGCCCATGGGCACATACTCCTTGCTGCCGTCTACGCCGGTCGTCATGACGAGGTCCAGCATCGGGCTCTGCGGGAGGCTGTCTACGCCCTCCCTCGGCTTGACTCGGCCCCCCTCCTCGCCCTCAAGCGATGGCTCGGCACCCCCGCGCTGTAGCGTATTCGCCTTGTCCACATCGATGCCCGGGCCCTGGTATCGTTTCGGGTGGCCTTCGAGCGTCCACCTCTTGATACCGCCGCCCGTATAGAATCGGGCGGCATCGAACGGCCGCGTGTTCCAGAACCCCGACGGGTGCTCGGAATTTATCGGGATCGGCATACTCTGCGCCTGCAGCATCTCCTGGACGCCCTCGCTCACCTCACCGCTCGACCGCGCGGAGCCCGAGCACGAAGAGCTGCTTCCGTTGACAATATGGTTGATGCTGTGGTTGCGGGACGGGTCGTGGAACGACCGGCTGCCCGACCCGGGCGGGTTGATGGCCGACACATGCGCTGGGGTATAAGGCATGATTGGGCTCATTGTCGGCGCCTTTTCTTCCGCCTTGACCAGCGCCCCCATAGCGTCCGTGGGAAGCCCAAAGCCCTCCAGCCAGTCACAAAGATCATCGACCAGCTCCTCTTCAGCGTCACGGGCGCAGAAGTCGCTAGGGTCGCTGAAGAAGTCCCCAGCGCCTCCCAGGATGGCCATCTGGAATGCCGTCCAGTCAAGCGTCTCGTCGGGCGAGGACAGCAGCTTCGACTCGAGGGAGTTGATCGTCCCGGCGTTGACGAGATCGGCCTTGGCGAGACGGATACGCCCGTGTTCAAAGGATGGCATGGTCAGAGTGAATGGCGCTGACTTGAAAAACAAGTATTCGTCGTCCTCCTCAAAACTGGGCGTATCCGCGGGGCTCAGCCGCGGGCTCGGCTGATCCATATGCATCTCGGATGGCCTGCGACCATTCTGAGGTTTTGGGTCGCGGTCCTGGCTTGGGGGCGACGTGATGCGCACTTCAGGGATAGTAGGGGGGATGGGGACGCGCGAACTTGATGAGTTCCCCCGCTTGTGTGTGGGCCTTTGTGCTGCCTCCTTAACCGGCGGGTCTGGGAATGAATGGCTATTGAAGAACGTGGTAGTGTCTTCTTCCGGAGACGCCCCAGGCGACGTCTGGAAACGTGCGGCAGGAGCGTTGGGTGACGGCTGTGGGGGGGTTGGGGGAGGTGTTGCCAGTGGTGTCTGCTCTTGTCTTGGATGCTGCGTGGCTGTCGTGGGCGTGTTTGGCTCAGTCTGGTTTGACTTGCGCGACGAGTCCGTGTCGAGGTCAAAGGTAGAAGAGCTCGGTGTGCTAACCTCGGCCACAGGGGATAGGACTCCCAGGCTTGCACCCGCATTCCCGACCCTCGATGGCAAGTCCTGCAGATGGAATGGCTCGACAGGTGTCTTCACACCGTTTCCATCGGAAACGGCTCCACCAACACCCCCAGCAGTGCTCCGCAGGGACTCACTGGAATTTGATCTCCTCGTCTCGGCCTGAGCCTCGGCCTGAGCCTTCGCGATTCTGCTCTGTCGGTACTGCTGGACCTGACCGGGCGTCACGACCTCGTCAGCTTCAATCTTGTGGAAGCCAAAACGGCCGCGCGACCCGTTGAACAGCTTCTCAGTGACATTGTCTGCCTTGAGGTTCCACCGAGACAGCGAGCGGTACGAGTTCTGCTGGCGCTGAGCCGTGCTGCCATGGCTTTCTGCGCCAGATGCTGACGGGCCGAACGTGCTTGCTTTTGAAGTCGGTGCCGGTGTGTCGGGCCAGGCTGACGTTGTCGGTGTTGGGGTAGTTGCTGAACGAGGTGTCCTGGGTCTCGAGGGGGATTTCCTTTTGGCCTTTTTGATAGAGCTCGCATGGGTGGGAGATCGGAGCATATTGTCCGAAGACGACACTGGGGAAGACTTGTTCTTTCTTGGGAACGAGGTTATGCTCCCACGACCGGGCGTGGGAGAGATGGGAGACGCTACCGCGGAATCCTTTCGGACACGGGACACCGGCGCTTGATATGTGGTATGCGGCAGTGTCTGCGTCAGGGTGCTGTCTAGGCTCTTGGTCTGGATCTGCAATGCCTGCGATGCCCTCTGCAGCTGGTTCACCTGTTCCTGCAGCTCCTTGGACTGGGGGTGGGACTGGGAAGCGAGCCTAGCTTCCGCCAGGGCCGTGCCGACGGCTTTGAATGCCTCATCCGTCTCCCAGATCAACTGTTGCACGTTATCGGGCAGGTGGTCGCAGTCATGATAATCCTTGCCCTCAAGAAGCCCCTCAAGGGTATTTTCGTCATCACCTGATACTTTCGAGGGGCCTTGCACAGCCCTTGGTACCCCCCCGTCCGCGACCACCTGCCTGTCCTTGGCATCTTGCATCATGGGCGGCTTCAGGGTGTATGACTCGGTGCCATTGACATATCGAGGGCTCCGTCGTTGGTGGCCGTGCACAATTACGAATTCCTTGTCTGCGGGGGCAGCAGCAGAACCGATAGGTGCCTTGACGGTGGTGGGCGTCTTGTTGACGTGTAAGGTGTGGCTTTTGTTGGTGGTGGGTGTTGGTTGTGGAAGTGATGTCCTATCCTGGTCACCACAGGCCGACCCGGGGCTCGGTGAGACGGTATCCGCCAGGTCCAGGAATGAACGACCCTCGTGTGACGATTTCTTTGTCGCCCGGGTTGGCGTCGCCACTGGACAAAGAGAACCGGCGCGTGGACTGACCCACCCAGCCGTCATGGTTGGGGTTGAAAGGCGCGGCTTTGAGGGTGTGGCCACGGCAGACGGGGCTGCCTTTGAGTCGGAATGATGCCGTTGATGACGGTGATAGCGCTGGCCGCAGTCATCACCACTGCTAGACAAGGAGCCATCGGAGGAGTGCGAGTACGAGTGCGAGTGCGCGGTCGCGGGGCTCAGGACACCGGACAGGGCGGATGCTGGCAAAGGGGTTGAGATCCTCCTGCTCGCGCTGCCGCCGTGCGCCGTGAGACCAGTGCTCCCGTGGCCGACAACGACGATGGGCTTGGGAACCTTCCTATAGGTCTTGCGCCTCGGCGATGAGTTGCTGCTCATCCAGGACGACCGCCCCTTGTGCGCATGGCGTAGCTCCTTTTGCAGCTGCTGCTGTTGGTACTGCTCCAGTTCATATTGGACGCGGATCGTCTTGGCGCTGGAGCACTCGAAGGCATCTTCATTGTCACTGTCGGAGTCGGGCCATGTCCGCCGTTGGGTGATGAGTTTGCGGATGCTGAAACCGGCACGAGACATTCTTGATTTTCCTCTCGAAGACAGGCCGTGGCCCTTGTCGCTTCCGAGCCCGTCTTGGTCACATGCGACAGTGCCGACAGTGCTGGATGGGGGAAGCGGCGAAAAAGCGAAGAGTTAGGAAGAAGGCGGCCTGGGCGGAGCGGCAGCCTCAAGTCGCATGGCAGACGTGCGTGGTATGTATGATCAGGGCACAAGGGCGTGGGCCCGAGCAAGCTTGGGTCTACCTGTTGACGGATACTGAGGAAAGTCAAAAGCAGCCGGTGGTCCAAGGTGAGCGTCAAGGTTGACAGGTGGAGGCGGAGGCAGCGGAGGGGGGGGGGGGGCGCTTCGGGCTAGGTTACACGGTTGCACGTCGAGAAGGCAGGGACTCGAGAAGGAAGAGAGCTGCGATGGGTGGGATGGACTGTCTTTTACCGTGGACCCAGGATCATGCCGACTTGGAGGCTTGGGTCGCATCGGTCAACCGTGGTGTGGTACAAGAGGGAAAGCCAGCCAGCCAGCCAGCCAGCCAGCCAGCCAGCCCACCTAGGCAGCCCGGTGTTAAGCCCTAGACCTGCCGACCCGTTCCATGATCAAGACCTGCCTGTCCTGCATCAGCATGCCCACGGCAGGTGGATACGTGGATGCGTGGGTACGGCTGGTACGTGGGTACGTGGGTACGTGCAGCTCAGCAGGGCTCGCCCATGAGGTGCCAGGCGAGGTGCCAGGCGAGAGGCCAGGCCGGATGGTCACCTAGGTACCGGGCGGTAGGAGGGCGGCTCTGGCGGGGCGGGCGAGCAGCTGTTGCGAGGTGAGCCTGTGCTAAGATGGCATACCTCTTCCGCACGCAAACGAGCCTGCACACTCGCGGTGGGTGAGAAGCTTCAGCAGGCTGGCAGGCTGGCAGGCTGGCAGGTGCCCAGGTGCCCAGGTGCCAGGCCCCCTCCCCTCCACCCCCCCCCCCCCTTCCATCCCAAAGGGGGACCAGGGCATCCTCCCTGCGGCTGCGGATCGACTCCAAGGACTCGTCCTGTCAGCTGCGCAGCCGCGGTCCTGGCAGTCTAAGACGGGAAGCAGGGCAGGGGGTGTGGCACGACAGGGTCTGCCCTGGAGCAACACCTGCATGGTGGCTTAAACGCAGATCGACCCGTCTGTCAGTCTAGTCTGTCAGTGCGCCCCGCAAACTATCCGATTATTTTTATCCCCAGTTGGCCCTACACCAGCCGGCCCGCCTCTTTAGACTCTCGGCGCGCCACCGTCTCGAGCTCCAATCCTCATCACCTAGGTAGGTAGGTACCTAGGGAGGTACCAGGTGCTTACTTATTACCGTGCGCACATGCGGCCGGTGGACAGAGCACGCAGACAAGGCAGACAAGTGAGTCGATCCACCCAGCATGCTACTCTGAGCCTGCTGTTGCAGTGGGCGCGAGCACGCAGGCACGCCGCCCGCAGCCGAAATGAACGCTCGAGGCACAACCCGTCGGCGAGCTTGGCACTTGGGCAGGAGGGGCGTAGGATCCCGTGGACTCGCTGTCGCAATCTGCAACGGACGAGGTCAAGCCAGCCTGCTCCGCCATGTTTCCACCCGCAGGCACCTTGGCACCCTACCGTCAGCAGGCTCGACCTGGGTGTTCGCAGCCACCCTGCCACCGACGAGTGCAGATGCAGCCTTGTAAGCGCCCCGTGGACGTCATTCGCTTCTGTCTGGGAGGATTTGCGGCCCAGCGCCCCCAATCAGATCCTGTCTGCGCCTCTTACATCAGCTAATACGCACCAGGCCCGGCAGCAGCATCTGTCTCGAGCCTGGGGCAGTGTGAAAACAATGGCGCCGGGCAGCACATCAGCTTTGATGCGTGCGTGACCTTGGGGGCCACCAGTGGGAGTGCCAGGGCAACGGCCCCAGCTGTTATCACCGTGCCTGGCCGGGACGAGCCTGGCCGGGCCGTGGATATGATTGAAACGACGAGGCCGGCCATCTTACCGGCCAGCCTCGTGGTGGCCACGGCTGAATCATGCCCATGTTCCTGTGGAGGGCCGAATGCTGAATTCCCGCAATTGAGCCGGTACGGGAAGGATTTGTGTTGGTTGGGGGTTTTTTTCGTCGGTTGGCCAAGTAGTCGATCCATCGGGGGTAGCCAGTGCGGGCCTGGCGTGGTCGTCCTGCTCAAGGTTGTCGCAAGCGAGGTCGGCTGGTGGGGACAATGCTGTGGTCCACCGCTAGCTGTGTAATTCCTCCATGCTTTGTATCAATACCAGTTGACCAGATAGATCGCATCTTCCATCGTCGATGGGCTCGAGGATGGACCAGGACAAGCCCCCAGCGCTGGGTCCGAAACTGAGCATTTTCGTCTGCACATACTCTTGCAGCTCTCTGGTCTCCAAGCATGGCCCGTCTCGTCTGATTAGGGTAGACCAGATCGATCCTCCTCTGCAGCCTGCAGCCTGCAGCTCGCCCGGCCAACCAGCGCTCCAGTCCTGGCCAACACACACAACCGGCTGGTTCGCCATCACTGCCCGGCTAATTTCCGACCAGACATGGCACGAAAACAAACGGTTGCCGTCTAGACAACCAACCACGAAGGGCAAGCGGACAGCACCAGCGCCAGCATCATCCCACAGAGTATCGACAGGCGCGATGGATGCGTTAGGCTGGTGGCCACCGCGGCTCTTCTTGTCCCGATAAGCGCCAAACTCAACCAGCACACCACGAGGCTTGGTCCCTCCCCTCCCGAGCCGCATCTTCTCCTCAGAAGCATCCGTCGCCACCAGGGTGCCCACGGAAGCCCCGGGGATGCTTTCCTCCCCCGTCCTCCAGTAGGATACCAAGCAGCTTCCCCCCCCTTCTTTCCCAAGATCTCCCAGATCTCCCGGTCCGTCTGGGCCTGGCCTGACGGCCTCCCTCGCTTGGCCACACTTGACCATGCCCAGAAATAGCAGCTTGGGGAATGCCAACCATGGTGAACGCACATGCCACTTGGGACAACCGTGAACGAGCGCGACCGATAACCTCCGTGCTTTAAAGTTCGGTCACGCACGTCACAGTACCGCAAGCCACATCCCCTTGCCTGGGCTGACTGGCCCGACGATCGAGCTGCAAGTCGGCTTCTTGCCCCCTCTTTTGCTCTGCTACCCGTTGCCGATCGAAGCCTGTCCCCGGATCAACGGGGAGTGGGCAGATCTTTGGCGTGCCCAACAGTGCCAACATCACAACATCGGTGCGCCAGGGATCCGTCCTGATTGACCATCCCTTCTTCGAGGACTGCGCACAACATGATGATCCCTCAAGAATGGAATCTGGATCCTCCAGCTGACCTTGATCTGGACGCCCAAATAGCCAGGCGAGAAGCCCGAGTTGTTCTGTTCGCCCGACACCCGGAAGAAAACATTTGCGAATGATGCTTTGACATCTCCGAATGCTGAAGGATGTGCGAGACCACCACAAAACTCACATGTGAGAAGATTCCTAGCTGCGTGACGACATGCTGCCGTGCGTGAGCTACCAACCTCTATCTACACCCATCGCCCAATCAGCTTCCAAGCGCCAGCCTCCTCCACGTCCCTGGCTCACAGAATGCATTGTCCTCGGCCTTCGACAGTCTCATTGGCCCGACCAGCCCCCGTTGGTTTCGAAAGCGGCCAAACAGCTCGGCTGGGGCGCACAAAAACATTCTGTTTGCCTCGAGACAGCGGTAACTCCTTTGCTATTCCATAAAAGGGCCAGGACCATGGCTGATACTGCGATGGCCGCGAGTGCCCGTTGGCAAACCGGACGGTCCAAGCAAAATATCTTTGAACGCTGCTTCCGGGTCTGCCGGCTTCGTGTTGGACTGGTAGATTCCACTTCCATGTTATATTGTCTTTGTTGTCTTTGTGCTACAGTAGTGTTGGGCTCGGCAAGTCTCGGTCAGGTACCGACCAGGTGTTGTGCCATTGTGCATGATACTCACAGCCAAATAAGCACGTGCGCGGTGCTGTCCTAGTATCCTACCATATCGACAGGAAGCTGGTAGGGGCCTCGAGGAGCCGAGGCGAAGCCCAGACGAGGTGAGCTGACGGCATTTCCAAACAGGGCCTTGCTTGGGTCGGCCACCTGTTCTCGAGATCACAAGGCTTCATGGAGCTAGCCGACTCCGCGGTCTCAGGTCAAAAATAAAACATAACACATGGAAAACGAAACAAGACAAAGCGTGCCTCACCAGGCTCATGAGGCCCATTCATGAACCACCTGATGTCGTCGCCAGCCTGGAGGGTTTGAGATCCAAATGGCAGCATCGGGGCCATGCTCATGTGCCGGTGCCGTAGATTTCAAAGCTCGCCCGGGCCAGCTCGAACCTGGGGACAAAGATTTGACAAGCCAAGCACACAACGACCTCATCTCCGTCGAGGGCTGCAGTCGGTAATCAAGGAACCCTTCCGGGCCGGACAGGGACGTGCGAAACGACTCATTCCGGGAAACCACCATCTGAGAGCCAAAACACACTGGAAAGCATGCGTTCGTGCAGGCTGCCCTAAGGAAATGTGGGATGCAGTGCGCCCCCTCTTGGCCCTTCTCTGGCCCTGCGTCCTGCCAAGCGCTTACGCCTTCCTGCACTAGGTTCCGGCTTGAGCCCCAGCTGAGCACACCATCCCAAATGTGAGATGCGCTCGTTCTGTCACGAATCCGCTTTTAGAATGCTGGAGCTGGTGGAGGGACGCAGGTTGCGAGCTAGGATCAATCGCACGTAGGTGGGGGCTCTGAGGCAGCTGGGGCAAAGTCGTCGAGATCTGAATGATATTATTGCCGCAAGTGACATTATTCCCCCGTATCCTTTCCTTCGCCCACGCATACCACCAGCTCAGCCTCATCTCACAAGATGCTGTCTGGCCCAGCCGTCCTGTGAGACCCCCCAAACGAGAGTCGATAAACACGCCCATTCTCGAGCGACAACGCTCAGTTCTCGACTTCTGCCTCCTCGTCCACTCCATCGACTTCCTCCTCGTCCTCCTCGTCCTCCTCGGAAGTAACGTATGGGACAAAAGAGAACATGAGGAAATTAGACCTGCTACCCTCCACTTCCACCATGAATTGCATGCTCAAGACGCCCTGGCCGTCGCCCCGGAGACTCACCTTGCTGGCAAGGCGCATTGCGTCGGTGGCAGTCTTGATCATGTCAAACTTGAAGCTCTGCACCCATTTGTCCCGCACGGTGAACGTCTCCAGCAGATCACGTCCCTTAGCGAAATCCACGCTCGATCCGCCGAGTGGCCCTGTGCATGACAGCCGGAGGTACGGCTCCTTCTTCGACGCCGCGATGACGAGCCGGGTGGGATTGGAGTGTGCCATCTCGGTGAGAGCATCCAACAGCCAGCGCGACTGCATGATGATTTTAAATGCGATGTCGTCTCTGTCAAAAGGAATATCTTCAGGGGCCTCGGGCAAGTAGGTTTTAAGATTGCAGGTGGTGTTGACACCAGTCTCCTCGAGGATTACACTGAAGCAGCCGCCCTTCTCCGGGTACGACAGGACGCAGGTCCCCGCCATGCCCAGAGTCTGGTTGCTGAAGGCATCAGGACGGTAGTTTCGGAGGTTGCTGCGGTAGGGCTCTGCTTCAGCCTTCGCCTGTCGCGCCGCGGCGTCGGAGGCGCCGAAGATCTGGAGCGTCTCCAAAAATGCGGGCAAAGAGATCTGGAAGCTTGGGTAGTCTGGCTCGCTTTCATCCTCGGCCTGGGGCACATTCACAGAGAAGTTAGTGAAGATGGATCTGTCCAAGCTTGCAACACCTGAAGCCCTATGGTCAGCGGCCCGTCTTGGAGAAAACATACGCCGATGGTGATGGTCATCACTGCCTTCCTTACCTTGCGTCACTCGCGATTGGTCAGCTGCGAACTTGATGAGCTCCTCTGTGATCTCAACATGTACTTTGTTTGTGAAGTTGATGCACTTGAGCATCTGCTGGATTGGCCTAGTCGAACTGGCAAGCGCGCGGAACAGAGGCACGGCCGGCGTAGGGCGTGGCGTCGCCATGATGGACGCCTACGATGGCGGTTCTGCTGAAAATCCTTGGATAGGTTTGTCAATGGCCGGATGAGGTAATGTTCATACACAGCTATTACGGGCGCAGAGTGTCAAGTAAAGGTTGGTTTCTTTTCTTCCTGGTCAATCTATGGTATGGGCACGACGATGCCCACAGGAGCCCTCGCCTCGTCGTGTCTGGGTATCTCGGGGGGTGTTGGGCCTCAAACGTAGACTCCGACCGCGCAGAACATGTAGACGGTTCCCACCCTGTTAGGAAAGGTCAGAGAGGAGCCGCACCGGACTGGGGGCAGGGAGAGGAGGAGCAGGTAGACATACGCGATGGCCACAGAAGCTGGGATTCCGATGACGGGCACGTTGATTGCAGATCGGTCTGGAGAAAGCAACTGTCAGCTTGGAGGCGGTACAGCGGCTGGGGAGCTGGAAGGGCTTGTCTTCTTACTGAGGGCGAATATGCCAAAGGAGAAGAGGCCTAGGAGGAGGAGGACGAAGGCGACAAGGAATTGGGTGCCCTTGCCAACGGTAGGGAGGAAAGGATTGCCAGAAGCGGCTTGCCAGACGTCAATGAGCTTCGAATCCATGGAATTGTACGGCTGCCGTCAGTTGCTTGATTGGCTGGGTGCTCAGGTTGGATGGTGTTTTGGGAGCGTGTTTTGGGATGCGAGGTTCCCGACAGCGGTCGAGCGGCGGAAGCCTGCTGTGGACAAATTAGGAGCTTGTCTGTTTTGCCGGCGCTGCACGACAGGTTCTGGCCTTCCTTGATGGTTGTCTCTGCACAACAAGAGGGCTTGCATGCGAGGTCTGTCCAGGCCAGGTTTGCAAACAAGTCGAATTCACAGACCACATCACCATCATCTCGCAATCGATAGGTGGCAGGTTGGCAAGCAGACACCCATCCCTGGAGCTGCAGTGCCCTAGGCATCACGCTATTCCCAAGATTGCCTAGCGTCCTTCCCCACCAACCCCAATCAGCACACCTCAAAGGTCTGGGCGTACCGCAGGAAGAGATGGGCAGAGGCTGGAACGGTGGCCACTGGAGCCACAATCTGCCTGCAGGGCCCAGCGGTTACAACGGTCCTGACAGCACTCCACCGTTTCATGAGTGGAAGCACCTCACCGTTGATGAGCAGATCCAGCGTGCAAAAGCCTGGCGAGCACAACACTCGAGGAACTTGCAGTCCCCAAGGCCGTCGTCAGCCCCGGCTCTGGTCCCCACTCTCTCCACCCCGGCCCGATCGTCGTCTCCCCGCCCTCTTCAACCGCCTGCATTTGGGCCTGGCCCCGACCCTGTCGTGCCCGAGCTCTCAACCGCGCACCCTCAACGCGACCGCCAGATAGGTCCAGACCCCGCCGCCGCCCCTACTGCCACCGTCCCCCAGCAGGGTGGCTTCGAACGCGAATCTTCCTTTGAGGAGGACTACAGACGCTGGGAGTCCCAGGTCGTCCACGGCCAACCTCCCGTTCCGACAGGCCATATTCTCGTTCCTCGCGCGCCCGCTCCTGGTCCACCAACCACCCCCTTCTACGTCTCCCCACCTGCACCGCCAACGTGCCACGACCCTCAAACACCCCCGCTTGAGTCTCTTGAGCGCCCGGCTGCTGCAGACTGGCTCGCCGGCCCCGAACCCACTGGTGCTGCGATAGAGTCGACACCAGTCAGTCCGGGGGTGGGAGACGAGCCCAGTGGCTCGGCAGCGGGGTTGTGTACGGCATCGCAAGATCCTGACGTCCAGCGTGCCATACGTGAGGTCGAAGCCCAGGTTGAGGAACGCGAATTCCAGCCACTTACAGCCCCGGTGAAAGAACCGCTTGCGCAGCCCGGTGACGCTGAGGCCCCTCGCAACAAGACAGCCGCAAACCGGGCCAAGAAAGCCAGGCAGAAGGCAAACAAGAAGGCAAGGAAAGCTGCTGCAGCCGCTGAAACCTCCGGGGACCCAGAAGCCCACAGCAATCCAGACACGATGAAGGACGACGGCAAGAGGAAGGCGACCGAAGACCCCACGTCCCCTGCTGCGGCTAAGCGCGTAAAGCACGACGATTCGGCTGAGCCTCCCCCGAAGCCAAAGATGGCTGTCATTCCTTTTCCTGAGAAGGTATGTGTCGAGTCTGATGCGGCTCCCAACGCGGTGGGTTCGATGCTAACGTGGCTGTCAGCCTGCTCAACTTGAGGAGCGTGCCGGCGATATCCAGTTCCGCGTGGTGAATAATGATGGCGACAAGGACAGCTTCATCATCATGACCGGGCTGAAGTGCATCTTCCAGAAACAGCTGCCCAAGATGCCCAAGGACTACATCGCGCGCCTGGTCTACGATCGGACCCATGTCTCTATCGCCATCGTCAAGAAGCCTCTGGAGGTAGTGGGCGGCATCACGTACCGCCCATTCAACGATCGCAAGTTTGCCGAGATTGTTTTCTGTGCAATCTCGTCTGACCAGCAGGTTAAAGGCTACGGTGCCCATCTCATGGCGCACTTGAAGGACTACGTCAAGGCCACGAGCCCGGTCATGCACTTCCTCACCTATGCAGACAATTACGCGATTGGCTACTTCAAGAAACAGGGCTTCACCAAGGAGATCACGCTTGACAAGTCAGTTTGGATGGGCTACATCAAAGACTACGAAGGCGGCACCATCATGCAGTGCACGATGCTTGAGCGGGTCCGATACCTTGAGGTCGGCCGTATGCTGCAGAAGCAGAAGGAGTGCGTGCTGGCCAAGATCCGAGCCTACTCAAACTCACACGTCGTCCATCAGCCGCCTAAGCAGTGGAAGAATGGCCCTTCACCCATCGACCCCATGAAGATAGAGGCCATCAAAAACTCGGGATGGTCGCCAGAGATGGACGAGCTGGCCCGCCAGCCGCGTCATGGCCCCAATTACAATCAGCTCCTGCACCTTCTCAATGACATGCAGAACCACCAGAGCGCCTGGCCGTTCCTGATGCCAGTCAACAAGGATGATGTCCACGACTACTACGACGTCATCAAGGAGCCAATGGATCTCTCTACCATGGAGCAGAAGCTTGAGATGGACCAGTACACCACCCCGGAGGACTTCACCAAGGACGCTACCCTAATCTTCAAGAACTGCCGCCAGTACAACAGCGAGGGTACTCCATACACTAAGAGTGCGAATAAACTCGAGAAGTTCATGTGGTCCAAGATCAAGGAGATTCCTGAATGGAGTCATCTGGCCGATGATCAGGGCAAGTGAGAAGCCGCAGTCGATCGTTCGACACAGTTTTAGTCGGCGTCATTCCCGAGAAGTAACGGGACTTGTCGGTCCCGGGTCGCTCTGCGCGGCATTGGCCATTGGTCCGCCTGTCCACAGCCTGGCAGGTTGCCGCGTCATTTGCGGCGACTCGGCCATTCTTATTCCACCACCCTGCTCTTTCCTCTTTAAGTACTTACTGCTTCTGCCGAGTGTGGTACTGCCGCCCACAAGGCCGCCCTGACATTTTAGCGAGGTGTTTGGCGTACTCGGACCTTTGCCCATGGACGAGGAGACGTGTGAAGAGCTGGTACAGTCTAGTCCGGGCTCGGGGGGGGGGGGGCATCCCAGGTGTGCCATCAGCACACATATGCAGTCTGCTATGTTTTGAGAGCAGATTATCGTGGAGCCTAATCACTGCCCTTCAGCAGCTGGCTTTGGTTATGATCATATGAGAAGTATGCATGTGGTCTCTAGGAAGGAGTGGTTGAAAGCAATGGGTTTTGTTTTTAGTTTAGCAAGGCTCACCCTAGGCTATTGATTGTAAAATAAGGTAACTGTAATGCTTATAACTATTTTAAATACCTGGCTCTTACTATAAGTGTATTAAGCTAGGGGCTAAGGTAGGTAATTAGATATATAGACTATTTATAACCTTTAAAATTTTAAACTCTTTTTAATATAAAACTATTAAATATTATATATATTTTTAAATATATATAAAGTAAAAGTGAAATTATTTAAAAAAAATATTTTTTTAATTATTCTTTTATATATTAAAGTTATAAACTAAATATTTATAAGATTAACTAGTAGGTTTATACACTCTATTTATCTTATTAACTTAAGTAGCCTCTATACCTTTTATAATATAGAATTATAGCTTTACTACCTCTTTTATATTATTTTTAAGTAACTTTAGTTTTAAATTAATAATTCTTTATAAATAATTTAAGCCTTCTTTTATTATAAGTTAGAAGAATTATTCTATTATTTTATTTATATATATATTAATTATTTTAAATTTAACTATATTATATATTTTTATTATAAAGCTTTAATAATAAAATTTATTAATATATAATTATAAATATTATTTTTAAAAAATATTTAATTTTAAATTAATTATTATTTTTAAAAAATATTAAGTTTTAAATTAATTATTATTTATTATAATATACTTATTAAATTCTTTACCTAGTTAACTTTTTCTTTATTATAAATAAGTCTAATTAGAAAATTATATAAAGTTATTCTAAAGGAGCCCTAGAATGCTTATGTCACTTATATACTCTAGGGCTTAATGCTAAAGGAGGGTGCTAGATAAAATGAGTGAAAATTAGTTATAAGCACAATGTCTCAAGAAGCACGGGGATGAAAAGAAAAAGGACCAGCCGCAAACAAGACTGTAAGCATCCCTCAGATAACCAGGGTCTATATTGTGAGCTCATCTGTTCTGTGCTTGAATTGGTCTTGTTTGAGAACTTCTATTACTTCTTCATGGAGAAAGAAGCGATATCCATGAGCCGGGTATCCGTGTTGTTTCACGAATTCCAGGCAGTCAGACCGGGTTTGACTCATTGTTGATACTACCCTCCACCAGTATTCTGTGGCCTTGTACCTCCTCCGCATCGGCTCTTATGGCGACAGTAACCGTGGCTGGAGACTAATGAGTCCCGCTTTCGGTGGACCGGCCTGGTGCCGTGGGAACAGGCTGGTCTGGAGGTTGCGATGGGTCGCTTGACATTATCATCGAAGGGCTCAGGTTTCGGGGCAGGTAGGCCTGGTCTCATATCGAAACAATTAAAGATTTAGCAACATGAGGAATGGCACAGATAATTGTGATTGACTTGGCAAGCGTTGGGTGATAGACAGACTGCATCGAGTCCGATGACGGGAAAATTTGAACGCTTCATGATAGTAGGATAGATGCGGGCTTAGATGAGCCATTGGGCACAGCGGTTTGCAGCCCATGATCCGATGGCATCGCCTGTCTCAACTGTGTGATGTGCTCTGCTAAATTAAATCCTACATCATACTAAAAACACCGTCGACCACGTCAAACTATTGTTGGAACAAGTGGACAATACAGTCAAGGCCAGGAGTCGACACCGCATGCCCGTTAGCGGCACAGAAGCGCTATCATGTTGCATGAAGCAGCGTAGGTAATTGACGCTGCTATCCGCGGAACCAGGTGTGGTCAGTCGACCCAACTTCGCAGAGTTCTATCTTGCTTTCTCAGCTCGATCAGGCGGCTCCTTCTTCCACCATCATAAGCTGAGCTCCATTTACTATGATTGCCCTCGGGAAGCATATGGCAACAGCGTCAACCCTTCTCGACGGAAAACCAACAGCAAGGGCGGGTAGTGGCCCAATATCTTTGAAATGACAAATCATAAGCTCAATGAGAGGCGTACGGCTGAGCGGAAATCATCTCTGCTGGTGAGAACATCTACGAGAAGTCTGACGTGAAAGATAAACTCGTCGCTGGAAGAAGGCTGCGGCGAGGTGATCCCAGTCAGTCATTTGGGTCACTACCAGCTGGCGTGCTCCAGGGCAACCTGGAAGGCCACGGTGGAGTTGTGTGATGTGTGCACCTTCTTTATTGCAAACTTTTCTTTCCGCTGCTAAGATATAAGATACCTCGCTGAAGCTACTTCATCCTCAGAACCGATGCTGGAGAGACGCTGCCTGGCAGGAAACCCCGATGCACAACTTTGTTTCTGTGGGATCGAGATGTTCTCAAAACCTCGACTTGGTTCTGCGTTGGTTGCATTATCATCAGGACATGTTTGGGTCTAACGCAACAGGCAATCTGCCTAGCCAGCCTGCGACAACCGACGTTTGGGTTTCGCTGGCCGTATTTCTGGTATTTCTGAAATGGGGGCCCCGGTACGAGCTGCATCGCTCCGGTGAGCCCGTTCAACTATCGAGTCGCATGTGGCTGTTGTACTGCGAGGGCTTGACCAGGTCAAGCTTCCGTCAGCAGGGTGTGTTGGACTGGGCGCGGCTCAAGACATGGCCGCAGCCCAGATATGGAACAAGGTGTCCGACCGCACAAGGAGCGGAGCTGTCAACGGAGTTATGAACCCGGACGGTGGGTGTGTTGGCGTCCGCCGAGTGCTTGATGAACCCTCCTCTCAACACCATTGTCGGCTCGGCGCGCAGGTCAGAGGAGGGCCTTGAGTTGAGGAGGAACGGTAGCGTATATCTTGGGAGACGTAGGGAGTCCCGTGGTCGTATGTGAGGTGGGGGAACGGGCATAATGACCCGTGGCAGCGAATCTGTTCCCTAAGCCTGGCCACGTTGCGACGTGCCACCGTTATCGAAGGCGCCGGGTATGCGTAGGTTGGCATAAGAGCTGCGTGTGGTTGGGCTCCGGGTGGTTGAGCTCCGGGTGGTGTGAGGCGCAGACAGGAGGCTGAGGACGCTCGAGCTCGAGGCAGCGGATGACGCAACTGCCGAGCGACCTTGGAGGCGGTTATCTTCTGCACGCAGACCATCCCTGATGAGATCCCGCAGGAATTCAGGGATGTCGTGCCAGTTCCCAGTTCTTGCGGCGTCGATAAATCGTGGGGGGAACAGGTCCTGGGGCGAGACATGGGTGATTCTTTCTCGCATGTGGGAGATGTCGCCCGTCTCCACAGCGTTCTTGAACCACTGTTCCCAAGCCTCGTCCACCGGCAAGGACAGATCCCCCGCGTTCCTGGCGGCTACCCGCTGGCGGAGCTGCTCATTCAAGGCAATGCCGACGCTCTCCAACTCGCCATCACTGTCCTCGGCCTCGGCCTCGGCCATGGCGTCATCATCGTCCTCGGTGTCCGGGCCGCCGGGCGAGCCGGAGGTGATGGCGCGGACCTGGCGATCGAGCCAGTGGGGCATGCCGTCGGCTGCTGTGTCGCGGATGGTGGTGCCCTGTTCCCGCTCGTACCGGATCTTTGCCCATCTGGTGCCCTCCCATTTCGTCAAGCCGGCAATCTCGCTGGGGGTGAGGCGTAAGGCATCAAAGGCGCGGAACATCCTCCGGTGCCACTGCCACCTGCTCAGCCGAGTGCGGTGGGTGGGGTTGGTGTAATCAAGACCTGGGTACTTTGCTTCTGCGGTGTCGAGGTGGCCATAGAAGGAGTGGACCTCCTGGCGGACCTCGAGGATGAGGTGTCGTTGCAGGAGGGCATGGAAATTCTGGGGCTCCTGAGGCTTTGGCTTGGGGAACATCTGCTCGTAAACGAGCTGGTCGACCGGACGACCCTTCATCCTGGCCGATGGGGGCGTTGGTAGAGAAGGTGGCGTCGGGTGCGTGGCCGCAGGGACGGGTGCGTTGGAGAGTGTGTTCTGCGGTCAAGACGGCCGGTAGTCTCGGCGGTAGTCTCGCGGGCGGTCGGGCGGTCGCAGTCGGCGGTGCGCAGAAGAGTGATGTCGGTATTGATGATCAAACAAGGTAGCTAGCACTAGTAGTCAAGAGGAGGTGATTGCGTCGTGTGTCGTATTATGTCTTGGTCTGGAGCTGGCAGACCACAGCAGCCGGTGGGAGGTCAAGACTGCGGTCAGACGCGAGGAGGTGTGCGGTGGCGCTGGTATCTCGAGGGAGGTGCGATGGAGAGGAGGTGGTCTGGCCGAGTGGGATTGGTGACCGATCAGGGGCGGCCCGTTGGGAGGGAGAGGGTTCTTGGGTTTTGGGATCTGGGAAGAGGGTGAGAAGGTGAGAAGGTGAGAAGGGGAGAAGGGGAGAAGGAGGGCAGTGGGGAGCAGGGCAGGGGAGGCGTGGCAGCGTGGGAGGTTGCTAACAAGTCAAGCGTGAAGTTGTTGCAGCACGGAGGACCGAGTGACAGGGCGAAGGAGACAGAGGGCAAGGCGGGAAGTTTGCTTTTGAGCGACCAGCCCTGCGTGACTGGCACTTGGCTGATGAAGGGGACGGACCGGGGCCGGGGCCGGGCCCTTGAGTGGCAGGTGCAAGTCGCATTTCGACAGGTGAGACCTGTGACTTGTTGGCCGTGCCTCCACCCTCAGGTACTTGAGTAAGTACCCAGGCACTAGTACTTAGCCAGGGATCCGAGCACGGGGTGGTCAGGTACTCCGTACTACCACTGCAGAGAGGGTACCACCCACCAAGATGATGTGTGCAGGGGTCGCTGAGTACCCAGGTTCCCAGGTACCCAGGTACCCAGGTACCCAGGTACCCAGGCACTTTGCATTCAGGTGCCTGGCCGTCCAGCTGCCTCGCCTGGCACTTACAGCCCTGCAAGCGACAAGACGCATTCCTGGGCCACGCCTCTGCAAGCAGCAGTCGGTCAACATTTAGCGATGCGGCCCGACAAGGCGTTTCATTCCGGGCTGGACGGACGCCCAAGTGACCAAATGACCATTGCCCGCCCCGTGACAGGACCAGCTCGGCCGCCCACACGCACACCGTCGCCGTCGACGTCGCCCGCAGCACGACAGACAGCACGACAGCACGACAGAACAACCAGCGCACACCAGGGTGGGGCCGTGGCCGTCGTGGCCGCCATGGCCGCCGTGGCCGCCGTCCCAGCGGCCCCCAAGCCAGCAGAACCGTGGCCGAATGAGATCTCACCACGGCCCTTTGCAGCCTCTTCACAAACAAGGCCCGGCTCCCCCGCCGGCCCTTCGTTGCGGCCCATTCAACTCACATTCCTCCGGCTCCTTTTCTCATCTCGCCTCCGTCGCTGGTCCGTCGCCCCTGGTCCAATCGCTGCCTGTCCCAACCTCATGCCGTGTCTTCCCCACCCTCCCCGGGCCGCCGTTCATGCCGCCCTCTACTTTTGCCCACCTGATTGATGCCTGTCGCACCAGCACACTGGACGCCGCCCATGCCCATGGGAGCCTTGGATACGAGGGCCGCCCGCATGGTCAGTCGCGCTTCCCGGCCCAGAGACAACGCGTCTTCGCTGCCGCTTTCGGTCCGCGCAAGGCTTCCGCTGAGCCGCTTGCCCTGATAATGCTAGCCGCCCGTGCCAGCCGTGCCAGCCAGCGGCTGCATGTGCTTGACAAGTCCCGTCGCATTCCAGTCTGCTGGGTTGACGTATCCTGTATGAATCCCCATCAGCATACATATATACTTGGGCACCTGATGCCCTCGCAGCCCAACAGCCTGCCAGCGGCCCAATCGATCCCGCACAACCTGGCCGTCAGCTCAGCACGCCGGCAGCCGCGAAGAGTGCCGGAGCCGCGAGGGCGAATTAGGGCTTCAGGAGGGCTTGTTGGTGCCGGTATGGGCAGCTTCGGGATTGTGACCAGACTAGAGCACTTTTTGGTGCAATTCCATGTGAACACAAGTCAAGACGTCAGTCAGACAGCGAGTGGATTACACCTACGCACACAGGCATACATTGCGGCCGTCAAACGTAGTAAGGCCACCGACTGACTGGCTAAGGGGGAAGGAATAAGTAGCATCTATGCAAACGGTCAACAGACAGCTTATGTCCACCAATGCCCAACAAACGCTAGGATGCGTACACGCCTCTCACAGGCGTCTCGAAAAGAGAAAGGTATCTTTGTCGCATACAAGTTCCGACGCTACCAACACCCACAAAGAAAAAGGGAAACAAATCTCCAACACTTTATATGCCTGATAACCCAATTATAGCAGCACACTGCGAGACTCCTTGCTACATCGTCCCCCATAGCTCGTCATTCATGGTCGTCGTCGTCGTCGATCGTAATGATTATGACTCGTCACCCGCTTCGTTTCTATGCCTGGGCTGTTCGTGTCCGTGTCGTGTTGACCTTAGCGCTCACCTCATTCATCTTGGACCCAGGCGGGTTCTGTAGGATACCTCCGGCCACTGACGCCTTTGATCTCCGGGCTCGCTGCCCTTTCCCTTTCCCTATCCCTGTCTCTCTCCCTCTCCCTCTCCCTGTCCCTGTCCCGCTCCCTGTCCCGGTCTCTGTCCCGGTCCCGGTCCCGCTCCCTGTCCCGGTCCCGCTCCCTGTTCTCGTACCCGGTCACTCCCCTCCGCCTCCTGTCCCTCTCAACGCCATACCTCTCTCGATCCCGCAGGTCAAACGCATCATGCCTGTATCTGTCCACGTCAGCATGGCTGCTCGTCCTCCGCGGGTTCTCCGGCCTGCGCAGATACCTCGCCTCCTTCTCCTTCCTGCTCCGCGGCTTGTCCCTCGGGTCAAGCTCGTCCCAGTCTGGTGGGGCGTCCCGGCTCCGACGGGGCGGCCTGTCCCGGTCGCGTTCATACGCATCCCTCTCGCGGTCCCGGCGCTCACGTTCGCGATCCCGGAGTCTTCGCCTCCGACGCTGATCACGCTCTTCCGAGTCGGAGGCACTCTGATCGTCGTACGACCAACTGCGGTGGCTCACTTTCGAAGCACCTGGAAGACTGTCCTTTGAAAGTCGGTCGATGCGGTCGATGGGTATTGTACCGCTTCCGCTGCTGTTTATGTTACGCCGGGGCGGTTTGTCCGAGACTATTGGTAGTATGGTGGAGAACTTGTCAATCTTGTCCTTGGCCCAGTCCTTGGCCCCTTCGAACGGCGCCGCACTTTTCCTCCTGCCGGCCGAGACCGGAGAGTCTCGACCATCAGGTCGGAGCTTGGCCCCGCCATCTGCCCGGTCCGCCCTGAGGCTAGGCACTTGAACTGCGGGCGACGCGCCTGTTACGGGCGTCGGGGTGCCCGGAGAGGGGGCGGCGGCCGCGTCCGCGACGTGCGCATAGCGTGTCGCGACCTTGGGACCACGGGCTGGAGGAGCATGGTGACCAGAACTCCGTCTCGACCTGGGGCTCAGATCGGCCTCGGACCCCGAATCATCGCTGCTGAAGCCCCGTCGGGGGTGGGAGTGGCGTCTCGGCGGGACGGCCCTTCCAGGATTCAGATGGGCAGACGAGAACTGCTCCTGGGGGGATGGATAGTCCGAGAAGGAACGCCGCCGCGCGCGGTCTTCCCGAGCCATGTCCTCTGCCGAAGAGCCATTCCTCCTGGGCCGCTCCACCCTTTCGGGAGACACGCGCAGAGCAGCGCCCCTCGGATACCGTGATGTATGGCCCGGGCTGACGTGCGTGAAGAACGGGGGGCGGTGGTTGAAGTAATCTGATGCGAGGTTCGCCGGCCTCGGCCGGGCAGGCGGGCCGCCTGCTGATTCTGGGGCTGGGACGTGAGAGTACGCGTCCTTCATGCGATCAGCTGCAGAGGGGAATGTCGGCCTTGGCGACGCCTTGGGGGTTGCCTCCTTGCGCAGCTTCTCGCCGCAGGCTGCATGCCATGCGGTGATGTCGGGATCCGGGGCGGAAGGGAAGGAGGCAGCAGAGATATCCCTGGGGAACAGCTCGCCGGTGTCGGGATGCTTCAGGCCCCAGTTGTTGACTGCGAACATCATGTATGGCACATGCTCCTCGGGCTCGAGCAGGATCTGGATGGACTGCCAGCGGACAAAGCCCTTCGGGGTCAGAGACGGCACGGTTGGGGCCTCATAGTCGTTGTCGGTGGGCTGGAGAGTATGCTGACAGCCAAAGACCTGCCAGATGAAGGATATGGACTCGTTTGGGGCATTCACGAAGAGCCCTGGGCGGCGGCCAAGGCGGCCCCACGGGTCAGCAGGCGCCGTCGGCCAGGACGTGGGCGTGCCACAGGCGGCGGGAGGGGGGGAGAGGAGCTCACGGTCATAGTCGCCGCCGACTGCCTTGTAAAAGGCGGCAAGCTTGTTGGGGCTCAGGTTCTGGTCTTGCTTGTCGCCGACGTTGTTGATCTACCACCGGGACGAACAAGGCGGGAGTTGTCAGCGGCGAGTGCGGTTTGGGCGCGGGGCAACCACCCCCTCCCCCCACCACGGAGGTACCCAGGCAGGCGGGCTGGCAGGCGGGCTGGCTGGCTGCGAATCGGGCACAACTCACGATGTAGAGCGCGATGGCGCGCAAGAGGGCGTCAAGAACCTGGGTCGGGGTCTTGTTGGCCTCGTAGAGATAGCCATAGAAGCCGTTGGCGTCGACGGCAGGGTTCGGCGCGGGCGTGGGGTTGGGCTTGGGCTCCGGGGCTGGGGCGGTGGCCATGGCGACGGCGACGGCGACGGCGGTGGGGAATGGCGTCGCTCACATCAGCCTGGCCCTGTCGTTGCGGGGTCGCGGGTTGCGGGTTGCGGGTGGCGGGTCGCGAGCTGGGGCAGGTTGCGGACGGGGTCGGTCAGTGTGGTGCGATGGACGGGTCTGGGTCTGGTGTTCCTAGGCACGTATGTGCGCATGTGCACTCGTGTTGACGAGACAAGGACAAGGCACAACAGTGACCCTTCGTCGGCCGGCCCAGGATCCAACTGGAACCTCGGAAGTGGTGGTGTTGGAGCGGGTCGGCGGGTGGTGGGCTGGGAAACATCAAACAAACAGCAGCAACATGGGACGGAGGGGATAGTAGGATAGTAGTATGTTCGAAGGGCAGGGGAGAGACAGAGTCAGGATGGCAGCCGACTGACTGCTGTAATCTTGGACATGCAGGTCAACAGTGCCTGATAGCTGCCTGCCAGCTGCCTGCCTGGCTGGGCCAAGCCTTGGGTGCATTTTATGCAACCAGGGTGCAGTAGCAGCGTGCGGCCAAAGGTTGTTAGGTGGGCTCTGGTGGGTCGGGGGCCGGCAGAGCAGGCAGAGCAGGCAGAGCACCATCGGCACAGCCCAGGGAGACGGGACACTGCTGGTGGCTGGGGCAACACCAGCTGACGGACAGGGGCCCACCCACGCTCTGCCAGTCTCCCAACAGCCCACGGGCGCACATCAGATCTACAGGGTACTTAAGTAGGTTCGGCACCATGGGTATCTGGTATCTATCTATTGGGAAAGTATCGGTAGGCGACCAGGTCGATCGTCTTGTCCTGGGCACGCATGTCGACATCGCTAAAGGACAGGAAGCTCTCGAACCCACACCTCTCCAGTATCTTCTGACTCGCTGCGTTCGACGCGTCGATCACCGCCACCAGGGCTTCCCGCACCTCCGCCTCCGCCTCCGCCTCCGCCCCCGCCCCCGCCCCCAACTCCGGCCCGGGCCCGGGCCCGCCAGCGCCCTCCGCCGAGCTGGCTGTTACCTCCCTGTCGACCCGTCCCTTCCTGGGCAGCCCAGAGTACATGCCCAAGAATGCCCTCAGGAATTCTGTAGCTATGCCTCTGCCCCACCATTCCTTTCGGATCATGTAGCCCACTTCCGGCCACCCAAGCTGCGGACCAGCCGTGGCATCGCCGGCCGGCTGCTCAAAGGCGTGCACGCCCCCCTGGCCGATGAGCTCGCCCGTCTCCCTCAGGCAGATTGCGCAGTTGAAGGTCTTTGTGTCATTTGGCGGCAGGAAGAGCCCGAGTTTGGCTGCTGTTTCCTCCCGGTCGACATCAACTCGCCCGACCGTCGTCCACTGCATCACCTCGGGCTGCTGGCGCAGTGTGTACAGGGCGTCGAGGTCAGACGGGTCGAAGGGCCGCAGGACAAGCCGCGGCGTCGTCACATGTGGCCTGGACGAGTTCGGGGGGAGCACCGGCAACGTCGTGCGGACCCTGACCCAGCCTTCTGGCTTCGAGGGCACGGGCGGCGGCATGGCTGGTCGGTTGCTGGCAGCAGTCTGAGGCGGAGGTAGGCAATTGATTGGTTTTTTTTGGGGGGGGGGGGGTTCTTTTTTTTTTTTTTTGGGGGGTTTCTTCCTCTAAAACAAAAAAAAAAAAGATCACCGACCTCTTTTATCCCGTCCTCATCTACTCGGGACGGTTGCCTTCTTTTTATTGCTCAGCTGTGCTGGTCTGTTGGGCTCTGACTCACCGTGGTTCTCTTCCTTCTAGGTGCGAGCAAGATAACCAACCCCCATCCCTTGCCCGTTCTTGCTAGCGCGGGACCCGGACCCGGACCCGGCAGCCTGGACGACATCATGCATCTTCAACGAGGTTTGAGGACCCAGGCTTCGAACACCCACCCTGTCTCGTCGCATCTGTGCCTACAGATTACAGATCCTCAGCCAAGATGAGTAAGGAAATCCACGCCCTCAGCTGTGTCAACTGTCGCCAGCGAAAGGTCAAGTGCTCCAAGACCTACCCATGCCCTCACTGCCTCAGGGGCGGCCTCGAGTGCATCTTCCCTTCGCGTAAAAAGGACAGGCGCCCGCGCACAAATAGAAACCACGAGCTGCTCAATAGGCTGGCCAAGCTCGAGGCTATTGTCGGCCAGGTGAGTCAGGAAGTATGGTTTGAGCATCCCCTCCTTTGGAGATCAGGGGCGTGGTTGGTCGCATAGGTAGCTAATCCAGCCCATCTCCTCATCTCAGGTGGACCCTGAAGCTGCCAGCCTGGCTTCCGGCCACCAGCCTGTGGTCACGGTACGCGCCGCCGTTGAAGCCGCGGACGAGGCTATTGCGCAACCAGTCTCAAAAGATGAACCCAGCGTAAGCGTAAAATACGTGAGCGGAGAGTTCTGGGCGTAAGCACTTTTGGATACGGAATCAACCCCCTCAACAAGAGGATTCTCCCCTCAATGGCCTACAACCCTCACGTCATATCAGTTTACGGGCTTCTGAGGGCGTGCTGCGACCATACTGTGCCGTTCCTTCTGTACTCGTTCAATCTAGCTCTCGGTGCTGTGTCTGCTGACTCTGAGTGCTGCAGAAACCTGTCCAGGGAGGTTGAGGGTATCAAAGCGACCCTCGAGCAGCCGAGTGATGATGAGGATGAGGATGACGCCGAGCACAAAGCCCCCTCGCCCGAGTCACACCAGGGGAGTCACAGCAGCTTTGGTTATAGTATGAGCCCGCCTTTGGTCTTGGGGAGTGCCCCGGCGACGGATGGGTTGTCACACCCGCCCACAGCGCGTATGAAGACGCTGTGCGAGATATATTTCCGCAGTGTCGACCCGTTGATGAAGATACTGCACAAGCCGACAACTGAGAAGGCTTTTGAGCTGTACATGGTGAATCCACTCCGTCACCCACTCAGTCGTGCAACCGAGGCCCTGTTCTTCGCCATGTATTTCGCAGTTCGTACCATTCTTCTCCCTTTCCGGAACTCTTGTCTTTCGGCTTCTGCGACGTCTCTGGACGCATCAGACTAGGATCCATATCAGGCAGATGGCTAACACGCTCCAGGCTGTGACAAGCCTCCGGCCCGATTCCTGTCTGAACCAGCTCGGCGAGGATCGAAGGGTGCTGGCTGTGCAGTACAAACAGGCAGTGGAGCGTGCCCTGGCCAGAGCGGACTATCTCAACAGCACCTCGCTGGAAACCCTCCAGGCCTTTATGATCTACTCGGTGAGTCGGCAAAGAGTCTGCAAGACACCTGCTGGGTTTCAGCTGGGCTTCAATGAAATCGGGTCGGCATCATGACTGATTTCACGAGACAGACTTGTCTACGCAACTATGCGGAATCTCGCGCCTCGTGGGCGCTGTTGGCCATGGCTTTACGCCTTGCCCAAGCCATAGGTGTTCATCGTGATGGTGATGGGTCCGCTTTTTCCCCTTTCGAAGCAGAAATGCGTCGCAGGCTGTGGGCACAAATCATCGTTCTCGACGTCCGCGCTGCGCAAGATCGTGGTACGGAAGCCATGATCAGGCAGGAAGAAACTAACACGGCTGCACCATCAAATGTTAACGATGATGACTTCGGCCCGCACACTTCTGTCCCGCTTGCGCAGCTGGAAAAGAAAGGCCCCACAGACATAACGTTCAGCCTCTGCACTTATCACTGCTCCAAGCTCTTCCTTCACATACACGGGCCCAGGATCCGCTTCTCCAAAGCTACCCACGAAACCACCCTCCCCGGACCACACGCACAGCCACAGGTCTCTGAGGAAGACATTATCCAGCGCATCAAGAGTCTAGAAGCTCAGTTTCTAACCGCTGCTGCCGACCAGGCTGGCCATCCTCAGGCCTCATATGCGGCTACCGTCTTGCGCATAGCATCATTGGTCTATTGGCTCAGCATACAGTACCCACTGCAAGTAAGGCAGCCCACCATCAAACCTCGCGTGAGCCGGGAGCATATGCTTCAGACGGCTGTCGCCATCATGGAGCTGCAGGCCTGTGGGCCGTCCTCCGCCGCCATGAGCTCAGAGGAATTCTCCGAGAGATTCATTTGGTGGCAAGACGGCTACATTCCCTGGCACCCCTTGGCGGTCGCCCTGGCCGAGCTGTGCGTGCAGACAGAAGGTCCCCTAGTTGACAGGGCATGGAAGACGATTGACCGCGTTATGCCTTCATGGGGAGATAAGGTTGCAGACACGAGGAAGGGTGCACTCTGGCGGCCAATCCGAAAGCTGCTCAAACAGGCGAGACAGAGGAGGGCCGAAGCGCAGATGAGGAGACTTGGTATCAGCGAACCGGGACAGCAAGCCAGGCAACCGGCAGAACCGCCGTTGCAGGCTCAGGCAAAACGAGCCACAGGACAGCCGCTTGTGAAGCAGGCCGCGCCAACGGCGCCGTCCGATTCGGGCAGGGCGATGGACAGTAGCAAGCCACCACCGAACCCCGCCACGGCCCTCGGTCCCACGGGTGTTCCTCTGTCGCAAGATTTCGGTCCCATGCCAGATATACCAGCCGTGGCGCCTCCATTCATCTTAGAAAACAGCCATCACCAGTGGATGATCGACTTTGCGGACATCGCAGACGTTCCTGTGGACACATCGATTGATTATAATGGTGCTGTGGGTCTCGGCGGGGGCGGCGGCGGCGGTTTCGACATGATGGACTGGAGTTATTGGAACGACTTTGTCAACGATGCCAGTGTGAATGTGGAGGGGCAAACATCCCCTAGTAGTGAGGGGAAGTAGAGGTTCTTGTTGACTCGCTACAGTACATTTGTGCATTCTTCGGATTGCAAGATTGTATAGCTGAGGACACAGGCTGAGGGACGTCTCATCAACCGCAGACGTGGGTCCTCGCTCGCGTGGCAGCCAAGGTTATCACGAATTTAACCTCCACTCATAGAAAACCATACTTCAGTGTTCATGTCTTCGTCTTGAAAGTCCTGGACTTTCACTAACTTAATAGTCTAAATTCGTAGTTCACCTCGGTGGGCCGTTGGCCAACTCAACCTCTCCGTAACAACTTGAAATATGTTTCGCTTGGCAGATTGTCCCTCAATCGATTAACACGTAGATTATATGTTGAGGGTTGCTATCTGGCATTTCGTTGTACACCTTACCTATCTCACAGGTGACCTTCTTTAGTGGATAAAGACAGATAGCATTGTACCGGGGTCAGATTGAGTGTGTAGATTCAGTTGTGCAGTGAGCATTTTGCACCGTCCTATTTGCCCACAATACGGACGGTCTTGGGCAAGTGACTAGCGGCGGGCTGGTTCCGGTTCACAATTAAAATGAGGGAGGGTAATGGCACCCGGAGCGTGTTTCATTCTTTTTGTGGATTTCATTCCATTTCTTTTGCTCATGACCGTTTTAGAGCATATGCTAATGACATGCCGTACCCCTATGAACACCGGGGAAACCCTTTGGACTTTTCTTTTGATTCGTCCATTGTTGCCGTCACTACCAATGCCCGTCCATTCGCTCTCCACAATTGACCAGAGAAAACCAAAACCCGCCACCCTTCGGCACCACTCTAGGCGAAGGTCGAGGGTCGCTTGGCGCTGAAGACCTTCTTGGTAGAGATCTTGGGGACACGGTGGGGCAGAGGGAAGCTCAGGTTCTTGGTGAGGAGCTGCTTGATGTAGGGGCGCTTGACATCGTCGGACTTCTCAAGCTCGACAACGCGGAGGATCTAGATGAAATGTCAGGTCACCGCAAAACATTGATGTCCATCGGTCTCGGGCCGAGAGGGTCGAGGGGTGCGTGTGACACGTACGTGGATGGACCTGAAACGGGCACGGTGACGGGCAGCCATGTCCTGGTAGAGAGCCTCAACAGCCTCGGTCCGGGACATCTCACGGTACTCCTTGTACATGTTGTGAGTGCCGGAGCGCGAGTCGTAGCGGATCCAGATGCCGAAGTTCTTGACCTTCAACGGGTGCTTCTCGTGGATCTGTGAATCGAAAATCGCATGAGCCAATGTTTCTCGCATGGTCTTGACCGACCTCTCCTTCTTTTCATGTCGCCTGGTATATTCTTCCCGTGGTCACAGTGATTACACATACCACGTTGATGCTGACGATCTCACCGGTGGCCTTCTTGACCTTCTTGAGACCGCGCATGAAGTACCAGTATCGCGACTTGGCGACGACCTCATTGGGGGCGAAGATGCGCATGCGGTACAGAGACGGGGTGGGGTTGGTCTCGGTAGGCAGATGCCTGCCGATGACCTGGTACTCCTGAAGACGACCTGATCGCATTCATGTTAGCAGGTCGGTGCAGTGCAGCCGGGCCGGTGGGTGCGGTTCCTGGGAGCGAAAGTCTAGTCTGAGCCTTGGTGGAAAGGTGGTATGGCATTCGAAATGGCGTTGTCGGCCGAGCGATTCCACGAAACCCAACATCTGCCCACTTCCCCCGGAGCCATAATCACATGTGTCCTTCGTTGCACTGGGTGTGATGAAGCCGGCTGTCGCTGTCGTCCTCGGTTGACTGTCATCATTCATGACTGCCCATTGCTTTCCTGGCTCTTTTCTGTGGCGTCGTTTGTCGCATTACATTCGTTCCCACCCGTATCCCTCGGTTTTGGCGTCGACTTCGCTCCCAGAACTGGCTACAATGGCTTGGGAAGGTGCTTACCCATCTGCACGACTGAAGTTAGTACGATTTCAGAGGCAGCAACGCGGTGCGAAAGGCTCACTTTGATTGAATGTACCGTGTGGTGTCGCGGGTTAGTGGTTGACTGAGGGTTGAAAGTGGTGCCCGGCAAAGTCGAGAAATTTCATCTAGGCAATTCAGAGATTTGTGGTTTGGTGCCCAGAGTGCTGATTGGTGCATCTCGGACCCACATTGTGGCCTGAGGCCCCAGGCAGAACATTTCAAGGCCGGGAAGCATCAGGATGTACAGGGGTGCTGGCCGCGCAACAGCTGCCCCGGCTGCGAGCCAGCTGGCAGCAGGGAGTCTCTACCTGCCTCCCCATCTAGGGACCTAGGTAGTGCCTACCCAAACAGCAGGCACTTAGGTACCTAGGCACCTACCTTACCCTGCCAACCTGCCCACCATGGGAGCCGAGCCTTGTTAGATAGACTCCGGCCAGGGATCAATCCGGTCAACGATTGCTTGAACGAAGCAAGCAACTGGGGTTCAACAAAGAAACACCTGCAAGACCCTCAACCACAAGACCGTCTCCCTTCTGGCGTGAGATTTATTACACGCCTAGGTAGTCCCCCACCCAGTCAGCCTGTCCTTTCGGACCTGTATGCAGCGGCCGGCCCAGCCATGGACTTTATCTTCCAAGACTTCAGCACGGCAACGGCTGAGGGCAACGGCTACCAGCTGGCCCAGACCCTGTCGCCAGAGTTGCCTGCGGAAACCCTCAAGATCATATGGAAGAGCACCAACCACCACGATGCACGGGGCTACATACGGCGAAATCTCAAGAATGGACCATCGCCAGTCAAGGTCTCGAATCAGGAGATTGACGCCTGGACTGACGTCTACTTGTCCTACTGGACTGCCGTCGGCGCCATCCTGGCCGTCCAGGGCAACATCGTTGTCCCCGGCAAGCCGTCCTGGACCACTGTCTACCAGGCCTGGAAGGACATGACCCTGTTCCTCAAACGTGGCTATCAAGAATTTGGCTTTGAGGCCTGGACTATACCGTGTCTCTACACCGCTGGGAAGTACTTGAGAGTGTTCGCCATCAAGGCGGACGACGAGCGAGGCTCGAATGCAGCCGACACCGGGGCTGCCGTCTTGGGGGACGACTTTGACCCTGAAATGGAAGCCCATCAGACCTTGGAGGAGTGCGCGCGCCACCTAAATGGGCTGTTTTCCCTTTGCCTTACCGACCGGTACGTAGAGTCATGCCGGACGATGACGTTCGTCGGCCCCGCTGACTTCGATTAGGGCACCCATCCAAGAGTCCAGGAAGTGGGCAATCTACTACATCATCAACCTTCTCTTCAAGACGTACTTCAAGCTCAACAAGGCCAGGCTCTCCAGGACGATCCTGAAGAACCTCCACGCCTACCAGGGAAACATGCCACAGCTTGATCAGTTCCCAAAGTCTCAGCAAGTAACGTTCAAGTACTACGAGGGCGTCCTCTTCTTCCTCGAGGAGAACTATTTGGAGGTGAGATTGTCCAATTCGCCGGCCAGAACTAGAGCTAATTGTTGCCACAGGCTGAGAAGCGTCTAGCAGAGGCATTGGCTCTCTGCCACAAAGATGCACAAAGGAACAAGGAGTACGTCAACACTTGAGTCTGAGAGGACGCGACTGCTACATGCCGCACATGTGCTGACCAGATTTCAGGCTCATCCTAACATATCTCGTTCCCTGCCACCTGCTCACTACCCAAACTCTTCCCACCCATGCCCTCTTGGACCCTTACCCCCGGCTGCAGAGACTGTTCTTGCCCCTGGCACAGTGTATAAAGAAGGGCGACCTGTGCGCTTTTGACCAAGCACTGAAGGAAGGTGAGGATGAATTCGTCAAGCGCCGGATCTATCTTCCTCTTGAGCGATCTCATGACACCTGCCTCCGGAATCTGCTGCGGAAGGTTTTCATTGCAGGCGGGATGGTCCCAGATGCGGATCCGCCCACCCGGCGCACGCGCATCCCTATCGACGAGTTTGCGGCAGCCATCAGCCTGAGCAGCAAGCAACAAATCGACTCGGATGAAGTCGAGTGCCTTCTTGCTAACATGATATATAAAGTGAGTCCACGCCTTGTTGAGCGCGAAACGCTTAGCAAGCTCGCCGTTACTCGTCTTATTACGGGCATCTTCATTCAACCATCATGTGTTTCCCACCAGCCGGAAGCTCGCTCACTGACTCCGTCTTCCATTGCAGGGCTTCATGAAGGGATATATAGCCCGCTCAGCCCGGTTTGTCGTGCTTAGCAAAAAGAACGACGCGTTTCCGAGTACAGGCGTCTGAAGGAACAAATGTCTACAGCCATATGCCCCATTGGGCTCCTTCAGAGTCTTCCTAAGCGTCTGACAATGGTCAAGTGAATGGCTGCCTATCGCGACCTCTTACGTTCTGGCACTCGTGCGAGGCGGTGCATCCAGTGCTGACACAGGTGTGACGGTTCGCCTAGCCTGTTTGCGACCATGTTTGGCACTACACTGTTTCCTCTTGCCCCAAAATGGACCTGGGCCACGACCAACAGCTCCGTGTGAGTTGTCGCAAGACCCGATAAGGAGCGGTGCGGAGGTAATCCTGCAAGACCGGGACTCAACGTGAAGTCAAGAGGCAAATGCATACTCGAGTCTACAGAAATACTTAATTGAGCTCTTGCAGGGGCTGTACTGTTTGTGTAACTCCCTGAAGTTAGGCACTGGAGCTCCCTGTCCCGGCAGACTATCCCTGACTGTCTGCGCAGCGATATTCACGCGGGCGTGAACGGGCGTGAACGGGCGTGAACTGAGACGTTGCGGGAGCGGGCATGGGCTGCATGCAACTCTTTCAAAGCGATTCCTGTCGCGTGAGTCATTATGCGGCTCTTATTTGTATCGCAACGTCTCGGCTGGTTGGACTTTTGCTTTCCGACAGAACTCCAATGTCGCATCAGCGAGCCACGGCAATGATACCCCTGCCCAGTCATGTCCTTTGTGGCTAACTTGACTCCGTGGACTCAACTGATGGGCTCTTTCATAAATCCCCGTGCAAGCAGCAGTGAAAAGAAACAGATTCAATTATAGACCCTGGCAACCACAATGCTTAACTTGCTGCGGGTCAACCAGAGCAACGGTTCTGTGAACGAGTGGCTAGAATTTTACATTGTACTTTTGGTCTCGCTTGCAATTTGCCCACTTGACTTTTCCCTTCCTTCTGCTCCCAGAGAGCAAACCTAGTTTTCCTCCCGGTAAAGCCCTGCCCTTGGCCTCAGGTCGCCGTCGCGGCGTCAGCAAAATAATACCAACTAGGAGGGCACGAACGTCCGCATCTTGAAATCTAAATTAAGTCGTCAAAGGGTCCTCGCACGCCGCTGTGTCGGGACATCATGAAGTGGTAATAATACATGTCGTCGTGAATGGTATCGAGGGCATCAGTAGGAGATGCGAGGCAAAAGTCTGAAAACGCCGAACTCCTCACACTCTCGCCTTTCTAGGGTCCTCGAGATGTCCGTATCCTCGCTGCATGGGAAGGGGCAAAAGAAATCAAAAGACGACAATGGTCGGGTAGTACATCCAGAGGAAGGAAAAGCATTGCTCATTAATTGCATCCAGTGACAAATGAAGAGGGGTATTTCTTTTTCAGAGTTTTCCAGGAGTGAGACGGGCAAGCAATCCAAGAAAAAATGATGTAGGAGAAGAGAGAGATGACGGAAGAAAAGTAAAGGGTGAGGACCACCCAAGCATCGATCTAAATGAAGCGGTTGCTTCGGGGCGTGGTCTGCGCGCTGGAAACATCGTCGACATGGTTGCACAGCGCGACGAACAGGTCAAAGAAGAGCTGGCTGCCACCGTTGTACATCTCGAGCTGCATGGTGCCGCTGCGCTTGAAGGTGGAGCGGCTGCGGATGATGAGGGCGAGGTAGTGGGCCCGGAGCTTGGAGTCGGAGTCGGGGGTGTTTGCGTAGGCGTAACGCGCCGACGCCAGGATGGTGCTGCACTGGATACCCGTCTGCAGGCCCTGTTTGCGCAGGGCGACGCGCTTGAGCTCCTCGAGCCCGTACTTGTCTGCCACGCAGTAGATGACCGTGTCCTTGAGCAAGGGCCCGCTGGCGTCCTGGTGGTAGATGGTCGACTCGATGGAGCTGCGGCCGCCGTCGGCGGACGGCTGCTCGATCTCCCAGGAGTTGCGGCGCTTGCTGTGCACAAGGCGCGGGTAGTAGTCACCCTTGTAAAGGTACTCGAGTACCGACGAGAAGATCTCGGGCGACTCGTCGGGAAGTGCGATGCGCTTGGTGGAGGCCTCGATGTACTGGCCCTTCAGGACATTGGCGAAGTACGGTGAGTTGCAGAGGACGTCTTCGTGGGCGGCAAAAATGCGCTGCTCGTGGCCGATCACGAGCGTGACGATAGGGCTGACACCACTGTGAGCGGGGGGCATGTCAGATTGCATGACATTCTGTTAGCTGTGTGGAGAGAGAAGACCGACCTTGACCCAACTGTTGGAGACGATTCAGCAGTTGATGCACTCGTGGCGGTCGTTGGTCGGCGGCGGGGCTCGTGTCGACGTTTCGAGACGCCGGCCTCACGGCTGAAAGAGGAGCCCGATTTGCCATACTTTGAGCTCTTGGTAAAGCTCTGCTTGGTCGAGTTGGCCCGTGAGAACATGTTGGCCCTCGCTCCTCTCAGTTCATGGGCAGTGTGCGGTGAATTTGGGGGAAGTGGTGATGGAAATGCAAAAGAAAGCAAATTGTCGATGTTGCCGATTGAGAGAAGGAAAGAGGGGAAGGCCGGATGAAAAGACAGTAGATTTGATTGAGCCGGCAGGGTGGGAGGTTGGACGGATGGCAGGATGGCCGAGAGAAGCAACCTACCTCAGGCAGCAAGGCAAACGGAAGGGGAAAGAAAGGGGGGTTTCCTCACGCACTTGCGAGACGAGGCGGGAGGCAGCCATGGGTTTTATAGTCTGGTCCGGGGCGACGCCCGCATCAGGCTTGATCAGCGCTGGGTGTCCCAGGTGCACCCGGGTTGGTGATGGGCACAGGCCAGTCGCGATAAGCTAGCCAGCCAGTCGCGTCAGGAAAATGCTACTTTAGATCCCTGCCGCGATACCGACGCCAAACCACGTGACCAGGCTTTTGCGGGGCTGTCAAGGCCGGCGGCGAAGCTGGTTGGGCGTGCGCTCGGTCAGGAGAAGACTCATCGCCTCCAGTGTGAGACCCGAGTTTAAATGAGCAACAGGGGCCCCTACAGGCCGGTCAGGGTGGCAAGCAAGGGATCAGGAATCCTGCAGCAGCTGGTGGTTACACAAGTCCCGGTGTACCTGTGTACCTAGTACCTTCCTACACTTTTGTGGTGGAGGCGCAGGCCGCCACCAACATGCACACGCGTTCAGTACAGTACTTAGCTACTCCAGGCCAGTGATTCCGGGCTGGTTGGACATGATTGTAGGCGGAAAACTCTGATGGTCATTCTATGCGAAAAGATGTGATGAGTGTCAGGGTGGTGGTCTGGCTTACACCTGCAGTTTGCCGTGTGTCTTGGCTCATCTACGGAGTACTTGAGTGCCAAGGTACATTCCCGGTCGGGCAGTCAATTCGCAGCCCTTTGACCATGGAGCCTATGCGCTGGGTGTTACCTAGGTACCTGGGTACCCATCTCGGCTGCCTGGTCTCTCAATACAGCTAGGCGCCCTCTGGAGCAGTCTCCCAAACGAAAGTCCGTTTTGGTATTTCATGATGGTGACAAGCTAGAGAAGGAAACGAATTCTCTTACCAACAGTGAACGACCCTTTCTATCCGGGCTGTTCTACAACTCGACCGACCCGCCTTGATCAACCCCCTACGAGCGCTTCGTCAATTTACATCCGGGGCTCTGGAGCCGACGGAGTAAGCGCTCTCGGCCGTTCACATACATGTCAACCTCGTTATTTTTACGCGGGTTGGTCCTTGACCTCTATGCGCTCCCCTCGAACCTTGCTGTTGAACCACTCGAGAACCCCAATCTCATCTCCCACGTTTGTCGCCCCGTCGAGTACATCACTCTCCAGAATCGCAGCACATGCCACGTTGAGCTCCATCATGGTTAGGTTTTGTGGGATACAAGCTCTCCTGCCGAGGGAGAACGGCATGCAATCACTTTTCCTATTCTCTAGCTGTTCTGGTGGTAGTTCTTGAGCGTTTACTACCGTATGAAGGCGCCATGTATGTCCTCGGACGTATACGGAATAGAAGCGAAACCACACAGCCACATACAGAATAGAAGCGAAACCAGTATGCGGAATAGAAGTGAAACTAGCAGCTAGAATGAGAGATAACTCTCTAGAAGATTATTCCTTATATGGCGGTTCATTAAGGGGTTATCTAGTAGAGTAGTCTGATAGGAGGTTGGGAGGTGTCCTTGAAAGAAATTGTTTGGCTCTTACTCCCTATTGGCTACTCTCTCCTCAAAAACTACTTAGTAGCCTTGTTCTCTACTTGGAGTGCATGGACATGTGGGGACATAATGCCGTCAAACAAGTGTACAAACATGTCCCATAGAAACCTGAGACGAGAGTTTGCTGTCAGTTCCTTGACCAGAAAGCTTGACATGAAATCTATGCGGAGTTGTGGACGTTTACTAACGAAGCGACTATGGGTGTGCAAGGACCGAATGTCTAATTTGTTAGAAAGATATTGAACTTGAATGAAAATGCCTACAATAGTTCATAAGAATTACCTGGGACCCGTATCACTTGCTCTAGGGGAAAAGGTAGCAGGACCCATTGCTCGGGAAAATGGTTCAATGTTCTCTCGTCGGGGTACCCGCCCCGAGAACCACAACATGGGAGGGCCGTCACGGTCTTTGGGGATAAAATGTCAGTTTAAAAGGGTCCCAGGGATTGATTGAGGAGGGATAAAACCCTCATGGCTACGGCAAGTCGGCTACTGGACTCTTTGAACCTGTTGCGTAGACATTCTTTGCCGTCTGCCTCATGATAAAATGAGCCACGTTGATACGCCCGCCCATTGCGTCACTGTGAAATGCCTCGGGGACAACGACTCTCTCAACCGGGAGGTCTAATTCCATGCATCGTTCCTGCAACTCCTTTGGGTGATTTGGAGGCACGATATCGTCTCTGCCAGCCTCGAGTATGAAAATCCGAGGTGGCCGGATGCCCTTTCCCACCCGGTGCGCAGCAATGGTGCCGAGATTGTGGTAGCTGTCCAGGGAGTTTCGCAGGAAAGGGTGCAGGTACTTGTATGGTAACCACCTCTCAGGATACAATGATGCGAGCATGGCCTTGATTGACAAGAATGGTGTTTCAAATATCAAGGCCGTTGGTTCGAGGTGGGGCGGAATCAGACCCGATGCGGCCAGATTTGAAGCAAAGCCTGCTCCAATACTCTGCCCCCAAACGAACAGAATAGGCCTCGTAGCCTGCCCGCCGCTCTTGGAGTACGAGTACGTATTTTCGTGCAGCTGAGATATCCATTGCACGGCAGCGATCGTGTCTAGGTTGATACCGGTCTCGTTTGCAGACCCCGCAGAAGACCAGTACCCACGATAACTCAAACCGACCTGGGTGAACCGAACTTTCCCGCAGCCAGGATATGTTTCCTTGAAGCTTGTCTTGATCTTGCGCAGTATCCAGGAGTGATCCGGCAAGCGAGGCGGCAACGACGAGGCGTTTCCTGAGCTCCGGGTCAGCACAGTTGCTTCCGAGAGAGAGCAGGTGTCAGCGTCGCAGGAGAGGCCGACCTTGCAGGTAGAGTACGTAGACATGGTGAGACGGGCTCTGTTGGAATGACTCGTCAACATCTGATGAGACGGTAGCAACAGCCAATGCAAGATCAGTCCCATCGATGGAACGGAGATGGATCTCCTTCCATTCGATGCCAAAGAGCTTGCTGTGCCAATCTTCAATCTTTTCGAACCGTGCGGTTGGAGGGAAGTAAGGGGCGTAAATGATTTTGTTTTGGAGCGATATCATGACGAAGCTCATGCATGCATACAAGGGCGGAGAGCAGAGCAGTGAAGATCACGGGAGGCAAGAAGTAGCTCGGGACGTAAATCTACCTCGTCTTGCAGGCGCTTAGGTTCAGGGAGCCATAGTTGACCCTGCTTCTGGGCCCCCATGAGACTGTAAGTATCCCAGTCGGACTGTTCTCACCGTTGAGAGACGGACTAGCATGCTGTTACTTATATTCCATCTGAAAATCTGGCACCACGCGGCTGCCACAGCAGGGAAAGAGCGACATGTGTGGAGGTGGGGGGATCCAATGCAAGTTGGTGTGGTAGAAACATATGTGGAATGGTCAATCCCAAGGTGCCACATTGATTTGAACCCGGGCCGCTACTCCCTCTGAATTACCTAGTCAGGAGTGAAAGGGAAGCATCATGCTAGCTTCCACGACCAAGGCTTCAAGGGCTCTGAATTGCTTTGGCATGGAAGAGGCAACAGGCACACTTAGTCACAGATGTGTACAGCAGTTGTACCACACAGGACATATACGGGGAGGACAGGACATATACGGGGAGGGGTTCTACTTAGGCAATGAACAGACCTCTAGATGTCAGCTTGTGATTCGAATTTGGTGCCGGAGCGATCATGTTTTGGGGCGTGTACGTAGCCAGCAGACACCACACTATTATCCCAGATGGCCAGACATATCCTACCAAGTTATCAAATAGGAGGTATTTGCACAAGAGGTTGTCCTGTATACGATTGCAAACTAAACTGCTGTTGTCGGTGCTGCCCTGGGGGTTGACAATGCACAGACTGAGAGCCAACTCTAGGAGCCAGTCAGCCCTGTCTGTTTGCCGGTCCGAGCTTGTGTTTGGCCAAGCCCAAGTACCTCCCAGGGGCTGGGTACCTAGGTACCTTGGCACTTGGGACGCTGCAGTACCCCGCTAAGATCGACAGCTGGACCCACCAGCGTCACTGTCAGAATAAACATGAGAAGTGAGTGACATGGCTGACCAACCCTGGAGCCTTGCCTTGGAGTCGATCCAGAGCAAGCTGTCCAAGCCGCGATTCCTCAACAAGACACATTAACAAGACAATACTTCCTACTCGCCTTCTCAGTCACAAAACAATCCTCCCAAGCCCCAAGGTGCAATACATCCTTAGTTGGCGACACTGTACTGCTTGTGACTGTGGTGCTGAACGTGCTGTTCAGCACAGCCCCTCGTCATGCCTGGCGATACCAACCAGGACAGCACCCAGCCTCCACATGTCGAGCTGGTTGACGACAACCCCACGGAGCGGCATGAAGGAGACCAAAGTCCTGGCATTACCAACGGAAAAGGCTGGGATGGAAAACTGCGAGTGCCAGGCCGGGCCAGCCTGGCCAACCCCGAAGCACTATCAGACCCCGACTACTCGGACGATGACAACGTCGTACGGGGTCAAGAGATAGAGGCTGACGAAGGTCACTATCCCGTCTTCCAGTCTGAAGGAGGGCCGTTACGGCGACCCTCCTGATGAGCATCCGCGCAGGCCGAACTGACTGACATACAACCGTGACAGATCTCTTCGACGACGAGGACCTCGACACCGACGAGTTGATATCCATAAACGCCCGAATCCAATCCATCCCTAACCTGCGGCTCGACCGTTTCAAAAAGGTCGCGCGCCTGTGTCTGCGGCAGAACGGTATCACCGAGATCAACGGCCTCGAGTGTCTTGCCGAGACGCTGGTGGACCTTGATCTCTACGACAACCTGATTGGCCACATCCGCGGACTCGAATCACTGACCAAACTGACCAACCTCGACCTGAGTTTCAACAAGATCAAGCACATCAAGCGCGTCAACCACCTGACCGACCTGACCGACCTGTTCTTCGTGGCCAACAAGATCAGCACCATCGAGAACCTCGAGGGCCTGGACAAGCTGCGCATGCTCGAGCTGGCCTCCAACCGCATCCGAGAGATACAGAACCTAGAATCACTCAAGAATCTCGAGGAGCTCTGGCTGGCCAAGAACAAGATCACCACCCTCGGTGGGCTCAGCGAGCTCCCTAAATTGAGACTTCTCAGCATCCAGTCGAACCGGGTCCGCGATCTGTCGCCGCTCAAGGATGTCCCGACGCTCGAGGAGCTTTACATATCACACAACGCGCTCGAGTCTCTGGAGGGCCTCGAGACCAACACGAAGCTGCGGGTGCTGGAGGTCTCGAACAACCAGATCACCAGCCTCCAGGGCCTGGGCCCGCTGAGGGAGTTGGAGGAGGTCTGGGCAAGTTACAACAAGCTGAGTGACTTTGCCGATGTGGAGAAGGAGCTTAAGGACAAGGAGAAATTGGAGACGGTTTACTTTGAGGGCAATCCGCTGCAGACCCGAGCCGAGGCTCTGTACAGGAACAAGGTTCGACTGGCGCTGCCCCAAATCAAGCAGATTGACGCGAGTAAGTTCACAATCCCTTGAACCTCCACCCGAAGCCTCCGCCTCGATGCGCTGACCAGGTCGAACAGCTTTTGTGCGGACCTGAGACCCATGTGTTTGGAGCACCTGAAGATGACAAGGTAGCACGGGGGCAGTGTGGCCGATTAATAGTGGCCCGCCGCCACGGTATCCAGTGTCACGGAGCACGTGAGGCCTGTTTGGGGCCACGATTCTGATTCGCAATGAGACATGTATGCATTGAAAGGCGAACGAGATATACAGGAACGGGACCCAATCGATTTTGCCATCCCAGCTGGCGAGAGATGCAGGAGCGGTAGTTGGCGTACCATCACCAGAGACCGTCATAGTGCTGTTATGGCCGGAGATAGAAGTCTAACCAATCCACACCCTGTTTGCACCCCCCCCCCCCACAACGTCTGTCTGAGAGGCAATCTATAATGACAATGCTCACATCCGGAGTGCATGCAGCGCCGTGCTGTGCTCTACCCGAAGATCCACAGCTTCTCGGTCTGGAAGTACTAGAGAGGTGAACAGCATCAGTATCGGGGTCCGCCCATTGGTTATATACCGAGGGGGAGGGGGTGGGGGGTTGGGGGTGGGGGAGCAGGAAAGTTGAAAAAGCCTACGTTTGTGGGCTGGTTGAACCTGAGGTTCTTGTCCAGGGCGGAGATGGCGACGACCTCCTTGTCGTCCAGGTCAAAGCCAACAGACTCGAGGTTCTCCCTCATGCGGCCCTCGGAGCTGGACTTTGGGATGACGGCGACGCCACGCTGGGTGGCCCAACGCAGCAGGACCTGGGCAGGTGTCTTTCCGTGCTTGGCCGCAATGCCGGCGACGGTCTGCTCGGCCATGAGAGGGACGGCGTCCTTGGCCCTGGCCATGTCGAGCTCGACGAAGCCGGCGGGGCCGAAGCTGCTGTAGGCGGTCACGGCGATGTCCTCGGCGCGGGCGGCGCGGAGCAGCAGGTCCTGCACGAGGTAGGGGTGGTGCTCGACCTGGAGGGTAGCGGGCTTGACGCGTGCGTGCCGCAGGAGGTCGTACAGCAGCTGGGCCTGGAAGTTGGAGACGCCGATGCTCCTGGCCAGCCCGGCGTCTGTGAGGGCCTCCATGGCCTTCCACGTCTCCTGGATGGTGGCCTTGCTCGTCCTGATCTCGGTTCCGGCATCGTCGACGAACCAGCCCGGTGGGTAGCGGACCGAGGGATCTACGTACTCAAGGGCGACAGGGAAGTGGATCAGGTACAGGTCGAAATAGTCGATACCCCTTGTTTCGCTGTCAGCAGGCGTTGGCTGCCACTGGGCCGCTGTCTGGGCGATCCTGTGCTCCAGGTCCAGAGGGACTTACCAGTCCGCGAGCTGCTTCTTGCAGATGGGCTCGACGCGGTCGCCGTCGTGGAACGAGTTCCAGAGCTTGGAGACAATAAAGAGCTCCTCACGCTTGACGAGGCCGTCTCTTATGGCGCGTGCGACGCCCTCTCCGCACTCCTTCTCGTTTCCGTAGTCTGCGGCGAAAGCATCACTGTCAGCGGGCTTCTGTCACGGCTCGGATTTCCGACAGCTGCGTAGTGGGGCAGTGTGCTGGTCGCCATCAGGGAGGGGTAGGTAGCGAGGGTTCCCTGCTTTTGCACGCTGCTCGCTGCTCGCTGCCCGTCGCAGGTCGACCGCCGCTCGTCGCTGGACACGGTGCCTTGAATGGACTCACCGCAAGCGCCGTCAAACAGACGGTAACCGACTTTGATGGCATTGTAAACGGTGTCAGCAGCGGTCGCGTTGTCAACCTTCCAGAGACCGAAGCCCACGAGGGGCATGTCGTGGCCAGAGTTCAGCTTGATAGTCGGCGACACCATCTTGACGGGCCTGGGAGGTCTCTGGCTTTTCCTGGATCGGTCGGACGGGGGAGGGGAAGAGGCAGAGGGGGGGCGCGGAGGTGGATTCACAGGACTCTTTAGAAACGACTGGCAGAGGCAAGCATAGGAGGGACGGCGTCGCCCTACTTATAGGACAGCACCGCTGCCATGCCATCTTATTTACCCGACAGTTGCACGAGATTCTTGCAGGAAACTGTGGGCATTCCAACAAGGCGATCCTTGATGTGCATTTGCATTATTCCGACTAACATCTTGACTACCCGACCCGCCCCCCTGGCCACCGCCAGCGGGCGAAGCTGGGGGCTGTCGAGCTGTCGAGCTGTCGAGCACAGCATGGATATGGCTTCACCTGCCAGCACCCCCACGCCCCAGGGAAGAGGGAGATCACCGGTGAGTGAGGGCAGAGAACGAGGGCCAAAAGCTGCCCTTTCAGCTCTTCTTCTCCGTCGTCCCGGGCCGCCGCCAGCCGTCGGCCTTCCTCGGCGGCGGGACAGGACTAAAAAGGACCCCACCAACTGCACATGCACACCCGCCCCACAGCGACCTGCATTTAGACGGGGCAGGTGGGCCCCTGGGATTTAGCCTAATTCAACCTCACCCACAATTCTTGCAGGTGCGGCTAAACCCAATCACCCTGTCACCCAGGTCCCCTCGCCAGCCTGCCTGCCTGCCTGCCAATACTAGGAGGATATCAAGATCCCTCCTACGAAATACTGCCAGACTGCTCGCGGCCGAAGGATGCACGTCGCCGCGGCTGCAGTCGGGCCGGTCTGGGCCTCGCCCGGAGCCAGCGACGCGCCCAGACGCTGCGGGCCAAGACAATATTCATCGGGACGCCGGTCTCTAACCCGGCCTCTAGCCACCCGGGCAGCTTGCCTGCCTTGCCTGCACTGTGCTGTTGTTCTCTTGCGGCTGTGGCTTCTGGCACAATCAGAGGATCCCCTGCAATGACAAACAGGCAGTAGGGCCGTGTGACGGTAACCAGACGTAGCATTATGTCGTGTTCCCTCTTATCTCGTGGCTTCGGCTTCGGATAGATATACAGGCGATCGCGTCTAGCGCTGGACATGATAGTCTAAAATACAAAGCAGTTGCCCCTAGGCTTCCCGGCCTCCATTCCTCGACAGTCAAAACAACCTTTAACTCCGTCATGGTCATTGCGCCTGGCCGCTCAGCAACTTCAAGAGCCACGGCTCCAATGTGCCTTTTTTGTTGTTGTTCAGAACCTGCACAGACTGCTTGTTATTCTCATGGGTGGCTCCCAAGCGGTCCTTGTCTCTGGCGCGCGCCACAAGGCAGCCAACCTCAGCTGAAGCCTCGCGCCACTTTGTAGTGCGAGCAAGCCGGGAGGCACGGGCCCCTTCGCCGACAACCTCGCAATGCCCAGGGGTCATATATGTTGGCAAGAACCAATGACGGCGGCTGCTGGCGGAGGCACCGCACCACGACAGCCGTGGTTTCGGGGGCGTGAACCCGAAAACCCCCCCCACCTCCCACGAGATTCTGCTTTTTTCGTCATGTCGCCGGCCACGGAATGACGCCAGGGTAACAAGTACGAGCCGAGACAGGGCGGTCCCCCAAGTGGTGGCTCTGGGGCGTCCCAGCCATGAGGTTCCGCTGGCCCCAAGGGGGAGGGGGTCCGTCCCCGCCGATTGTCGATGCCCCGTCTCGTCGCCGGCGGTGTTGACCTGGTCATCAGCTGTGGAGGCCGAGTTTCAACCCCACCCCGAGGCCCACGGCAGACGCCACCAGTAGCAAGAGGACCGTCAGGATCCGGCGCCAACCCCCGAGCCTGGCCTTGCGGGCCTCGTCACGGGCCTGTGGCAGTTTCTCGTCTTCCCCGGCCTCGATGTCCTGCGTGTCACCGCTGTTGGTCGCCCTCGAGCTGAAGGTGCTCTGTCTCGACGGCGCCCGAGGGGGCGGTGACTGTATGGCGCCGACAAGGTCCCACGGTGTGATATAGTCCTCTCCGTATCGGTAGTACGGGCCTACGCTGGTTACCCTCGACCGCCGCTGGACGTTGTTGAAGACGGCATTCTCATCCTCCAGTATGCTCGGCATCCTGTTGACACTGAGTGTGGAATTGCGGTGCGAGGTTGAAGGCCTAGCAGGTGTAGCCGCTGAGGGGGGGGACTGGATTATGTCGCCGGGGAGCTTGGTGGTCGAGGGGAGGGCGCCGGGGAAGGTCTGCCTCTTTTCCCTGCGTCTCTCATCTCTGGCATCCATGTTGGCCCGGGGCTGGACCTGGGTTGACGGCCCGGTGTGTGTATGCGTCAGGAAGAAAGGCGAGTTCGGTGTGGGTTGTGTCTCTCTGAAGAAGGCGCGACAAGTCCTGGCACAGTCCGAGGAAACTCGACAGGAGACGCCAACATGCCCAGATAGGTTTCAGGGCTGGGGATTTCTATGCAAAACCTCATCTATGGGCCCGAGCTCAGCCCGGGGAGGGGTCTGACGGGTAGACCGAGCGCCGGAGGGTAAACGAGTGTGAGGATGGGCCACAGAAGTCAGGACGAAATGAGAGGATATAAAAGCAGGCAGGGGGGTTTGTTTATAGGCGTTTACACAAGGCACGGAGGATCCGGGGGCGGGGCGGATGGGCACCACCAGCTCTCAGCAGCTGCGGGAGCAGCCACGGGCGTACCTGGTGAGCTGAGAAGAAAAGAGCAGAGACGGACATGAGCACTGTCGGAGAAAACAAGGTTCATCTAGCCCAGGCGGTCGGGTCGTCGGAGGTTGGCACAGGCAGGGAGATGGGGAGAGATCGACGACTAATGTATGAAAGCGTGGCGCGGCAAGAAAGCAGCTGCATGGGCTCGAGGGCAGGGCAGGGGTTGGGAAGGTAGTCGGGCGTCCAGGGCGTGTCTGAGTGGCAGTTGGCAGTGACTGCACGTTCGCAAGACTCGGCCGTTTTCTCGTCCAAGGCGGTGCTGGGTGGCAGCTGGGCAGCTGGGCAGCTGGGCGGCGCGCCCGCCTGTCTGCTTGTCTGCTTGTCTGCTTGTCAGACGTACCAATGCGCATCATCATCAACAGGGGCGCATATTGCGTGACCACAGACTCGGGACGCAGGGCACCCGGCAATGGCGGGCATGGCACGACGCTGCGAACCGGGACCGAGGGGGTGGTTGGAGAGACAACCAACAAGTGCCGGCTCCTCGTGGATACCGCCAATATAGCGAGCTGACGACGATGGCCTCGAGGAGCCAGGTCGGCCCTCGCGACCTTCCCGACCTGGGCATCTGGATGACTGCCACCGTGCCGTGCCGACATGGGCATATATCCATAACACCTCATTGGGCCCCCCAGGTCCAGGCCGCGGAGGGTGGCAGCAGCCTCCTGTCCCCCGAGAATTTAGGGTTGGTGTAACAGCAATTGAGGTTGGTGGCTACCAATATACAACAACGACGACAAGGACAACGACAGGCTACCTACCTAGGTAGGTGCCTAGGTAGTTGGTAGCTCGTCATCATAGTAAACAAGACCAGCACACGGTAGGCGGCAGAGGGGGCGAGCTGAAGGGGGTTTGCCTGCTACCAACCAGGAACAAGCGGGCTAATGATGAATCCCGCCCACGCTGCGAGCGCGTGGCAACATAGTGTACCCCGTAGCTCGGTCCTATGTAAACCCCACTGCAGGAACACGCCCCCCCTCCAACTCCCCCAAGGGCGGGAACGAGCCGAGCCATAAGACACCTACGAGAGGGTGCGAGAGAAGGGGTGCGAGAGAGAGAGAAAAAAAAGCACTTTATACCAAACGGCACCGTCCAGGTCCAATCCCCTCCCAAGGCAGCAGCCGTACTTGCAATAATAATAACAGGCGCGAAAGCGGAGCACGGGGCTCTCCTCGCTTCTGCTAGCTCGAGCTCACCTGCCAGCTGGCCCTAGCCCCGTTCCAGCTGCTTGGTCCCCTCGCCCTCGTCCTCGTCCTCGTCCTTCGCCGTCCCAGCTGGGCTGATGCCGGCAGCCGGGAGGAGACGCCGGGGCCTGCAGAGGTGTGGAGATGTATTACTGCCAAGTAGCGAAGGAAGCTTGGGGCGGGCCACTCAGTGCTCACTGCTCAACCAGCTGAAATTGCACAGCAAAATGACACAAAAAGACACCATCGTGCTCGACCTAAAACAAAACCACCGGCTGCGTCGGGCTTCCTCTCATGGCCCGCCCCATGTTTCTCCTCCCCGCCCTCGTCCAGACGGCGAGCTTTCAAAAGCGGTCAGGGCTGCCCCGCTGACTGGTTGTCCGCCCCGTCCTACACAGAAATGTCTTGCCGTGTGTCTCAACTCTGCATTCTCGAAGTCTGCCCGGTTGGGCAAGCCGCCCTCTCTCCCCCTTCACGGTGACCTAATGACCTAATGACCTACCTGCCCAGTCTACCGGTCAGCCAGTCTTGCACAGTACATTCATTGACTGCGGGCCTGCGAGCCTGGCTCATGCTCATAATTAGAAGCAGCCGTGTTACGTGAAACCGGGCAATTGTTTAGTCATGGACAAGAGGCCTGAGGTGCGCGGTCTGACTGTCTGACTGTGTACGCATGTCTGGGGTCCACGTCTGTGTCTTGTCTCGTCCGCAGCCATGCATCTAACAGGTTGACCGAGCCAACAGGCCAGGTCAAACCGCCAGATCACCTGCGTCTGCTGCAGGAGCTGTGCCACGGCCCATTTCTGCGCGTCCCTTTCTGTCTGTCTCATATACCCCATCCTCTCCCCTCGTCCATCCCTCCACAGGGCCAACAAGGCCAACAAGGCGCAGAAGGCGCAGAAGGCGCAGAAGGCGCACGCGCTCCCTCGAACCGCTCATGCCGTGCAACTCTATCCTGCTGTGTCACGAAACTATCAGGCCGTGAGTTATCGTTGTCCGGTTCGGTCGGTCCGTTTGCGAGCCTCATGATCGCCCCCCTCCCCCCCAATGCCGTGTAGCCGCATGTGCGTGCGTGGCTTGGGTTATTTTGCTTATTCCCTCTTAGAACATACCCATCCGCATGTCCGCAGAACCTTCATGTCACAGAGCGCCTGCAATCTGAGCAAGGCTGATGATGATTCGGCACTTCTTTTCTATTGTTTGCCGGCTCCATTAAACACTATCGAATCTTGCCTCGTCCGCGGTTTTCGTGGCTCTCGTGGCCAACGACCAAAATGACCTAGTTTACCTCATGCTCCAGGCAAGATGTACCTCAAGGCGCGCTACCCATTCATGCAAAACACCACGGGGCTGTAGCGTGGCCTTTGAAATCCCACATCCCTTTTTCATTCAACACAAAACCCAGCCAGACCTTCCGAAATATGCCAATATGCTGTTGTGTGGTCCAAAATTCATTCCAAGCAGGGCGAAGCAAAACTGACCCGTCCTGTCAGCGACAAGACGGATGCCTGAACTTTTCAGGGCCGTAAAGCACAGCCTCGGTAAACACCAGTCCATTTCTTAGCGTCCAAAATGCGTTTCTCGTGATTCGTAAGCCGCAATGCTCCGTGATAGGTGCTCCATGTATCTGTCAGAGTCCACCGTTGGCGAGTGTGGGCTGGCTCACAACCAGCTTGTGTGCTCGTAGTCAAACTGCGATGATCGGCTTGATCACCAAGGCCGCGCTGTTCAAATTCAAATTGCCAGCACCTCCTGCTGCGATTTCTTTTGCAGCTAGACACGGTCTATACCTGGCTCCTCGCTTGCCCACCCCCTGGGCCATCAGACCAGCGGCTTCCCATAAATCTCTGCACTCATTATCATCTTCCCAAACTAGGGCCCATGCAGCTTCTCTCGCAGATAAACAACAGCTGCGTATCCCGCGCAGCACTGGGTGCTCATGTTGTGGCTACACCACGGGCACTTGACGCATGTGGTCACCTGCCCGGACACGCCAAGTCTCTTATCCCTGACCGTGTCCTCGGGCCGGGCCATGGCTTCGTACACCCGCGACGGCATGTCCTGGTAGAATTTGCAGCTGCAGCACTCGACAAACATCTTTGCGATGGGCTTCAGTCCCGTTGTGTCGAGGTTGCTATGCCTCGAGGAGGGAATGGCAGGGCCCCCAGATGGTTTCGGACGGCTGGTGAGCGCGAAAGACCGGGGCACGGGTGGGCCCATTATGCTATTGGCCAACGAAGTCGCACTGCTGCCGCTGGTCGTCGCCGTTGGGGACCGCGGCGACGACGGCGCTGCCTTCCTCGCTTCTTGGAGGTGCCTTGATGCGGCGCCTGGAGCCTGGAAGAGATCGGGGGGGTCGGCTCGAGCTTCCTGGAGTTGGAAAGGCCGCTCGACTGCTTCGTTCTGCGTTGTTGATGGCTGAGCGGGACGGCCGCTGTTGGCTCGCGGATGGAGGGGTTGGTGGCGGAGTGCTGGAAGGAAGCTGGTGTCCTTCGTCGGCGAAGGGGCTTCGGAGATGGCCTTCTTCGCATATGCAGGGCTCTTGACGACTTCTACTTTGACGCCTCGAAGGGTCACCTTGGTTCCCTGCTGGGGGGCATTGTCCAGAGAGAGCGGCTCGATATCCGACAGCGGGGAGCCCAGGTCCTGGAAAGAGGTCTTGACGTCGAGGCTCGTGAGAGCACTGGTGAAGGAAAGTTGGTCCATGTCAAGGGGCTTTCTGCCCAGTGGCCACAACTCGTCTTCTTTTGGCTGCGGCCTAGCACCCCCTTGGGCGAACCGAGAGACCGGCCCGTTGGTGAAGTCCCACGAATCGCTGAAATCGCCGGTTGAGAGTTCAATATCGATGCGTGGTGAGTTTGCCCGGGAAGAAACATTGCTGGACGAGCTCACCACCACCGCGGATGGATTATGCAAGCCCAGACCGCTAGATCCATGCGAGGATACCAGCGGTGTCTTCCTCAATTCCTCAACGCGGACGGGTTGGGCATCCTTCAAAGACTGGGGCCTTGAAGTATCCGGGGTTGTCACTGGCGAGGGCGGTACGGACTCTGTATCCGGATGTGAGGATGAAGACGAGGCCCCGGAGTCTTTGGAATGTGGAGCTTGCTGGCGCGCTTGATGCTCGGTAGAGCCCCCGTTACCCCCAGAAATCGGCATCATTCCACCGTTGGCCGAGGTGCCGGACGTCCCGCTGTGTTGTTGAAGGTGAGGATTGCTAGAGATCGTAGGAGTAAGATCAGCATCGATGAGCGTATCGTCGGTTCCTGTACGGCGGTGCGAAGAAGTCTTGAGATCAGGTCCGGTCGAGGACCTGAAGCCAGCTTTGATGGCCTCTCTGAATGTCTTTTTCGGGGCCTGTGACACGGGCTTTGGAGTGGTCGCAGGGGTGAGCTGGGGGCTCCTCTTTGCCTTGATCGAAGCAGACAGGCTCGCCGGAGGGGAGAGCGGGCTTTCGATGGGCGGTGAGAACGGCCGCTCCAGGAAAGTAAAATTGTCCTGCTTCAATCCATTGGTATCTTCAGGTGAGAAGGACGCATCTCGCGCCGAGTCTGGTGGGATTGCCATCATCGAGGTTGTCCTGCCCTTGCGTCCATTCTTCCAAGCCAGTGGCGGGAGGCTTAGTGCGCCCCGTCTCTCGCTCATCGGGGTCGATGCGCCGGACCGGTTATAGACGTCGTAGCTCTGGGCCCTGGCCTGCGAGTTGGCCGAGTCACTTCTCTTCCGCCCCCGGGTGAATAGCGAGGAGACCGTTTGGACCGAGTCCTGCGACCCACGTCTGTCCAAGTAAGGCTTTGAGTCCTCCGAGTTCTTGGAAGATCCGAAAACCTTTGAGAAAACGCTACCGAGAGAGCCACTTCGCTTCCTAGCGTGTCCCTTTGCCGGGGCCGGCTGGTTTAGCAGCGGGGTCTTCGAAGCAGTCGGGGGATATGAGGTCGGTGAAGTGGCCCCTGGCTTCTTCGACCTCTCGCTTGATGGGGGCCGCGAAATCTGGTTTTGATGCACCACCTCCGACGCTGGACGCTCAGCTGATGCAGCTCTTGAATTGGTTAGTCTCTGCATGGCCGCTTCACGTTCCCGCTCCAGGCGCACCCCACCGATGAAAGCAGGACTCCTAACGGCAGTCTGGGTTGTCTCTACAGCTCCCGGGTTGACAGTCAGTGCCGGGAGCGGCGGTCTGCTTGCTTCCGGCTGCGACTTCGGCGGGGTCTGGTCCGTTGACCGCGCGTCGTCCAGACTCATACGCTCCAGTAAGGGAGCAGACATGGCCCGAGGATTCAGCGTCGGCCGGTTATCCATGGCCGCCGGGGGCGGTTCCTTGGCAAGTCGCTTTTTCACCAGTTTCGTCTGGCTAGTCGCCGCTGTCCCTGCCGAGGCCTCCTTGTCCTTCCTCTTCTTCTTCCCATAGTCGTCCCAGGTCGGCGAGTGGCATATTGACGAGGTATCTGACTGCCCGTCGTCCGAGGGAAGGAACGTCACGGACTTGACTTGCGGAGAGCCTTGGCCCCCGGTCGCCCTAACCACTGACGGCAGACTGTCGCGATCTGCCGAGCCCTTCCTCATTTGCCTGGGTACCCCGGGCCTCGTTCCTGGCTGCTTCGCAAACCTGTCCTCCGCCGTAGGAAGTGGATGAACCGTGAGGGGCGGCAGGTTGTAGTTTTGCATGGTGGATTTCCTGCGGTCATCCTGAGGCGGCTGGGAAGATTCTCGGCGGCGGGTGAGCAGATTCGACTTTGGACGGGCAGATGGAGAGTCGCTGCGGCGGCCCGGGCCAGCCGCGTAGGGGTTTTGTTGCATTCTCGCCATCTGAGCATCAACACCGAGTCGGTCAACTGTGAACTGGCCAAGAGGGCATCTTGCAGCCCTCCCCCGGGACGTCGCGGGTGAGTAATGGTGTTATAGAGGGCATGTCAACTCACCTTCTGCTTCCTCTCTATTTCCAGCATGCGCTGGAGACTTGCCGCCCTCGAAGGGACCTTGGGGCCCTTGCTCTGCTCCGTATTCGCCATGGCTGAGACCGCGTGGCGAGATATGAGGGTATGTCTCGGGAAGAAGAGTGAGTGCGGTAAGGGGGTTGGAGACGACCAAATAGTCTCAAGCCCACTTCAAATCACCCCGAGTGACAGGGCCGTGGGCAGTAGGTCAGCCCGACCAGGCAGGTCGAGGAAGGCGATGAAGCTGAGCGGTTGTGTGTGTCACTCGCACGGCGCAAAGCTTGGTCGGGGGCTAGAGAGCGGCGAAGGATGAGGTGGCCACCAAGGCTGTAAGATGGGGGTATATTTGGTGTTTGAGGCCTGGTGCCACGGCTGAGGGACGGAGATGCGGGTGTGGCAGCTTCTGCTCGCAGGTGGCGCGCGCCAAGTCTGGGCACAGGGACGACTGGGACGGGCAGGGCGGCCAGGATGACAGGGCGGGCGAGCACGGCAGCACGGAGGTCAGAAGGGGGTGTGCGCGTGGCCGAGATGGTCGGCAGTGGGGACGAGGTCAGTTGCGAAACGAGTGTCTAGGCGATTAGCGCCGGTCCGGCAAAAAACTGGAAAATAGTAATATAAACGTTGGGCAGTGGTGGTGGTAGTAGTAGCGGTGGTGTGGATGGGTGCCTGGGGGTCGCAGGTGAGAGTGGCGTGCCGTGGCGTATTAGAGTGTGTAGGCCGGGCAAGTCAAATCTGGGCCGAAGTAACCTCACCGGTCGATCGTGAGGAGAAGGTACGGGCCAGCTGAAAGGGATGAGGGGGATGGGGTGCGGTGGAGGGAGCGTGGGACAAGGTATTGAGCGACGGAACGAAGGATGTCTCTGAGGGCGTCTCTGAGGGCGCACCGTATGTGGCCGGAGATTTCGAAGGGGGACTCTCAGAGCGATGGGTGGGAGTGTGAATGGGTGAATGGAGGAAGCAAAGGGGAGCGGATCAGAATGGCCTAGGAGCCCCTGCGTTGGTGAGACCGCGGAAGAGCCCAGCTAGCAATCAACGGCATCAACGGCAGCTCAGCCACAAGGTCAGATGGGTTATGGGATGATGGGAGGGCAGGCTGGCTGGCAGGGAACGGCGGGCGGGCGAGTGAGCGGGTGAGAGTTGGAGACCGCGGGGGGGGAAGGGGGGGGTGGGAGACGAAAAACGGGGCAGGGGAAAAAAGAGGCAAGAGGTACCTAGGTCGGTACGGGTAGCTATCAATGGATGGCTTGCTTACCTGGGCTTGCTGGGGTACGAAAAGGGTGCGAAAAGGAATGGATACGTGGGTAGGGCAAACCCGATAACCTGCTCGTGGCCAGGGCTGATTAGGACGGTGCTGGATGGGATCAGCCGCTACGAGGTTGTTTGCCGTCAAGTCGGTGGTGACAGTCGGGATTGTGCCGTAAATGGCCAGTGCATCAAAGCTGCGGTGGTAATAATAGGAAGGAGGTAGCCCAACGTGGTGTTTCGCGGCGCCTTCGACGTGGTATGGAAGTTTCGCCTTGGTTCCAAATGCTACCTCGTCATGGGCACGCAGCTGTACATACGCAGCACCACTCAGCAGCAGCAGCAGCCGACCGAACCTCAAACTGGCGCCAGCACGCACTCACTCTCTTGACGACAGCACAGGCCTGTCAGCGTGCCTGCCCGATTCTGGGCCCAGGTAAACAGGACCGAGCCAGCCCTCCCCCCTGTGCTGTGTAAGATTTGCTGTGTGGTGGCACTCAGGCAGTTCAGGGCGCCCAGCTACCTAGTTGCCTAGCAAGCCTAGGTATGTAGTAGCAGCAAGCACAGATCAACATGCAGGTCGACGGGGGCGGGCATGGGCCTTGACATGGGCAAGACCCGGCAGGGTCAGGGTCAGGGATGAGACAGAGCTGCGCATGGACATGGATTACAGAACATGTGGAGCTGGAGACAAGTCAACAGCAACAAGGCTTTCTAGGTCTACTGTGTACGGAGTACGGATTACAGAGTACGGAGCACACACACGTCCTGCAGTTTGAAATACGAAAGTTGAAGACGGGGCTCGAGACAGCACCGCCAACACCAACGACAATGGGGCCACGACGAAGACAAGACACTGGCTCCCGACACGCCGCGTTCCGATACGATGCGATACAATACAATACGACACAAGACGAAAACGAGCAGTCCCAATCCCCATAGAGATCTGCCCCCACAGTCCAGGCGGGATCGGCACTGCTGCCACGCCCCAGCTCAGTGCTCTGTCTGTCTGTCTGTCTGTCTGTCTGTCTGTCTGTCTGGCCGTCTGTCTGAGCTGGGTGAGCCGCCCAGCGCCCTCACCGCCGCCGTTGTGTACATGTACGATGCCCCCGTGCCAACCCTCGCTGGCCACATTGCAGCCCACCGCATATGTGTACATGTCGTGTTGTTTGTCAGAGATACAGTGCAATGCACGGGCAGGCTGATTGCGGGAGGGGGGGAGAGACAGTGGTAATATTCGTGGTAGTCGACGGAGAGTACGGAGTAGTGTACAGTATACACGTCGAGAAAGACTGCAGACGCGCCATCAGCAATACTTGGCAGTACCATCGCGGCGGAAGAACTGTGGAGGGCCGATGGTCGGGTCTCCTGTCCAGTTCTTGTCTGGAGCAGGGGCAGCCCCTGTATGTGCCTGTGTCACCATCGGTCGTCGCTGTCGAAATGTCGCCATCTTGTCATCTCACCAGCTCACCTGCTCACCTCAGCACCCGCAGTGCCTCATCGTCACACAGCTTGGGGCTTCTTCAGCCCGCCTGGCACCGGCGGCTATTGTTGCTCCGCCCGATGCAAATCACACACGGCCACCGGGCGAGCCTTGCCAAGCAGGGTCAAGAGAAATCCCGATACCGTCCTTCAATCAATCGGCAATCTACCCGAGAGTGTTTCCAGAATATCCATGCGTGCCAGGTTGGGCTTCCCTTGCTCCCGGCCGATACGAGCCCTTCGAAATGGCTCTCTCATTATGGCATGATTTTCAGACACCCTCTGACCCTTCTGCCCTTGAACCCCACCCCCACCCCGGGGGCCCGGGGGCCTGAAAACGCACAGGAATCTGCAGCGCCAGGGGAGGTGGAGGGGCCCGTCGGCAGAGGCAAAAGGAAGAAGAAGAAGAAGAAGCAAGTGCTCTCGTCTTTATCACAACGGTTCCCGGTCCCAAAACGGATTGGCCTTTTGTTTCTTGGCCCTCTCAAAATCTGGCGCCCCCCTGCCCCCTCCCCGACTGACTCGACAAGACTTGAAGACGCCCAGCCTGCCAGCCCTGACGTCCTGAGTCCTGACTCCTGAGGCTCGCAGGCTGGCAGGGCGGCCAGGACAGAACGTCGATCATTTCGTTTCCAAACTTTCCACGACCATAGCGCCCGCGCCGCGCCGTGAGCTGTGCGTGCCGTGCCAGCCTGCCAGCGTGCCCTCCCCCTGTCCCCTCCCCCTGTCCCCCGCCTGCGCGCGTCCCGCCCCTCGCTCACGAGCCTGCGAGCCTGCGTGCCGCGCCCAGTCCTCGTATCGTGAGACGGTAGCCTCTTTGCGCTCAGAGGAAAAGGGGGGCGGGGCTTTGTCTCAGCACGCATGCACTTCTGGCATGGCTGGCACGGCACGCAGATTCGAATGGCCTCTTGGGCGTGCTCATGCGCCATGACCTCTTGTTCTGCTCTGCCTTCTGCTTCCCACGGGGCCCGCGAGGGCCTTGGTGAAGAAGAAACGTCGGCCGGCCCGTCGTGGTGGATGCTTCTGTTCGGCCGAGTCTGCAGCCCAATCCGGCCCGTGCAGTCAGCCCAGTGGATGTACAAGTGGGGCAGTTGGGGCCAGCCGGCCATGCCTGTCAACCCATGTCCGATCGAATCGCCCCAGATTATTAGATTTCCACCCCACGTGGAAGAGGGTGGGTGTCTATGCTCACAACCAAATCTGGGAAATGGAATCTTGAAGGAAGCGAGGGACGAAACGCCCAGCCAAACCCAAAGCTCTCCGACTCGCCCTTCAGCATCTCCTGTCCGGGCTGCTCCACGGACCACATTGCTCCACCTCCTTGTACACGTCCTCCACCCCCGGGCGCTTGTACTTCAGCGCCCTGTGACAAGGCCATTGTCCACCCAGTCGCTGGTATTGTAGGACAGGGTGTTGGCCCGTGGCAGGACAATCTCAGGAAGCTCTAGAGATGTGTCCTCAAGAACCCGTATGAGACAAGGTCCACGTGCCGTCAAGTCCATGGTTCACAATCATCCCAGTCTGTGACTGAACATGACTGCAGTGTATCCCGACTCCTCGTCATTGCACAATTTGTGTGGCTCGCCGGTAATAGCACCAGGCGGCGGGCCCATGCAAGCTCCGGCTTGCAGGACGTAGGCCGCTTCTTAAAACTACTTGTATGTGCATGCAACTCGGACTGTTTCTGGGAAATCTAGGATGCTGGCCAGCTTGGAACAGCCCCTGCACGTTGACAGGCGCAGCCGCCGTGGCCCCCGTTCGCACCATGGGGAAGGCCACTATCATTCCTCTATTTCTCTCACAGGCTCATTGAGCCAAGACTGAAGAATCCAGAGTGTTTTGAATGAGACCTGGTGAAATTGGCGAGGTCCCGGTGGTGACAGACGGTTTGGCTTGAGTGACCCCAGTCACACCTCCAAATGTTTGGCCAACAAATATGCTGTACGCTGCAGATATTACTATATCCCTGTCGACACAACAAATGTGTAAATCTTGAACTTTTCTTTCACGCCTAGAGAAAGAATGCCACTGATAGCTTTCGCGACTAGGAGGAAACGAGCCCACCAACCCCTTCTCCAAAGGTCCCAGGGCAGTGTATAATTCAAGTTGATGCTGAGAAATAATCAAGCATAGTACAACGTCTGATTCACTCCAATGTCAGCCGAGCCAAGTAATCACTACGGACTTGTGTACCTGACGTTGAGAGTCGAAGTTTCTCAGACCCCCATCTGATCCAATTCGGCGCTCTGGCGGGCAGCAGGCTGTTTATTGCCCTTCCTCGTTTCATGCTGCCCAAGCATGGCACGCAGCGGCAGCAGGAGCGGTGGTCTCAAGATGGAGAGAGGCATTGGGTATCCAAGAAATTATACCTAGGTACACTGGACTAAAATGGCCCCGTAGAGTGGTATCCGACAGCCGCAATCTGGAGGTTCTGACGCTGCGCGCTTGGCCACAATCCTGATCGGCTGCAGGGATTCGGGAGCAAATGTGTATATTTTCGGAAGCGAATCCGCTCTCTACAGCAAAGCAGCTTATGCGGTCCTCCACGGGCATCAGCAGGCTTGGCTGTCGCACAACGTCGTGCCAAAGATGCTTGCTGCTCCTAGTTCCGAGGGTGTGTGCTACACTCCCAATACGGCAACCAGCCTTGAACAACTTGGTAGCCCGTTAATTACATTCCAGGCGCAGATTGGGCTCACGCCTTCACTCGTACCTGTTCTCTGACCCGGCGCAGTCTTTGCTAAACATAGAGCCTTTCAGGCTTCGGCCACACTGTATTTTTCCTTTACACTATATAACCACTCGTTTCTTCCCCAATCCAAAGCTCACACACAAAGTCTTTAATAGCTTTATATATATCCTTATAATTCTCTTATAAAAAAACTTTAAATCTATTCTTTTCTTTATTTCTATTATACTTTTCTATATTATTAAAAAGTTAATAATTATTAATAATAAAAATATAAACTTAAAAGAGAATAAATTTATTATACTTTCTTTTTATCTTTTTAAAAGTTTTAATACTTTATTATAAAAGTTTTAAAAGTAATATATTATAAATTATTTCTTTATTTTAAGTTTTTATAATTAATAATTATATATTTAAATAAAAGTTATAATATTAAACTTTATAAATTTATTTAAATATATATATATTTAAAAGAATAATTTTAATTAATCTTTTAATATAATTTATTTATATAATAACTATTTTTAAAAACTTAATTTTATTATATAATTTTTTATAATATTTTAAATAATATTATTATTAAAATAATATATTTTAATTTTATTTATATATTATAAAATTAAAACTATAAATATTTATTATATTATAACTATTATTATTAATATTATATTCTTTTTAAATGTTAGGTTTTAAGTACTTACTACTATATAAAGGTACTATATATATCCTTAAACATATATAGAATAGAAGCGAAACTACATAGAGCCTTTCAGCTGCTCTGACGCATGCCGATAAATCGCAGGTACCCGAGAAAGTCGATGCAGGTCTGGGCATCGTTGGAGCTACAAAAAGTCCTACTCGCCATAATGGAGGACTTCCAGTGAGGAGATGCATGTGTTGCGTTGCAAAATTGCAAAAAGGACAAAACCCATCCAGGCAGACTTTGGGGGGCTCGGCAGCTAATGAGGAGTTATCCCACAACAAATGGACTATGATGTCTATTCTCTGCTTCATACACAAAACAAACATGTTTTTGATCGGCAAATGTCTGAAAATAATATGCTTCATTAACAGAACACCACCATACCTCGCAAAGTACTAGTAAGAC